AATTATTTAATTTATAATATTATAAGGGATAATGGCTTAAATAATAATATATTTCTTAAAATATTTAATATAAATTACTTTATTAAATTTAATTTAAATCTTAAAAATAATATTTAATATTTATTATATATTAAATTTAAATATTAAAGTTATTATTAATTCTTTTAATAAAATTATAATAAATAATATTAAATAATAATAAATTAAATTATTAAGTATTTTTATAAAAACTTTAAATAAATAAAAGTATTTATTTAAATAAAAAAGAATAAAATATTTAATAAATTATTAAGTATTTTATTATTATTATTAATATATTTTTAATTATTTAAGTTAATTATATTTAAAGTTATTAAATAAAATAAAATATATAATTATTATTATTAAAAGATATTAATAAATAAAAATATAATAGCTAAAAATGCTTAAATAATATAAATTAATAAATAACTTATTTATTATTAAAAGTAAAGCTTTAATTTTATTAAATATATTTAATTTAAATATGTAATATATTATAATTTTAATTTTATTTTATTAAATTTAAAGTAAATATTAATACTTATTAAAACTTTTTATATAAAATATTAAAAATACTTTTAAATTTTAAAGAATTTATTAATTAACTTATTAAAGACTTTAATTATAAAATTATTAAAGAATTAATTATATAAGAAAAAGAATAAAAATAAATAAAAGATTTAAAAAATATTTTATTATCTTTTTATATATTAATAATTATTTTATAAAAAAGAAAATACTTTATTTTAAGGTTAGTTTTACCTTTAATTAAATAAATAAATAAAGTATTATTAAATTTAAAATAATTATATATTAATAAAGAAAATAAAGAAAAAGAAGGTAAAATAAGTATTATTAATTATCTTTTTATATTTTATTATATTAATACTTATTTATTAGTTTTATTATACTTTTATATATTATCTTTTCATTAAATTATTATAACTAATTTAATAAAATTAAATATATATTTTTTATTAACTTTTATATAAAATTATAATAAAATTAAAAAATATAAAATATATACTTTTTAATATTATTAAACCTTAAAAATAATAATTTAAATATATAAAAAACTTTAAACTTAAATTAATAATTAATATATTACATAATAAAATTATTATTATAAGAATTATAAAATTATATATTTTAAATTTATTTAAAAGTTTTATAATTTATTAATATTATTAATAATTTATATAATACAAAATAAAATAATAAAGAAAAAAAAGAAATTTAAATTATTAAGAATATATAAATAAAAAGAGCAATAAATTAATATATATATTAATTTAAATATATTAAATTTATTTTTTAAAAAAAGAAAAGAAATAAAAAGAAATAAAAGAAAAAACATTTTAAGCTTTTTTTTCTTATTAATATATTTAAAAATATAAAAAAAAGATAATTTAAAATAAGAATTAAAGAAGTATTTTAAAGAAATAATATAGTTTTTTATTTATTTAATAACTTAAAAAAGGAATTATATATTAATATTTAATAAAATTAAGATTTTAAAGTAATGAAATATAAATAAAAATTTATACCTTTATTTATTTATATTAACTTTAAAGTATTTAAATATTTTAATTATATTTATTATAATTAAAGGGAATTTTAATAATAAAATAAATATTATTATTAATAAGTATATTATTTTAAAATATAATATTAAAAAAGAAAAAAAGTTAATAAAGATTAAAAAAATAGTTAAATTTAAAAATAAAATTAAATTTAAAAATATTAAAATTTAATTTAAATAAAGAAAATAATAGCGATATTAATTAATTAAAAAATAAATTTAACTTATTATTTAATTTAAAAATAATTATTAATATTTAATAAATAATAATAAATTAAAAGTATTTTTAAAATAAAATATATAAAATTAAATAATAATAAATAATAAATATTTTTATATAAGTTTATATATAATATAATAATTAAGTTATATTAATATTTAAATTAATTTTAATTATTTTTAAATAAAAATAATAAAAACTATATAATAATAAATTAATAATATATATATATATATATATATATATATATATATATATATTTATTTATTTCCTTATTTTATTTCCTTATTTTATTCTTTATTTAATTCTTTATTTAATTTTATATTTATTTTATTACTTATTTTCTTATTTATTTCTTTATTTATTATAATTAATTAATAAGCTTTAACCTTATAAAAATAAGCTTTAATATAAATATAAATAAAAAGTAAATTTCTTTTTTTATATTTTAAATATAAACTTTATTTAAATATTTTTTAATAAATAACCTTAAGTTAACTTATAATATATATTTAAAGTTTTCTTATATTATAAACTTATAATATAATTATATAAAATTTAATATATAAAATTTAAAAAGAATAATAATAACTTATTAAGCTTTTTTTTTTATTTAAAAAATTTTTATTTTAAGAATATTTAATAATTTAATTAATAAAAAAAAAAATTAAACTTATAATAAATAAAAAGGTAATTAATATTAAAAAAGCTTAATTTTATAAAGATATTTAAAAAAATAATGAAAAAGCTTTTTTTAAAAAGTTTTTATTTTATATTTAAAAATCTTTTTAAGTAAAAATATATTAAGCTTAGCTTAATTATATTATAATAATATTATAAAAAGAAAATAATATAATTTCTTACTTAATTTAATTAATTAATTTATATAATAAAAACTTAAAATTAATTAAATAAATATAAAATATTATTAATAATTAATAATTTAATTTTTATAATAAAAGCTTAGCTTAATTATGAAAAATAATTAAATATATTTAAAGTTTTTTATTTTATTTTAAAATAATATAAAAGTATTTTTAATATTATAATAAAGAAACATAATATTTAATTTTAAAATAATAAATATTAATATTAAAATAATTTTAATAAATAAAATTAAGTATTTTATATATAATTAACTTAATTATTATAAATATAATTATTTTAATTATTATAAAAAAATAAAAATATAATTTTTATTAATTAAAATTAATAAAGAAAAGAAATTTATTTAAGAAAATAAAAATATTTTTTATAAAATAAAGCTTAAAATATTATTAATTTAATATTAACTTAAGCTTAAAATAAGTTAATTATATATTAATTAATTTAATATTATAAAGTACTTAAAATTTAAAAACTTTTTATTAATAAAATAAATTATTTATAATTAAATATTAATTAATTATAAATTATATAATAAATTTATAATTTTAAAGTTTTAAGTAAAAAAGCTTATATAAAAAGCTTAAATTAAAGAATTATAAAAATATTATTAATTTAATTATTAATTTATATTTAAATAATTATATTTTATTAATTTATTTTAATTAATATATTATATTATAAAAATTAAAAATATATTAATTATAAAAAATAAATTAAGCTTTTAATATATTTAAGAAATATTAAAATATAATTAAATAATTAAGCAAAAAGTAATATTTAATTTATAATTAAATTATAATACTTTTTTATTTTTTATTATATAATTATTTTTTAAAGCTTATTATAAAGATTTAAAGAAAAAAAATATATTATAATTAATTAATAAGCTTTAATTTTATAAAAATAAGCTTTAATATAAATATAAATAAAAAGTAAATTTAGTTCTTTATATTTTAAATATAAACTTTATTTAAATACTTTTTAATAAATAACTTTAAGTTAACTTATAATATTTTAAAATATTTTAAATTTCTTTTAAAATAAGTTTTAAATTTAACCTTTATTATATTTAATAATTAATTATATAAAAATTAATTAATATAAATATATTAATTTTTTTATTTAAGTTTTTTTTTTATTTATTTATACTTAATTTTATTAATTATTTATTAATTAAATATTTATTATTATTATATTAAAAATACTTTTTTTATTTTATTATTATTATATCTTTTTATATTACTTTTAAAGCTTAAGTTAAGCTTTTTAAGCTTATTCTTTTCCTTCTTTATTAAGTTTTTAATTAATAACTTACTTATAATTAAGTTTTTTATTTTCTTTATTTTCTTTATTTTTTATTTTCTTTATTTTTTTTTATTTCTTTTATTTCTTTATTTCTTTTATTTCTTTTATTTCTTTTATTTCTTTTATTTATTTTTTATTTCTTTTATTTCTTTTATTTCTTTTATTTCTTTTTATTTCTTTTATTTCTTTTATTTCTTTTATTTCTTTTATTTCTTTTATTTCTTTTATTTCTTTTATTTCTTTTATTTCTTTTATTTCTTTTATTTCTTTTATTTCTTTTATTTCTTTTATTTTTTATTTATTTTTAAATATTATTATTATAAAGTTTTATTATAAATTTTTATATATTTATAACTTTAATTATAATATAATTAAATCTTTAAAATTAATATAAATAAAAATATTAAATAATTATAAATATTTTTTATAAATTTAATATAATGTTAATATAATATTATATATAAATTAAATATAAAATAATATAACGGTATTATTAATATATTTTTAATAATATAAAATATAAATGAATATATAATAAAGGAAAGGAGTTAATAGCAAGGAAATTAATATATAATATAATATTTCATTAAAATTATACATAATATTAAGTGGTTAATTAATATATAGTTATATATATATGTATTGTGCGTAAAACTGTAATTGCCTGTAACTTATATTGTTTCTTGTCCCACTAGGAGAATCATTGTCGTTCCAGCTTAGTAGAGGAACTTGAAGAATATAAATAGTTTATATATCGTGCGTAAAATCGGAATGTTTGGATAGAAAAAAAAGAGGGGCCCTTATAGACTTGGCGGCTGCTTCTCAGCGCCCTCCGCGCGCGACCGCACGCCATCCTTGACGTGTTGAAGCGCTCTCCTCACAGACCCTTGCGTTTCTGCTCGTTTTCCCCAAGCTTTGCTCGTGTCGTCCCTGGCAGGCCTGGAGAGCGAGGATGTGTCGCTCGCACTGCTTCGATCCGTATCCTCACTCAAGCCCGTTAGCGGCTATTGCTGGTCGCTTGCCCTTGTCCACATGGCCGCCACGCTCCGCTGCCCTCGAGCTGGACCCGCTGCTCTCCGACATGGCGTTCCATGCTGCGACCATCGCTTCCGCCTTCTCGCAGTCGATGGCGTCCTCTGCTGCTGACCTGGAAGTTGATCCGCGTACTCCCACGGCCCGGCCTGCACCCGAGGGGCATCCCTTGCTAGAGCGCCTCTCGATCTCCAGCAGGCTGCGGTGGTGGGCGAATCGCAGCTCCTTGTCGTCATCGTCGCTCAGCATTCCTATCAAGGATTGGCCGCTTGCTTGCGCTTGCAGGTGGTTGGGTCGTAGCCATTCGGGTGGTGACTTTGCGGACATGGTGTTTCTGCGGGATCTCGCACTCGGGTGGCTGTTGTCGACGGCGTATTCTACGTTGGATATGACAAGCGGTGGCGGTGTCACCTCGGTCTGATCGTGTAGGGTTATCCAGTGGATCACAACTGATGCGAAGAGGACTGCGACAACTATGTGTCAGCTTCTGGAGTTTGATCCTAGTATGAACAGCGTTGAACAGCACGGAAGACTTACTGTCACTAGTGCAGCTCAACATACAGATCCACATGGGCTCGCCGTGAATCGTGGAGAGGACGGAAGCGTTTCTGGGAATTTGTCTCAGCTGTATTTCTGGTATTGAAGATCTGATACTGGCAGAGGGAAGGGATTAGTGAAGGATGTCTGTCACTGACACAATCGCGGCAGCGAGGAGGCAGGCGAGTCCGACCAGGAATCGTATTGCAGTCCGGCGGACCGTCAAGTTCGGTGCAGAACGTCGGAGAAAGAACCAGTCTGAAGAACTGTTAGCTTCTCTGCATGGTGAAAAAAGCCTATCATTACCAATTGAGGGAGGCATACTGCAGAGGGGCTCCAAGAAAAGCGACGCAAGGTAGACCTTAAATATTCATTAACATCCGTGCCGGCCGGATTATCAGACAAGAGTCCCTGTGGAGAATCTCACTTTGGCGCCGATGTCCCACAATATAATACCAATAAGCGCTTCTAACTTCCCGTTGACAATGCAGACACCAGACTCAACGGTCGTAGAGCGACTGTGCCACAGGTTGGTCAGTAAATGGTCGACGGAAAATCAAACCCGGAAAAGAATCATACATACTGCAAGAATTCGAAGACGAGAATGAGAATGTAACAGGCTAGCATTATAAGCAATTGAACACTCCTTGAGCGTATTCGGAGGACCAACCAAGCATTCCCATCATGTTGAGAAGCCACGACTTGGAGTGCTTTGAGCGTCCATTTATTACACACTGGTCGAATTAGGATGGAGTCAAGGTCATCAGATGAACCCATCAAGAAATGCCAAGTCGCTTACCGCTTTCTCAACTAGGAAGAAATATATGATCTGTGATTTGAGTCAACATGAACGAAACTTCAGGCTGCATAACAGTGCCACAAACCAACTGCAGTGTGTCAGCAGAGGACTCTCGGGGCCATGGAGGATTTCGGAGGATGTCAACGACGCACTTTGGTACTAAGGTACACAGTGAGGTAGACTATGTCGGTGGATTTGCACCGGGAAGCCGTCATCTCCGTATTAGCGAGGCCAAATCTCAGGACTGAAGCGATGACGATATATAAAAATGAGTCCAGATAGACCATGGTGACCACTAATCACAGCGGGCGTCAGCTTCAACAGACCTCAGACCTCCCTGCTCATGCCTCCAGGCAAACCCTCGTGAGGATCAATCTTACGCCATGTCGCGAGCGGTTGTGGCCTCCATGAATATGTTGCTGACCAAAGTTGCGCTGTCAGACAAATTCTATCAGTATTCTGGTGGTCTATGCCCAGCATCGGCCCCCCTGGCGGACTGACTTAGAAATGACGAGAAGAGGCAGACAGATGTCATTGCGAGCCCCACGCCGACGATCGTTGCCGCTTGCGGCTCCTCGTGCTGCACTCTCATTGTTGCGTCTCGATCGGGACATCCAACGGTAGTCTTCGGGCGGCGGACGGGGGAAATCGCAGGTGTGTTAGGCCATCTTCGCGGCGCATCTGAGACACTGACGGCTCCACAGAGAGATCTGAGGAAGACGGGGACGGTGAATGTGTTTTGTCAGAAAAAAACCAAACCCATCCAGCCCGCCGGTGAACAAGAAAATGGCTTGGGCTTTGGGGAGGCTTGGAGCCTAAAGTGTACCGGCCGGGCTTTGCGCTGCTTGGTTGAAATCCCCGGATCTGCGCTTCGGAGAGCTCGCCGAAGCTGGGCAGCAGGGCGTCAACAAGCTCGGGGAGGCTGCCGCTTGACTCGTGCAGCGCGGCCGAGGATACACCGCATTACCTGCGGCCTGCCTTGTTGCCACGATCACCCCGTGCGTGGTGCATTAGCCCAAAACTCTACTAGCCAGAGATGCGGGATCGTGTTTTCTGCTGATCCCTTGGGGTTTTACCATGCTGATTCGAAAAATCACGATTCTCCAATGCGCAAATTCGGTAATTCGTTTCCGAGTTGGTACTGGACGGTGCCGTTTCACCATCCAGGCGGCAACTGTCGGCAAATCCTTTTTTACACCGGCTCACATTATGTGATTCGATGTTCGTTGTGGCTAGTACAGGGCCAATGGCATCTTTGTGCTCTGATTTACTCTGTCATTCTACGTTTGGGCTCGCTGAGCTGACCTCAACGGTGATCTCACCGAGCTTTCATGAACAGGCACGCTGCAAGAATTCGGATCAACGTCAGGCCATGTTGAGAGAATGGACGACCAAGAGAAAAGTGCCCAGGGTCCATGTTCCGGAGCGTCCGTGACACTACGCAACATTCATTAGGCAAGCAGACTGGTTTCCTTGCAGGCTTGCGCGTATTGACACAAACCTAAAAAGAGGAAGACCGCTACATCGGCTTACTGCGCCCCATTTTGGTTACATCGTGAGTATAGGAGGACGGATGTAGCAGGAATTTCTCTAGAGAAGTTGGCGGTGTTGACCACGATTCTTCACGATAGCTGATTGTCATGGAAATATGCTTAGTTTTCGCTCTGTGAGAAAGGTTCGCGGTGTAATTAAACCGGCGAATTATGCTTGTCAACGATGGCCAGCAGCAATCGTGCCTGCTTAGCTAGGGAAGCTTTTCTCTCGTGGCCAGTCGGCTTTGTAGGTCCTCGAAGACTCTTCTCTGATTTTCGATTCACCCAAGGAGCGTGAGCTCTCGTCCTCCACTTCCTTGCTTATTGACAAGGAGGAAGAGGTCGCTTTGCTTGCCGATGGTTCATTTGAGGCTTTGCTAGGAGCACTGCAGATTTCATGGTCACGTCACTTCCCGGACTGCACTCGAACATGGGATGCGGGAAGACCTTTTCGAGGTGGCTGCAGAAGTAGCGTGTCCAGTTGCACTTCTCCCCCAGTCGAATCATATTCCGTAAAGTCGGCCGATCAACTCAATAGCAAGACACGTAAGGAACCTTACTCATGTATTTCGAATAGCTTGCTGCCGGTGTCTGTCCACTACTATGCCTGAAGCTGTGCCTTGTCAGCTCTTGGTCGGACCAAAGATTTCGAGGCTATTGCCGCTGTTCCTCTGAAGCTTGTCACAGAATTCCTTTTGTTTATACAAAAGAAGAAGAAAACAATAAGTGCACAACTGAGTTTATAATATTTCCTTTCCTTCTGCCATGGATTGGGAACTTTCTTAAAGTATATCGAAATACAAAGCCCTCCCCATCTTTTGTTTTCTATTTCGAGTGCAAATGGAACCACCGCCTGTGAGCGTGATGTTTGCCTCATGGCTTGTATGAAGTCGAAATGGCTGAGTAAGCGCAGCATGATTATTTACTTACTGCACTGTCACCAGCTCAGAGACTCAAATTGGGCGTCAAATGTCTGGGCCACCACCTAGAGGCATACCTAGGCACGTGATGAAGAATGCAATTTTCTTGCCCTGCTTGCTCTGAAGGCCCCATGTGTAAAATTCGATAATAACATCAAAGTTTCAGTGAGACTGTTGGATCTAATTTTAACCTGTCCTGCCTCTTTACATCACATGATGTGATCAGACAAGCATCAAGCCACCGCAGGAACACCTGTTCATCCGCCAAAAGATTTCATCATGCCTGGCGGAAGTAAAGAATAACACTCTTTGTGAAAAGACGCTAGATGAAGAATTGTGAACCTAGGTGTAGCCGGAACGCAGTAACTGCTTCAAGTGTTATTCCCGTCGGCATTAGCAGACCGAGCATTCTCTTGTTTTAAAAAAAATTATTCCATTGCCAGGCACGTGCAAGGCTGGAGACGAGGAAGCCGGTTTAAGAGATCCCCAGTAGTGATTTGACGACCCTTGAAAAATCAGTCAAGCGGGTCTCTTGGCGCGGCTCAACCAGAACATCCCGGGCTACTTTTACGACATGAAAACCTGGTGATTCGCCCTGCACCGCGAGCCCCGTACGCACAGCCCGAAGAACGGCCATTCAGCAAGCTCGCAAAGCAGAATTGATGGAATCGATTTCTCACAATGACACCAAACTATTAGATCGTATCAACTCGAATCGCACTCCACGTGCTGGAGGGCAAACCCGCTCTATCGGGCGAGATCATTTTGTGGAGGAGGCCCGCTTTACACCGGCCGAGGGAGGCAAGACTGACGAGAGCCTCGAGTGTGTCAAGGATGAATCCAGCTCGCCTTGGACCATGTGGACCTCGATCCATATGACTCGCGTCTTCGGGGTCGTCTTTTAAAAGTCAGCAATGCCAGACGCGTCGTGCCCTCTGCCTCGGCGAGTCCTCAAGTGCTCGCTGGCTTCTTCTCCCGCCACTCTCCTCGATCCTCTGGCGGACCGCCCTCACGTCGTCCACTGTTTACCCCGTCCTCGAAACGCACACATCCTCCCGCCATGGCGGACGGCATCTCCAACTCGACCAGCCATGGTCCTACCAAGAACAAGAACGGCCCGGACGCTGAGCAGGTCCAGGACCGCAACCCGTGGCCCGTGGGCGGAAGCAGCATGCTCGGGGAGACGAGCGACGAGATGAACGACCGCCAGCTGAAGCAGATCGCGGCTCAGGGCAGCGCTCACTTCCACCGCCTGGGATGGAAGCGTTTGGCCATCGTCACAATTGTGGAGGCCGTCGCACTCGGCGCTCTTAGCCTGCCTTCGGCGTACCATACCCTCGGCATGTTCCCGGGTGTCTTCTTGACCATCACCGTCGGGCTGGTCTCCATCTTCACGAGCTATCTCGTCGGTCAGGTCAAACTGGCATACCCCCATGTGGCCAACTATGCCGAAGCCGGGCGGCTGCTTTTCGGACGCTACGGACGTATTGGCTACGAAATATTTGGAGCTGCCCTCGTTCTCGAGCTGGTGATGGTTGTTGGATCTCATGCTCTCACCGGAAGCATTGCGCTAGTCGACATCAATGGCGGTCACGTCTGCTCCATTGTCTTCTCCGCGGTCTCGGCCATCATCCTCCTGATTCTCGCCATCCCACCCTCCTTTACCGAGGTTGCCATCCTCGGTTATATCGACTTCGTCTCTATCCTCGCCGCTATTGGCATCACCGTCATCGCCACGGGTATCCAGGCCAACAAGTCCGAGGGAGGCCTTTCGGGGGTCGGGTGGTCTGCTTGGCCCAGGGAGGGCGTCACGTTCTCCGAGGCATTTGTGGCTGTCAGCAACATCATCTTCGCGTTCTCTTTCGCCATCGGCCAGTTCTCCTTCATGGACGAGATGCACACGCCTACCCATTATATGAAGTCTATTTGGGCCTCTGGGTTCATTCAGATCTGCATCTATACCATCACCGGTGCTCTTTGCTATGCCTTTGTAGGGCCGTCAGTGCAGTCTCCAGCTCTCTTGTCCGCCGGACCACTGATCTCCAAGATCGCCTTTGGAGTCGCAATCCCAGTCATCTTCATTTCTGGATCGATCAACTCGACTGTGGCCCTCCGGTACATCCACGGCCGCATGTACAAGAACTCGCACCTGAGGTATATCAACACCCCTATGGGCTGGGCCAGCTGGATCGTCCTAGTGGTCATCTTCACCCTGATCGCTTGGATCATTGCCGAGGCGATCCCGATCTTTTCTGATCTTCTCTCGCTGGCGTCGGCTCTATTCGTTTCCGGGTTCTCGTTCTACATACCCGCCGTTATGTGGTTCGCTCTGCTCTGCAAGGGCAAGTGGTACTCGAAGAAGAACATCCTCATCAGCCTGGGAAGTATTTTGGCGTTTATCATTGGTGCCGTGACCTTGGTCGCGGGTACTTATTCGACTATTGTCGACATTGTAAGTGTTCCAAAGTGCTTTCAAGTGCATTGTGTCCAATCGTACTAACAATTTGTAGATCAACGAAACAACTTCTGGGAGCGCTCACAAGCCTTTTGCTTGCAGGTCATCATAGAGGCCGTGTGATGCTGCCATACATATTTAATAACGATTCCCCCCTTCATTTCTGACACACAGTTGTTGCCAGTGTCCCCATTGAAAATTACAAAAGCGAGCTGTAATATTGACATCTAGAGTAATGTTAAGGTAGGCAACGTGAGAAATAACGGCGGTGATTTTGCCGCCTATTCACACATCATTATGCCACATATTGCTTGCCTCGTATGTACTTTCAAGCAACCAGACACGGCGAATCAATAGACTACACCGTCTTCAGCCAAGTCTAGGTAAACTCTCGTTGAGACTAGAAGCTCCCGCCAGCGCGTCAGAGTCTCGGCAGCCTGATGCCGCGTCGCACAGCCACGAACAGAGCTTCCTCCAAACTTGCCGAGCCAAGCCGGACATCAACATGTTTGTCAACATCGGTACTAATCACAAGCGAGCATGTGTGACGTGCATAACGGCTTCATTACCAGGAGCAAGTCACACCCGACCAACACTAAAACCCTCATCACCCTCATGGGCACCAGCAACACAGAGGCTGCCATCAGCTCGCCGAACTGCATCAACGGGAAGGCGGTGCCTCGAGAGTCTTAGTTAATCACCTGGTGGGGCCTGGCTGTTCACGGCACCTGATATAGAATTAAATCCAAGTGGCGGGTTATGCCCAAGGCGCTGTTTGAGCCGGCTGCTCTGAAAACTACTCAAGTCAACGAAAGGGACTTGCCAGATGTTGCAGAATTATCATAGAGTAAAGCACATCGACAGGACGTGTATATTTAATCCTATCATTTTATTTGCTACTTGACCATCGAGATACCTGCAGTCTAGGCAACAGAAACTGGAAAAAGATCCATTGGACCGTTCGCGGCAAAGAATGATTATGGGACAGAGAAGACAAAATCTGATATAATCTGACCGGCTCAGGCGTGTACAATATGCCATTTGCTTGGGTCTGCTGGGCATGCACTAGGGCTGGGCCAGACCTCCGAAGACAATGATTATGCTTCCTACTTGTGCCCCAGCTACCAACCTTGGCAGTGTGCACAAGACCTCCTTAGCCACAAGCGTCGTCTCACCCAAGCGCGCGCCCAAGCTCAGAAGTCCTCGCGATGTTTGGGACTATTTTGTCCTTGTTGTCCTCAATCAAAAGCTCTCTCCAAGGAACCCCGGGTGTGCGAGGCTACCGCATGATACTGTCAAGAAATTGACGTTGGAGAATTGTACTAGTGCAACTCATATCGGACCCGATATACCAGCGCTCACCATGTCAAATACTCTATACACCTCACTAGGCCAAGAACGTCCCGGCTGACCACCCCGCCGCAATCCCTACCAACAGGCAGAAGAGCGCCTGTTCTAGACCAGCTGACCAAACGGCGCCTTTTACACAGCCCTAGGTGGCAGAACTCCAAGAGACGTTCTTGCCTAGAGCTCACAGGGATCCAAATGCCACGTGTGACTGAAACAATACGCCGTTCCAGTAGGACACGCTTCAACAAGTCAATTAATTACCTACTGAAGAATCCAAGCAGGATGATCTATAGTGGCACAACCGAGTGGAGGGTGAGCCTGGAGGATTGATCGTGGGATGTTCACGATTAACCACAGCTGAGGGCATCGCTGGTCCCAGTTCCAACCCTTTTTTCACTTGTCCGGTAAACAATTGGGCACCTGCGAGTTGCAAAGTTCTCCCCATGGCAGCTGTGGGACAGGCTGATGATGGTGGTCACGAAGGTGGCAGCTGGCTGTGTGTGTGATAGCGCACGGTCGTCGGGACGCTGGTGGGTGAGCATGGAGCAGGTTGAGCCATAATAAAAGCCACGAGGGGCGGCCGCTTGGGAGGCGGGATTGCGGGCAATCCTGAATGCGGCTACTCGAGTGCATTAACCTTGTTGCACCCATCACATGCAAGGCGATGCACAGGAGCAGTTTGGGCGGGAGAGCAGCTGCAGGTGCGTGGTGGAACATATGGCTCGTTTCCTGTACCATGACCCGTTCAGGACTGGCGTTTGCCTGCTTGGGGACCCCGGGGGGGGGGGGGGTGGTGTAGGGTGGTTCCTTGATTGAGGCGCAGTCAGCGAGAGGGAACAGCGTTACGGTAGCATCTAGTAGGCTTTTCTTGGCCGGGTGCAGACGTGCACGCGTGCGGAGAGACACGGGCGCAGACAGCGACGCCCATTGCGACATTGCCCGATCGCATTCTATACCAAGCCTTTTCCAAGACCAACGTTCCTCCCACCGACTGCCACCGACCGTCCACTGACTGCCCTGACTGCCTCTGGAGGGCCAGGGATACCAGGCCCAAGGTCGCATTGTCCTTCCCGGCAAGTTGGGGGCGCCAAGCGGGTGGACAAGGCTGCCCGGTGATCTTGGGATGGCTTGGATGTGATCATCCCAAGAGAAAAAAAAGGGGCCCCCTGCCCGGTGGCATGTTTTCACAATTTGGCACTTAATGAGCCGCCAAATGCAAGCGCAAAGCAGGTCAGGGCAAGGCAAGGAGGGGGGAAACACCGGCACACGGGATCAACAACTGACGCGCATACAAGTACGAGGCGTGGCCCCTGCCCAGGCGCTTTCTGCGCTCTGCAGGTTTGGCTGCTTTTAGAGTTGGTCGTGTGTCGACGTCTTTTGCAGGCCTGACACACGGAATAGTTGCCTGTTTCGCCCTTTTGAGAAGCCTCCGGCCCACTGCACTCTAAGATCAACGTCCCCTACATCCTTCAAATTTTCGCCCAGATTCTCGCGCCCATAATCCCGCCCTCTCCCGCCGCTTCTCTCTTTCTCCCGTATCCTGTCTCTGGGTGAGAATCATGGGCCTCAAGGCATACAACAACTCCAGAGACGTCGGTCGCAGTGCGCCCGCGGCCATGAGCGACAGATTAGGCAATTACACGGGGCCATGTCCCTTTCAGGATATGCTGCCCGTGGAGATCAGGATCCACATCTACGAGTACATCCTCTTTGAGAACGGCAACTTCTTCAGCCTCGACGACGAGGAGGGCCGGTCCATCCCGACCCTCTTCCCAAAGCTGAGGTCGCCCCCGAAGAAGAGATGCGGGCTGCACGAGGCCGAGAGGCCACACGAGGCCGGGAGCCAGGATAACGGCAGCGGCAACATCATGTCGCTGCTGCTGACGAGCAACAAGATGTTAGTCATACCACACACTCTCTCACACATATCTCCAGAGCCCGCACCACCACATACATGCACACACACTGCGATCTACAGGGACATGGACCACTAATCACCCGCCACCGTTCCACAGCTACCACGAAGCCGCCAGCCTGCTGTACTCGTCGTCCTTCTTCCGGCTGCGCGGGATCCACCCGACTATCCAGTTCATCAACACCGTGTCGCCGGCTCACCTGGGGCTGGTGCGGTCGCTCAAGCTGGTGTGGGACGACCAGGGGTGGACGGACGCGCCCGAGTTCGACACGCTGACGCTGCGGTCGGCGTGGCCCTCGCTGTGCGACGCGCTGGCCACGCAGTTCCCGTCTTTGCGTAATCTCTACGTGGCGCTGGGTATGCCCAGCAACGAGGCGCACGTCGAGGAGCTTTATCTGGGGCCGCTCAGGAGGGTGCGGCACGCGGCCAACTTCAAGGTGTGCATCCCCGTGGGGCTCCTCGAGAGGTTCGAGGGCCTGGACCAGCGGCTGGAGGCGAGGGAGAGGGGCGGCGGCGGCGACAACGACTGCCCGTTCACGCTGTGCAGACACACGGCGGGCGAGGTGTGCCCCAGCCGCAAGGAGGTGGTGCAGGCAGAGTGGCTGGGGTCCAGCAGGCCGGCGACGCCGGGGCTCAAGGTGCAGTACCCCAATGTGCCCGGGCTGGAGCCGTGGGCCGACGGCGACTGGGCGACCGAGAAGGACGACGTGCTGGGGGATGCCATGCTGGCAGGCGACGGGCTGGGCGGCTCGCAGTGGTCCCAAGGTGGTCAAGCTTTTGCCCAGACGTCATGATCAGGCGATCAGGCCACTCGACGATCTGAAGTCTGATGTCGATGTCGCCTCTCCTGCTGCGCGTAGGGGTAGGATGGGATGGGACGGGAGGTGGTGCTGGGTGTGTACATGTTGCTCGTTTTGGGCCGGCCATGCGTTGTCAACTGGCTGTGCGCAGGGGCGGTCCCGGGCATCGGAAACGCGGGTCATGTACTGGCCCCCGTATAATTCACGTCCATAGGATACTTAATGTCGGGTCCAACCGGGTGACTGTATAAATCTGAAGTCTAATTTGTAACTCGGCAAAGGAGTGGTGTGTTTCGAGTGCTGCGAGTCATCAAAATAGGTCTCGGGTTGAGATGCGAGCCGGGCGACGGGCGATGCAACAGTGACCATCTGAGCTCCAGGAGGTCTCAGCGGTGCGGGTGGTGCAGGCGGGCAAACAAACAGCTTGGGTACGGATACAGCTGCAGGGGCAGGAGCAGCACGTAGGTGGGTACACTGTTGGTGAGCAGGGGTAGCCGTCATTTAGCCGCCAGCCGCGTCGAAGCCAGATCCCTGCCCCCCAAAATTCCGCTGCCCATGCAAGCTCCTTGCCTGCCCGTCGTGCGCGCGACAAACCAAGCAACAGGCAGAATCGGCGTACAGAGCTCCCAGGACGACGACGTTTTGCTGCAGCACCCACTCCCCTAAGCAACCAGCAGCCTGCCCATCATGAGTGTGAGTCGGCCTCATTCCCGCTGTCATATTCAAATATGCAGACAAACTGACGTCATTATCGCAGTTCATGCCAGTGAACCCCCGACCCTTCCTCCAGGACCTGTACGTGCTTCGCCCAACGCCCAACGCGCCGCCCACCCCACGCGACAACTTGAAATCGAATCGGAAGACGCTGACAGCTGTATGGCAGGGTAAACAAGGAGATCTGGGTGCGTCTCAAGTGGGGAGAGACCGAGTACAAGGGCAGACTGTGAGACAACACCACCCTTACCATATATGCACACACACACACTTCGTCGCGGCCCTAGTTGGACTGAGATGCTGACATGACCCCCTACCTACAGGGTCTCAATTGACAGCTACATGAATATCCAGCTGGCCAACGCAGAGGAGTACATCAAGAACAACTTCTCCGGCTCCCTGGGCCAAGTCCTCATCCGCTGCAACAACGTGCTCTGGATCCGGGCCGTGGGCGAGGGCGAGAACGGGGACGTGAAGATGGACGGTTGATGGGCGAGCACGATGACGGGCGACTGGCAACTTAAGAAGGGAAGGACAGTGGGATATCAGCGCTCGGGGGTCCGACCCGAGTATAATCCAGAGCGGACGCGGAATCATCCCCCGATGCCCATCTCCAACCCTCTTACGAGGCAGGCAGAAAGCAAGCAAGCAAGGAAGGGTGGATCAGGACCACGATTTGGGCACGGCGGCGTTTTGGGAAAAGGGGCTCTCACGGCCACGAAAACGAGCCCCTACCTCGTTGGCTTGCTCTGTTGGGAACAAATCGCAATGGGTTTGCTATGCATATGACTAGGTACGGCAAAATCACACAAAAATGCTTGTCCAGAAGAATGCCTCCAGCTTAGCCAGAATCCCAATCAGCAGCAGCGGCGGAAGCAACTACCACCACAAGCAGCAACAGCAACAGCAACAGCAACAGCGTTACCGGCCCCGCCGCCTCTGCCTTTCGCATCGGACATGTCAGCCTCGTGCGTGTGCCCTGCACCCTACTGCATGAGACAAGCCACCTTGCGGCTGCTGTGCATCTCCGAGGATGCAACCTTGACCCTCGTCTTGGGGCCGACCCAGACATACGCCTCGACGATCCACTCGTACCAGACCTTGGTGTCATCAGTCTGCCGCCACATGCTGACCTCGAGGTCTGAGTCCTGCGGGAAGTAGAGGGGTTGCTGTTGATTGAACGTATTAGCACGCGCCCAAGGCCATAGACTGTGAAGTAAACCTCGTAGGGTACATTGTAGACCGTGCTCACCTTTAGGGGGAAGAAGATAGGGAACCAGGAGACCATGTCCTTGCTCTTCCTGTCGATCTGGTCCGGCAGGATGCTCAGCTCCACCAGCTCCTTGCCCTCGCCGGTGTGCGGCCGGTAGAGCGTGCTCTCGAAGTAGCCCGCCAGGCCGTGACAGACACCGCGCGGGCGGCAGTAGAAGGTCAGGTGCGTGTGCCGGGCGTTGTGCTCGTTGGTGCCGCCCGAGTTGTTCATGGCGCCGCCGCCTGCGGTGCGCAGCCTCGGCGCGTGCGACACGGGGCCGTTCTCGGCCTCCCACTTCTCGATGAGCGAGCCCGCGACGGGGTGCACAAACTCCCACGCCTGCTGGAACCGCGGCTTCCCGGGCACCTTCTGCGAGATGAGGTCCAGCTGGTACAGCCGCACGACCCAGGGCGTCTCGAAGGCATTGGCGTCGGCCGGGGCGAGGGTCCGCAGGTGCGCATGGATCTTGGGCGTCGCGATGGGCGACAGCCACGCCGTGTACGACTCGGGGATCGAGATGCCATGCGGCCGCGCGATGTGCTTTTGGATTCCATCGATACACTCGGGTGACAGTTCGTTGTCGCCGAACGAACCCAGCAGCTCCGTCACGAGGATGTCCACCTTGGGCGGCGCGCTGCCCGCGTAGCCCTGCGGCCGCGGCCCCGTCCAGTCGCGCATGTCAGTCTTGACCACCGTCACCCGTCCGCCCCACACGGTCTCGTTCTGCCGAAGGAGGTACACGTAGGCGTTCTGGTTCTTCTCCACCGCCCATATCTGGATGGGCATCCCGCTGCGCTCGCTGGCTCTCAGCGCCCGCGTCACCAGCGGGCCACGCCCGGCCCCAGCGACGGTCACCACCAGCTCGGCGTTGTCGCCCTTGAGGGACGACGTAGGCTTTCCAAGCTGCTTCCACTCGCTCATGGCCTGGAACATGGCCTCCTCGTACAGGTTGTACTTGACGGGGTCGCCCTCAAACATCTCGTATGTCGCCGACTCAAGGTTGTCAGACAACGGCTGCAGAGGGCTCTGTAGCCAGTCCTGGAAGCTCGTGAGCGTGTCCGTCTCGAGGGCCCCAAGCGGCTCCTGCTGGCGCTCCAGGTGGCTCATGTACAGCACATGGGCATTCATGCCGGGGAGGCTCTTGGCCAACGCATCGCTGTGCGCTGCCTCGCCGATAGTCGGGAACTCGATCTGGATGGTCTCGGCCGCCTCAGCGGCTGCCTGGAGCTCAGCCAGGAAAGGCCCGACGTCGTAGAGGAGGAGCCAGGGTGCGTTCTTCAGTCGCATATAGCTGAATATCATGTCCTGGTGGTATCGAGTGAGGGACGGGTTGCCGGTCTTGTTGGGCTGGAAGGTGGTGGGCCCGAGGGTCACGTAATGCAGGGGCTCGGAAAACCACCGAGTCTGGAGCTCCCTCTCCGGAAGACGTCGCGGGATCCTCAAGGCTGGAGTAGGTAGGGTTGTTAGCAGGAGACCGGTGTAGCAGTAACGAGGAAATGTAGAATGTAAGCTGGGCCTCACCAACAAACAACCTGGTCGAGTACTGGCAGACCGACCGGATGGCGTGCCACGTATCCCAAGCCCCGAAGAGATCAACCTCATCATCTTTTGGGCCTGCCTTTGCCACATCCTTGGACCCGTGAAGTTCCTCAGATAGCAGCTTTGCCTTCTCCTCCAACCCAGGCTCACGGTACATTGGCATATGGATGATGACGTTCACCCTGGTAGCCACCTCAAATGTCTCCTGCACCGCTCTCACATACTGAGCAATGGCTTTACCGTCCCCGTCCTGTCGTGGCCCCGGGATCACAACACTGCGCACCCCACAGAAATTGGCATAGGCCACCTCCAGGTTCAGCGCCTGGCGGGAGATGCTGGCGATGACCGGGTCTGACGAGCAGAGGTCGATCCACGGGCTTGAGTAGGCCAGCACGTTAAGCACGTATGAGCTGGGAATGAGGCTCGTGTCCTTGTTGGTGAGAGTTGGGACGGTAGGGCCGGGCAGGGCCGGGTTGGCCTTCTCGGCAGCCGACAAACTCGAGGCCTCTAGGCCGCTCAGATGAGACCTGTAGAGCTCCTTGACACGTTGGTGGAAGTGCTCATTGGTGATTGGCGCCGTTGCGAACCCGAACTGAGAAGACGCTTAGTGCTGCTGTTCTTATGCCAGGGTCGAAGGAAAACTTACGCCGGCGTTGAGGACCTGAGCGTACTGGCCATCAGTGAGAGCCTCAGTCCTGGAGGAGTCATGCTGACCGATCCAAAAAGTTGGACGGACATGGGCAAAAGCCTCCGACTCCGGGTTCAGAGACCCGCTGGAAGGCATCCTGAATGCACTTTCCGCGTGGGTCGCTCGAGGTTGAGAATGTTGGAAAATGTGTGAGAGGGCAGAGAAACTCTGGTTGGAAAATTGCTGGGATGGAGGAGTCGGGCACCGCAGAGGTGAGGGGATGGGGCATACGGTCCGAGAGACTCGGGTCAAATCACCAGATGGCACAGTCCGCAACACCGCTGGGGTCAAGAGACACGTTTCTTCACAGTAGCACATTGACCAGAATTCTAGATGGGCACGACTTGTATTTGTTGCGCTTGTTGTGCTTGTTGTCAGGTGCAGTGCTGCAGACTTACAGTAGGTACCTAGGTAGTCAGTCTAGTAGGTACCCACCTAAGTACTGTGTATCTACTATCTACGCATTACAGGACTTGGCTTCTGCGGCTTGTAGCCTGCCTACACCATCTGCTCACTGCGTAGACAAGACTCTGATGAATCCGTCTCTTTCTGGTGAGACAACATGTCACAATACAGTATTTCATCGTAGTAGACTACCTCGGAGGTAGCACAACAGGCTTGGCGTGAAATATTCTCAGGGTCCAGCTGCCACTTGCCACTGCCACTGCCACTGCCACTGCCACTGCAGCAACGGCCGCCTAAAATTGTCGGTTCCGACTCGGCAGGCAGGAATGCTGTCGGCTTGCCTGCCGATTGGACGATCTGCAGGGTTTCCCAGGAAAATTTACAGGACGGTTCCTGAACCTGCGACCCCCAAACCCCCGGAGCGTGTTGTTTCGCAAAGCCTCTTCTGCAAAGGCGCGGCGACGAGGTCATCACCACGTCTGTTTCTCGAACCTCCTGCAAGACTCTCGCTTCGTCAGTATGGCTGACAAGTCCAAGGGCACCAAGAGGCCCAGCGCCGACACCGACACCGACACTCCGGGCTCCCCAAAGCGAGCACGGCAGGCGGGCGCAATGGACGGATACAACCCCTACCTAGCCCACCAGTACGGCGACCAGAACGGCTCCGCAAAGTCGTCTGCATGGCCTGCATTCAACGGCATCAAGCGCCACGAGACCAACGAGAAGCAGATCACCGGGCTCGAGGACGCCGACGACAACCCGTGGACGGGCGAGCCGCACAGCCAGAAGTACTTCAGGATCCTGGAAGGGAGGAGGAACCTGCCCGTCCACAAGCACCGCCAGGAGTTCCTCGACATCTACCACAACACCCAGATCATGGTCTTTGTCGGAGAGACCGGTTCCGGAAAGACCACGCAGATCCCACAATATGTCCTCCACGACGAGCTCCCCCAGTTCACCGGCAAGCTCATCGCCTGTACCCAGCCCCGCCGAGTCGCCGCCACCAGCGTCGCCCAGCGTGTCGCCGACGAGCTCGACGTCACGCTCGGCAACGAGGTCGGTTACAGCGTCCGTTTCGATAACTGCACCTCCGACAAGACCATGCTCAAGTACATGACCGACGGTCAGCTGCTGCGAGAGTGTATGCACGACAACGACATGTCTCGATACGCCTGCATCATCATCGACGAGGCCCACGAGCGCACACTCGCCACTGATATTCTCATGGCCCTGCTCAAGGAGATTTCTCAGCGTCGAAAGGACCTCAAGATCATCATCATGTCTGCCACCCTCGACGCCCAAAAGTTCCAGAAATACTACTTTGATGCGCCACTGCTGGCCGTCCCCGGAAGAACACATCCAGTGCAGCTCTTTTACACCCCTGAGGCGGAGAGGGACTATATCGAGGCCTCCATCAGGACGGTTCTCCAGATCCATGCGACAGAGGACGAGGGCGACATCCTGCTGTTCCTGACCGGAGAGGAGGAGATCGAGGACGCTTGTAGGAGAATCCGCCTTGAGGTTGATGAGATGCTGCGCGAGTCGGACGTTGGCCAGATGTCGATTTACCCCCTTTACGGTACCCTGCCACCTCACCAGCAGCAGCGCATCTTCGACAAGGCGCCAGGCCCTATCAAACCGGGTGGACGTCCCGGAAGGAAATGTATCGTGGCCACAAATATTGCAGAAACGTCGCTTACGATCGATGGTATGTTTGACTGAGCCTCTCTATGCCAATGATCCATGCTGACACTTCTCCCAGGCATTGTTTACGTCGTCGATCCGGGCTTCAGCAAGCAAAAGATCTACAACCCCCGAATCCGTGTCGAGTCGCTGCTTGTCAGCCCTATTAGCAAGGCATCCGCACAACAACGAGCGGGTCGTGCCGGTCGTACGCGACCAGGAAAGTGCTTCAGACTGTACACAGAACCAGCGTTCAAGAAGGAACTCATCGAGCAGACCTACCCCGAGATCCTTCGGTCGAACCTGTCGAACACGATCCTGCAGCTCAAACGGCTCGGTGTCCAAGATTTGGTCCACTTCGACCTCCTGGACCCGCCGGCACCTGAGACGATGATGCGCGCTCTTGAGGAGCTCAACTTCTTGGCCTGCCTGGACGACGAGGGCGAGCTCACCCCACTGGGCAGCCTGGCGTCCGAGTTCCCGCTCGACCCCCAGCTGGCAGTCATGCTCATCAGCAGCCCCGAGTTCTATGCCAGCAACGAAGTCCTCTCGATCGTCTCCCTGCTTTCCGTGCCATCACCGTGGGTCCGTCCCAACACAGCACGGAAACGTGCCGACGAGATGAAGGCACAGTTTGCCCACCCGGATGGCGACCACCTCACGCTGCTCAACTTGTATCATGCCTTCAAGGCCGAGATGAACAAAGGAACGGACGTGAAGACTTGGTGCCACGAGCACTTCTGCAGCATACGACACCTGAGCTCGGCCGATAACGTACGCGCCCAGCTCAAGCGTATCATGGAGACGCATGGCATCGAGCTGGTATCTACAGACTTTAACGACAAGAACTATTACAACAACATCCGGCGGGCCCTTGTTGCCGGATTTTTCATGCAGGTGGCGATGAAGGACACGAGCAAGAGCTACACTACGATCAAGGACAACCAGCCCGTTTTGATCCACCCGTCGAGCGTGATAAAGGCGGACTACGAGTGGGTCATCTACCACGAGTTTGTCCTCACCAGCAAGGTAGGTCCTCTTTCCTTGGCACCCCTCGGCTTGCTTCTTTTGCTTTGAAAACCTGGATGATATGTGCTGACCCTGTCTTTCTAGCAATACATCCGTACCGTCACCGGTGTCCGCCCCGAGTGGCTTCTGGAGATTGCACCAGTCTACTACGACCTAGACACGTTCGACAAGGGCGAGGTCAAGACGGCTCTGCAGAGGGTCACGGAGAGGATCCGCCGGAAGCAGGCTATGAAGGGAGGGAGAGCCTAGACGAGCCCCTGTCCGACTAGGCAGCGCCGCAATCACAGGTGATGACGAGTATGGGGCCGGCGATGGTGATTACTGAATTTGTAGACGGGCTGGTTTATCGCGATAGAGTAAAGCACACCGTTTGCCACTCCACGGTGGAAAGGTTCGAAGGAGGGCAAAGACGGCTGCACCCATGGGCTTAGGTGTATGGTTCCGGTCCTATATTTTTCATAGGCTCCAAACAAAGGCCGCAAAACCGGACAGGCGTGGAAGTATGCCCGAGTCTTGGATCGAAGAACACATTACCCCAAGATTTAGAACAGACAGGCAGGCAGGCACACAGACAGGGCGATGGTGTCGACGAATAAAGCATGAGCTCCTCGGCAATCCCACATGTCCATCCCACATGTTCTCGCATCCTGCCGACAACATGCCATTCCTCCCTGCTTGATCACTGCGACGTTGTGCTGGAGTCACTCCTTCTCTCATGACCCTATAATGGCCCCCCTCGGCCGCAAGTCTAGCGAAATCACCCGCCATCGCGTGAGAAAGCCCGCACCCGCTGCGAGGAGAGGGGGACGAAGCTGTCGTGTCACGAACTCCGGCGCCGTGCTACAATGGTGAGTGCCACGTAGGAAGGATAAAAGAAAGAGGGAGAAACAGGCCGCTAGCCGATCGAGATGGGCGTTTCGAGATCAGGGGAGGGAGAGGGGAGGCGGGACGGGCTGGTGATATGTACTACACGGCCAAGACATGATGAGGGCAACACGGAATAAGCCGAGCCACCAAAGTAGATGTTGATGACTCCGTCCCCTGGCGTGCACAACTCCAGGCGGGTGACGGGTGATGTGAAGCTGCATGAGCAGAGGCGGGAGAGGACAGTGTGGATGACTGACTGACTGACTGACCGACCGGCCACCCAGACAACTTAAGGACCTACCTACCTAGGTAGTAAGTTGATACTGATTGCACCTCGGCGAACAAGAGCAACCCCCACCCCACAAGGACGGACAAAACCACTCCGGCGACGAAGGAGGGGCGGAGGGGATCGCGATCTTGCAGGCGGCGCTGTTCATGCTCATCGATCCCGCACACGGCTGAGCATGAGGTGGGTGGGTTTGTGGTTGATGGACACCTCTGCGGGCTGCCTGACTATTTGGGTGTCCGTCCCCCTCATTCCTACCCTCTCCTATTTCTTACCTTCCTTCTCTCGTGGGACATGAGCGAGACACGGGATTGGGGGGAAGCTATCGGCAGCCGAAGGCGACACAACCTCTGCAATTTATAGGTTCTCGTGGTTATTATCGAGGTCTGCAACACAAGAGGAACAAGATCTCCCGTGCATTGTCGATTCTCTGTAACACACCAATCTCCGAATACGCACATGCAAGGCTATGCACCACCAGAATCATGCACACGCCGCTCACGAATACGGACACCACATGAAAGTGTGACAGCACACACGCCCAGGGTTCTGAAATACCGGTCGGGGGACGGATTCAGCCCGCAGCCAACTTCGGATGTGAATGACGCTTCCCACGCGCGGCCTATCTTTTCATATGCCTGTGGTGATCTGCTTGTCTACCCGCTCACCCATAACAGCAAGGGTGTGATTCAAGGGTATAAGCCGAGCCGGGGTGGTGTGAATCCTGGTGGCGGACAGGGGGGCGAGTGAAAACGTGGGGCTCTGCATCTGTCTGCCTGTTTTTTTTTTTTTTTTTTTTTTTTTTTTTTTTTTTTTTTTTTTTTTTTTTTTTTTTTTTGGTTTGGCTGCTGTTTTCCGTTTTTCTTGTCCTCTTGATTCCGCGAACGCCAAAACGAACCGACAAAAGGCATGGGCGTGGGATGGCAGCTCCTGCCGAGCACTCTGCGTGGGGTGGTACAGTGTTGCTGCTGTTCTGCTTTTGCTCACACGTCGTCGTCGTCCACCTGCCCTGCCCGGTGACACCTCTCTGACCGTGGTTGGCTGCAGGCCGACGATGACACTCGACTTGATCTCGCAGGAGAGAGAATGATCAAAAGCGGTTTGGCAGAATTTGCGAACATGTATGGTGTGTAGCAGCGCCTTCTCACTAGCGGGTTGCAGGTATTCGCTGCGAGGGTATCGACAACCAAAGCAAAACAATCCCAGGCTGTTGGTGCGCAGTCCTCGATTGGCTCTGCCTTGTTTCAGGGTCGGACTGCCTGGAACTACATCGGACTTTAGTGCTCTCACCTTGCCTTCGTTGTTGTCTCTGCCCGTCACACCGTCCGACATATTTCTGTACTTACTTCTCCTCATGCATGGCATGGGGTGAATCCATCAGCAGGTCATGAGGTAGCCTCACACCGAGGTCGTCCGAGTTCCGACTTTCGACGTCACCTGAAGACGTTACTGTGGCAGCGCTGCCCGGACCCGTTTGCCTCGCCCGTGTGGTCGCTTGTTCTAGCAGTTCATGCAAGCCCCTGGGAAAAGTATTCACACAGGGTTGCTTTTTCGGCATAAGCCTAAAGAGACCACAATGGCACCATTTTCTCGCTTCGTTCCGCGAAGAGCTCGCTTCGCCAGGAACTAGCACATGATAACGGGGACGATCAGGTGAGAGGCTTCGGTGATGTCTCTGTGAATAGCATGCGACGCGAGACGCATGTAAATCCTGTCCCGAATCGGAAGCCATGATGGTGATTCTTCCCACCTCACCACCTTGATGAGGCGGCCGATGGCGCGTTGAAATATTCTTACCGCTGCAGGCGAACTGGCGCCGGATAGTGATGGCAAGACGCGACGAAATCATCGCTCCAAACTGCTTCCCCCGGCAATATTGGTGAGAAATCCATGCGACGTGACGCCTTGTAGGTGATAGGTCAGTTCCGCTCGGCTTGGTAGGCGTTCCCAGTTCAGCAGCACCCCCTACTAGGTCCTCACGATGCGACCGGCTGTGAGCCTGGATATATCCCAGGTCTGGTGGTTCCATGATTGTTCCCGGATCTGCCTGGTGCGAAGACATGCACACGTCTTCTGGAACGAGAGAACCAAACACATGTTTCCGTTTCAATGCAGCTGCCCGCTGTCATCTGGTATCTACTACCGAGGCACGAGCTGGTCAATATGCCCGGCCCTGGTTGGGTTGGCAACAATTGGCGTATCGTAAGTCACCAATTGCATAGCAGAACATGTATGCTGGGTCAAGCCGTTTCCATAGTGCCGCGAGAGACCTTTGGGAGCCTCAGCTAGGTTCGCCTTCAAGATGTTTGGTTGCTTGCCCAGGTGAGCAGCAGCAGCAGACTCGAATGACGGAGGACAACGTTGCCATTTGGAGCCGCAGAATAAATGCCGAAATCGAAATTGCCAGCAAACCCCATCCTATTGCTAGCATGTGAAGTTCACAGTCACTGGCGGGAATAATGCCCCATCATCATGCCGCTTGGCGTTAGACCTTCATCCTGCAATATGCACCAAGATGCAAGTAATTCTGATCTGTCAGAATCACCTCGGCCGCCTCATTTCCGTCCTAATCACTGCCATTGCCGCCGCGAAGACGTTCGGACGCGGATGGACCGTGGGTGGTTCGCTACCAAGGTCTCGATCATTCATAATGGGTCAAGAGGTTGGCCTGTTCAATGCACAACTTGAACTGGGCTTTTGATGTGAGGCCCAGCTTGTCGATCAGCACAGGCCGGACCAGGTGCCACAGAGCGAGGGCTGAAAAATAAAAATGGAAATGCGAAGGTATCGGCGCCAAAAGTCTTCAGCTCTCTCAAAAGCAGCCCACTGGAGACCACCTGTGGAGGATGGTATATGGAGGCCCACGACATGCAGCCTTGGGGCTTGCAGCATACAGGAAGGGGTCGGTGATCTCTGCGGGGGCAAGGACCACGCTGTGTGACCCATTATGGCTAATGGCGGCACAGATTCAGGATTGAGGGTATCATCCTCGATCCTGAGGCGTGGCAACACGATATCAACATTTCAGTGGATATGTAGGACCTGTGTGCCTCCATGCCGGCTGCAAGCCCTCGCTTCCGTCCCGTCAAGGCTGGATCAGGCAATATGAACAGCACCCAGGGGCGAGGGACTGTGGGGAGAGACACCGAGAAAGGAACGTCATCCTGGCGGGATGAGTAGAGTAGTAAGCTGTCATGCACGGCAAGGCGTGGGTGCTTCCGCTTAGCGTTTGTAGGTGACTGGAGACCAGTCGCTGAGGGCACGCCAAAGAGGCGGGCACTCGACGTTCTGGTGTTCTGTTGGGGCATGAGGATCCAGACGAACAAGCAATCGGGTTGAAGAAAGGATGGGTGAGTACCAGGCAGCTAGCTCCTCATGGATGTTGTTGACCATCTGCGCCAGCACAGGCCAAAACGACCCGACAAGGCCGGCTTGTCTCATCATCGTCTACCGTGGCTCCCACACCCAGCCCCTGCTGGAGATTGGTGCATCGTCAAGACAATTGACATGAAGGGGCGGCGAGGGCGGAGCGCAATATTGTTTTCGGAGCGCCGCCACCACGAGGAGTGGCTGACAAAGGCACGGCAAGCACGGATGACATGCATGCGAATGTCTGTGTGTCTTTGCTGAGTGTGTTTGTGTGGGTTGAGAGAGAGACCTTCGGTCTGTCTGTCGGATGCCAACCTTGGTCTGGGGCCAAGGGTATGGTTGGAGGGTGGGGACGCGGCGCGGGAAGTGCCTGATGAGAAGGGCTGCATGGTGTCTCACCCGCCCACCACGGCTGCACGTTTGGACTGACGTGCGAATGGGAAGAGATCCGCCCGGAGCCGTCAAGCGGAGGTGTGCTGGTCGGGAGCTTGAATGGACGCGGCAGAGGATGTGGCACCATGCACGACACGAGGATCAATTTCCCCACAGAAGATGCATCGGAGAGAGTCTTCGCGGGCGGGCGGGCGACAAGACGGTACGGCGGCTGACGGCTCTCGTCGAGTCAAGCCGAGTCCGAGCCGGGAGGCGGGCATGGTGTCGCCGTTGCTGTTGCTGCTGGCAGAAAGCGAGGGGTAGAAGGCGAGGGGTAGAAGGCGAGGGAGGAGGGGGGGCAGGCGACGGGCATGTCACCTATCTAAGCCTCCATACAGTATCAGGCGTTGTGACAGATCAAGAAGTCGCGTGTGGTCGAACGAGGCACGTCACCGTTGCAGCGGACAACCCTGGAAGCAGCAGGAGCTGGAGCAGGAACAGGAACCGGGCAGGAAGACCCCTGGAGAAACGGCAGGGCGCTAATAAGGGCCCGGCCTCCGTCCAGTGCTATGCTGTACCGTGGTCGACGCCTTCCATGCCATCCATACCATGGCACCTGAGGGCACATGGACATGTGTGTATGTGCCTGTGTGTCTGTGTGTCGACTGATGTTTTGCATCCACCATCCCAAGAACTATACACTACCATGCACAGTACACATGCAGGGCACAGCTACCTTGGTACCCAAGCAGGTAGGTGTGTACTGTACCGCACATGGCTAGGTGGCTAGGCGCAGATGTCAAAGACTAACAGGGGTCCGGTCCACTTCAGGGTCTCGAGCTCCACCTGGTTGATTTCTGTCTGAAGAATGGCATCTGTCTGGCCAGTGCTATCCTGTTTCTACCGTGTATCGTACCATACGGTACCGTACCATGTTGTGCCGCAATTGGGTTGTGGCTAGGTACGCTGCTATTTTAGTTGCAAGTTAACACCCCCGAGAGGAGGCGAGGTTGCGAGGCCGTCACGCTGTCAACTCAACTCGTCAAAGCTGCACAGAGGCTTGCGACGACACCTTGGACACTCGCTCGACCTTGTCCTCTTTCAGCCCTTGGCCCCGAGACTCCGCCAGAACGGGGAGGGATGGGCGCTCTCACAGAGGCCCAAAGGCTCGCTCAACCTCGTCATTGCCTCGTTCTGCCCCGTCTGCGGTACTTCGCTCACGCACACGCCACCCATGTGGCCATGTACATACACACAGAACAACCATCCCTCCTACGTGTGGTGGGGACTCGGCACGTCGATCGCCCTTTGTTGAGCCTCATGCTCATGTCCTCGATTGGGTGCTAGCCTGGGGTTGTACAGCCTCTGCGCTGGGCTGGGCTGGCGGCCGCAACCCATCTGGTCGTCCGAAAAGAGATGGCTGTCGAGATCTACGTCTCGGTCACTCCCGTCCGGGAGCCAGGATGGACACGGGACGGAGAGGGGATGGCAGCACAGAGCAGGGCAGAGCAGGGCAGAGCCTACCTGCTCGCAGACGACACGCAGACACGGGATGGAGTCTCGGCCTGGATCCATCTTGAGTGCAGGCTATACAAGTGCGCGTACGATACTGCTCAGACGTGCATGTGCTGTTGTCTGTATGGATGTGCGACCATGGCTTGCGTCCGGTCTGTCTCCGCAACGGTGGATCGCATCTGTCAATCAACATGCGAGAGCCAACTCGCGCGGGCAGCGGGACCGTGATGCAGGCCGATTCCTGGATTCCCGGTCCCGCCTCTCTTCGTCGACACAGTACCAGCGCGCCGCTCTTCGCATACAAAACCTCTCATCCAAACGCTCTTGTGTCACTTTTCACATTTGCTCTCGCTCTTTTCCCTCTTCCCTTCGGTGTTGTCCCTCTCTCCCCGCTCGCCTAGCTCTCTCGCTGCCCGCCCCAATGCTCTGCCTATCAGGTCCCTTGACCAGTGTCCCCCCGCCCTCCAATGGGCAGGTCCCAGCAATTGATCTTTCCTATCTGTAACCCGTACCCGCGCACATCCCGATCTTGTCGTCCCAATAACAACAACAACCATACAACAACAGCAACGTGAATGATCACCTCCACCACCGTCGAGAGGCGTCGACCGGGTCTTTCTCTCATTCTTCCCATCAAATGATATACGTGACCCCGTCTCCGGTCTTGACGGGCCCCCGCCTGATTGGCCGAATTGCATACGCGCTGCCAGACAGCCTGCAGCAAAACCGGGGCATGGCCGCGGGTTAACCATGTTGGCCCTTTGACGTGCAGCTGAGGCCATTCACATGCAGCAGCCGGACCTCCTTCCCCGTTTATTAGTCATGGCCCCGGGCAACGTTGGGACGGCCTGGCATGTCGGCACGTCGAGGAGGGCCACACACGCCCGCAGTGCTCGGTCTGCGTGTACGCGGCAGAGTGCATGCACATGTTGCAAGGCACCTCTGCGTCCACCGCATCCGCAGCGTGACAGCTACAGTGGGGAGGGCCCATGTCAGAAGCCAAGGCGTGGCTCCTCGAGCAACGGAGGAGCCCATAGTAAATGAACCCACTACGGGAGATGCGACGGCGCCCTTTGATCGGCGGCGGGACGGCGGGACGTTTTGGCCCTCCCCTACTCCATCAGGGTCGGTGTCAGTGTCCATCAGACCCTGCCCGCGCAGCCACGCCTGCCACGGTACGGTACTGCTCATCCATCTATCCACCACCCCCTGCCCGCTCCCACCCCGGTCTCCCTCCCATAGGGACCCCTGGCAGGAGACCAACCCACCCTCTCGAGCTTGACAGGTGTGGGACCCTGGTCTTCCGCTGTTGTCACCCTTGTCCCTTGCACACCTTAAATGTCCTCCTTCGGGGGCCACATATAAAGTCTCATGTTCCTCTCAGGTGATTCTAGCCTCTACTGCTCTCCATCTACCTCTGCTCGCCCAGAAACCAACGGCGGATCTCTCAGCATTTGTTTTCAACAGCTACAGCCTATCCGACCAGAATCTCTGTCCCCCTCGCTGTGTTACGAGGCCTCCCTCCTGCGTTGCCTCAAGTGTGAACAGGCCTCACCGAATCTGTTACCCGTCTCACCCTCGCCTCTCTCTCAAACATCGAAGTACCGCCAGAAGTCATCATGAGTGGAAGCGGCGGATTCTACAAGTACAGGTGCAAGTACTTTTACACACACAACTGCACGAACTGGGTATATGTGAACAATTCACCATGTGCCAACTGTCTCGTGAGTCCCCAGGCCCACCTGCACATCCCATCTCCTGCGCCGAGGTAGAGCCAGCTGGCTGACCGCTTCCTTCTCCAGGCTGAGGGCAGAGATTCTATTGAGGCCCCGCCCCAACAGCAATTCAGGGACATCATAGTCCCCTACTATGACGATAACGGCATGCGGCAAGAGTGCCTCATGGAGTTCATTGCCACGGATCCCTTGGGCCTCTACTGGAGCCTCCGGTATAAGGCCCCCGTGCAGGTCGGCCCGACTGTCACCAGCGACACTCCGAGGCCCGTCTACCCCTCGGCGTAGGCGCGGGCTTAGGTCGCTGGCTCCTGCAGCATCTGCTGCTGTGACTCGAGTCTTCCGGCCAGAACACCGCTGGCACGATCTACGGCCGTGGAACCGACCATCCAGACCACCTATCACCTGAGATGGCAACAATTTTGGTCGTGGACCACCCTCTACCCCCTTTTGTCTCTATTTCTCCTTCCTCCTTCACCCAACACATCATTGGCACGTCTGGACCGTTTCAACATGGCGAAGGTGGATGACAATGGCCACCGACAAGGAGTGGTGGAGCCGACGGTAGACGCTGGTCAACCGTTTGGGTGGCGCTTGGATACGACGAGATGACCACTTCAAATTTGTGTGTCAAAGCAGCACTAGGGTACTTTCTCATGGGACGACGTGGATGGAGTCAACTGTGGATACACCTTCCAGGCGGAGTGGCTGTGCTCATACGTGAGGTTTGTCAGTTGGAGGGGGAAGGGTTCCCCGTGGATGTGTTTACGCGAGGCGGCAAGGCGAAGAATGTCTGGGTCTGGGTTTTTTTTTTTTTTTTTTTTTTTTTTTTTTTTTTTTTCCCCGGCGTGAATAACGCCATGGGACACGTGTTTTTGCGGAGTATACGACGACTCTGACGTCCCCGGCTGTGTGGTCGTCTGTCTATACGGGGTTCGGATATTTCTGTGGTCATGGGCAGGACGAATGGAGACTTTTCATGATGAGGCCAACGCTAGGAAGGGGACCTGCCACAACGGGGAAGTAGGAAGCTGCCTGAGCCTGCGGCATATGCCGACGGAAGGTGCCGAGATTGTCTGTAAAGCATGGCGCTGGAGGCAAAAAGTCTGATTCTTGGTTCCTGGTCTCTTTCCAGGGCTCGCGCGTTTAAAAATCCCGTGTTCTTTTTGGGTTTCGAAGATGGGCGGGTCGGTATAACGTGATCTGATATCCAGGCGCGGCACGGGCAGACAAGAATACCTGGGCGGCAAGACCTCAGTTTTCCCCACCAGAGAATGGAGGCTTGTCGTACGACAAGCAGTGTTTTAATTTCTGATCGCTCAGGGGTTCCTTATCGAAAATTGGACGGTTGGTTGAATGGACCCTCGCATCAAGAATACCAGAGTGACGAGAACCAAGAACACAGCAAGCCAGGACCTGGTTCGAGTGCCCGCGCAGCCAAGTCCGCACCTCCCGCGCTCCCGGAAGGATAGGTGATGTACGTATGCTGTAGATTCCCCATGTGCCGACATCGGGAACCCCCAGGCCAGGACGCGGGCCTTCTTCACGGCCAGATAATCTCGGGGAATCGGCTCCCAGCATCCAGACGATTCGACGTTGTGTCTTCCCGGGCCAGCCACTCCTCCCGCGGATCTATCTTGGGTTGCGAGCCGGGACCGTTGAGAATAAAAGGCCCCCCTCCCCAAAACTTGGCGCGCAGGAGCAGGGGCCAGGGCTGGCAGGGCGTCGACTGGGGTCCGCGGCCGAGCTTGTTTGTCCCTGTTGGGGGTGGCGGGTTGCATCCAGGAACAGGTGGAGGGTGCTGTCTAGAGGTAGGAGCGTGTGCTATATTTTCCGTGTCCACCTGCGCGGCTGTACCTCGACTGTGGCCTCTTATGTATACGTACCCACGCAGAGGACATGTTACACCAAGAAGCACCAACTAGTCAGATTTGAGACAGTGCCGAAAATCTACATGACGGGTAGCTTCCGCCTGCCTGCGGGATGGTATCGGACTGACAGGCAAGCCCTCCACAGTAGTCCCAAATCCAATCTGATATACTTCAAATAGTGCAGTGCGCCCACCGTGGCCCGATGGGCCCACGTTTTATGTCCCGGGGGGGGGGGGGCGAGGGAGAGAGGAGAGAAAAGTTGGGGGCAGGGGGAATTGTGATCTGGCCAGGTCTAGACGTGCCGTCTCTCGTTGGTTGCAACCTGCCGAGCCTGGTAAGGCAACGCGAGGAAAAGCAGTGAGCACCACGTTTCCCCCATGTGGTCTGGATTGCAACGTCGGCAATGAGAGGGTACTGAAAGACTTGGGAAGGCCAGGAAGAATCAAGCGTTTAGACGATCCATTCCCTTGCGGACCACGCAGCAAGGAGCGGATGGGCAGAGCAATCTGCGAAGGATTACACGCGATGCTCAGGCACAGAGATCAACAGGAGAAGAAACGTCGGTGTGAAGAGTCAGTCACAGTCTTGTCCTACCCCATGCTACGGTCGTACAAAGATCCCGTGGAGGGACCCCCGAGACTGCCAACCACCCAATCCGAGCTTATTCGCCAAGACACTCGGTAGCGAGCCGGGAAGGGGACGCTGTGCTCGCCCGACTCGCCCGCAAATTGGGAGGCTTCCCGGGCATGAAACGCCCCACGACCCGAGTGTTCATGTAGAAGTAGATGGCTGCTGCTGCAGCGCGCGCGGGTAGGCACATACATACGCGCAGTCTTACATGTGCCCGGGGCTTCTTCATCTACCGGTAACGTCCTCCAACAGCCAGCCTGACATGGCGGTGAGGCGAGCTTCGCCGTTGCAGGCGAGATCGAGGCACGGCGGCCTTTTTTGAGTTTACATCAAACTTGGTCCCTCAGAACACCTTGATGGGCCGACCAACATCGCGAACAATACGAGCTTCCACCACGACATGAGGTGCCTCGCGCGCGGTTGGATGGCACTGCGATGCTTTCCCTGCGGGGGCTCTGTGGCGGCGGCAGGTGGGCCAGCCGGGCACTGAGATGACCCCATCTGTGGAAGCTGCCGCTCGGCTCGCGGCACGACATGCGCCCGTCGCCCAGGTGAGGAGGGGGAGAAGAAGGAAAGAAGAAAAAAGGAAGCGCACAACGGCGACGCATGCGCTGCAGGGCGGACCGCCGACACACCGCGCTGCAGTGACAGCTGTCCTCGCCCGGTTGGGGGCTCCGGGAGCTTCATCATCCATCCCTCCCTCCTCTGGCCTGCGAGCTGCGTCATGCGAGCCTGAATTGAGTTTACCAGGGCCCCGGAGGTCAGACGCGCAGCCGAACTGCAGGCATGGCTGTCTGTGCATGCGGTGCAGGCCAGTGCCATGTATAGGTACCACAGTACATGATCCCGTGAAGAAGGGGGTAGCGTGTCGCCCTTGTCGGAGGCCAGGCCGAGCCACCGACCTGCCCACCCCCACCAACCCAGGTGAGGCAGGGTGAGGTTCCTTCACCTGAAAATTCCGTACGGCGCACGGACACAAGGGTACCGTTTGTGTGGAGTATCTTTTTGGTGGGAGGGGGCCAGTGACCCCCAAACGTGATGATGCCGTGCAGGCCGCCGCGCAGACGGTCGCTGTCACATGAGCAACACGGCCGGCAATTGTGTGTCTCGGTAAGACGGCCACCGTCGCTGTGTGTGCTGCTTCCACTGGGACGGAGCGACGCTGCCCGCTGCGCGTAGTTCAGGAGATGGTGGTAGCATCCCGAGGCTGGTGATGGCAGCAGCCGAGAACAAAAAGCAAAGTTGACACCCCGGGACCCACACACACGCGCGCACTCATGCGCACCAGAGTGGATCAACAAAGCCCGGGGTTGTGGACCCCCATTGCCCGTCGACAACGCGCCATGCTGGAAACAGCCGTGACAGCCCCAAGATTGGAGGGCATCATCAACACGAAAGAGGTGCCAAGTCCGTCTATGGAGTCGGCCCCGACGGCCACGGCTGACTCCCGACTTCGCTTGCAGGTTTTGGACACGGGCAAGCGGCTGTAACGTCGTGCGTCCGCGGTTGACCGAAACGGGCACGCCCGGCCGCACGACGTCGTTCGGGCGATGCGACCAGGGCGAGGCGGCAGGGAGGGTGGATGACATGCATGCTCAACCAAACTTGCAGCCGTCGAAGTCTCGCGCACGGTTGTGGGGTGGTCACGAAACGCCCTGGGTGTGGTCCACACCTCTGTCAGACTTGCATGGAAACGTTGTAAGGCTTAGACTGTTGACTGACGTCTCCAACTTGCCAATCTTTCCTGTCTCATCGCCATCTGAGACCGCGAATCGCAGTCCAGGCGGAGACTAGCTGGGGGCGAAGGGTCTCGAAAGCAGACCGTATTAGATCCCCTTCACCGGATCGGGAGATCGGGAGGTCGTAAAGGGCTGACCGATCCGCTCGCGTCGGCAAGCTATCGTCGACGAGTTCCTTGTCACCATGGAGGCAGGAATAGGTAAACGGCAGGTTCTGCTGGAACCGAGATGCGATGGACGGAGCAGAGGAGCCCACAAAGCAAGCGAAAGTCAATATGTGAGAGAAAGTTGGAAAAAAGGGGGCTAGTTCTCCTAGGTATGATCAACATAGGTAGTGAGTCAAGAGCGCTCTCGCTCTCCGGTCCAACATCTTCGGATGTCAAGAGCAGGAGGACCTATGGGGAAGAGACGGGAGAGGGAACGGTAGAGCTCTCAGGGAGCCTTGGCTGAGGAAGCAAGTCACGAACGCGTTCAAAAGTGCCTTCTACATCCGGAAAATACGGAGCAACGGAAAGATGGGGCAAAAATGTGAGGATGAGACAAGAATTCGGGCAAACATAAACGTGCGCTCTTCTACACCAAGTGCCAGGCTCTGGCCGCATGTCATCCAAATAGCTGAAAGCCAGCGTTGTGGAATTGCGCCGCGCCACAAATTGGACGCGCAGCCACGGAAACTGGTCAAAAATTGACTTGGCTTATGTTGTCCATTTTGCAGTAAATCATTTGTACCGAAAGACAGTGAGCCTATGCACGTCTCCAATTAACCATATCCCCAAACGCCAATGCCCTGGGTCGTCCCTTCCTTGTTGCCTATTCAGTCATCATGGTACATCGTACCCACCGGGCGTGCATCACACCCAGATCATCAAGCAGACATGGCCGCCACCAGCAGCGTCAGACCAAGTCCCCAGCTCACACTCCTCCACCAGCTCGGCGGCGTCAGCGCACCCGCCGCACTGCCCAGGCCGTAGGGGCCCTGCAATTGGAACGTGACGTTCTGAACTATGCTCGCGTTGTAGCAGTTCCCATTGACGATGTCCAGATTGGTCAAGTCGTCCGGCACATTGAAGAACATGTATTGGCTCTGATTGAGACCGTTGAACCCCTTGGTGTTGTACGGGAACAGGTCGCTGTCGTCCGTGGAGCTCGTGTTGCGGAGGAAGATGCACTGGACCTGGCCGGGGAAGGTGCTAACCAGCTCGGGGTAGTCAGACATGACATCCGAGTTGGACGTATCCCCCACCAGGATGAACTTGCGCTGCGGGAAGGTCTCAAAGACTTTGGTCAGGAGGAACTTGCGGATCGACAGGGTCGCCGAAACATCGCTGAAGTTGAGCGGTCGGGTGTCGAAGGAGCCCAGCGGATAGGTCTTGTAGATAAAGTCCATGTAGTTCTTGGTCACCTGCTCTGGTGTCGTCGTGAGGTAATGGAAGTGCAGGTTCTGGATCGACTTGGACCAGTTGGCATAGATCTCAGGCATGTTCTCCCAAGGAGTGAAGGGGCGGGCGAACGAATTGAGCAGGCCCTCCTTCGGGTCGTAGATCTTTGTGACGCGAAGAATGTCATCAATATCCTGTAGGGTGGTTGTTAGTGTGTTGAACAGGTGTTTACGGGGGCCAGGAGATATATCATACCGAAATAATAGTGATACCCGTCGGCGGAACAAGGTAGGCTGTGGCATTGCCCGTTGTCTCCGCACCGCGGACCCAGAGATCCAGCACCTGCAGCTGATCCGTCTCGTTTCCTGGCAGCAGGTGGCCGCCATTTGGCCCTGTGGTGTTCTGCAGGATCACGAAGCTGTCGAAATCTCCCTGATCCGTCGTGTTGAAAGGCATAGTGATATTCTGTGCTCCGCCGGCTGCGTTGATCGCACCGCTGTCCGTATTGGGGTCAACAGACGCATCGTTGACGATGTCGATGATGACCTGCTCGTTGTCCTGCTGCACGATGAAGATCTCGCTCGTCAGGTTCCGCGCCTGGTTCTGCTGATCCTCGGGCAGGTCCTCGATGTCGACGTCAATGAGGAAGACGTTCGCCAGGTCGTTGAGCTTCTCCCGCGAGATGTTGGGTTGCTTGAAAATGTTCCCGTGTACCCGCATATTCCACCCCTGATCCGTCCAGTTTGCGTACGGCGGCACATTGAGTGCTTGCGTCGGCGACGCATCGAGGTCGCTCGAGGAAATGCCCAGGCTGGACTCGACGGCTGTGCCGGTTGGCAGGTCATTGAAGAACTGCGGCACGCCGGACGCTACAAAGCTGGAGACACCGGAGCCGAGGGACGAGAACACCGAGTTCAGGTAGCCTCCAAAGTCGATATCGCGGCCCTCCAGGCGTTCGAGCGCTCGACGGTCGAAAGATGGGGGAGGAGTGATCATCGGATGGGCGGCGGCCACAGGGTTGGGGGCCGCCGCTGCCAATTGCGCGCACGCGAGCATCGCCCCGAGGAGGGAAGTCCTTGAGAACGCCATGGTGTAGCTAAGGATGGCTGAAGAGGTCACTAAGACGGGCCGAGACAGGTCAAATGTTGAGAGAGAGTCGCAGCGGTGATCTGGCACCCAATTGATAGAAATGCTTGCGACCTGCGTTGGTCGTCCTCAATAAATGTGCTGACGGTCAACGCGACGATCGCGAAGCCAATTCACCGCGGGATGGGAAGGGGAGATGGAGAGGGTGTGTCGTCAGGGCTGCAGGGACTGTTGGCCGTGGGTCCCGACTCCCTTTTTTTTTCTCTGGGGCCTGGACCAACTTTGCCCAGCGTAGCCGGGTCGACTAGAGCGAGTGACGGCTAGGCTGTTTGTCATGGTGGTGTTGTGTTTCAAGCTTGGTTGAAGCTTAACTCCCTGCTGGCGGCATGACGTCAAGCTGCCCCTTCTGGATCTCGGCAAGCCCATTGCAGCCTTCTCATTCGCCGCCGCCGCCCTCTAGCGGCACCTTCCCTGGCGGCCAGAACCAAGGAATCAAGGTAGCGTCGCACCAACACGCCCGACGAGGAATCGAGGCTGAATCCGCCGTGTTTTGCCCAGCTAGCCAGCTAGTTCCCGAAATTGCGCAGCCTAGGCATGTGTGTTTGTTACTCGCGACTAGTAGGTGGTATGTGTTTGAACAGTGGTCAGCCTATTGGGTTTGGTATTGCATTGTATTCTGTGGTTTCGCCTGTCTTGTCTTGTCTTGTATTGTCTTGTGTATTTTAATGTTTTCTCTTGTCTTCTGCAGATTCATCTACCCAGGGTAAGCCTTCTGGTTTATCCTTCCCTGTGTCTCTCTCTCTCGTGTCTACTTCCACTCTCTGCTCTTTCCATGACGTCCACGTCTAAACACCGGCCTGGGCCGGCATATCCCTCACTCGTGATGGTCGAATCGAAGTGTTGTAGTATCTAGGCCACCCATACGCCGGATCCTCAACCGGAGGCTCCTCTGCTGGGGCTGCATAACCAAGGAAAGACCTCGGGTGAGGCACATGTGTCAGAAATAGCACAATCACAAAGGTAGACGTCATCATAGGCAGTGGCCAAGGCGTGTCGAAAAAGCTGTGCAGGCTCGTGGCGTTGGTGGACAGTGTCGTGACGAACATGAGCGCCAGCCCGAGCACGCCGATGAACACGGAGCGCAGGATGTTGAACGGGGTCCAGCCCTCCCTCTTGGACGCAGCGTGCAGGAGCACTAGGAGGATCACCAGTGTGCCGGCCGCGAGAAACGCGTAGACGAAGACGAGGTTGAACATGCGCGTCGTGGCCTCGAACGCCTCCCTCTGGGCGCTGGAGGCATCCGTCATCTCGGTCGGCTCCCTCTCGAACGGTTCGAGCTCGAAGTTGCTGAATATTGTGTCTATGGTAGTTGAGAAGAGCCCCACCAGGTCGTCTTGGAATTCGCGGGGGGAATCTGCCAAGGCACCGCTGGATACAAACGACTCATTGGCGTGGCCCGCCCTGTTGGAGAGCTCATCCCAGAGCTCTTGGGGGAGGCTTGATACGTTCTTCAGGGTTTCCATGACGCCTTCAGTCCCCAATGTTCCGTCTTCCTGCGCAGGGTATGTCTCAACGAATCTCGTGACAGTCTCGTTCAGCTTGGAGGCGACCTCTTGGCTCGTTGGCACGACCGGCAGGGTAGACAGGACGTTGAAGATGTCGGCCGCAGACTGCCTGATGAGCTCCAGGAGCCTCCACCAGATGATGAATTGGTTCATAGCCTCCATTACCAGGAGGAGAGCGAAGTGGAAGGGCAGGTGGAGGAGGGCCCAGGCGGTTTGGGGCCATGAGGTCATTCTGTTAGGATGCATCCAGTCGAAGTAGATCTGGAAAATCAGGTACACCATGGCTATGCCGGAGATGAAGATGAGCAGCATCTGGGGGCCTGGACAGTTTGGACACGACGCAGTCAGCACGGGACCTGTGTTTTTAATCTGCGCAAAGGCAACTTACTCCATGACATCCAACTATTCTGAGAGTTTCGCTCGATGCTCGTCAGGTCGCGAGCAAGATTAATTACCCCTTCTCCCAGCACGACGAGCGTGAGCTGGCTGAGCCTCTCGGGCAGGTGGCTGCCCTCAAAGCTGACCACCCGAGACATCATCGCGACGATGAGGTTCGCAACGATCTCAAAAGTGGACACAACCATCCAGGCAACATAAGCCGGACTGTTTTCGTGGACAAAGAATGCCGCCGACACGATGGCGTACAGGCTAGCAGCCAGCACGTGGGTGGCGAGGACAGCGACGAGCCCGGTGCGACCCTGCCCGAAATACCTGGTCTGCCAGAGCACGATCCCGTACTGGCCCGCCAGAACCAGTCTGGAGAAGGCGAGTACGAGGGACAGCGAGGCGAAGACGCCACGGGTCTGCTCGGCTGGTTCGAAGAAGGGCGCGGCCTGGACGAAGACGAGCAGGACGCCGAGCTGTACCGCCCTGGTGAGCCGCTCGACGACGCTGTCCTCGAGGAAGCGGACGTCATAGGCTACCACCAGGAACCAGGTCGTCCACAGCAGGAAGATGTACTGCAGGAACGAAGCCAGCTCGTCCCGGGTGGTGATCTCGTGTGCCGACGTGAAGACGTTGAGGGTTGCAACCACCCAGAGGTCGTAGAACAGCTCGAGGATTGAGGAGGTCTCGCGCTTCCTGAACCGGGGCTGCTCGTCCGCGAGTGTCACGCTACTGACTGGACAGAGGCTGAGTTTGTCGTCATCATCGACGATGGCAGACTTGGGCGTGTCCTTCTCGTCCAGCCGGCTGCCCAGCCAGCTGATCTTGTTGGCACGGAACTGGATGACGCTCTGTCTGACGCTCTGGACGCGGGCGTTTCGGGGACTGCCGGGAACCTGGAGCCGAAGACCTCCCGTGGAGTCCTTGAGGTCCTCCATCATCTCTTCACCGGGAAGTAGGAGTCATCATGAGGGGTGCGTTCAAGAGGGGCTCAGGTATGGGATGTTGGGTTGGGTCTTTCCGCTGTTGGGAATGGATGGATCTTTGAGGGTGCCCTTTGAGGACGACAGGTTCCCCTAAACCCGACTCATCGCTCATCAAGATCAACCGAGGATTGTGGTAACATCCCATCTGTCTCGACGTCGATCGGCACAAAGTGGTAGCATTCGTATGTATCTGCCGGTGGGGCCGGATTGTAAGCTGAGCCACCCAGTAAAATATGGAACACTTCGTAAGCTAACTTACTTTTATAAGCTTTCGCAAGTAAATAGTCGTCTCCAGTCCGAACTCAATGTCCACGCTTGCCTGAAGGGCATTCTGGATGTCCAAAAGGCTTGGCAAAGCCATTGAATAAGGCTGGCAGAGTAAAGTGCATCGGAAAGGCGGCAAACCGTGAAGGTTGGATTGTGCGGCTGAGACTTTCACAAGCAAATTGGTAGCATGAGATCAGCATCTGGGTGTGGGTCGCATCACCGGGCACGGAGCCGTGGGCGGCGGCCCGCAAAGTTGGGATGTTTCACCCCATATTTGGGTCAGAGGCGTGAGCTGGCGTGGGGGTCCACACCCACGGGCGGCAGTGAGGGCTCGTGTGCCGGGAGGCGCCATGATAAGTTTGCATGAGGACACCCTCAGCGGTTTCAAGGCGAGATCCGCCGAAAGCTTGACCGCTGTAGGGCGGGAAATACGGATGAGTCTCTGCGAATGGGATTCGCCCCTTTTCCCATCTTGGGCGCAAAGCTTGTTTCCACGATGCTCAGCCGCGCGTGCATGCTTCGGAGAATTGTTCCACTTTACACGGACAATGCAGGACTCGAGGAACGGGAGCTTAAACAACGACGGTGACAAGTCTAGAACTTGCGTGTCCCAGTCTCACATGCCAGCAGAACACGAAGCCAAACGCAGGTCAACAAGCAACTCACTCATCGATGGCACTCAGTTCCGGGCGGGCGAAGTGCATTAAATTGCTGTCAGAATTTACAACTCTGGTCTAGACCTGCTCGACGTCAATTTGAATTGGTTGCATAAAATGAGAATTGATAAATCGTATCATCTGGAATGCAGGTGATTGTCCGATATTCGCTACACCAACTTTGGCCACAGATCACAGTTCTTGGCGGAGCAGTCTGCTACCGGTTTCAATGTGCTGAGTCGACCACAAGCTTTCCACCACAGCTGTGTTACTTGGTGCACAGAGTAAGGATTTGGCCGTTCGGAAAGGCCGTGCTCAAATTCCGTAGGTCCGAGGGCAGTCGAAGCAGAAGCCTTGAGGACTTACCTTCCGTAATCCTTTGGCCGCAGATTGGGCAGCAGCTATTTGCAGTCATTGAACAACGGCTCGTATTCTGGACCCACATACAGCACATAGATTAACCATTTTTATTAAGTTTACCAGTACACGTTGCCCAAAGACAGACGTCGTAACGTGCAGCATTATGCCCTATGCATAATCTCCCATGTGATGTGATTTTCGAAATAGCTTTTCGCGAAGCAGTCACACGAAATTACACTGAATAGTTTTCCGCGTTCACCCTAGAAGGGCCATCTTACTTATTTTCTACGTACTGTCGAGTGTTGGACAAACCTTTGGGTCCAGAGCAACTGCACTTGCTTCGACCCAGCATCGGCGGATAACGAACCACATAAGATGGCGCTGCTGTGTTTGGGACTTGCGGGTAACTGTTATCTTCGTGGAGCTCATTGTTGTCCAGCTCAGGGATGAAACAGCACCTTGACTCGATTTACTCTCCGGCGCTACGCATGCTCTTAACACAAAATTCAGGGAGCCGGAACGACCTGCACGGTGATCAGTGCTGCAGTCTCAAGTCGCGTTCCAGAGGTACATATGGATGTACATAAACTCAACGCCCAAACCTTCTTGGAAGTTCTACGCTCAGTGATGCGTGTTCATGCTTGATTACGAATTGGTCGAGCGTAGCTGGGAGTGCCCAAGCCTTGCGAGTGCGCTCACCGCGGAGCTTACTCAAAGCTGGCTAATTCTGCAAGAGAACGGATATTCGCACAGAAAGAAACGGATGGTACACAGATATCTTACTCATAATATTTTGCAGCCGAACAGAGCACGATACCCACGCCCAACTCGCACGCCCACGCCCAATTCACACTCAATTCGCACGCTTTATGCATGTGTTTCCCGTGCAGGGATTGGTCGATTGATGCACCGCAATGTATACTGCTAATGTTATCGAGCCAGAGTACGCCCACCCAGCTTCCACAGTATGCCCACCCAGCTTTTAGCGTTGGCCCACCCAGTATAAGGAAATTGGCTGCACGTGCTATAAAATATTGGTACTGTGGGGTTACTGACAAAGCATAGCTATAGCTATCCCAAAGGGGTCCCATAGCTACCCCTTTATTTGCAACTTAAAAGTTACTTCTGCCCTTTGCCCTTTGCCCTTTGCGCCCTCTTCGCCCTCTGCGCCCTCTGCGGCCCTCTGGGCGCTCTGGGGGCTTCTGGGCGCTCTGGGCTTTTTAGGCTTATATTTTTAAAGTATTGCTTAAATTGGAAAATAGCTACCCTAGCTTCTTATATGTGGGGTAAACTTTGTGCTTACTTAGAAAAGTACCTAGTCTTATTAATGTAATACTAAGAAAAGGAAGTACTGGGTGGGCATACTGTGGAAGCTGGGTGGGCGTACTCTGGCTCATGTTATCGATTATAAGGTTATCACAAGCGGAGGGGCCAAGCCTGGTAATTTTCCCTTCCTATTTATCAAAACTCGTTCCAAGCATAGAGAACCTGCAAAGAGAAATCGACCGTAATAGAGGGGAAAAAAAGCAGGAAAAAAAAACATACGGCACCGGGTATTCGCTGGTCGTCACCGACCCAACTACTAATCCAGCGGTCACCAGCTTGTCTATGGGAGAGCGGACGGGATCCCGAATTTTCTGGTACCTATGGCCGTATGTGCTCAGTCTCGACGTTTGCTAGCTTATATACGGTATGCAAACGCGCACGCCAGATTCGAAAGGCGAATTCTCCGGGCAAGGCTTCCGCTGACTATGCCCAACACTACCAGAGGGCTCAACAGAACTCCAAGATTGACAATCAAACTGGGTCGATTTACGTACATTGTGTTGTAGCGACAAGGGGAAAAGTGTGGTGGGATCTTTATTTCCCCCCAGCCAAGATTGATTGTTTACTTTCTTTCACCAATTCATAATCTCGCCTGATGCTCCGTGATTGGGGTGTCAGAGTCTTGTTACGGGCGATGATGTATCACAAATCAACAATGATATTATTTTCTCTTTCGTTGTTTGAATTATTTCCCTTGTGCCCATGAAATTTGAGCAGTTGATATTTATTATTCTTTTTGTCCGTGACGTTGTTTGGATGAGCCTGAGGCTATCATGCTTCCTCTTTCGGTTGGTATTGGTACCACAGTGAATGGTCTTCAGTGTACCTCGACTTTGTCTTGAACCATGAATGACTCTGACCATAGTGTTGCCGCGTTGTCGGACAAGGAAACAAAGTCCAATATGAGCATGCATCTTAAACCACATTGAAAGTGCCTCCGGCATTCAATATGAAATTATAGCCAACCACCCAGGTTCGATTCCCCTCTGTTCTAGATACAAACGTCCAGCGGGAAACTCATTTTCTATCACAAAAGCTATATTATCTCAGGCAAATTTCATATTCTTCCGATGACCGTTTTTACCTCCTCGATTCGAACACATCTTATCCCGTCGTCTGATTCATCATATCCTGAGAAAGGGCGAACGAGTGCTGGGAACAATATACCAAAGACACCAAGATCGTAGCCATATTCCTCAGAGATAAAGGATGGAAATTCGCCTGCGAAAAGACATGGCTCCAACCCCCTGACACGGATGACAACCACTGTTATATCCTGTCTCTCTATAACTTTATGCGCATCGCCGACTACCTGGCCCAAAAGAGCGCTTTCTCGGTCCCAACACACATTATGGACACTGTGGACAGGGTTAACAAGCTGCGAAGCGAGTGCAACCGCATACACGAGGAGCTAGCTCCCGAAAGGACTGCGGCAAATGAGAGTCACAAGTATCCTATCCGGAAGTTCCAGGAACTTCGCGAGATTCTTCTCCCCAAGTCGCCATCGGGATCAGCTGGTTCGAGTGCTGAAATGCAGAGACTACCTGGTAAGCTTTAATCTGCTCGTTCTGCCCCGAAATCAGGCTTTATAGCACCGGAGGAGGGATCATCTTGAGATTTCTGACAGTCGTTTCGCAGACATCAACGATACACATGCAGCCAGGGAACATGCCAGCCTCGCAACAGGAGCCCCGAAGTTCTCATTCCTCGTGGAAGGTCTGAAGCGCATACGGCAAGCTATTCAGCGGTGCTGGTCCAGGCGCAACGCGGGTGTCAACGACAGAGACCGTGTCTAGTCTGCGACCTCAGTCTGTGAAAGCCTTTGCTGAAGAGAACTCCGTGCGATTTCTATGTTATGCACATGTCAGCATAAAGTGACGAGCCGCTTGGGCATCATTCCCACGTCGCAAAAGCATCTACGTGGCTCGGATTGATTGCCATCGAGATGCAATCTTGGATTATGCTGGATTATGCCATCCCCTTTTCCATTTTCCTGATTTTGGGTTTTTGCTTACCCACGGAAGATTGTTCAAATAAATTGTCTTCAATTCCACAAACCTGAAGGTGGTGGAGTTTTTGTAAGGCCGCGATGTATTTTCTCAAATGGGATTTGCTTATTTCGTATTTGCTTGTATTCTTATTTGTTGCTAGAATCGTCAGAATCTACAAAGTACGTAAAAAATGCGGTGAGAACCTATAGAAGTTAACTCAAACACGGTATAATTACACTGACTGTGAAGCGCCTCTTGTGAACGCTTTGAGTGACTGCGAAGACAGCTCATTCTGGCAATGGGAACAATTATGAACACCTCAAAATCGTCTGTCTTAAATAGAGCTTATGTGTGAGTACCAACTATTCTTCAGTAGCTTCCATATGATGGTAATCATGCTTAGCTTCGAGCACAAAAGCTCAAAAAAAAATTCTCATCAAGTCAAAGGCGCTTGGGCCAAGATTGACGAGACTGAGTAAGTAAGGAATAGAAATATTCACAAACAGATACATATATGCTACACATACATATCTCCACCATTGACGCATGTGTAGTTTATAATCAATGATAGCGACTAGGTCCATCCCTATCTCACACCTGCACATAGCGGATAATGAACTCTGGAGAGTCATATCGGTCCCAGCTCTCCACAAGGTCCCTGTCCGCGGCGATCTTGAGCGCAAAGATGCTAAGCCTGTACCGCCCGGCCGGTGCCCACGAGCCGTCGGCGAGGCTGCCATCCCAAGGGCTCATCCAGCCAATGGGTCTGTGGTAGGCGAGCGGGTATCCAGCAACGTTGCCGAGAGTGACCACCCCGAGGCCGTTGTCCCCAGTGCCCGGGCTACCGGGGTCGACGGGGGCGGCCTCGATGCGGACCTCCGAGCTGCCCATGACCAGCCAGACGGACTGATCAGGCAGGGCACCCACCGGCAGGACCAGGTCCGAGGTGTTGGAAGGCGGCTGGGCCCAGTCCGGGTGGGCGGCCGGGGCGGGCAGCTGGAAGGTGGTGTTTGCGGGCACCTCCGGGTTCCTCTCGTCGTCGCTGCGGCTGAAGAAGAGGCGCTGGGAGGCGAGGACGGTGGCGTTCCTCATGGAGCCCGCGACGCCGATGTACGGCAGAGAGAGGGCGATGTCGCCGTCGCCGTCGGTGCCGTTCAGGGCGACCCAGCCGGAGTACACGGGCAGGGCGACGGCGTCGAGACCCTTTGGGGGTACAACGCTCACGCGAACCTCGGACGTATCATTGGGCTCGAGGGTGAACGAGGTTGGCTCGAAGGTCAGTGTCGCGTATACGGTGTCCACGGCGGGCGAGCTGCTGCGGTATATCTCGAAAAGAGTCGTAGCTGTGAGGGCCGGGACATGAGACAGGTTGTATGTTGCTGGGGTGTCCCCGACATTGGTGACGGTGAAAGAAGCCTCGGAGAGGTTGTCGGTATCATTGAACGACAGGCTGGCGACACCGAGGACGGACGTGGCATAGGCCGCGTCAAAGGCCTGGACCATACCGGCACCCTGCTGCGGAACTGGACCGAGCGCCAGTTCGCTGTTGGCTTCGCCGTAATTCTGTGACTTTGCTGGCTTGGCTGTGGACGCCAGAAGCCTCTTGATCAGGTCCGGATCCCTTGTCCCTCGAGCCTGTTGATGTTAGAAAAGGAGGAAACCCGGAAACAGAATGGCAATTTCAGGTCTTGCGGACGTGAGAACGACATACCTGGGACACGAGAGAGACGATACTCGCCACCAAGGGCGTAGCCATCGACGTCCCCGACGCAACGGCGTATGAGCCAAGGGCGACGGGCCAGGTGCTCAAGATACCAGCGCCAGGCGAGCCGAAACTTGGGGCCAGCTTGAGCTCAAAGGTAGGGCCCCAGCTGGTGTAGGCAGATACCCGTCCTGGGCTGTCTGCTCCCTCGCTCTGGTACGAAGAGATAGACATGACCCCGTCCCCAGTGCTCGGGGTGCTGATGCCAAACAGGCCATCGGAATCACCAACCTCGTTGCCAGCAGCAAAAGTGCACGGTACACCCGCCTCCACGATCCTCGAGACAGCGACAGCAAACGCATCTCCGGCCCACCCGTTAGGCCCGCCAACGGACCCTGTGATGATGTCGGACCCGTCCTCGAAGGCCTGGATGGCGGCTGCCAGGAGGACATCACCCGTGGTCACGCCAGGACACCCAAAGGTGCGGTACATGCCGAGCTTCACGCCGGGAGAGGCTCCCGTGAATCCCATGGGGTTCTCCGCCGCTGCAATGATGCCAGCCACGTGTGTGCCGTGCCCTTGACAACCATCAAACGGATCGCCGTCAGGGACGGGAGCACTTGTGCCATCGAAGGTGTCACCCACGAGATCTGCCCCGTACTCTACCAAACAGCCGGGGCCAAAACAGCCCCCGAGGGCGGGATGGGTATAGTCAATACCGGTGTCCACGATACCGATGCGGAAGCCCTCGCCGGTGAAGCCCTTGGCACGGAGCTTGTCGACCTGGGTAAGGACGTGAGGCGGCCAGGAGTCGGTCGAGTTGGCCTGGCGCTTGAACTTGGACGGGGGATTGTCCTTGCCCGTCCAGGTGACGTCCAGCTTGGGCACGGAGATCAATGGGACGGGCCACAGCTGCTTGACCTGGGGCAGTGCGGCGATCCTGTTGGCTGCCTCACTGTCGGGGCCATCCACCTGGAAGGACACGCCTTTGAAGACCTTAGACCGGAGGCTGACACGCTGGGAGACCCCAGAGACACCTGCTTCGGCCTCGATCTGGTTGAGGAGGGCTGTGGCATCCTGCATGGGGGTCAGATCAAGCTATACTCTGGACGTGGCCATGGGTGGTACCTGGTCGTCGGCGAGCTCGACAATGTATGCGCCGGGGACGTTTGTCTTCTCGAACTTGGGCGCAGTGTCGTCCCTTCTGGCAGTAGAGGCGCAGGCAATGGTGGTGAGGCCAGCCAAGGCCGCAAGGGGGGCTTTCCAGACAACCATGATGAAGTGAAGTGTCTGCTTTCTACACAAGAGAGAACCTCAAAGTCCCGTGTCCCTGGTCCGACCCGGACCAAGGCTTGAGGACCGCATTGTACCTGCATATCCGGCTGCTTTATAAGTCCAGTGGCTTATACGCTCTCGAGGGGGGCAAGGGAGCACCCGCGGGGGACATGACTATCTACGTTGCATCGAATGCCATCAAGATGCTGTGAAGGGAGCAGTTTCCCCCCACCAGAGCAGTCAGGTCCGACATGCAGACGGATAAGACAGCTTGGATGCGGGGCGATACGAGGCCGACTGAGGGCGTTTGAGCAGGTTTAGGCCCCGCGTCGACGAGCCTGGGTGCCCCGCGGACGGCGGAATTGAGGGTTTTCCATGCCACGGTCGAGATAGGGGGGTCCTCCGTGTGGTGGCAGCATCAATTGAGGCTAGTGGTGCAACGGCCAGTTGTATTCCCCGGCAAATCCAACGACGGGCGAAGGGATTGAGAAGGGAAGGTGGTATTAGGCGGATGGTGAGATGTTGCCCAGGTTGGCACACTCGGACTGCATTGGGCCCAGCGAGCAATAATAAGTGCAAGAGGCAAGGCCATTCTGAGCCATGCAAGCACTTGACATGCCCAGGTGGTCTGCCGAGGCCGAAAGGGCCAGTATATACCTCTATAGGTAGGTAGCCATGGCCAGCCCGCCAGCCCGCGGGTGGGAGGGTGGAGGGAGGAGCGTCAGGAGCGGAGATAATCGGCCTGCGGAGGAGCATGTCGGACCGGTTGGGCACTTGGCACCCATCATCATCACCTGAGTGCGGTCTTCTCGAAGCCGCACCTCCGGGCCACTTGGGCATTCCACGCGAGCAAGTGGGCCTTTTCTGAGTGTTGGTGTGTCGAGGCTTGTAGCAGATGGAGTCCAGACGGTCAGTTGACGGGAGACGGGGTGGGCTGTTGACAAAGAGTCTCGTAACAAGCGTGCTGGTCTAGGATCACCTTTGGTACATGGCAGACTGCGTCAAGATCCGTAGCTGACCAAGTATCGAGGCACCCAGCCAGTTGGTTGGGGCCGCCCCGTGCCCTGGGGCCCCGGGCTGCAGTGGGACCCTTGCCCCCCTGTCGGGGGATTGCGACCGAGGAGCTCTGACCTGATTTTTCTCGTCGCACGCCCTCGGTCTGCCGCACGTGAACCCCTCCAGCTCGACAGCAATCAGCAATCAGCAACCATCACCAGATCTCTCCAAGTTCTCCGCGGAGGACCCTGCCTCATAAATTGGGCTGGCCTGGGCTGAGAAGGAGAAGAAGGAGAAGAAGAAGAAGAAGAAAAAAAAGGAACAGGGAAAAAAGGACAGCACCCAATGCCCACGGCCACAGGCAGCACCACGCGCCCTGCTCCCCTCGCCGCAAGCCCATGACACCATGAAGACCGCCCGGCGGGCTTTCACATGCCTGCGATGCCGCATCTCGCAGTCGCAACCACATCTGCGGACACAGGCGCGGGCCCAACTCCACAACAACACACCCCCCCGCAGGCCCTTCCACGCCTCGTCGCGCCTGCTGCGCTCCGAACAGTCGCTCGCCGCGGGCAGGCCGACCATTGCGCCCAAGCCCACCGTCGACATCAAGCACATCCGCCAGAACCCGGCCCTGTACGAGCAGACCTGCCTCGAGCGCAACTACAAGGCCCAGGCCTCGTACCCGGCCCGCATCGTCGCCCTGCATGACGAGTGGCAGGCCCGCCAGCGCGACGGCCGCGCCCTGCGCGAGCGCTCCAACCTCGTGCGCCGCCAGATCGCCAACCCGGCTTCCGTGAGCCCTGAGGAGGGCGAGGGCGCCGCCGCCCTGGCCGCCGCCACGCGTGACGAGCTGCTCGACGAGGCCCGCCGCCTCAAGCAGCAGCTCGCCACCATCGAGCAGGACGAGGACCGCCTGCAGGCCGAGATCCAGGCCCTCGCCCTCGCCCTGCCCAACCTCACCGGCGACGACGCCCCGCGCGGCGACCGCCCCGCCGTGCTGAGCTACATCAACGACCACCCGGAGCCGCACCCGAGCTCCTCGGACCGCGTCTGGCGCTCCCACGTCCACATCGGCTCCGAGCTGGGCATCCTCGACTTCGCGGGCGCCGCCACCAGCTCCGGCTGGGGCTGGTACTACCTGCTGGGCGACGGCGCCCAGCTCGAGCACTCCCTGGTCAGCTACGCCCTCGACACCGCCCGCCGCTACGGCTGGGCCCAGGTCAGCCCGCCCTCGGTCGTCTACAGCCACATCGCCGCCGCCTGCGGCTTCCAGCCCCGCGACCAGCACGGCGAGACCCAGGTCTACACCCTGAGCCAGAGCGCCCGCGACAGGGACAAGGGCCGCCCGGAGCTCAGCCTCGCCGCCACCGCCGAGATCCCGCTCGCCGGCATGCGCGCCGACTCGGTCATGGACGAGTCCGACCTGCCCAGCCGCCGCCGCCGTCAGCCGCTGCTACAGGGCCGAGGCCGGCGCCCGCGGCGCAGACACCAAGGGCCTGTACCGCGTCCACGAGTTCACAAAGGTCGAGCTGTTCGCCTGGACCCCGCCCGACCAGGACGCCGCCGCCGAGGTCTTTGACGAGATGCTCGACATGCAGACCGAGATTCTCGGCTCCCTGGGCCTGCACTGCCGCGTCCTCGAGATGCCCACCGCTGACCTGGGCGCCAGTGCCGCCCGCAAGAACGACATCGAGGCCTGGTTCCCCTCGCGCGCCCGGCGTGACACTTCCGCCACCAAGGGGAGAGAGGGAGCGGCCGAATCGGCCGACGGCGCCCCGCAGGAGGAGGGCTGGGGCGAGGTCACGTCCGCCAGCATCTGCACCGACTACCAGACGCGCCGGCTGGCGACGAGGGTCCGAATCGGCGGCTCCAATGGAAAGATGACCTACCCCTGGACCGTCAACGGCACCGCCCTGGCCGTCCCGAGGGTGCTGGCCGCCATCCTGGAGACCGGCTGGGATGAGGGCAGCATGACCGTCACCATCCCCGAGGTCCTGCGGCCGTGGATGGACGGGAAGGAGACAATCAGTCCCAAGGCCCGCACGCGCTAGTTGCGCAGGCCTTTGGTCAAACCCAGACTGGTGAAGGCGTTCGTGAGAGTGATGTAGGCTACGTACGGTACGACGAGGTGTGCGGCAAGAGAGGGAGGGAGCATGTGCAGGGATTGGATATACCATGGCATAGCAGACAGGCTGCTTTATCATCGCATCACATTCGTCATTCGTCACTCGAGAAAATAGCATGACCGACGGTCACATCATTGCAGCATCACAGCATGAGTAACGCTATCTTATTGACCCAGTGGGCCTCAACTATCTACCTAATAGTTGGAAGAGGAGGTATTAATGAGACCAAAATACCATGCCGTGCCTCCTTCGCTCCGTCGTCCAAGTTGTTGCTGGTGGATGGAGCCGCTGTGGACGTCTTCATCCAAGGAACAGAGAGGAAAACAAAACACCCTAACACCCAGCTTATGTTCGATTCCATACAATACTCGTGACGTCGTACAAGAACAAGAGGGACCGTTCTGCCATAACGCACTCCCTCATCGGTTGCTCGCCCCATCCAAGTCCAGAGCCCCCCGTTTCCGATCCCACCAATCCGTCATTCCGCATCGTAAATATACTGCGTCACTCGTCCATCCCACAGAGTTGCCTAGCCCTCCAATAGAGCGGCCTGACCCCCAACAGAGGATGCTCCATCATCTATCGTACTCGTCGCGCCGAGACCATTCTCGCTCTCAGAGCCGCTCACAGCACTGCCAGTGACGAGCGAGCTACCCACCGCACTCTCTGTCCAGTCGCTACCCGAGTCAGAGTACGTATCGTAAGGGTCCTGCTCCTCGGTGCGTGCGTCTGTGTACTCCGACCCCGTCACCGAGCCACTGCGTACACTCGACCGCCGAAGCGTCTCCGCGTCACTTTGGTCGCCTTCCCGTCCGTCGGCCTCGCTACCACCAGAGACAAGGCTCCCGGTGCCGGCCTCACTAAAGTCCTCACTCAGAGCGCTACCACCGTCGACGAGGCTTTCGGTACCTGGATCGCTCCAGTTGTCGCTCAGGGTGCTACCGCTGAGCTCCGACGCCCCGATAGCGCCGCCGCCGCCGCCACCGCCGCCCACAAGGACAACCTCCCCGCCGGGATGCTCGCTGGCAGGAGTCTCATCAAACCCTTCCTCGTCGCTCTCTCTCAGAGCCACGACGTCCATGTTGACATTCTCCTTGTCGCCCTCATCACCTGCGTGGAGGTCACCATAGCCCTTCCTGCCGGCGTTCGTCCGTCCGTTCCAGCTCGACTTACGCAGAGCCCCCGCGCCAGTGAGTGTCTTGACGCTCTGACTCCTCTTGAATCCAGCACCACCCGTGATCGCCGCCGCATTCAGGCCTGGCTGCTTGTTAAGCTGACTGAGCGACAAGATGCGGCGGGTCTGCTGTGGCGGTTGGAGGCTGCCGCGCTTGGAATTCACCGCCGTCTTGAATGCCGTCTGGTGGTGGCCGCCAGACTTGGAAGGTGCCACCGGCTTTTCCTCGGGGATGCTGTCCTCGGCGGGCTTTTGCTTGGAGGGCACTCGCTTGCGGCTCATGATGTCGCGGGTCTCGCGGGCCTTCTTGCTCGACTTGGCCATGAGCAGGATTCTGCTCTGGTCCATCACGCCCTCTAGGATGCGCCGCTCCAGCCCCTCGGCCCGCGATTCCATTTCATGGAGTTCCTCCCGGCGCAGCTTAAGTGCGGTCTCCAGGGAGGAGACGTCACCGTTGAGCCGGACCTTCTGTCTAACAAGACTCTCCTGCTCGACCTTCAACCCGGCTATGCTCTCGCGTAGGCGGTCCTCCTCCATCTGGAGGTCCACGATGGTCACTTCCGCCTGGTCTTTCTGGGCGAGCCTCCGCTCCAGCGCAACATTTGTCTCGTGGAGGTTCTTGACTGTCTCCTGGAGCGTCTTCTCCATATCCTCGTGGTCATCCTCAATGCGCTGGGTCTGGGATGCCAGGAACGCCGAGAGCTCCGCAGCCGTCTTGACGACCTCGCTGTGGACCTTCTCGAGCGTGTCAAGCTGCTCGAGGGTCTTGTCAGTCGTTGCGGTGTGGTCGACGAGCTTGTCGAGCTTCTCGTGGACCCCAGAGTCGTCGTATTTCTCAGGGGGAGGGGGCAGCATGAGTGGTTCGGGCTTGGCTTCTTCGATCTTCTGGCTGATCTTCTCCTGCATCTCATTGACGGACGTTTTGGAGTGCTCAAAGTGCTGATCGACCATGGTGAGGACATCCTGGACTGCCTCGAGGATCTTGGGCTGATACTCGCTGACCTGGCCCTTGAGCCCTTCAACCGCACCCATGGCTTCCTTGACCTGGTCGCGTGTCTGAGTGTGCTCCGCCTTGTTGTCGGTGTGATTGTCATCAGACTTGAGGTACATATCTTCAACACGAGTGAAAACAGTCTTGGACGCCTCTTCCATCTTTTCCAAGGAGTCCGTAACGGTGGAGCCCAGTGTGTCGATGAGGGACTTGAGCTCCTCAGCGACTGCCTTGGTGCCGACGACAGACTCCTCGAGGTGCTCGTCACGGGTTTCTGAGCTCTTGTTGCGCTCCTCTAGGGAAGCTTGGAATTCGTCATACTTGGTGATGACCTCGTCGATGCGCTCATCGATCTTGGCCCGGAGCGTGTCGGTTGTTGAGTCGAGCTTTTCGTCCGTCTCGAGTTTTGCGCCGACAACGCCTGCCTTGGAGTCTTCGAACTCGGTCTTCATGGTCTCAAACATTTCCTTCAGGTCTGAGTGGACATTGGCGTTCGCACCTATGGTCTCGCCGAGGGTCTCGAGGGACTTGCTGAGGCCCTCAACGCCTGTGGCACCTCCCTCGAGCTTCTCCTTCACCATGGTCTGCATTTCCTCGAGGAAGGTCTTGACTTCTGTCACGCGGTCTCCGACACCAACAGTCTCCGCCTGGCGCTCCTCAAATTGTTTCGCGTTGGTCTCGGCGTGCTTGTCTGCCAGCTCCTTGAGTTCGGTGGCGTGCTTCTCAGTTGCCTCCTTCAGCTCTGCCGCGTGCTTCTCAGTGGCCTCCTTGATTTCCGCATTCTGCTTATCTGAGAGTTCTTTGAGCTCCGTGGCTAGCGTTTCAAGGCTCTTCAGGTCGTCCTTCGAAGGAAGAGCAGCAATGTCAGACTTGACCATTTGCTCGACAACCGCCTTCACGTCGAGACACACCGCTTCGATGGCATCCGTGTCTGTCTTCGTCACTTTCTCGGGGTCCTCGAGCTGCTTCTCGTGACGCTCTTTCAGCTCGTCGAAGGCACCAACGAGCTGCGTGACGAGTGACTCGACGGCCTTGGTATCCTCTCGGTGTGAGATGTCCTCGAGCTTCGTGGTGAGGCCGCCAAGCCCCTCCTTTGTCTCGAGAATCAAGACCTCGAGTGCGTCAACGTGGTCCTTGCGGACTGCCTGCTCCCCATCCATGAGATCGTCAAGACGTGCCTTTGTGTTGCGAAGAATAGTTTCAATGGCCTCGATGTCCTCCCTGGTTGCAGAATCGGTGGAAGCGGGTCCTTCTCTAGGAGCCGGTGTCTCCTTGCTGGCCAACTCATCAACTTGAATCTTGATGCTGTCCAGCATCTCCACCATGAGGTCGAGGTCTTCTTTCGTGAGGGATGGGCCAGGGTCAGCGGGTGCAGGAGAAGGTTGAGGGAGTGGGCTTTCCATGGCCTCAACCTTGATACGGAGTTGTGAGATAAGCACTTCGAGATTCTTGATATCGTCATGCTTCAGCATGTCCGCTGGAACGATAGCATCAGCGTTGATTGGAGCCAGTGCCTTGCTGTTCTCACGTAAGCCTTCGATGTCAGACTTGACACTGTCGAGGCCGGACTTGAGAGCATCGAGGACTTCGTCGTTGGCGGTCATGTCGGCGGGTTTGTCGGCCATCTTCTCAATGCTGACCTTCAGGTCGTTCAGACCCTCCTGTAGAGCGTCGAGAACCTCGTTCGTTCCGGCGATCGGTCGCTGGCTGATTTCTTGCCTGAGATTACCGAGTCCTTCTTGCAGGGCGTTGATGACTTCGTCGTGACCACCCTGCTGGGCTTGCGGTGTTACGGGCACCAAGGTGCCGTTCACACTCTCTCGCAGAGCCTCCATCTCTTCTTTGAGTAGGGCCCTGGACCCGTCGGTCTGTTTGGAGACAACGTCACTGATCTCGTCACGGAAGTCATCCAGGCTCCTCAAGAGCCCCTCCATAAACTCCTCCTGGCTAGCGACGCCGTTGGCTCTGTCAACGTAGCCCTCGATGTCGGCTCGCAGTTTCTCAAACCCATCTTTGGTAGCATCGAGAACCTGCTCAGTATCGCGGCCATTGGCAGCCACGTTCTGTTTGGCTTCCAGCGAGACGGCTTTGAACTCTTCGTGCATGGCCTCCATGATCTCATGCAGACGTCCGATGATCTCCTCATTGTTACCTTGCAAGGGGACCAGCGGGCCTTTGTCCTTTGCGGGCAGCTCTAAGCTCTCGAGGCCTTGCTTAACGGCATCGATCATATCCTGCTTGGACAAGTCCGCTCCCAGAGCAGATGCGGCCACGGGGAATTCAAACTCCTCGAGGCAGTCCCGAACGGCCTCGACGATCTCATCGCGGGACAATGCGGGTGGAACATCGATTGGCGGAGGCGAGAAGTGTTGCAAGCCCTCAACGACTGCTTTGAAGACCTCCTCCCGTGTCGCTGCTTCTGATTTGTTCTCTTTTGGTGCGTATTGCATGAAGCCTTCCTTTAGACATGCGAGGACCTCATCCCTCTCCAGACCAACCTGCTCCACGGTGATCTCTGGCTTGTACCTTTCCCAAGCGTCTCTGACGGCTTCAACGACGTCATCTCTGTGCAGTTCAGGAGCATCTTTTTGCAGTGCTTTCGCGTCCTTGAGTGCCGTCCTCAATGCATTGTAGATCTCCCGGTAGTCCACGGCAGGAGGCTTGTTGGCGGCCACGACAGCTTGCGATTGCCGCTGGTGCTCTTTGGTGAGATGGTCGATGTGCTGCTTCATCTCGAGCAGACCCTCTCCGACGACCTTGTTGATCTCGGACTTGGTTGCTGCGGCGGACTTAGTCTGGCTAGCCTCACCGACGTCGTCGAGCCTTCGGCCGATCTCTCTCCCCATGCCTAGAACTTCGCCGCGAAGCTCCCGAACAAGAGCCTTAACCTCGGCGGTAAGGCCTCCGCCTTGTGCGACGCTGTCCTTGACGGTGCGGATTATCTTGACAATGTCATCGCTGATCAGATCAGCGGCGGCTCTTGCCATGGGTGCCGAGGCCCGACGAGCTTCCTTGTCCTGGACTAGTTGGTCCACGCGGGACTCCAAGGACCTGCCGCCATACAGATCGGATGCTTCATCGAAGCTCATATTCCTGGGCAGGCCTGCCTTGCCCCTGACAGCTCCACTGCCACCGGGCTGGGCAAGTACAACAGACTGGTCCATGTTGTTCTTGATGAGACGCTGGAGATCCTCAACTTTCTTCTCGACCACAGAGCCGTTGAGTTTGTCGGCCAACTCAGATAGCCGAGTCAGAAGTTTTTCCTGACCCTCCTTGGTTCCCATGTCACGAATGATCTTTTCAAGAAGATTCACCGAGGCGGACCCATCTCCGCCATGTAGTGAGGGTGTACTAAGGTTTTCCCGGTCTAGAGAGGCTGAAAAGCTATTTGGTGAAGGAATGCGAGGTAATGCGAACGGGCGAGAGTTGTTACTGATTTTCGAAGACGGAGATAGCGAGTATGGCTTATTATCGAGCAAAAGTGGCCCTCCATGCATGTCCCGTGATGACGCCCGTGAGGAGACTTCCTCCATGTTGTGAAGCAGGTCACGCAGGTGCTTCCTGATGTCCTCGTCGCGGGTGTGCGTAGCTTCCTTCAAGCTCAGTAAGTCTGTAGCATTATCCCGGCTTCGTCTGCTCAGCTGCGACATCTCCTTCTGCAGCGATGTTGCTATGTTCGTCAGGGCCAGGATCTGATTTGAGAGGGTGTCCAGCTGTTGTGGCGCCCTGGCCGGCGCGGTCGAGCCATTAGTGACGTTGGCCAGGGGCTTCTCGGCATCCCTCTCCCGCGGGGAATCCTTCGGCGTGGACATGGTCTGGAGCGCCAGCATAGTCGCGGACTGTGGTGGTGTGTTCTCGCCGAGGATGCTCTGAGGCCGCCTTGGAGTTGGTCTCAGCACGGGTGTTAGGCTCTGACCGATGGGGGTGAGGCTGATCTGCTTCTGGTCTTTCTCGTCTGATTTTTGTTCATCGAAAGGATCGGTGCCGGACCGGGACGGGGTCGTTGGTCCCTCCTTCTTCTCCGGTGATCGTGACGGAGAGCCGCCCCCTTCGATCATCAGGCTCAGGTCTCGGACCGCTGACGGCTGCAGCGATTGCATGCGCCGGTGCGCAGCGCCCCTGCCGGTTGCCCTCTCGGGAGAGACGTCGGGGGTCCGTTTTGTGAGTGGGTGAGGCACGAGCTGGTTCTCGCGTGCCTTTTCTGTGAGGGCGGCATGTGCAGACTGGATGGCAGACGAGGTGCCTGCGCGGGAAGTAGCCGTGACAGGCGACTGCGGGTTCAAGGGCAACGGAGGAGGAGCCCGCTCCGGGTCTGAGCTGTCCCACCTGATCGCCGCACTTAGCTTGCGCCAAACTGACGGCATGACACGGCGCGAGGACTCATCGTCTGATGAGGAGGCGTAGGAGGCGGGGTGAGGAGGAGGAAGCCACGGGATGGGACAGGAATGTTCACTTACATGGGTACTAAAGCGCGGGTGTGGTCAAAGGAGAATGACTGAGAATGGGAATGTCTCGAGGAGTGACTTGACCAAGGACGATCCCCATTGCTACTAAAGGAGTCCCTCTCGGCGGGAGGCATGGTGGAGTAGGTATGTCACGGGCTACCGTAGTGTCTTATCGTCGGGCTGGAATGGAAAGTGTTTCGAGGCGGAAGCGGGTTTGTTGACTGACTGAGGTCGGGATCTACTGGCAGGGTATCGCGGCAATGCAGCCGGGGTGGAGGTTGCACTGTGTAATTAGGAAACGGAAAATAGAGCCAAGCAGCTCGAAGAATACCTGGGACAGACTGAGGAGATGTCACGACGGGAGAGAAGAGGATCAAGGAATCGCTCTATAGCCGGCAGAGTTATTATGAAAGAGCATGAAGTCGCAATTTGACACTGTCATGTTGGGCAGTGATGGCTGGAGGATTCGACGCGAGATCGGGCGATGGCTGGATGAGGCGTAGCAACAAAAAAGCTGCAGGCCTGCAACTGCGCAAGCGCATCTGCAGGTGCGACTGTCTCCAGCCATGTTGTTTATTCTGCCAAGGTGGTTTCCACAGCAGCCAACCACTCAATTGGGCAGCCGGCCAGGAAACCGTGACCAGCAGCCGTGCCACCCCTGTCGCGACTCCTCGGTCCATCCCGGAAAGGTCTGGGGTACCTTGTTCGCGCTCCTCGATAAGCGATAGCAGCCTCGAAGGCTCAAGCGGCGAGGAGGCTGAGAAGGAAGACCCATCGACTATTCACATGCCTACCAATGTCTAGCAAGGACCATTACCTACCCAGGTACCTACGTACTGGGTAGGTGGTTGGTGGGTACGATACTAGACTACATCTTTCTCCATGTCACTACAACACAGAGTAGACTGCTCCAGCACTTCTACTTGACCGCGGCACAAGAGCATCATTTCTTTTGGGATCGGAATCTTCAATCATCAACACAATGTGTCAGGTTCGTATTCACTTTTTATCTGTCCCTGCTCTAACCCAACCACCTAGCTGGCGCTGGTCGCGATGAGCTGCGACAGGCCGAGCACCTCCGCCGTGGTAATCAGCGCCGACGAGGTGTTGAAGCCCTCGTTGAACGGTAGGCGCTCCTCCTCGAACACGACCCTCATCCACTCCAGCGGCGCGGCAGGCTCGGTGAAGCTTCCTCCCAGCGTCCCCAGGATCACGGCGGACTCGCCCAGGGACACGGTGACCTGGCTCGAGGTCAGGTTGAACGTCGGGTTGGTGGCCTGGGCGGTCGCGATCCGCTTGCTCCGCGCCGAGGCCATGGTCTTATAGTCCACCGTCGAGTCCACCGCGCCGGCCTCCAGGTACCCCCGCGTCTCGCCCCAGACCGTCTCGTTGAAGGTCTTGGCGTCTCCTGTCACGGCGAAGTCGGCACGCGAGAGAGAGCCGTCGTGCTCGATCACGTTGTGCTTCGCGATGTCGTCAAGGTTGAACGTACTGGAGTTGCCCGTGGTCGATGTCGCGAACGCTGGGGTGCCAAGAGTGCGCACGAGGGCCTCATCAAAGTTGATTGCCTGGCCAAGGCCCGAGATAAGTTCCTGCATGCTGATTTCCTTGCCGTCTCGCGCGAGGTAGCCGTGGTTGGCGAGGGAGTTGAGCATCGGGCAGGGACCGCGCTTGGCCGCGGCATCGGGGGCTTGCCAGCTGAAGTTGGGATCCTCATCACGGCGGATGGCAAAGGCGTGAGCTGACATGGCGCTTGAGGCGGCGAGGACTAATGAGGCGCGCATTGTTAAATGAATGTCTGTGTATAAAAAGAGAGTCTGTGATTTCTGCCAAAAAGAGTGTGATGGGCGGCTGAGTGCGGGAAGAGGCGTGTGCTGGGTACTCAGGGCAGTGGCCTGGACTCCGCGGTCAAGCCATCTTATTGTACATCTTCGATATCCGCCTCGTCGGTGGGGCTCGTACGGCTAAGGCTGGCTGTATGCCTCGGTCGATGAGCGAAAAGTTTATTATTAGCTATGTTGTTGGTTTTGATATCTCTCCCATGGGCCATCACCCATTCCCAGTTTACCAGCGGGCGCCCCGTGAGCCCGGCCAATCCGACAGAAGCATCCCATCTCCCACATGGCAGCTTCGCCGAGGCGGCCGGGTCTTCCCACGCATGAAACCCGACCACAGAGACCTTGGGAATAGGGGGGAGGGATGGCTGGAATTGCTTGGAGGGGTCAGATCCACCTTGATCTTTATTTACCTTGGATGTGCCGAGCAGGAGACGGTCTGCACGGGTTCATCCTGACAACATCAGCCTCGGTGGGCTGATAAGTGCCACTTGCTCACAAATCCCCAAGTTGTAATTGGCCCAGGGGCAATTGTCACAGTGGGTGGTTTGAAAATAATGAATACGAATGGCATCTCGCCTGGTTGATTGCTGCGTCAGGGTTTTCCCTACGCGTACGAGTAATGTTGAGCTTGGCACCTCCAGAAGACATAACGCTAGAGTTCAAAAATAATGCGGCGAAACGACGCATTCCCATGAGGTAAAAGTAAGTAACGCGCGCTCGTGACCTTGTTAGCATTATGGCCTTCCCCCTTCCTGGTTCAAAAGCCTTGTAGCCTTCTCCAGGGACAAGCCGTTTGATTTTCTTCGTGGCTGTGGCCTTCCACAACGACTAGTTGACGGGCGTTGCGAGCCTCAGCCCTACAACGTTGTTTCAAACACGAGAAAGCCGCCCTCATGAAGCTTGTGAATAACCTTAACTGCCGAGAGCAAGTTGGAGGCCAATCCATTCGAGTATAGGGTAGCGTTAAGAATAGCCAGCCACTGAAAGGTTTATGCGATGTGTGGTCGAGGCATACCTATCTCGACTTGGCGGACAGATCGGTAGGGGGGTTGAAAACCTTAATAGACGCGGTAGACTCAAGGGAGGGCTTCAAGCGCGGAGGGCGTCTAACAAACCAGAAGGTCGCCTTTTTCTTTTGTTCAAAGAGTTGGGTATTTTATTTTCCGGTGAGCCCTTCTAACCCGAGCTTCCCTATTGTTGATGGGCAGGAACGTGAGCAGAGCCATGGCTTTCTCGCTCGCAGATACCTGCCAAAGAACCAGACAAATGATTTTGCACCTGCTGAACGCCATTTCCCCGGCCGATCTATTATAGACTTGTACATCGCGACCACTTCATCGTCAACACAACACGTGTTCTGATATGTCCTATTTGGCCAGCGCCTTGTCAAAGGCTGGGATCAGTGTCTGGGCAAGCCAGAAAGAGAAAACCAGCTTGGGCCCAGTCATGAGGAGCTGCAAAGGTGGGTCATTAGCCGGTGCTCATTCCTCATGTTGCCGACCTATTGTAGGGGAGAAGACACTGTATGTACCTTGGGGACAAGACCCTTGAAGAAGGCGCCCACGCCCTCGTTCTTGGCCATCTTGGTCAGGATCTGGAACCCGCTCTCGGGGTTCTCAAAGTTCCTGTTCTGGATGCGGGTCTTGATGACGTCGAGCGGCGCGGACACGACGAGCGAGGCCGTTGCACCGGCGATCGAGGCGACAAAGTTCTGGAACCATGTCGCCTTGTTGTAGTCCTGCAGCTTGAACATATACTCCTTGGCGAAGGCCGACCCTCCGAAGAGCGCAAAGCTGCCGGGGGCATTCCGCGCCGCTGTCCAGCCCCAACCCCTGTATAGCCCGAAGCCCTCGTCCGCGACGATCCTGAGCACGCCTCGACCGCGGAAAGCTTCGGGGTTTGTCTGGCGCTTGATCTTGAGCACGTCGAGGGGCAGGAGGACGATCTCGCCGATTCCGATGAGCGATCCTGCGGTGGAGTGCAGGATAGCCTTGCCGGTCTTCTTGCCGAAGGCGTTCTCAAAGTCCGAGCCGTAGTGCTTGGTCAGGTAGTCACGAGCAACGGGCTGTCCGCCATACTTGTATATCCTCTGGAGGACTTTGTATCCAGCCGCGTATCCCAGGCCGGGGAACAGTGACACAAACTTCCTGCCGATAGGGGCGGCGGCCTTGTCCTTGAAGATGACGGCGGAAAGCTGCGACGAGTTCCTGATCTTGGTCTCGTTGCTCATAAGTCGCTTCGCGATCGTGTCGACCTATCGCGCCCCAGCGGGATTAGCACGGGTCCTGAAACATTCCCTCGCGTTCGGAGCTTTCGGCAGCTTACAGGGTGGAAGACAGCGAGCTCAGAGATACCAGCAGAGCCTGGGAGAGTCAATACGAGTCCACGGCAAGCTTATCACGATCGCGAGCGCACGCACCAGAGCCCAGCAGGCGCGCCAGGTTGGACTCCTTCTCCGTTGTGCGAGCTGGGGGAGACATGTTTGCGAATTCGAGTACTCTACACAAAAGGACGGCAAATGACGCTGGCAGAATTGGAATTGAGGAAGTGACACGGCGGAGATTGAACAATTGATCGCGTGCGGGAGAAGAGAGTCTAAGAGGGTCTGCAAGCTCCGAGTCTCGCTCGAGATTTTTTTTACCTGCCCTGCCCGCGGTGGAGAGCTAGGTCCCGCACAGCTCTCCACACTAGCGGTAAGCTGGAGGTTACCGACTGCATGGGTTATCGATGGCATCAGACAAGCACTGACTCCGAAACCGACGACAGACCGATCCACGAACGGCAGCTACGCGCTCCATGGCCTGCAGGACTTATTCTGTTGCTCCACAAAGATGAAGCTGCATCAGGACACACTCGTCACGCGTGCTGAACACGGCCAGTGTCAGTAACCCCGCCTTGCAGGCTGGTTGGGTTGGTCTCTATTTAGCTATGTTGTTGTGCTAATCATGAAAGACATTCATTCCGTGGTATCTATGCTCTCACAATATCTCAAAGAAGCGCTGCCCATGATATATCTACCATCTCGCTTCAGCGTCTTCGGTACTGGGTATAGGTATTTCCGCCCATATCTGGGCCATCGGCTAAACCGCCGCGAGAGTCCATTAAATACGCCGCCATGTTGTGAAACCGTGCATTTTTGTCCCCCGAACGCCGTTCATGCAATTTGCCCTAAACCCGTTGGCAATTAGAAATCCCGCAGGGTGCCAACAAGGCTATCCAGTCTCGCAACCTGAGCCAGGAGTTTCTCCTGTATCTCCGAGATGCGGACGAACCGGTTGTAGAACCGGCCCTCCAGCAGCTCCTTCTCCCGACCACGGACGTCGTCCCGTTTGACCGTGTCGAGAACCTCTCGCTCCATCTCTCGTTGGACCTCGAGCCGCTGCAGACACCGAAGCATCGCCTTGTAGGTATTGTCGAGAAGGCGGTCGAGGCCGCGGCCCGTGTCCGTCCAGTACAAGAATAGGGTGCGGCTGGCGGACCGGTTGTTGTCTCGGGGAACTTCCTGCATGTCCACATATCCAAACATCTGCATTTTGAGCATCAGTTTCTGGACCTCCCCCTTGGACATGAGGGCCAAGCTCGGCAGTGTCTTCTCGTCCATCTTGCCAACGCGTCGGAGTATGCGCACTAGTCGAAGCCCGCTCTGGCCGACGCTGCGCTCAATCACGGTGTCTAGCTCAATCTGCTGCAATGCTCGCATAAGCGGCTCGAAATCGACGGTCCACTGCTCCATGGCGCAGTGACGGAGGAATTTTTGCTGGCTTTCACATAACAGCAAAAGGTGTTGGCGGAAGTGCTCCTTCCGAGAAAGCTTCGCTGGCCCGTTGTCATTGAACTTGACTTTGGTCTCCTTTGTCCCATTCGCACCGTTAGTGAACGGCTTGACGTCCACACCTTCATCGGCATCCTCGACAGTATGGCTTTCAGGCTCTTCTACCTCCATGTCGTCTTCATCAGAACTTGCCTCGCCTTCAACCTCGGCCTCGTCGACAGGAGGTTTCTTCATGTCAGGCGGGTGTTCCTGAATCTGGTTTGCACTCTTGCGGTCGGTTGCCTTGGCGCCCACCTTGCCAATGCCAGCGGAAACATCAAGCGATGGGCTCAAATTGTCGTAGACCTCATTCGTAGAGACTCGACGGCCATGCGGATACTCTTCATCATCGTCAATGTCGATGTCTGGGTCCGCTCGGCATCTGGATATCTTTTTGCTGAGTTGCTGCAGAAGACTCGCATAGACCTCGGCGGTAGTTTCTCCATAGACCTCAGAAACGACGTGGACGAGCTGTTGGTTGCGGAGCTCTACGGCGCACTTCTCGTAGTTGACACGCAGGGCAATATCCCCCTTAAACAAGATCAGCTGTGCTCAATACAAGCCCGTCAAGAGCAACCTACATCGATGATCAAGTCGCTTTCGGAGGCACCACCGCCGTTTGTGTAGCTCCAGCCTGAGAGCTTTCTCCGCTTGCTCACGGAAAGTTTGGATTGAAGTTGGCCCTTGAGGCTGAGCGGCTCGTCTCGCACTTCTCGCAGTCGCTTGGCTCTCCTGCTGGCATAGTCCTCTTTTGCCTTTGGCACCACGGACGCCTCCGGCGAAGAAGGTCTTGATGATCTCGTCTTCGAGGGCTTTGTACCTGTCTTCCAAGCTCCTGAAAGATTCTTCGGTGACCGTGCCGACCAGCTCGGCCTGAATCAGCCGGCAAAGGACATCGTCGAGCTGCTCCAGCGATTTGACGTACAGCCCAGTTTTGCTATCCTTCATGACTTCGCCAGAGTCGTCCACCTCGTCGTCGTCGTGAGTCGCATCTCCGTTCACGGCCGTCGCGTGCCGGGTCGCTTGCTTGAACTTGGCTTGGTAGGCGTCCCTGAGATCTTCGACCTTGGCGTGACCCATACTCAGCAAGTTCTGAGCGACTTCCTTCTCTTCTTCGCCGTATACCGCACCGATCATGTCCAGTATCTTGCCGATGCGAACAATATTATAGGCAGCGTCGACGTTCGGCGCGTAAATGGCGTGGCCGGATTCGATTTTCCAATATAAGAGGTTGTTCTGCACGAGTACAACGAGTCCATGGCGAAGTTGCCGTGTGGTGAGCGAGGTGTACTGGATCAGCTGTGGAATGGATGATCGGCCCTTGTTCATGAGGGCTGCAAAGATGCGCTGTGAGAGGTGTCAGCCATATGTCCGACCGCAATGTGCCCTCCACTGGGAGAGGTGCACGATTTGCGACGGATGAACGTACGGATGGCAGTTCGCCATAGACATCGTCGACGAGAAGAGCGCACAGCTCAGCAAGGCTTTTGGTCTGCGCGCCAGGTTGTCAGTGTGTGTCCCCGAAGCTCTCGTGGCCAGCTGGTGGGGGCGTTTCACTTACCACCTGCATCGCAACAGGCAAATGGGGGGGTTGAAGATGCGGGCGGAGATGGGTGGATGCTGGAGGTGCGGCCGCTTGAGATCCTCTCACTATCCCAAGTTGGCCTTTAATGCTACCGTGGAGTCATTTGGTAATGTCAGGAGGGTTCGTGATTGACGAACGAAGAAAGAGGCAGCTGTCTCCAGGTACAATGGTATCCAAAAGGGAACTCGGGTGGTGAAGCTGTAGCAGGAAATTTTGGCCGGTGGGTAACGACAAATTTGCGAATGAGTCGCATGCGACTTGACTGCCCCTCCATGTGCGTCGCCGGTGACTCGTTGGAGCCTCGAGCTCCACGAGTTGGGGTCCAACGGGGTACGTACCTGGGTACAAGTCGTGCCTGAACATTGAAACGTACGACCCAGCGGCCTCTGCCTTGACACAGAATGCACAATCCGCCAACTCAAGATTTGGCCCTCTGCTTCAGTCCACCCTGTGAAAACGGTCTCAGGAATTTGTTTTGAAGAGAGCACCTGGCACTTGAGGATTTCAATTTTGCATGTAGATATCTCGGTGCAAGTCCTCGAGAAGGAGAAAGCAATAATGCCGAGTTCACCTATACCGTTTCTCTAAGCACCACGTTTACAAGCCAACTTGTGTGTGCAAGTATATATATACGGATACATGTAGATGAATGAGTCGATAGTTGCTCTTCCAAGGAGATGTCATTGAAAGAAAAGCAAAAAGGGAAAGGAAAATGTTGTCCAGGTGAGGCTGTGCCTCTTCTGCCTACCTAGCGCTGTAGTCAATGACTGCATGCCTTGGTAGGCCTGGTGGGTTTATAATAGCAACATTTGTTAGGCAGATGCCATCCCACCACACGATCGTCTGGCCAGTGACCCAAGCACGAAGTATTGCCTCTGTGTCTCCGATGACCAGAGTCTCAGACAAATTAACCGACTTCACGTTTTGTCAATTTAAAGCAACTTCGAGGCCAGTCGTTGAAGTTTGCCAACCCATCAAACAGGGTGAGTTGGAAGCCCCCCGGTGCACTTAAGCCGCCCTCCAGCCAATCCGAGCCCAGAGGTTGCTGCTTAGGCCGGAGCGAACCGGAATTTCTTGCTGGCTTCCCGGGTCGGGTCAATCTCGAAAGCTTCGTTTCCTGCCAGAACAGGTCCCGTCAATCGGTCGCAGACACCAAAGCCCGTCAATTGACACACCCACCACCCACCCCTCACATCATGATCGGCCGATCAGCTCTGACGAGGGGAGCCCGTCTTGCCCTCCGCCGGCAGGACTGCGCCAGCCTCGCCCAGCGACGCGGGTACGCCGCCGCCGCTGCTTCCACCGAGACCGCATCCTACGAGTCGGCAGACATCAACGGCATCAAGGTCGCCAGCCGCGACCCCCGAGGCCCCACCGCCCGCATCGCCGTCGTCGCAAAGGCCGGCACCAGGTACCAGCCGCTGCCTGGCCTGTCGGTTGGACTCGAGGAGTTTGCCTTCAAGGCGAGTCAACTCACGACCCAAAGCCCGCGACGCGAGCCGAGGGATGAGCTAATTTGTTGTCCTGTATGCAGAACACCGACAGACGGTCGGCCCTGAGGATCACAAGAGAGTCTGAGCTTTTGGGAGGCCAATTGACTGCATATCACACGCGAGAGGCTCTCGTGGTGGAGGCTGCCTTCCTGCGGGATGACCTGCCTTACTTCACTGAGCTCCTCGGTGAGGTCATCACCAAGACGAGATACACGAGTGAGTGGGCTTCTTACACTCGATGATGTTTCGAGGAAGGGTACCTATCTAACGCTTCTGTGCCCAGCCCACGAGTTCCAGGAGGAGATCGAGAGGATCGTGCACCTGAAGCAGGGCAAGCTCACCAATGACGCCCTGGGCCAGGCCCTCGACAACGCCCACTCCGTCGCCTTCCACAAGGGCCTCGGTTCCTCGATCTACCCATCGACTTCGACGACCCTGGGCCCCTACCTGAACGAGAACTCCATCGCCGCTTTCGCCGAGACCGTCTACACCAAGCCCAACATTGCCATCGTTGCCGATGGTGCCAGCCAGGCGAGCCTGTCCAAGTGGATCGAGCCCTTCTTCAGGGACGTTCCCGCGTCGGCTTCCAGCCCCCTGCAGCTGTTCAGCGAGGCCACCAAGTACCACGGTGGCGAGCAGCGGACGTCTCTGGCCGGCTCCAACGCTCTGATCCTTGCCTTCCCCGGCCACAACCTGCATTCCGACAAGGCCGACGTCGCCGTCCTGACTGCCCTCCTCGGCGGCCAGTCCAGCATCAAGTGGTCTCCCGGTTTCAGCCTCCTCTCCAAGGCCTCCGCTGCCGCGCCCGGCTCTACCATCATGGCCAAGAACCTGGCCTACACCGACGCCGGTCTCCTGACCATCCAGATCACCGGTAGCTCTGGCGCAGTAAGGAAGGGTGCGGAGGAGGCCGTCAAGGCCCTCAAGAGCGTTGCCGAGTCTGGCGTCACGAAGGAGATCCTGTCCAAGGCTATTGCCAAGGCCAAGTTCGACCTGCTGTCCCAGAACGAGCTGACTGGCACTGGTATCGTCTCCGCGGGCAACAGCCTGATCCACGGCGGAAAGATCTTCCAGGTCGCGGAGGCTCTGAAGGGCTACGAGGCAGTGACTGCCGAGAAGGTCAAGGCGGTAAGTTCCCGCAGCCTCCCGGCTCATATTGTTGATTGTACTAACGCTTTCCACCTCAGGCGGCGAAGGCATTGTTGGACGGCAAGGCGACGGTGGCAGCAGCGGGAGACCTATACGTGCTCCCATACGCAGAGGAGATTGGCCTCAAGGTATAGAATCCTAGTTCATTACACGCATCAGTTGGGGGGATGGGAAAAATGTATCAACAGTCCAAGCCGTTGTAGACGTGCCAAGAGGCTCTGTGAATATAGCACTTTTCTAGACAGGAGCATCGCAAAATTTCACTTTGTTCGCAGAATTGCCATGATTGAAAAAAAGGGGGGAAAGAGCCCGAGTGGTTTATCAAATTCTCATTGCGACGACTTATCCATGCAGCGTGGGAGCAGAGCAAGTAGAGATGGGTGCTGGATTGGGTGTCACGTGATGACTAAGGCCCGATCCCGTCCGTAGCTCTCCGGCTGGGTCGTTCGCTTGAGCTGTTTTGTCGCGGACCTTGGAATCGCCGTCACCACCTTCCACCCCAAGAAACCCGTTCATCCTCAACCCCACAAACAATCAGCCAAGATGACGTTCGCGTGGAAAGCCGCAGGCCTCAGGTGAGTACCGATTGACAAGCCTACCAGATCTGCACCCGCCGATTGCCCGCGCCACTTTCGGAGACTGACGGGGCGTTTCTTCCGACTGTGCAGCTACAACCGCTACCTCGCCGTCGCCGGCCGCGTCGTGCGCCGAAGCCTGAAGGACGACAAGCGGCTCGCCGCCGAGCGCCGGGGAGACATGGACCTGCGATTCGCAAAGTGGGAGGTGAGTTGAACCTGCAACACCGGGAAGCATCGGGCATCCGAGGCAGACGGAGGCTGATTGACCGCGGGATGGCAGAACGGCAAGCAGGGCGAGAACCAGAACCTTGCGCAGGCGAATGCGGCCCTGGCCGAGAACGCTGGATCTTCGTCATAAGGGATATGGGAGGAAGCAACTGTGAGATGGGGTTCGGGACGTTGCACGCATAGAGATCGAGGCACGACGTGATGCTCCCAACAACTTCAGGAGAGACGTGCCCGGGGGTCAATATGGATGCGTAGACTGGGTGTATCATATGGCAAATCATTGAGACGAGCCAATTGACACTTGATAACCACCAACGTTGTCGCCTTAGAGGCATAAAATGTGCTGTAAAATGAACCGCAGTGCCATCAGCAACTACCATCCTGACCACCCAAGGCACTGCCGTAGAAGCGGCGGGCAGCAAAACGGACACTAGCAAACCGTCTTAGCCCGCCCTATGCGAATACTAACTTCAACCTCTACAATGCGATATGTCTTTTTCCTTCAGGTCAGAAATCACCCAGGCCCACCAGTCACCGGAGCAAGGCGCGTGCACTCTGATGCATGATTGTTGAGTTACGGTGGAACTCCGGGGAACAGTCGTCAAATCTCTGCCCGACACGATCCGAGGTCGTTTGAACTTGAACCTTGGTCGATTAGGCCTGGCCACCTGTGCTGCACTGCACTGCACCGTGAGCTGCACTTGCGCCATTCCCAACAAAAGCCAGTCTGTGTTCCCCGTTGCCGTGCCGCATCGATGAATGATTCCAGTCGGCCTTCAGTGACAGCGGATCTCGACGAGGCAATATGATGACGGTGGACGATTCCGGGATGTCCAGAGGTGTGGATCTATCCCCAGCCCGGAGGCCCCCCCCCCCACGCATTATAAGCATCGCGTATCCTCTGACGAAGCTTAGAGTTTCTGGGCCTCTCGCTGAACCAGCAAGGCCTATCAGACCTGGACGATGAGCCCCCACCGCCCAAGATCACCAGTGAGGCCATCATAACCACGGATATTACGAAGAAGTTTATCACAGCTTCTAATAGTGAGCACCCAAACCAGCTCACACTACGGTCTCGTCCTCTCACTGACCGTTCCATAGCGCTCGAGCCGGGCGAGCTGGTCAAGGATGGCTTCTTCACGCTGTTCGAGTCCGTCGGGGCCCTTGAGGTACTTCCTGCCTGTCTGTCCGTAGCGGCCTTTGCACCTGACACTTACCCCCTCACCCGTGATAGATCATGGACCCGAAGATGGACAGTGGATGCCTTGCAGCAGGCGAGTCTCTGGACGACGACTACGATGTGACACGCCCACTGCTCCCGAAAGAGGTGCTGGGTATCATCGACCAACTTCTTTGCCATGAGGTGCGTCAGGCCTTCGTCTTCCCAGCACAGGCAGCCTCGTAGCTGATCTCGACACAGGTCGCGTGGCATTTGGGGTATCCCTTGTCCCAGACCCTTTTCACCAGCGTCTATCTAGAGGCCATCATGATGCCGCAGCCTGTTGTGATTCAGGAGGCTCACTTCACCCGCAACGCCGAGGACTTTGTCCATAAGGACCCGATGCTCTCGGTCCTCAGGGCATACTGCCTGGGTCTGCTAAAGGCATGTTGGTACGTGAACGAGCGTATCAAGTTTGAGCACTACTACGAGGTGAGCCAACGAACGCGACGTCTGCAGACCATGTGCGCCGGCTGATATGTGAGACAGGAGGAGGACTTTGTCACAAATACTTACCATCGCTCCCTCCTTGATAACATCGACAGGGAGGAGATAAGGGATGTGTTGCAGGAGGCCCGTCGCCTCCTCCGCAGCCACCAGCATGACATAGGACAGGAGATTGTAGAAGCATTAGACTTCCGTCTGGAGCTGAGATATGCATTCCTGCGTGCGATAGAGCTCTCTGAGCTGAGGAGCCACCCAGAGTCCTTAAAGACACCATGGATCCAGATGAAGTCCATCCTGGAGCCCATTAACAGGTCTCATCATCTCGGCACACCTGTCGCCGAATGCTTCAGCGCAAAACTTCAGCGGCGGCTGGCCAGCACGATGCCACCCCGGCCGATTGTCCAGCTCAGCTTTGAGGACACATACTCGAATCTCAAGCGCCTGTTCGTAGACGGCATTGAGGTCACTGATGTCCTCAAGTATTCAGATTCACAAAGCCTGCTGGTGAGTTACGGCATACGGTGCGGTCGACAGAGGGTTGGCTAACACAGAGAACCAGAACTTTGTTTTATCTTTCCAGGCCAAGAAGCCGCAGCCGCTGGTATACATCCGCACGCTGTTGCAAAACTACCTCTTCAAAGATATGATTTTGCTAGGCTGCCTCAGCATCCGTCAGGTATTCGATGACGACCTGTCCATCGTCGTCCTCCCCTGCAGCAGGCTCCTCGATCCTGCTAATGACAAGGTCGAGAGCCCCAACGACCCGCGCTTTGCGATCGCCCACCAGATGGAGATCTTCCGGCAGCGGGCGGCCCAGTCATACCTAGACGTGTTCCGCGCGTTCTGCCAGAATCGCTGCCGCGTGCGGCGCACCCTGTGCCACGCCATCCAGGACTGGGAGGCGGTGCAGGCCGATGCCGAGGAGCTGGACCAGCTGCTACAGGTGGCGCTGGACGAGAAGCCGATGCTGTACCAGCCGTTCGGGTCTGGCGCGGCCAGCCCGACCTTCTCGTTGCCGCTGTCGAGCTGGGCGTACTTGTACAAGCTGCGGCTTATGGAGTGGATCGTGCAGCTCGGCTTCGAGCTTGAGGTCTACCAGCCGGACGAGCTGGGCGGCATGTACTGGTACCTTAGCTACCTCGCGCGCACGCGGGCCGCGCACGCCGAGCGCATCAAGGCCTTCGCGGTGCGCACGCTCAACGACCTGCGGGCGAGGCCGTCGTCCTTCACGGCCAGCCAGGAGGCGCAGGTGACGCGGTCGCTGTCGTACCTGCGCGCAACGATCCTCGACGCCGCCGTGACGTGGGAGCTGGCCGACGCGCTGGCCTCGGTGTACACGCTGGTCTACGACCGGCTCGGGCTGGCCTCGCCGCCGCCGCGCCCGTACTCGTCCGACTCCCTGCGCTACGAGATCCGCATGCGGCCCTTCCTGCCCGTCGAGCTTCCCGAGCTGCCCACTTTTGCCGACTTTGCCCACTCGGCCCGACAGCCCGACAAGGGCGACCGCGCGCTGCTGGAGCAGGCCGAGGCCGCCGTCACCGGCGCCAAGAAGGGCTACGAGCTCCTGACCAAGTTCGACGAGAAGGAGGCCTTCGCCGCCGGCGAGGGCACCTACGGCCGCTGGCTCGCCGGCACGAGGAACGGTTTCAAGAGCGTTATTCAGGCCGGCCTGGCCACCACGGCGCTGAGGAAGGTCTTCGACGCACGCGACAGGGGCGAGGACATCGAAGCCCCTGTTGAGATCCTGGGCCCGGACAAGGGGTACCACGAATGGTGGATTGTGCCCAAGATCACGGTGAAGAGCGGTGCTGCTGCGAAGGGGTCCGCAGCGTGATGGGCCTAGACATCAATCACATCACAATAGACGGCACTCGGCGCTCCATGAGTTTGCATTGGAGCCTCAAATTCCACTTCGTCTCATCGTTATTCTGGTACAGCGCAGGCACAATCAAGCAGACTCATGTACCGCACATCGGCCCCTGCTCAGGGGACCAGGGTTGGTGGATTCCCGTAGCCGTCACCACCCGAATCTAAACAATCACATGCTAAATTCCCGGTTAACCCCTGCCAAGCCGAACCCATTGACCCTATTTTCGTTTTTGAATCACATGTCACGCGGCTGAAAGGGAGAAGAAAATGCAACGGGTCGAACTAGCACACCCTCGGAAAGTGAACGCGTTTGCTGGTCATCTGCCTGGCTTCCCGAGTACCGACGCAGTATACACCGCCGGCACAACATTCAAGCCAGCGCCCTAGTCGCTGAACGCTGTCGCAGTCTTACTGTCTGCTCGTAGAGGACGTCCTTGAACGCAAAGAGGAACGCGGCCGTGAGGACGCTCTGCGTGACCTTGGGGCCGATGCCCTTGTACAAGCCGGCGTAGCCCTCCTCCTTGACGATCCTCCTGATGGCGCCTGACATACCCTCCTTCTTGTCGCCGCCCTCCCCACTGCCGCCCGCGACATGGGCCTGTGACTTGACTGTGATGTACGGGTACGTGATGCTCGTGGCGAACAGCTTGCCCAGCGCGCCCAGGAAGAAGGCTACCGTGGGGGTCACCCGCCGGCGCTTCTCCACCACGTTCTTGAGCTGCTCAAAGAGCGTGTACTGCAGGATGGGGTTGATGACGAGGACCAGGGCCGGGAGCACGCCCGCAAATAGCGCCGTCGGGCCTTCCTTCTTTAGAAGCGAGAGGAGTGTTCCGATGGTCGAGGGCGCCTTGATGGGCTTTGTGCTTCCTCCCGGAAGCGTCTCCTTCTCGCCCTCCTCGGCCTGATGTTTCCGTGTGGTCATGCGCGTGTTGATGACCCAGATTGGGTTCGTGATGATGACGGTAGCAGAACCGGCCAAAGCGCCAGCAATCATGCTCTCAACTGTCGTGAGCTTCTTGGACGCTCGGCCGGCCTTCTCGGCGGCATTCTCGAAGAAGGCGCGGGTCCATTCGTACCAGTAGTAATAGACGAAGTTGGTCACCGAGATGCCGAATAAGGCCGAGTCGAGCCCTGCGTAGAGGCCGGAGATGCCTTCACGAGCGGTGATTTGGCGAACGGCTTTCAGGAAGGTCGAGTCGGCGCGCTTGGACTCGACCTGGGCGCGGGTGGAAAGGGTGATCAGAGGGTAGCTGGGAGCAGGGAGGCAAGTCAGCTACCATCCATGCCACGATCTGGAGCTGGATAAGACGAATGCACAGAAGAGGCACGTACGTGAGGACCATGGACAGAATTCCGCCACCAGCACCGGCGAGAGCGTGGGCGACATTGTCGTTTTGTGGTATCACGGGCTTGGATGCAGCAGGTGCCATTTTGTTGATTTGTTCTTGGTGAGCTGTGCGGGTGATACACTCCAATGCCGAAGAGTGATGGGTGTTTTGGTATGTTCAGATGAGACAGGGCAAGGGCTAGTTGATGTCTTCGTTCATGTCGTCGCCGTTGAATGCGGAGACGCAGGCATGGCGTGGCATAGCAGTGGTCAGTCAATCAGTTGACCCAGCGAACCGGCGTCTGAGCAATGCAAATCAGCCGAGGTCCGAGTGCAGCAACGGCACGGCAGTGGTTGCGCGCCAGGACCCAGCAGGCTGGGACAGGTCCCCGAACCGCCGAACTTTGCCGGGCGTCTGCTTAATGACATGTCTGCCGTCCGAGATCAGTTGGTTCAGTTGGCATCTGACAGCCAGCTGCAGGCTCTCTCTGATGACGATGACTGATGGGCGGCACTTGACTGTCTCGGGCCCGTTCTCGTTCTCGGTTGGCATCTGCCGACCCAGCCTGTTGGGATTCCAAAGCGCTGCCGCATTACAGTAAGCTGGTTCAGCCCCAGCAACACGATGCACAGTACGACTCTGTACGGTGCAGTAAGTAGAGACACGACTCTTCAGCCCCGCCACGGACTCCAAGGATCAGGATCAGCCGGCTGCCCCGAGTTTCCAGAACCACGCACGCTTCCATGGCGGGCATGGCGGGCATGGCGGCCGTCGCGCTTCTCCAACGCCGTGCCACCCAGCCCAGCCAGCCAGCCAGAGCAGCGGATCAGTGGTGATGGCCTCCTGCACGGTGCAGTGCATCTGGTATGGCCCGCACTCGTCGTGTCTCAGTGACCCTTCTTCTTGTCGACGGATGACCGAGCACCCGGGCAGAGCGACCTCGAAAGGCCTGGGGGTTTCCAACGTGTGTTGCGAGAGAAGGGGGAGCAGAGGCCCAACACCCATCCTCAGACGCGGTCTCCCACGGCCAACGCGATCAGACCTGGCTGAGAAGTTTGGCAGGATGCAACCCGTGCACACAGCGCATGTCCGTTGGTGGTGCCGGTGCTGTCCATGGTCCATGCGGGCAGGCTCGGGCAGGGTTCTTTCTGGTTGCGCGGGTTGACTGCTCGCTGGACCGATGAAGTGACTCGACCAAATTGGATAAATGGCGTCCTAAGTAATAGATAGAATAAAACGTCACCGGCGACAACAGCAGGAGCGAGGGTGCGCATGTGGGTGCGTGGGTGCGCGGGTGCGTGCGTGCGTTGGTGGTTCCCCGGCTGCACCGTCAATCCTTCGGCAAGGAAACCTCACACTTGCTGCTTCCCGCTCAGCCGTTTCGCCTTGGAAGGAGCAGGTGCCAGTCCGTGTCAACGAGTCACCTCCCAGAGCTGCCCGCCGAAGGATTTCCCAACTGCAGCTCCAGCTCCTACTCCTGCTTGTCCGCTGCCCACTGCCCACTCTTCCCGCCCACTCTTCGCTCATGCCCGCCCACGCCCGCTCCTAACCACCCGCGAGCGCTCTTGGTTGGTGATGACACGGCCTGCCGCCTCAGTTCTCTGGGCTGACGGCCGAGCCGTCCACTCCAGGGCATCAGTGGGAGAGACTGTCCAACAGGCCGGGTCCGGGCTGTCGCACTTGGCCCCCGTCATGGCCGCCGCCCTTCTCCACGTGGCGTGGCATCGTCGACATGGCTGGAATTGCAGGCGTGGCGGTGTAGCGGGTGAGCTGCGATGGGCTGCAAGGAGCGGCGCTGGACTGCAAACTATTGCGTTGTGTCGTGTCTATTGTCTTGTCCTGTCTTGTGCGATATCCTCATCCGTCCATGCCCTCGACCTCTCCTGGGCCTCACCTCGCACACATCCGGCCCGCCTTGCTCGCTCCCACAGTGTGCCCTCGCCTCGGACTGCTTGGCGATTACCTAGCCACTCGCTGCGTGCTGGATGCTCACTCGCCCGTTCGCGAGCTCACCTCCTTGGTGTTGGGCGACACCCTCGTGTCATCGGTCATCAATTATCAGTCATTAACCCCCATCGGGGAACAATAAGCCAGAGCTTGACATCCCAGGAACACCTGTCCGGACTCCAGAGAATGGCCCCTTTCCCCTGCTGTCATTGCTATTTCGAGAACAAGTTGCCTAGGTAGGCTGGTGACCTTACCTGCCGCTATCCGCGCTGGGAACTACCCTGCAGATGACAGCCAGGCTACTGTGAGATCCACAGAGGAAGCGACAGGCAGACACTTAGACACGACGCGTGGTTGGTCCTCTCGCCGACCACAACCTTCGGCCTGCGTCTTTCTGGCCCTGGGTTGACTAGACAATCTATCTGCACTCCTGGCTGAAACCGAGAAGTGCTCATGTCATATTCTGCATGTCACGTCGAGGTCCAGGAGAATCAACGAGCTCATGCTGTCTTCGTCTTGTCTTGTAGCTTAACAAAGGACTCGCTCAACCTGATCAGATCGGCCCAGATCTGATCTGATGGCACCCAACAGTCATCCCTTTTCTTACCGTCTTACAACGCTTGTTGGCGCCCTCATCAACTGCTAGGGAACGACTTGCGCGGTCTGGTTGCAGAGAGGCCCTTCCTCGCCTCGGCCAACAGGCCTTCGACCTGGGGTCCCCAGAGAGCCGTGAGGGAGGATAACCATCAGATCCAGAAAACCCCATAGTCATTGCGCCTCTGTCGTGTCAGGCCTGCCCGGCTCGTTCCCGTTCAGCACCTGTCTACGGGCAGAAGCAGCTACCTCCTCGCCCAGGTACCTACATTGTTCCCTCACGATGGCCACCAAAGGTCTGCCCCGACCATCATCAGGGGCTGCCGCGCTGCAAATATCAGGTCTGATGTGATCTGATCCGATCTGATCTTAGTCTGGCACCGGTACTGTCATCCCGTGGCTGTGCTTTCGGGCCAGCCCTCCGTTCGCATTTCTTGCGCCCTACCCGGTAACCCCCAGACAGCCAGACTGGACCGTGGCCCACTAGGCATCAGGATCTCATGTGCCGTAGCGAGGCTGATCCTTCACCTCTCCTAGGCTGGAAAGGAGGCTCCGAAGGCTCGCCTTGAGCGATCCCTCAAATCCACGAGGCTACTGGTATCTTGACCGACCCTCACCCCCTTCTATCGGCCGAGAAAGCTGGATGACTACTTTGCGCTCCCCCGTTGTGCTTTCTAAATCTTTCACACCATCATCCATACGAGCCTCGCCTGCCCTCCGTGACGTATGTGTGCGCTGCGCCAGCCTCATCTGAATAAGCAAAGTCTTCAAACTCCCTTCACTGCTCAGCCATACTGGAGTCCATGCCCTCTCCCCTCCTCACACCACTTTGAATGCTTGGCAACGGCATCAAAGGCACATGCCAATCCTAGGATGGGCATGATGCATCATCCAGGCACTCACCTTCTCGCAAGAAATGTTGCCCCAAGACCAGCATCGACCCGGCGTGCCTTGCCGCACAAGAAGGTCACGCCCGAGACCATCGACGACGCCTATGCCCAGTTCATCCTCTACTGTAACCCGGGTGTCCCTCCAGAAACCGACACCGCAGTCTTGAGAGATGCCTTCAAGGTCCCACCAAAGAGCGGAGGCAAGTCATTCAGCACTTACACACTCTTCGAGTTGATAGGGCTCTTCCAAATGAAGGAAATCAAGACCTGGGCAGATTTGGCATTGCAACTAGGGGTCGACCCGCCGGACCAGGACAAGGGACAGAGCGCGCAGAAGATCCAACAATACGCCGTCCGGCTGAAGGTAATGAGTATGAGCCCGACGGCATCCTAGCAGCAGCAACTAATATGATGCAGCGGTGGATGCACTCGATGCATATTGATGCCTTCTTCGACTACCTTCTTGGCAACCCTCACCCATACTGGACGGAGATCCCCACAGATCCGAACCCAGTACTAGAAGAAGGCCGTGATGGGGTGGCAGCAGAGGACGACATGGCCTTGAGGTCACTTCTACCACAGATTAGGCCACGTAGGGGGAGGAAGCGACCGGAGAACGAAGATTCGAGCAGGTCGCCCTCACAGAGACCACGGACTGAAAGTGGTGGTGAAGAGATGGGAGTAGGTGGCACCGGCGGCAGCGGTGGCATTCAGCCGCTTGATCTCTGGCCTGCCCATCCCGGAGCAGCAGTCGGAACCGTGGTCTTTCCATCGCCATCTCAAGATCAGTTCGCCCGATTGAACTTGAACTTAGGCACTCCAGGGGCTACCTGGGCGGGCGAGAGCTTCGCACAAACTCCATTAACAGCACAGTCGTACTCTGCAATGACGCCCTCACCTGGGAATGGGTTTTGGCCCGGCCAGACTGGGGATACTAAGCCCGCAGCTGCACCAAGCAAGCCCAAAGCCAACAAACGACATGGAGCGAAGGTTGTGTCGTCGGCTTGGAGGAGCGGCGGTCCAGGTGGCCCCGGAAAGACACGCGGAAGACCTCCTTTGAACCGCCAAAACACCAGTTCAGCTAGCGACGCCACGCCATTTCATGCTTTCCCTGCCCAGAGCAGTCCTACATACGAACATGTCTCTCCGCACATGACACCTAACATCCCAGCTCCAGTGATGGCGGCGAGCCCTAACCATCCTGCCGTTTCGATGACCTCCGAGCCTCAGTCGAACCTGATCATGAACCAACAACACACTGCCTTTGATGTGTCGATGCAAGACCAGCCCCATCCACGGACCCTGAGACCTACCCGAAGCCGGCTTTCCTTACAGGTGCCAGAAAGAGCAGGTGCAGAGGTCAGGCTTGCAACGCCACCAGGAAACTCGGGCGCACCGCCCGTGGTCATGATTAACGGAAGGGCAATGAGAGGTCATCATGATGCTAACTTCGGTGCAATCCCACAGAGCACAGATGCGCTAATTATGGAGGCCTTCGGGACGGCAAATCATAATTATATCCCTCTTCAGGAGCAGCAACAGCAACCACGACACCACCATCAGCATTATCAGCAGCAGCACTCCCTCCCAGGCGTGTCTACCACGATGTCACCAAATGACCCTTTCACATATGCTCCGACGACCCAACAGTTCGATCAAGGCCAAAGCCCATCATCTCAACGTCAAGAAGCAACCGAAGTCCGCAAGGGAATCCGGTTCTCAGACCCCACCGACCGAACCAACCTTGATGCGCTCGAATCTTTCTTCATATATGATATAGTAGGAGCGGACTGGTTCGACTCGACCGGTACCCAGATTCCGGCAGGCAACGTCGACGAGGCTGCAGGCATCTACCAACAAGTCATCGAAGACGTTATGAAAGGCGCGGCCAGCAACGAGACGTTCTTAATCAACGTGGCAGCGCTCATCGGCGGCGGCCTACTCAGGAGCGGCAGGAGCGTCAAAGTGCACAAGACGGTGGGCGGGGACGGGTCCAGCGTGTACGACTGCAATTGGGAGCTGCAACTCGGGGACGTCAAGGGTGCCTACAGCATCCGCGTTGCGCTGCCGCATGGCAAGTGGAGAGGTCACAGAGGCACAAAGAGCAAGGAAAATAACACACTCGGCACAACGGGGGATGATGAGGACGCCGAGGGGAAGAGGACGACAGCGAACTGGCGGAAAGGGGCGAGGACGACGACGAAGAAGGGGGCGATGACGGGATAAAGTGGCAGAGGAAATACCACAACCTGCTGGAGATTGTCCAGCAGCAGAAGTCGGAGCTGAGTGACATCAGGAAGGGTATGTTGAGGCTGTTCCAGCAGCAGCGGACGTCAAACCCTGGCGAGGGATCGATGCAACAATAAGCTGGACGGGTTTGAAGAGGGCTAGACGCGAGAGTTCTGAACACGCCGGCGAACAGGATAAGACTTTGGAAACAAGGCAGAGCAGTACATACCAGGGTACGCCAGCGCGGGTTCGGATACAATTTAAAACCGGTGTGATAGAGCGTGGAGTCTCCGAGGGAAGGCGTTTGTGTTTACACTGGTCTGGGCTGTGTGTTGATTGTGTCGGATCTGTATAGTGGGCTTTGTTTCGCATAGATCGATGGTGTGATTTAGTCGTTGAGATACCATAGCGATTTTCTTTTGTTCCACTGTTACTGTGGCCCCTAGACACGCATGGTGGTCTATTCTCTCTGAACCAGGTAGGGGTTGTCAGTTCAGGAGACCTCTGTCCATATGTAGATGGTTCCTAGGTATGTTGGATATAGTCCATGTCCGGAGACATCTAGACGTACACATGTCTCTGCTACGATTGAATTGAGGTTTTCAACTCAATTGCCGGTATGTGTCTGCGCAACTCTGCCAGATTTTTTTATCTGCCTTGTGACCTATATCAAATCGCTACTATGTCTCTAGATAAGCCTCGTTGGCTTTGATTCGTCTGTAATCAGTGGTCTCGAGGGCAGCCATGTTGGCATGGTCTGATGGCTTACTAAGTAACCACCGTCCATGACGATCACGGCTAGGGTGGTGAGATCGAGACCGTTCTTGCAATTCTTTTTTTTTTTTTTTTCGAGAAATTCATCATGTAATTGAAGAATGGCAGAAGAGTCTTGAAAATTTACTGAGCAAAATTCTTGCGCAAAGGGCCTGGCTTCAGATGGCTGCCAGGCTGAGTTGGAGCCAAGGTTCGTCTTCCTCCCGAACCTCGCCTTCTATTTTGCCACCGCTATTTTTGTTCAAACAAATGCCCTCATTTTCCCATTTGCTGCAATATGGACGCTCTTTGTATCATATAAGAATAATAAGCGTAAGGTTTATCTCGACGCTTCTCTAGGGGCTGGATATAATGGACCTTGCGTTACGTTGCGGGATGGACATCTTGAATACCTTCAGATGTCACATTTGCATAAGGGCTCCTATCACCGGTTTTTGTTTCCCATGTGAGGGGCGTGGCATATTCAGGTATTCGATATGGGGAGGGATCTTCTTCACCGAAGAAGCTATTTCCGTGAATGATGCTGAATACCCGGTTTCAAACTTGGTATATTAATATCACAGTGCCTTTGTCTCCTTCTACGTCGTGGTGTTGAGGACCTTTTTGGCTCCTCAGGGATCTGTGCTGTCGGGGTCCCCATACCCGGAGAATAGTGCGCGGTGGCAGCGGCTTTCAAGGTTGTTTGCCGATCCTTCGAATCCTTTCGAACCCCAAGGTAGGCACCTGGGCTGGGCTTGTGGGTCATGGATAACTGCAGGCAGGATTCCCAGCGGTCCAAGGGTGACACCGCAGCGTGGCTGTACCTACAGTAGCCATGTAACCTGGACGGAAATCATCTGCCTAGCCAGTCACTCATCTTGCAGCTTGGCTCTTGTACCCGAACGCTGTCGTACATGTAGGTATCAGGGTGGTGGTCCCTGCCGAGAAGATGCTTGTCCTCCCGGCTTGTTTTACTTCTTTCCAGGCACCACTATTAGCGACGAGGGTGACCCTTAATGTACTCATCCCTGGATACAAAAGTTCGCTCATCAAAAACCTTGGCTCCAATACGAACGACTACGCCACCCCTTGGGAATAGATAGGCAGACAGGCAGCACCCAGGCAGAGAATAACTCTCAATTTCGAGGCTAGGCCGTTCCAAAGAAAACTTCCACAAGCTTCGGGCGGTGGGCCGTGGTTGAGATTGTTGTGGCTTCTAAGTTGGCCCAGACCTATGCCGATGACTTCCAACGACATCAGCCTCCTCGAACCGCTGCCTCTCCAGAACTTGTTGACGTGGATGATTGGTTTACATGTTGTCATGCACACATTCTTTTGAAGGCAAAGGTGAAGGGATAAGGAAATTTGGGGCCAAGGCGGTTTTCACCGTACCGAGTTTTGCTGCTTTGCATCCGAGAAACGGCCATCTCAGGGACGACCTGGTGACATGTCTGGTCAACGAATCAAGCAGAGCATAATTGCGTCTGTCATCCAACGGACCTGAATTTCTCCAGTATGTACTGAAAGTGCAAACAAAAGTACCCTAGACCGGTATCTCAAGGGATTTGTGTCCACCTGCCCGGTCCCATCCCTGTGCAACAGCGAACACCTCGAATTAGGATATCTAGCATGCTCAGGCCCACATTTTGGTGTGATAAATTTAGACATTGCCTGATACTCCTGTTCAAGCAAGCTACTGGTCCGTGGGTGGCAATTCACATAGGTGAGGCACACGGTAGTTATGTCGTGTCACACCAGCGGCCGGGGGTAAAAGATTTCGCTTGGAGCAACCTCACCCAGCTATTATGAAATCGAGGGTGTGTGGTGTAGCGGTAGCACGTGTCGTCGTCAGACGGACTTCAGTAACTAATATCGACGGTGCTGATACCCCGCCAATGTGTGCGACGAGGCCTGGGTTCAATTCCTGGTGCGATCTCGACTTTTTGCCGTGCTTCTGGTCCCGGCTTTTGCTCTCCCTCAGCATGGTCTTCTCTTTGTCTTCATTTGACGATGTTGGGTGTCCAGCGAGTGACGTTCGAACCAAGCGTGCTTGCAGTTCCATTCCGTACAATCTTCATTGATCTACTTCTCTGCCATAAGGAAGGTATCAGTGGCTAGGATGTTCCACGGGATGGTGCAACCGCAACGCTGACCTCACTCACCTTCTGAGCATAAGTACAGAATGCGCTTTCCACGTTGAACATATCTCTAGATACGAGGATAAGACTCACTCGAGACGACTACGAAATAGAAATAAAAAAAATTAATCGCATCAGTAGCTAGCGCCTTGCATAATTACCAGCTCGATTCCTCCCAAACCAAGTGCAGTCATTATCAGAAGGCGATGATTGCGGTGACACCTTCCGCTCGCTCAGCCCTTGACACAAATGAAGATGACTGACTAGAAGGCGGGATGATACCAGCATCCTGTGTTTGCTGAGAATAGACACATGCAGGAAGCATGACCCTGCCATTTCATAATCGCCTGGACCGTCTATCTGAGCGCACAGCTCTGGGACTTCCTGTTCAATTTGCATCGTACCTGAAGGAACCATCATGGCACGTCCCATGCACCTTCCTCCGCCGGGAGACATACGTGACTTTTCTTGAAGCAAGTCGGCCACCTTTGACTCTCCCCCTCTACCTCGTCGTTTTTTGGCTCCCCCCTCTCTTCCATCTTCGCCATTCGAGACAGTATTGACTGATCGGTCCTCGTTCAACATCTTTTCTTCGGAGCCCAGAACTCTCAGCAGAGGAGCAGATCATCACCTTCTACGTACAAAGCTTGCCACCGTGACTCTTTGCCAGCGGGGAAAAGCTGCCAGGCGCAACCGGTTACATGATCGCAATGCCGACTCAAGACAACTTATTTGGCGTCAAGCCTGCACAGCAAGTGTTTCTATTTTGCGTTCCGTTCTCCAGCTTGGAAGTGTCGTCAACTGACAGCACACAAGACCGCACAATGAAGGCCCCTACCACACAGAGAAAGGCGTCTATCACTCCACGGCGATTCACGGTGCCGAACTAACGGCCAACCTCGAGGCAAAGATCAAGAACCCCCTCGCCGGCATACCCAAGCACGAACTCATGGCCCAGGTGGAGGACTTTGCTGATGAGAAGTGCCTTGCCGAGTACACTGACTTGCTGAAGAAGGGCGCTTTGATCGCCCAAGACCCCGAGAACTACGAGGGTATCCCGGGAGAGAATCAACTCACTCAAGATGAATGTGATGCCCTTCAGGCCGAAGTGCATCACAAATGGAGGGTTCCCAGGATGCTCTTTGTGACAATGATAACCTGCTCAATCGGGGCTTGTGTCCAGGGCTGGGATCAGGAAGGCAGCAATGGCGCGAATCTCTCCTTTCCCCAGGCCCTTGGGATCGATTTGAGCAGTACATATGGAACCTATATACAAGGTCTGATCAACTCCGGTCCTTATATCGGCAGCGCGTATGTTCGTCCTCGTCTACTTCTCTTGAAGTCAACTGACTCGGCAACAGGCTGTTCGGATGTTGGGTGTCGGACCCTCTGAATTTCTACTTTGGACGGCGAGGCAAGCGACACACTGTAAGGTGGATGGTTCCATGCTGACAATATCATCAGGGGCCATCTTCATTGCGGCGAACTTTTGCTGTTGGCCTGTGATTGGCAGTGCCTGCGCTCAAACCTGGCAGCAGCTTCTTCTTTGCCGTCTCCTTGTGGGAATCGGGATGGGCGTAGAGGGAAGCACTGTCCCCATTTTTGCCGCCGAAAACTCTCCTGCTGCTATCCGCGGTGCTCTTGTCATGAGCTGGCGTAAGTATGCCCAGAATATCACCACCTGTGATAGCATGCTAACACATCGTTACCAGAGTTGTGGACTGCGTTCGGCATTTGTCTTGGAACCTGCGCGAACCTTGTCGTCGGTAGGACCGGCGTGATCTCGTGGCGGCTCCAGTTTGGCAGCGCCTTCATCCCAGCTATCCCTCTGATGGTTCTCATCTTCTTCTGCCCCGAGTCGCCTCGTTGGTACATGAAGAAGAATCGCTACCCACAAGCAATGAAGTCACTTCTCCGACTCCGCAATCACGCCGTCCAGGCAGCTCGAGACCTTTACTATATCCATGCTCAGCTCGAGGTTGAGAGGGAGATCATACACGGCTCGACGTACATTCAGCGCTGTATCGAACTGTTCACCATCCCGCGCCTCCGACGCGCCACCTTGGCCTCTTTCGTCGTGATGATCGCCCAGCAAATGTGCGGGATCAATATCATCGCATTCTATTCATCCACCATTTTCGAGCAAGCCGGAACCTCTGCTTACATCGCCCTTATAGCCTCGTTTGGCTTCGGTCTTGTCAACTTCGTCTTTGCCTGGCCTGCTATCTGGACCATTGACACCTTTGGTCGGCGGTCTCTACTCTTGTTCACATTTCCAAACGTAAGCTTCAATCGCTGAATTTTCTTTCGTGATATCACCTCACACGCTTCATTTGCAGATGGCCTGGGCTCTCCTTGCCGCCGGCCTTTGCAACCTCATACCTGGGACAGGATCCGCTCATCTTGGCTTCGTCGCCCTCTTCATCTACATTTTTGCAGCCTTGTATTCGCCCGGAGAGGGTCCAGTGCCCTTCGTATATTCCGCCGAAGTCTTTCCCGTTGTCTCACCGTGAGGTCGGAATGGCCTGGGCCGTCGCAACCTGTTTCTTCTGGGCGGCTGTTCTCACGGTATCTTTCCCCGCCATTCTCAAGGCTCTCGGCGTCATCGGCGCTTTCTGCCTGTACGCAGGATTCAACCTGGTCGCCTTTGTTATGATATTCTTGTGCGTGCCAGAGACGAAGCAGCGCACTCTCGAGGAGCTGGATTATGTATTTGCTGTGCCCACCCGCACCTTCATCAATTATCAGCTCAAGACCTGGCTGCCCTGGTTTATCAAACGCTATGCGTTTCTTGACAAGAGTGCGAAACTCGAACCACTGTATCATTTTGATCGTGTTGGAAGATTTGTGAGCGGGGAGAGCGACACGACCGACTCGAAAGCACGGGATGACGCAAGGGAGGATCAGAGCGACGAAAAAGCATAATTCACCGCTCAATCGTGACGTTTGCCATTCTTTCGTCGATGGATATGTTGAATAGGTGGTGAGGAGCAGCCCAACCTGGATACAAGTTTGGGTAGACAGTAGTACTGGGTTCACCTTGCTGGTTGATATTACTCATTCATGTGCCTCTCCTGTGTAGTACCTCGTCTCGACTGTATCTCCAGGGCACGTATCGTTGGTATATCACCGGCTTCATACAGCCAAGTATGCACTCAAATGAGATCTAATCATTATCACCAGGTTTGCTCAGTTTTCCCAGTACAACAGATGCTTAAAAGATTGTTCCTGCGCGCTCATGCATTCACAAATTCCTAGTCACGCCCTCAGATGCGTAGCTGCAGTGAGCCTCAATAAGAAAATTGATAACGAGCAGAGGAATGTTACCTCCGGCAAGCTCGAACAGCATCCCAGAGTAGTTTCGCGCTCAATTCACCCTGCCGCTTAGACTGCATGATAAGATGCGTAGTCGCTCAAGCTGGTCTCTCGGTTTACAAAATTGAAGATAAATTGTTGAGTGTCCAGAAAAACACGCATAAAGATCAAAAGAGGTTCTCAATCAAGTATCACCCACGTATTAGAAGAGACGTTGGGGCGGAACATGGTGTAGGACACTAGAGAAGTGTGAGTCGGCGCGGCTGAAGTGTGCATCCACCTTCCCCTTGAAGTCTGCACATTCGATACCTTTTCACAAGCCATCAGGAGGATCGACCATGTCATCCCAGCTGATTGCTCTCTCCTGCATCCAACTATGTAGCGCATTCCAGTCTACACACACGTGTTGTTGAGGAACGTGGTTCGCCGGTTTGACGCGACTGTGCGATGTCCATTGAAAGGTCCAGAGGTTCAGGTCGGCCGAGCATAACAATTCTTGACGAAGTGACTCAAGGCAATGGTCCATGTGCTCATGAACTTCCTCCCAGTCGGTGGCGTTGCCGCTGTAATAATAGTCGGGGTACATGTACTGCTTGATTCTTTTCTGTGGAAAAGATTAGCTGTGTTTTGGGGTTCATGATACAATTGGAAGTCATCTTGCTTGAACCAAGATCAGGGCAGAGAGAAATTCAGACGAGATGAATATGGGAACCACCACCCACTACACTACTCACAAGACAGTGCAACGAATGCGAAACTCCAATTGCGCCGATATATCCACCGTCCTTTGATCTGACGGATGTCGCATTGTTGGCCTGAAGAAGCTCCTCCTCTGACAAGCGGATCAAAGTCCCGTCGAGCATCTCGTGCCAGGCTTGATCAAGCTCCGGTCGTGGCTCACCGGAGAATCTTGAAGATTCTGGATCATCCATGAGCCATCTGTTGACATAGCGCACAGGTGCAGGGGCTCATGACCCTGTCAGCTACGATGTATCGATCTGTGACACTTTGATCAATCTCTTTGTACTTACAGTAGGGTATGACCACATTGGTCGTGGGTGAGGAGCAGTGCTGCAAGTGTGCGCTCTGCAACCTGCGCACGACCACTCCCAGGAGTAGCAGGATGACCATCATGGCGAGCCCTAAGGCCATGAAGCATCTTCGACGCCATAAAGAGACTCGGTAGGAAAGTATTGAAAAAGTGTCTGTGCAGCCCTCATTGGAGCTTAGTGGTTCGTATGCTGCTTTCTCCATTGCAGACCGCAAAAGTTGTCATCTAACCGATCAAACGCAGGAATGAGAAAGACCTGGATGATAAGTCAAGACGGCGTGTGGAATGAGAATGACAAGGCACATGAATGAATTGTTCTCTGACGCCTCCCTTCGAGTGAATCCACACATGTCCTCCCAAGGCAAACACGTGGAGTGGGATAAGAATCAGCCCCGGGAAGCGTTGTTACGCTGTGATTTGGCATGTTTCGCAAGAAATTTCCCGTTATAGGACTGAATTATGGCGTTTGGATCCGCCCAAGTGGTCGTATTTGCCTCAAAACCGTAAAAGATGACTGCATCGGCACGGCCAACCGACCTTGGAACCCGGCGAGGAGCCTAGTTAGGTACAACAGTCCTATCGGAACCCAGCAAGTGGTGTTCTGTTCCTTTGCAGTGTCGCAGACCTTTGGGCTTGCTTTTCAGCTGCGGCAGACTTGTTGAAGACAAATCACGGGTCGCACTAATGTGAGTGACCCAACACAGCTTACGATCGGCTCAAGATGGTGTACAAATGCAACCGCAACCCTCTGAGTTCCGATGGCACACTCTTGGGCGACTAGCTTGCAGATACTCCTGTTCTTCCTCCTCCTTGATTGGTCACATGCCATGCTTGCTGGAGCGTCTGTTTGCGCTTGTCGCCTGGTAATATGCGCAGCGTTTGCGACCATCCAATGTAAATATGGCTGCCAGAGTCGGTCATTACCTTATTCAGCGACGTGGCTGTACTAAATGCAACAGTGTGCCAGCTGCGAAGCTATGTCACGTATTGAGAGAAGGCCGAGTTGAAAATACACTCGTAAATATTAGTGCAAGGTCGTAGACCAAGACCGCAGCCTTGTCTCTTGAAAGCCTAGAGCCCGGTCCGGCAGCCTATCGAGCCTGAAGAATCCAATCTGTCCTCCTTTTTACGGCACATATCACCTCTTTGATCCAGTCCCTAATTTGAGACGGAAGCCCGTACATGTTTACTCGTCGTCAACCTGACAAGACCCGCAATCAACTTCGTTTCGAGCCGTCCGGCTCATGTCATTCCTGAAGTCCCGCTTGAAAAACAACGCATCAGCGTCGAATTCAGTAGAGCCGTCACGCTTCAGGACATCATTGTCTGATAAGTGTTAGCCGATTTACCATAGAATTCAAGTTGGAGCGAATCATACAAGACAGCCCGTCGTGATGGACAGTCGGCGCAGCAAGGACGACGCCTGCCGCGGAGAGGTACAGCCAAGCGAAGAACCGCATTGTGAGTTGATGGTGCCGGCTGCTGAGATCCTATGACAATGGATGTAAATATAGTAGGCGATTCTAAATGAAACTCAAGATCCATTGCGCAAGACTGAGGTTCTTATATCACGTTGATTTCACCCTGAATTCGTTGCGTGCGCTCCGGCCCCCACACGAGGGTATTGTGCCGTACACTAAACGTCTGATGGGGTAACCACAAAGCTGACATGTATTTGAGGGCACAAATCAATTTGAAGAAACGTCTTCAATCACATAGTCCGGCGCTGATCCTTGCATGAATCACCCCCCAGCTGAAGATGACTGCATTGGCGCGCAACCATTATGGCAATGGCAACGCCTCGGTAGTTCTCTGGAGGATAGGAAGCAAGCTACGTATCTCGGGTTTCAACGGAGTTGGCAGAGCAAGAGCCTTTCTTTGGCGTTAGCTTCTCTTAAATCTGCCTTGTACCCAGGTGTGACTTGAATCATCACTTCCAAGGTGATGCCGGGTGTCGCTGCTCTCCTGCCGTTCACGCACAAATTACCAAGAACTTCCATATCATTCGTTTCTCTCTTTCAAAATCTGCGCATCAATCACAAATCAGTTTGTTAACCTCAAGCTGCCATGACGGCTTATGAGGACTCTGCGGGCCTGATTGCAGGCACGGTGGTAATGCAGGTTTTCTCGACCGCAGCCGTTGGCCTCAGACTCTGGTCAAGGCTGGGGAAAGGCCAAAGCAGTTGGGCTGCGAGCGAGTGGCTCATCATTTGTGCTTGGATAGTCGGTCTAGGGCTATCCATTATGGAGATCTATGGTCAGTCTCCTGGTGTCAAGAGGCTATGTCCCTCATAACATTGATCTGCAAGAACAGGTGTTGCGATCAAAGCTCTCGCTGTTCCCCTGAGAAGCACAGTATACGATGCCGGCTCATCTAACTTGAGACTGGTTCAAGCTACACAAGTAAAAACCCGTCTTCATCTATTATTCTGTCTTCTTTTTCTCCTCTCCTTTACCAGGCTCCCAGCCTCCCAGCCTCCTATCCTCCTATCCTCCTAGTCGCTTCGTTATTTAGCTGTTCTATTTCATCTTGTGAGAATTGCGCGTTGAGAACTAACTGTGTGTCCTTTGCACTGTAGATAGAGCTGGCCTGTATGGTCATCGGGGTTGCTGCTATGGGACTCATCAAGCTATCCGTGTGTCTTCTTTACTGGCATATTTTCGGCAAGGCGCAAATTCTACGAAGGGTTTTGATCATCTGGATATTTATGAACATCGCCTGGACGATCGGTTTCGTTGGTTTCTTGCTGGGGCAATGTGGCTCTCACTTGCTCGCTTTGTTTAGTGCAAAAGATCACTTGACCTACTGTGAGAAGCATCCCTTAGCAGGGTATTTCTGTGAGTCCAAGCCGAACCGTGTATAAAGTTTCCTGGCAACCTCACCCTTCCAACCAAGGAGAGATCACTGACAGAGTATATGGGCTAACAAGTGATGGGAACCGATATCGCCATGGACTTCATCATGCTCATCATCCCCGTTCCCATCATACTGAAGCTGCAAATGACCAAACGTACCAAGTTTCTCGCTTTAGTAACCTTCATGGCCGGCGCTCTGTAAGGAGAACATTTGTCCTTCTCTCCCCAAGCGCCTTTCTATTGACTGATATCCCACAGCTGTCTCAGCGGATCCATTGCCAAGGCCTACATCTACATCAAGGCCAGAGAGGACCGCTTTTTCTGGGATGGAATTAGTAGGTTATGCTCAACATTCTGATACCACTTGTGCCTTCACTAATTAGCTCGAAGCCCTGATTACTGCGCTTTCAATCTGGAATCTAGCAGAGGTCCAGATCGGCATTGTGGCTGCCTGTGGGCCCACACTCCGGCAGCCACTGGCTCGCCTCATGCCTTCGACCGAGGCCGTCACCAGTCTGCTGTCAAAGATTGGTCTGCGTCGGCACTCCGAGAAGATCAAGTCCAACCACATTCCTAGTTTTGTACAGCCACCCCAGCAGGCCAGCACTCAGTCCCTCCAGGACATCAGTCGAGTCGCTCTGATAGTCACCCAGAAGAATCAGAGCGAGTACAGTCACTTGGAAGATCACAGCGTCCCTTCCACAACAGCATAGATTGGAAGCCATGTACGTCACGCTCGATGGTATGACGGTACACTGGGACGGAACTAATGCTTCTGGCCCTCACAAACTCGGAGACAATTGCCGACTTGGAGCAACCTTCCCGTCTCCCTCTTATTCTCAGTCAGACAAGGACATACTCAGGGTCCCACGACACAACTAAGCGACCGCCGACAACACCGCACGGAACATTTAGAGAACGAAGGCCCATCGCCTGCAAGGGGAGCCACCCGCGCCAGCATCCAACGAACGATGGTCTGGGAGCTGGATGGTCGGGTTCGGAAATTGCGCCAACTTCATCTCGGCCAACATCTTCTTCAAGTGGGAGTCGCCCAGATATCCCACAGGATTCACATCAGGCCTAGCATTCACTATCGTTGGCCTTTTCACGGCTTGTGCTATCTGCGCGCTGCTCGTCTGGAAAAACAGACAGAGGGACACAGCTCGTGGGCTGATGAGCGAGCAAGAGAGGGAGCGTCATGATGAGGTGCATTTCAGGCTCGTTTATTAGGAGCATGGGCATGCCTAGCTGGAAATAGGCTTGATCTCCATCTGTCAGTCAAAATACGGTGCAGGATCTGGGGAAGAAGAGATCAACAAGATTTCTGATGACGCTAGATTAAAACGCACGATCTCGCAGTGCCTACATAGGACTGTCGAAAAGCTTCTAAACGTTCAACGCCGGTCTGGTGTTCGCACTTATTTTCCAGGTTTGGCCGAGTCTGGGTAGACAGAAGGTGCAAAGGCCATCACTCCACGGTCAGTGCCTTTCAGTGACCAAACTTCAGCCTGGGACCTTCGGTCTCTCAACTTCCCTGCCCAAACAACCCGCCTGGACTGACTCTCTCCTTCCCAGCAACCTTCAGATTTTGTCTCTGCCAGTCACTTCACTTCACTTCACTTTCCCCCCCTTTCTGCAGCAGCCACCTCTTTCCCCGTGGCCGAGCAGCTCCGTTCTTCCACCCCTTCCAACTTCGGCTTTCAGTCTCTCGAGACCACAATCCTGCACACAACGAACTGTCTTCTCATACGCTTCTGACATTGTCCGAGCTGTGGAAACACTCTTGCATGTGTATTTCTCATTTCGAACAGCGGCATTGAACAAATTCGAGACAGACAATTTGCACAGCTGGCCAGCCACGCGCCGAGGAGCGCGCCGAGGTCATCGCACAGGACAAGAAGGAGATACTACGCCAGGTCAAGCTGCGCTGGCTGGGGCTCAATGGCTGCTTCAGAGGCACAGAGCTGGACAACCCCTCTTTCGTACCGTCCAAGGGCAGACGGTGGGCCAGAGTCTTTGATGAGGAGCACCCCAACGCCAAAGCTTGGTTAGACAAGCTGCCGGCCTTCTCGTTTGCTGTGCGGGTGCACGCTCATGATTTCGAGGAGGAGACAAGGCTGTTGAACGCCAAGAGGGCCCGCCTCAGGGGGGGAAATGAGCACAGGCGCTGGGCCGACATGCCCTTGAGTGTGGCGGCATTCAGTTGGACGAACTGGTAGGCAGAGTCGGTCGGCAGTTTGATCTCCATACGGTTCCTGCCCCCAAGGAATGCCACTCGGAGTATTCAGAGGATCATGCAACTGCTCGACATCAACAAAGACAAGAACGGCTCGGGGGCGCCAAGGTTGAGGCATGGACAGGCACGGATGGGAGAAAATGCCGACAATTTTGATGCAACACATCTGGTACTCCCATAGCAGCAGGGCTACGGCGGCGATGTTTTCAGTCGAGCGCGTGGCGCATCCCTACACAATACATGAGGTTCTTTGCTAGACAAGCACATACTCATGATCATCAACAATAACAAGCGTGGCAGGTGATGTGACAACTCCCTATGCATTTTGCAATCCCACCTGCTTTCGAACAAACAGTAAGTAGCAGTAGTACTCCTGCGGAACCTGACGCCATGCTATGAGAAGACAATGCTGGCCACGACACGAGCAAGCCCTGGGTATATCCACCCCGTTCTGTTTTTGACAACAAACGCACATCAAATCAACGCCCTCCTCTTTACTCCTGCAGCTGCCTCGACCCGAGTGACTGTTTCCTCCTCCTTTGCGTTTTTGCCTTTGCTTGAACTCTGCCCTTGAATATGATCTGTCCTTGTGCTCGGTAGATATGATGATCCACAATCGATGCCAGTCAAATGTAACAATTTCCCCACTCCATCCACGTACTTCTTAAGCTACTAGTTCTTCCTCGTCATCCTCAAACGTCAGTTCGCTCCGCGGCTTGTACGCAGGCGTGGTGCTCGTCACCCTGCTAAGGAAGCTCGGCCTAGCCGGTGTAAAGCTCGGCCGCGCGGGCGTCCGGAAGGGCGTGTAGTCGGTGACCATCCTGGACCTCCTCCCATCGTTTACCGGCGCGGGCGTATTCCACCTCGAATTACGCCTCGTCGCTCGGAAGTCCATCATGCCGCCGAGCTCGGGCACCCGGTCCCCGCCAGGCCCAACGCCGCTCGTCTGCGAGGCCCACACCCCGAAGAAATGGCGTCGGTCCCGCCGCGCGTTGTGGCCCATAAACTCTTGCGCTGCGCGGTCGCGGCCCCGCAGGGACACCGACGCCAGCTCCCAGGCCTCCCAATACTGCGACGCCGTCTGCGCGAAGTTGTACTCGGCCGCGTCCAGCCGGCCCTCATCCTGAGCCTCGATGAGAGAGTGCCAGAGCACGAGGTGGGCCTCCTTGTCGGCGTCCTCGGCGACCTCGGTAGAGAACGTGTAATACTCATGCTTCTCGCGCCAAGCCTGCGCGACGTCGAAAATCAGGCCGCCATCGTCTTCGGCGCGGATGTCGTCTGCCTCCCAACCACTAGTTACGACCTCGGCAGACTTTTGCCGCCACGAGTCGAGGCTGTCCCTGAGCGTGTCGCAGCGAACGCGGTAGCGGAAATCCTTGTATAGCTTGCGCATGCGACGTTGCCATTCCTGCCGGCGCACGTCGCGCCAGTGCTTCATGACGCTGTCACTAATCGAGTAGAAACGACCCAAGCGGGACCAATTCTGAAGCCGGCTGACGGGCTCGAGCTGGCTGCGCCATTGCTCGATGGCCTTCGGCACCACGCGCTGGAGGATCATGCCGCGGGCGTGCATGGCGCCTATTTCGAGCTGCTCGATAGCGTCGATCGAGGCGTTGAAGAAGCCCGTGATCGAGTCGTGGTAACGGACTTCACGAGCCAGATGGCGCATATTGCGGCTGTTGTTGTATGACTGCCTCGCCGCGTCGATCCACTTCTCACAGAAACGTGCCCGGTCCTGTCGCTGGGTGACGCGTCTGCACAAGATCAGACGCCATTCGCAGTACCAGTGATAGGTGGTACTGTCAAGTGCTTCCGCATCCTGCTGCTCCTGCCAGGCCCTCAGCCTCGTCTCATACATCCAGTGCTTTGCATGCTCCTTCAGGTCCTGAAGTATCGCAGCTTTCTCGCGGCCCTTGCACTCCTCAGCTTCCTGGCGCCAGGCAAGTGACAGGCCGGACCTCAGAAACTCGTCCCTACGAACAATGATCGGTCCGGCACCATCTTCAGCTCTTTCTTGTACGCGCGCTGATGTCTTCCAATGCCTCATGTATCTTCCGAGCATGCTACCTCGGAAGATGCCCTCAGCTTCTTCGTGAGCAGAAGAAAGCCAGCCGGATTCGCCCTGCCAGTGATAGAAGCATGCCGACCGCAAGCGAGTGTGATCGATTGCCATAGCCAGTTGCACCTTGGATTCTTGGTACCATACGACGAGGGCGTCCTCGGCTAGGTCACGCCTGCGCCGACGAATAGCAAGCGCATGGGCCCGTCTATGCTTGCCGGATTGACTCTGTGCAGCATCCCGCCAGTCCCTCATAGCGACCAGCTGAGAGAACCACACCGCTTTGCTTTCCGACTCAGATTCATCTCTATCCCCGTCCCCAATCCAAGCGGTGAAGCATTTTTTCCGAAGAATGTGGCGTCTTGCGACCTGCGTCCGTTGCACTTCTTCATCTGCACGATTAGCCCAATGTGTGAATGCTTTCGACAGGATGAAGTAGTCCCACGCCGCGGCTGCTATGTGGTACTGTGAGCGAAGGCTGAGATCACTGTCGAGCCAAGCCTCTTCGTCTCGCTCTTCCGGCGCATCGTAGAACGAATCTTGCCTGGAACCTAGGTTCGGAAACCATTCGCTGCTGAAGGACTGCATCTGTTGAGCTTGGAATTCTTGAAAGCGCCCGTCCGGTGCTGGCCGATATGGCAACTCCTCGACAAACGTTCTCTCGCCTGACGGTGACTTGCCCATGGCTTCTCTATCCGCGTCTCTCAAGTCGGACACTGCCCGGGGCGGCGCAGCAGATGACCTGAGACGTTCGATAGATTGTCGGACGCGCGGCTGGTTATTTTCGACAGAGGGAACTGCCGGGACTGCAGCAGCGCCTTCAGCGCCGCGCTCAGCAGACTCCCTGTTGCGCTCGAGTCCCTCCATCTCACGCATGTGATCTTGATAAGCCCGGAGACCATCGTTCTCGTCAATGTGCATAGTAAGCGCAGTTTCAATCCAGACCTCAAGAGCGTCACCCATCGTGCCCCAGGCATCCCACACCTCGGCGTTTGCCTCTAATTCAATGTTTCGAGTCTTGGTCTGACGGGCGATCCTGGCCCAATGGTTGAAGGATGACATCCTAAACATCTGCTCTCTTGACATGAGGTAGTTCACCTGGGCTTTGTTCATATCCTGCTCGTCGACAGCGTCCCTGAAAGGTAATTTTACCGAGTATTCGTCGTGTCGTAAATCGTTATATTCCTCATTGATGCGTTCTGTTTCTCGGGTGTCGTGTTCTTCCTCATACTGGGGAGGGTGTTCCGGGAGGCTCGGCTCCTCGACGTAGTCGGCCTCGTCCCCAACCAAGTCCATGCTGCTGGAAACGTCATCGTCAGAAACTACCCCATTGGACAAATGGCCTCCCACTTGTCCCTCTGGGCCCCGTGCGTGGTGGCCGAAATTACTGAAGTCTGGAGGAGCCCGGTTCTCCGCCCGGGTCGAAGGTCTGGTATCGATATCCTGCCCGGAACTTGGCGGTCGGGGGTGGGCTGACCCGTTGAGCCCTTTGCTCGGAGCATCGGCTTCCACACCACTCCCAGGTTTGGGACGGTAAGGGAAATTCTCGATGGTAGACGGCCCGCTGGCGTTCTGGTCCCAGGAACGTTCGGAGATGCTCTGTGTTTCTACCACGTCCGAAAATCTGACGCCCTTCTTGTTTGACTCCGGCGTCTCGCCCGCGGCCGAGTGTGCCCGAGTGTGCCGGATCGGAGGCTCTATACTGGACAGCTCGTTCCCAGGCGCAACAAAGGACAGAGCAATGCTATCCGAATTACGTCTCCGGCGCGGCGCGTAATGCATTGGACTGGGCGAGCCGTACCTGTCCTGCGGCGGAACAGGCAGCGCAAGACCTGGCTCTGGTGGCGAAGACTCGGCGCGTTGAATGATGTGTGGTCTTGGGGTGGGCCCGCCTCCGGGCTCGCCTCCCGTCTGATCACCGTCACTCAAGTCCCCATCATCACTCTCTGCGGTTGAACTCATCTCGTCATCTGTATAGACGACTTCGATGCCCATGTTCGCTAGCACGGATCTGAACTTGTCCACCAGCGTCTCATCGTTCCTGTTTGCACCGATGCGGAATAAGAGGCGCGAGATGTGTGGGACGTCCTCCGAATCGTAGCCATATTTGGGGAGGATTTCGTCGGCAGCCAGGAACAGCGCATTGGTGGGGAGTCGCTCCCGCTCGGGTAGTGTGTCGAGGATCTCCTCGCCATGGGCAACGATCTCATGGAGGATGGTGATTTCTGTTGTGCGCGCACACTGTGAGTATCAAGTCGCGCAATGGCAGGGGAGGTTGGGGAGGGGTGGACCATACCCTCGTTGCTGTAATATGGCTCTGGCCTGGTGTGAATGGGGGTTGGAGAGGGGCGGTCACTACCACTTCCTCCATCGCCCCCATTCCCGTTGGGAAGAGGTGTGTTGTTGGCGGCGCGTTGCATGGAATCCAGAACAGGTGATTTGACCTCGATGTCGCCGTTGTTGCCGACCTTGACCTCGACCTGTATCTCGCTGAAAGTGGAGTCTGTTGTCTCCCTCTCATCCGACGGGCTGGTGCTCTGTATCGTGGAAGGGGAGCCCCCTCGACTAAGGGTGGCTGGTGGTACCGGTAGCATTTGCGAAAAGGACGGGTGCGCCGCGGATACATGTCGAGCGGGAGACAAAACAGGGCGAGAGAGGTTAAGCGGTCGAGCTGGCAGACGAGCGTTCGAGGCCAGGAGAGTGCGCGATGCGATTGAGCTTAGGAGAGGTCAGCAGGTCGGATCGAGGCGATGAGCGCGCAAAAACAACAGCTGGCTCAGCTCGTTGCGGCCGTCTTAGGGTCGGGGCAGTCGAGAGGGGTTGCAGTATATCGATGCATTGAATTTCCAATTGCAAGGGCCAAAAGAGAGCGGAGCGAAAACAATGGCAGCAGACGGGGCTTGAATAGCGTGTTGCGCGAAGACAATGGGGAAGCGCGTTGCTCTGCTGCCGTAGATGGGATCGCGTATCGGGGAGGCTGAAAAGAAGATAGCGTCTTGGGGACCTCTTCGCGCCAGGCGATCAGAAAGAAACGGGCGTGGTCTTGAATGGCTCTCATTGGGAGACACTGGCAGCGGGTGGCCCCCTGGTGCCCCCCTCCCCAAACCCCAGAGCCCTGCGGCACACCAGCCACTGGTTGTCATGGTTGCAGTGGAGCCGCCCGAGGGCGATCACCGTTCAGGAGGTTACCCCTGCACCGTCTTGGGTACGGTCGACCAGGCCGTTTCAACACCAATGAAATCATCGACACATGGACTTCTCCAGACCAAAGGCTGCATGAACTGCACGACTCAAGACACACTCTGCATTTCCTGTTCATCTCAGCTCCCTGGCCTAGATCTCACCCTGCTCTTCGACTAGATCTTCTTCCAATACTACTTACCCTGTTCGCTCGGACGAAAAGAGCAGAGAGCAGGCAACATGCAACCAGCAAAGCCAACAAGACCAATCCAGAAGTTTGCTACCGCTGCGTCAAAATGCACGGCCGAGGTGAGCCCCTAGTTGATGGGATGGGTCATCTACTATTGAGATGGTGTTGACCATGGATTAGTCCGTAGTGTATGGCAGGTGTATCGTGGCAGACTACAACTCAGTGCACAAGGATAAGTGTGCCGCTGAGTTCATGAAGTTGAAGGATTGCTATTTGGTACTTCTGCCCCTGACGTCCCGCACGCGTTCTTGGAATTGACCTGTTCACAGAAAGCATACAGGTCTAGATGAGCACGTAGAGCAGCATGGAACACTCTGGATGGTCGGTCTATCATGGTCTTAATTTCTTCCCTTTTAGCAACGGCCATCCACAATGGCTTTCTATCATGAGCTCTATAGCTTCAACAACCGCAACAAGAAAGTAGCAGACTGCACTTCTTGCAGCTCCTCAGCAATCACACCCTCCTGTTCGCCCTTGGGGATCTCGCCATCCACCTGCGTAACAGTGTGTTTGTCCATTGGCCGGCGGAGCGCCTTCTCTAGCTGCTTCGACTGCGTGGCGAATACCTCCTCGATACCTAGGTTCTCCGGGTCAGACAACACGTTGTACTCCATCTTGATGTCATCCGTTGGCTGCAGGCCGGCCTTCTTGCGGAGCTTCTGCACCCTGTTGATGATCTCACGGGCAAGACCCTCTGCCTTGAGCTCGGGATACATCTGGCAATCCAGGATGGTCAGGACATCACTGTCTGTGTTCACTTCCGAGTTCTTAGTCGACTCATCCTCTTTGATACCGCGGCGGACCACCAAGTCTCCTTCCACCAGTTCGATGCCGTCCACGTTGATCTTGCCTAATGCGACGTAGTCCTTGACCTGGTCACTGGTGACGCCTGGCAGGGCCTTCTTGACCTTGCCCATATCCTTCTTGAGCTTCTTGCCGAGCACTGGCCAGTCGGCCGTGACGCTGTACTGGACGTTGTAAGAAGCCTCGTCCGACGTAAGGATCAGGTCGCGGACGTTGAGCTCCTCTGCAATATAGCCCTCTAGAGATCGAACATCCTCTAGATAAGTGGCGTCTGTGTGGATGACAACCAGGGTCTTGAGGGGAGTCTTGACTCCAATAGCTTTGCGCTCACGTGATACTCGGGCCAGGTCGATGATGTTCTTCATACGGCTGACCCTGCGCTCAATCTCCGGGTTGAAAAGCTCCTTCCGGACCTCAGGGAACTTCAGGAAGTGCACGCTGCGGGGGTCCTCCTCCCGCAGGCTCTCGGGGATGAAAGGAAGGAGTCTCAGGTAGATGTTGTCGGTGATAAAGGGCATGAAGGGGGCGAGTCCTCTGCAAAGAGTGTACAGAACCTCGAAGAGCGTGTTCAAGGCGTGCTTGGTGTCCTCGACACCATTCTCTCCCTTGAGCCGCTTTCGGTTGAAGCGGATGTACCAGTTTGTGGTGTCGTCGATGAGCCCAAGCAGCCTAGGAGTCACTGTGTACAATCGGTACCCTGGTACAGGTCGTTAGCATGGCTAGTCGGGCATGTGGAGAAGGGAGGGGGGGTTGCTCACCGTCCATCTCTTGATTGACCCACTCCAACAGACTCTGACAGCTGGCAAGAATCCACTTGTCCATGACATTGGTGTTCGTGGACTCCATGGTGGGATCCCACTGGTAGTCCACGTCTTCGATCTTCTTGAACAGAGCAACCTGGGCGTTGAAAAAGTTGAAGCTGTTCCACAAGGGCAGCAGCACCTTCTGCACAACCTCCTTCACACCGGCCTCCTTGAAGCGAAGAGGCTCTGCTCTCACCACGGGCGAGTTTATCATGTACATACGCAGAGCGTCGCTACCGTACTTCTCCATGACGATGGACGGGTCGGGGTAGTTCTTGAGACGTTTTGACATCTTCTTACCATCTTCGGCAAGCACGATACCGTTGACCACGCAATTCTTGAACGGCATCTTGCCGAACAGATGCGTGCCCATAACAACAAGAGTATAGAACCATCCTCGAGTTTGATCCAGACCTTTTTTCCAATGTCAGTGTGCTGCGATAACAGCAGGTATACCTGGAGATGCTTACCCTCGGCGATGAAATTTCCCGGGAAAGACTCCTTGAACTTGTCCTGGTTCTCGAAGGGGTAGTGTTGACTGGCAAAGGGCATGCTTCCTGACTCGAACCAACAGTCAAATACCTCCTCGATACGCTTCAGTTGGCCCTTGCCCTGTTTGCTGGGGATGGTGATGTGGTCGATCTTGTCACGGTGGATATCCGTCAGCTCTCCCTTGTAACCACTCAGCTCCTTCAGCTCCGCAACGCTGCCGACGCAGATACGCTCCTCGCCGTCATCACTTTGCCAGATGGGGATCGGGGTGCCCCAGTATCGGTTCCGCGAGATGTTCCAATCACGGGCGTTCGTGATCCAGTTCGCAAATCGCTTCTCCTTGACGAACGATGGTGTCCAATGGCTGGACTCGATCTCCTTCAGCATCTGGGGGACGATCTCGGGGATGCGGATGAACCATGAAGGAACGGCACGATAAATCAAAGGGGTGTCAGACCGGGGGCACATCGGGTAACTGTGCTTCAGCTGTGAGTCGACCACCAGCCTTCCTTTGTTCTTCAGAGCCTTCACAATGTGCTTGTCAGCTTCTTTGACGTGCATGCCCTCAAAATCCTTCACTTTTGAGGAGTAGCGACCGGTCTCATCAAGCGGGTCAGGCGGCGGCCGGTCTTCGGTCACAATTCCAGCGTCTTTCGCAATACTGAAATCGTCCTGATTTTTGTCAGCTTCACGGTCATGGGGCGGCAGCTTGTGGGAGTGCCTACCTCACCAAAGGCTGGCGCCTGGTGTACGATACCGGTACCACTGTCGTCCGTGACATATGTACCGTTCAGGACCCTGAAGGCAACCTCCTTGAACTCTTCGTGGTAGTAGTCAAACAAGGGCTCATACTTCCAGCCAAGCATGTCCTTGCCCTTCACCTTCTCGATCTTGAACTTTGCCTTCTTCGGATCCTTGTACAGGGTGGTCAGGAGCTTCTCGAGAAGGATGTAGTTGTCCCCTGACTTCTCATCCGCGATCTTGACGTATTCGAAATCAGGATGGACGCACAAGCCCAGGTTTGTAGGAAGGGTCCATGGCGTTGTCGTCCATGCCAGCAGCTTCGTCTTGGGGTCTTCAATGAGAGGAAATGAGACGACGACAGCTGGGTCCGTCACGTCCTGATAGTTTTGGTTTGCCTCGAAGTTACTCAGCGAGGTCGTCAGGACAGTACTGTAGGGCATGACGCGGTAGCCCTGGTAGACCTGGCCCTTCTCGAACAGCTCCTTGATAGCCCACCATTCTGACTCCATGAAGGACGTGTCCATGGTCTGATCCGCAGCTGGTTAGCTTCTCTCTGCGTGTGTGTTTGTCATGCAGACGCCCGTGTTGTTACCCACCTTGTAGTCGTTATCGAAGTCAATCCACCGTCCAAGACGCTCAATGGTCTCCCTCCATTCTGACGAGTATCTCATGACAATGCTCCTGCACTCTGCGTTGTACTTGTCGAGTCCCATTTCCATGACAGCCTGCTTCCCGGAAATTTTGAACTTCTTGTCGATCTCGTGCTCAATGGGCAGACCGTGGGTGTCCCAGCCGAAGCGTCGCTCGACATGATAACCCTTCATAGACCAGTAGCGTGGAATAATGTCCTTGATGGTTGAGGCGAGCAAGTGGCCATAGTGACTGCAGGTCGGGTTAGAGAGGCTCTGGTGCCCACAAATGCGTGTGTAGAAACGTACGGGAGACCAGTCGCGAATGGGGGGCCGTCGTAAAAGGTGTATCTCTGTCGGCCTTCTGAGAGTTTGACCTGGGCAAAATATAGTCAGCATTTTCCAGATCTGGACCGATCAGACTGAGGTGGCCTGGGGTATTACTTGTGTCTCGAAAGCCTTGATGTCCCGCCATCTCTGGATGATGTCCAGCTCCTCCTTGGGGAAGTTGATGGAGGCCATGATGGGCGCAGTCGATCAATTGTCCTCTCACTTGTAAGAGAACAAGAGGAGAGCTAGAAATGAAAGATCGGGAGCTTCTCTGGGGAGAAAGTGGGCCTGCTTTTCTTGTCCCCTTGGTCGTTGGTGGTTGTTGCTTGAGTCACAGGCGGCGAGGAAGCGCCACCAGAAAGATGACTCCGAATTGATCGGCCGCTGGAAGTTTTGGAGGGGCAGAATTTCCAGAAATCGCGGGGTACTCCGAGCATAGCACACACAGCTTGGGCACCCAAGAATTGCAGGGGGCGGCAGGGCGAGGGAGGGAATGGCTAGGCCTAATGTAGTAGCATCTCGGGGCAACGAATGTCGTTCTCTGGGCCGCCTCCTTGGGTATATACACTTTAGAAACTTGACCAAAATACCGCAACATTGATTGGGATGAGCTGTGGAAACAGAGTCTACTTGCTTAGGAGCTTTCGTGTCTTTTGCTCTGCGAAATTCCGTGATTGCGCTGTAGCGTGTGTTGGGCGTTACCAGCCTCCTCATCCCGATTAGGCAGTACCACGATAAAACACGACAACAGCCGCCTCCCTGCTTACCACCGTAGTGGGCTTGTCAGGGGTGCATGAGTATTGACGCTGGTGCTAGAGCCCGGAGCCCCAGGGAAGGCCAGGGCTGCGAGTGGTTGTTGGCCCGGACGAAAACATAAACACAGGAGGGCCCGGCTGCAACTCCCGATTGAGGTCTACCGTGTATGTAAGTGGTGCTGCCGCCAACCCAGCCCAACCCAACCCAAGCTCCAAAAAACAAAGGCGAGGTTACAGACGAACTGCTCCGTCTCTCCGCATCCCCAATTCCTCGAAAGGGCATCGTTGTCGAGACATTCCCATCCTACCTTCGAAATTGCAGTGTGACCTCACCACTTGTCGGCTCCCCTGTATCAACCCCCCGGCTGACTACTCACTGCCTGCGAGTGGTTGGTTGGTTCGTTGCGTGTGGCTCGTGGTTCGTGGTTCACGCCGCCGGGTCCCCCTCCTCGGGCTGCCCTTTGAGACCAGTCCGTCCGGCTTGGGCGTCTCCTTCACCCTCCTCCGACAACCACAACCCGTCACACGATGTCTTTCTTATTCGGGAGAAACAGGGCGCGTCCCTCCACCGTGGACTTGCCCAAGCAAGCCCGGGATTCCGTTACTAAATTAGAGAAGCTGGATGGACCGTCCGGCCAGGCAAAGGTAAAGTGCGCCGCCAGACATGGCCCGCGATGCACCACGGCCGCACAATTGACTCCCAGACTGACGTGATGGTTCCTGAGCAGGCAGAGGAGCTCGCGAAGACGCTCAGTCAGATGAAGCAGATACTGCAGGGTACACAGGGTATGCCTTAACTCCGTCCTGTCGCACCACCCTCTCTCCAACCCATCGACCGGTGCAGCTGTTGACTAGGCAGCTTGCAGAGACCGAGGCGACCCCCGAGCAAGTATACCAATTGGTTCACGGCATGATCGAGGAGGACCTCCTCTACCAGCTTGCAGTCAACCTGTGGCGGCTGCCGTTCGAGGCGCGCAAAGACACACAGGTCATCTTCAGCTCCGTCTTCCGATTCAGACCTGCCACCGCCTCGCCAAAGTCCGACCCCGTCGCCTTGAGCTGGGTAGTCAACAACAGACCACAAGTCCTCATCGAGCTCTGCAAGTGTTATGACCACAAGGAGAGCGCGACCCCGGCCGGCTCCGTCCTTCGGGAGGTCCTGAAGAGCGAGGCAGCTGCGGCTATAATTCTTTACGATGACGGCGAGGAGCAAGGGTCAAGCGCCAAGGGCATCATGGGCATCGACCAGGACAGAGCGCAGTCAGGAAACGGCGTCTTCTGGCGATTCTTTGATTGGATTGACAAGAGTTCCTTCGAGGTCGCCGCGGATGCATTCACCACTTTCAGGGCAAGTCTAATCGGGCGCGGCCTGTATCCCTCGGGCCACCAGTGCTGACAGCGCGAACAGGAGATATTAACCAAGCACAAGGATATTATACCGAGGTATCTGGCCATCAACTTCGACATGTTCTTCGATAAATACAATCACGTCCTTGTTCAATCCTCAAGCTACGTCACAAAACGGCAGTCTATCAAACTACTGGGCGAGCTTCTCCTGGACCGCTCTAATTACAACATCATGACGGCCTACGTCGACAGCGGCGAGCACCTCAAGATCTGCATGAACCTGCTGCGTGACGACCGCAAGATGGTCCAGTACGAGGGCTTTCACGTGTTCAAGGTCTTTGTAGCCAACCCTCACAAGTCCATCCCCGTACAGAAAATACTGTTGATGAACCGCGAAAAGCTTCTCCAGTTTCTGTCACGCTTCCTCGAGGACCGGACCGATGACGAGCAGTTTATAGATGAGAAGGAGTTCCTCATCAAGCAGATACGAAACATGCCAGCAGCGCCTGTGCCTCCTCAACGGTAGCCTGCCGGCAGCGCAACATTGCTGGGTACACGGCACCAGCACAGCCTTCACGAATATCGCCCTGGCCAGTTTCATCTCATGGAATCAAGGCCACACTAGAGTCTTTCACGCCGTTACGCTCGGGTCAACCCACGGAGTTAAGGGCAATTTTACACATTACATGGTTTTGAGTTTTGATGGATACGGTAGCTTGTTCAGTTGTGTTTGACGAGGCGTTCTTCCTAGGGCTCAGACCAACAGAGCGATCACATCATACGCATGCATTCCATAAGGCGTCAAGGAGAGGCAGATCCACGATGAGTGCGCATCATTTTTTTTCCGACGGAATCTCGACCTTGCGGATGAGCAGGGCAATTACTTGTTATTTCCATCACTTACATCGAGTGGTAGCTGACTATCAATCCGAAATCCCCAGGCTTGCTTGAAAGCCAATCGCTGGTGTCGGCAATGCCCGTCTGAACCGTCAGTCCTGAGGGTGAAGCGTCGTCCCATCTCCAGGGACGCCAATCGCACGGAGGACCCCAAATGACAAGCACCCTCGTAGACGCAAAGCTAACCGCATCACAATTGCATTTGTGCTCCACGGACGGCGAGAAGGTCCTCCACCATTCGATCGGGACACAAGACACGTGAATCTGCGATCCATGGCCGTGTTTAAAGAACATCAACAGGCGCACATTCGCCGACTCTTAATTCTAAAATCGGAAGGATCATTACTGTGAACAGGACATGAATGAGTATACTGGAGATTCTGGGTGCTCTGTCAGACCGTATCGCGAAATTTCATCTTGATGATGAGCTTTAGGCAGAGCTGTAGCAGGCTAACAACCTTCAGTTCGTGCACATCGCAACAAATTCCAGTAAAGTATGCTGAAACTCACCCGACTCTTTTTTGGATCCTGATTCAGGAGCGTACTACCGCGTTGCGTCAGACTCGTCGTCTGCAAATATGTGATCTATCCGCCTCACAGCAGCCCACCTCCGGTTGCCCGCCCTCGCATTCTCCTCGGCCTCCCTCAGCCACTGCCTCCATCTCCTCGTGCCGGGCGCAGCGCCGCTCCTCTCCGCCCACCGCGTGCTCTTCGTCTCGCGGATGACATACCACAGGGTCCTAGTAAAGCTCCAGAACCCGTCACACGTGTCGTTTGGGTCGGTCGTCCGGTCGGCGTGCCTCGCGTCCCGCGGAGTGACATCTCTCCACTCGTAACGGGAGAGATCCCAATAACGGCCCTTGGACACCGTGCTGGCCAGCCAGTACGCGCCGTTGAGCACGACATAGCTGGCACCGACCATGGTCTGGCCCTCGAAGCCGACGTTGCCGAGCAGCACGATGCTGACCATGAGCATCGCCGTGCCCAGCGCCATCAGCAGCTTGTGCGCCCGGTCGCCAACGTGGTACTCGCACTCGGCCGTGCCGGCATATAGCTCGCGCGCGACCTCGTCTGAACACAGCACAAGGATAAAGCCGCCCTGCTGCGTGCGGATGGCGATGTCGCCGGCGTTGACCTTGTCCCTCCGCGCGCGCGCCATTAGTACCGGCCGCCACCACGATGCATAGCCCACGATGGACGTCCCCAGGGACACGATCCCGACGGCTAGCAGGGCGACACCGTCTTTCCAGTATACCATCATGCCGATAACAACCCCTGTGAGGACGAGCGACGCAATGGATATGATGCTGGTTGTGCTGCTCCATTTTGGCGTGACCACCGGGCGTTCCTCTGTCAGCGCCGTGAATGTCTCGGACGTGGGGTCGACGGATTTCTCCCTCGGTTGTTGCCTGATCTGGTACCCTTGCTCTATGTCCGAGGTGTAAGCAGTGCTGCTCTGACGCCGCGCTCCGCTACTTGACTGGCTTCTCCTGCTGCCGTCCCGGTGGTGTTGTCGACGTCGTAGGTCTTCCATCTGGCAGGATCTTCCATCATCCACTCTGCCCTTCTCGCCAGCGAATGTGCTGTCGACACTTGGGTCCTCGCCATTTCTGTGCTTGATTTTGATGACCTTGAAGCCGTACGTGGGTAGGTCGTCCAGGGGATGGATAATATTGGCAAAGAACCCAAGTGTGTCAAGAACAACGCCCGAATAGACCCCAGTGACCTTGGCCGGATAGTCTGGCATCCGAAGCGGACGGGAAGGCTTCAAGAGGGCTTGGGGAGCAGGCAAGATCCGGGGGAGGAGGCAGAGTGCCGAGGCCTCAATCTATATATTCAACTCAAGAGCGACGATGTCAGGCCTGGTACCACACAGCAGGCGACTTACTGCTTGAGAGTGCGCTTCAATCTCAGACTCGCCAATTACGGCCAGCAGCGTGATGGCGTCTAACCTCCATGAGTCCCGGCTGTCAGGGAGCCAGCCCTCGATCCCATATGCGCCATTGGCGGCCATGTGTCTCCCTCCGACGTCTGAGTAGGGCGATTCTTGATTAGAGAAATAGTTAGTGGCATGAAGGCTTTCACAATAGAAATAATAGGCGCCACAATGTGTGAACAAAAATCAGGGTTCCGCTTGTGAGCGTAATTCTTGGTAGTCACGACACAACGTCTCACATATCTACAGGGCTTCCCCCCGCCCAGGAAGCTGGCGGCGTCGGCCTCCAAGGTTTACCACGGTTGGCATTGCGCCTAAGCTCGCTGTGAGGAGGCGCTAAATGACTGGGCAGTTGTGTGAGATTCTGGCATCTTTTCCGAATTTGCTATTCGATTCCGGGTCATCCAGATGCAATCTTGTCGCTGAATCGGTCGAAAGAAAGCTATTTCGCGGTGGCTTACACCAGAGACGGTTCCTTGGTTGCCACCTATAGACAAAGCCCGAAGCATCGCAACACCACTGGTTCAATGTTCACTTCTGCTTTTCCACCCATTCCTGGTGCTTTGCTTTCCACTCATCACGCCACCTAGTCAGTGGGGGCCTCCCTTCGATGGCATCCGACGCCCCCCAGAGCATCCGCTTGCGATCCTGCATCGACTGTTAGCCCGTATTCCTAGATGAAGAACCAACCAGCCTAGGCGGGGACCAAAAGTTTGGCCGAAAAGTCACTTACAAGCTCCTCAGTCACCTGTTCATCTGGGCAGAGAACCCAGAACTGGCCTTCAGCCATTTTCTTCTCTAGGTAGTCTACAACCTGGTCCGGCCACCACGCGCCGTCCGGCTTCTCCTTACCCGCTCCAGGCCGGTTGCCACTCAGGCCCGTGAACGTCCAGCCCGGCACGAGCAGGTGCACGGAGAGGTTCTTCTCGTCCCGCAGGTCGAAGGACAGGTGCTCGGCGATAGTCTTGACCGCGGACTTGGAGGCGTTGTAGGCCGGGTTTCCAGGAGGGTTGGTGATGCCCTGCTTGGAGCCCGTGATCACCACTGCGCTGGGGGAGCCGGAGGAGGCCGTCGACTTGACGCTGGGAAGGAAGGTACTTATGCCGTTGATCACGCCGAAGAGGTTGACGTCTACGACCTGACGGAAGGCGTCGGCCGAGTCCCAGGACGACTTGAGCCCGATGGCTGCATTGAGGGCAAGAAGGTTGACCTGCCCGTTGAAGTCCGTGTCGACCTTGCTCTTCAGCCTGGCCCAGTCGTCTGTCTTGCTGACGTCGACCTTAATCGTGCCGATGTCCCCGCCGACATTCTTCGGGGCCGCGCTGAGGGTCTCCTCGTCCCAATCAGCGACCAGCACCTTCATGCCGTAGTTGAAGCATCTCTTGGCGAGGGAGAGGCCAATTCCGGATGCGCCTCCCGTGATGACGGCCGTGTGGCCTGCCTTGAAAATTGATGCCATGACGAGATTATTTAGAGGCTGAATGCTGCTCAGTTCGATGGTTTGAAAGGGAACAAGTGTGCTGGGACTAAGTTGATGTTGGAGATTCTGTGACGTCGCTGAAATAGCCATGAAGCTCGGAGTTTAGTATATACCAAGGACCTAAGTCCGATACGACTCCATCACAATGGGAAACCTGAAGAACTCTCACTGACCGACTTCGGAGAAAATGTGCAGTGCACACGAAAGCAGTCTTAGCTTCGTGTTCTCTGACAAGTGTGACAGAATAAGTTCATGCTAGGTAGGGATGCAATTGAGAGTGCCTTTAGCAGGGGCTTGTCCATGTGAAGGCTTTCCACTAGGACGTACTTAAGAGCTTAGTCTTTGTGCATCTCACGGCGATTTTCAAGGTTTGCGCATCACCTACCATCTGGTTGGATAAATTCTCAATAGATTAATATACTCAGTCTTGATAGGCATTTCAAGTTTTGGAAGACCATGAATATTTACTTTGCAGTCTCCGTGCCGGTCATCAAACGCTTGGAATCCTACAAACCCTTACTCTCGGGGCTCGGGAAAAGATTCACAAAAGGAAGGTCTTTGAAATCCAGCAAGTGGCAAGACACTGTTCTCGCTCACAATTATTCCACAGAATTTAGACAACAACCACACGTAATACCATTCTCACCATGACATAGCAGTTGGTGTAGGTCTAATGTCTCATTTGACAAACACTAATTCACTCAGAACTCTGATTAACTATAGTCCGTGTCTCTACAAAGCTAAATCATCATCAGCATCCGCTGCATACCGTCCTCTCAAATCATTTCTCCGCGGCCTACGACGCAAGCCCCGACGTGACGGTGATGGCACACCCTCGGCGAATCGTACTCTCACGTCCCTCGCTGGCCTGTTATTACGCAAGATGCCTCGCGGTGGCTGCGACTGGTCGTTGTTCTGACCTCTCGGTTCGTCTGCCCTCCCGCCTTGACCCAAGTTCTGCGGTGGCTGCGGCTGTCGTTGTGCGTCTTGTTGGAAGCGTGCTCTAAGGTCATCTACCCCCGGAACACGATGCAAGGGTGGCGGTGGTGGGTTTGGCGGCAAGGGTACGACTCTGGCGTATATGACGTTTTGCAGCTGTGCTATGCGGTCCGAAATCACATTGTTCCACCACCAGTTGGAGGGGGCCGGCCGGGGCCTCTCGGGCGGTGCGGCGGCTTCTTGCTCCTGGTGTTCCTGCCTAAGGTTCTCCACTGGCGCGACACGACGCAGTTGGGGCTCCTCTGCCCTGTCCGCCTGGTTTGCTAGTCCGCCGATGCGCAACATTCCCGCCGCTTCTGTGAGACGATCCATGACATCTGTTCCGAGGGCGGCGAGGCCGGTCCGAGTACTTGCAGGAGCTTCAGGAGAGGGCTTTTTGCCAGCGCGGACATGGTGTCAGCTTGATCGATATTTCAGTGTAGGAGGGAACTCCTGGGGCTTGTTGCTTACAATAGGTGGTTGGCTGATATTCTCATCCGACCAGGCTCGGATCTCGTCTTGTCCCTCTCTGAAGTCTGGCTGAGTCTGCCTCCAACGGGCGTATCGTAGGAGCTCTCGCAGCGAGGGCCGGTCCGCTGGATCGGCCGCAAGGCAGCGAACCAATATCATCATGAGGGCGGTGTCGATGGGCGCCTCTAATGCGGTTGGATTTGTGAGCCAAATGCCGTAGGTATAGAAAGGATCCACTGATTGCCCATCAAAGTCCGTGACCCGGAATGGTGTCGGAAACAGTTCGGCCATTGCGTTGTGATCGTTCAGCGGGCCGATTGCTTGTGGAGGATCTGTCCACGCAGAGTGAGTGATGAGCATATGCATGCACTGCAAGCAGTCGGGTCAGCCTTATTGCTCACGCGAAGCCGTCCGGGGTAATATGGATCACTCACAACTCCGATGTGCCATACGTTGCTATGCCACCCGTAGTTGCCAGCTATCTTGGGCCGAGGGTTTGTAATTGCAGGCCATGTGTTTATATAATCCCACTCTTTGGTAAATTGTTCCTGGAAATGATGAATTCAGAACGCTAGATATCAAGCCAGGCATCAAGTGGGACAAAGTGCACTCACCGGCAGAAGGTACGGTGTTTTCCCACGCAGCCTTGTTCCCCAGGACGTGTTTCTGTTTAGCCTGGTGTTAGTAAGGACTTGGAAGTTCTGCTGGCAGTTCTTTGTGGAAAGTAAAAAGACAGAATTGCCTACTGTGAGTGATTTCGACGGTCTGAAGCTGGACGGGCCAACCCAAAATCGCCGACCTAGATAGAGACACTTAGCGGCTCCGCCGTCGCGAAATATTTTGGTCATGAGGCGGCTATCTAGTTGCTAACCTTGAAGACTGGTACTTGGGCGTGCTCATCATTGTCAAAGTCCCCGATCATCACTTGGCATCAAACTCAAGTCAGTCTTTGAACTGGGCTCCGGATTTAGGATGTAATTAAGTCACCTACCGTTTTGAGGATCAAGATCAAAATGAACAAGGTTATAAGCGAGATACCTCAGGGCCTCTTCCGAGCCTGGGGGCATCAACTCATCCTGATCATCTGTCCCTTCAGGCTCAACCCACCTGTCTTCGCCCGTGTTTGCGTCCTTTGCATGTCTTGGTGGGTGCGCCATTGCGATACAGGCTTTGACGACTGCTGACACCGTGAGTGACCGCGTCGAGTCTGAACGACGAGTGGGATGCCGGCCCGAGCGTGTATAGCACACTTACGGCAAATAAATATTTTCCACAGGACCTGGTTTGGGATGATCGTCCCAACGCGTCCAATCCGCGCCAAAAAGCGAAACATGTCTCCGTTCTTCATATATTCAATGCACATGATTTCCAAAGAATCATCAAGCTGCTGCCAGCTCTCGATATCTTCCGTTTCGTCAGACCCGTCGTCTTTAGGCACCATTATGTCTCCGTTGAAACGCAGCAGCTGAACAGTATGCTTGGCTCGCTTCACGGTCTGTTCCACAACATTAAATGCGGGAACGTTAGAGATCTGTACCAGGATTCTATTAGGATGGGCCTCCGTCGTGACGTACCAGTGTTGTCCCCTTCTCTCGCTCCAAGACACCCCCCTCCAACGCAGTTGACTTGATCACGACCCTCTTCCATTCCCTCCTGTTGTTGATTTCCCAGAGGCTCACCATTCCTTGGCCGCCACTACCAAGGACTTTGACCAGTCTGGCATCAAGCCCCTTGCTGCGGAGCAATCTGCGGACGCGCCCAGCTCCGACTTGTAAGGGTATGTCCTCGTCCACATTTTGCGCTTGCAATCTCTTGCGCCAAAACCTTTTCCAGTTTTGAGCCTGTAAGGTGACCATCTCTTGATTTCCGCGGCTGGCAAGCTGGTTCCAAGGCCATCCTCTGCGCACAGGGCGGTTACGTTCAGCTAGGAGATCGTTCGGGTCGGCGTTCATTTCCGCCGCCACTCTTTGCATTACCACATCAGGGTATACACGTCTTATGCCCTGTCTATAATCGCCGAAAAGCGTCGCCATGTCCCGCTGGAGGTTGCGAAATGTCAGCACGCGCCGACGCGTCTCGGCCTCATCCATTTTTGCTGATATTGACTGGTGCTGTAATCAAGATGATCCGATATTTTCCCAAGTGTGCCAGTTCGAGAACCCGCTCCGGCCGGGAACTTTGCCTTTCACGACCGGGAAGAGACGTTTTTACAAAGTCCTGTGTACGAGCCGCCCAGTTGTCCGCAAGCGGTAGCTGTGTCCATTGACAAAGGGCCAATGACAGCCCTGACGGCCACGGAAACCTGACAACTACTTGTGCCCATGTTGGAACAATCATCTCGAAAGTTTTCTCAGTAGCTCTCCTCAGAATTGAATGGCTGGATCTGATCGCTTTGTTAGGTTGCAAATCAAGGAGTCATACAATAGGGAAGTCCAAGGCATGTCGAACAGGGCCTCGTCATCATGGCAGGTACTTCCTGAAGAGTCTTTGTCTATCCAACATGACGAGTCGAACACCAGACAGCTTGAGGGCCTGTGTAGCCCTTGGCATCCAAAAATAGAGGATCGAACCCGTTCTAACCCAAGACAACCTTACTCGATCTTCTCTCTTGGATTCACGGTATCACAGGGTGCAGCTGGTCAGCAGACCAGGACATACGTGAGAACGCTCCACCGCCTTGAATACAGCGTGTTCCGTCTCTATCTTCGGGATTTAGCATGGCGAATGGGTGACTGGTAATGAATCGACAGTCTGCAGCCTGTATATGCAACTCCGGTGAAAAACTTGAATTTGGATTCCACAACATTGTGTGTGGCCCAGCAAACCTCTAGAATTGTCCTCTGCTGTCTGTCGACTCTCTCCACTTGGCACGTCAGCATCTAATTTTGCAAGCATTTTCTTTCGGCCTCCCCTTTTGGGCGACTAGTTGCATTCCAACACCACCTTTCTCACGCCTACTGTATTCTTTGAGGCTCCGCCTCTTAATAAGTGGGGGGCGACAGCAGCTCTGCCAAGCGTAAGCCTCTTCCTGACAGGGTTGCACTATTTGCCAGCCAACACGCCTGCCTACCTCCTCGAACAGCCAATTGCGGCACGGCATATCACGCCTTTGACTGCAGCATTTAGCCGTGGGGTGTATGTGGTGCAGAAGTAACGAATGGCAGCATAGACTGTTACACCAGCGAATCCATTATGAACCCACTATCTGCGGCAGGCTTTCGGTGATCTCCTCGAGCTGAAGGCAACTACTCTGTTGGTTGCAATCTTTTCTGTGATGCCGTGGCGGGTAGATAGCCGGGACCGTCGAACTCAAAAAGCCAAGAGCACTCACATATTTTTGTTGTCCTTGACAAGGCTCTCTAGTCTCTCACTGAATGCTTCATGTTCTTTGCAAATATTTCTTTTCCCAGCATCGCAACTTATCTTCGATATGGAGCATCATCAACAGTATCAACGGCCTTATCAGGCACAGCCACAACACACCCGATATCCAAGCGACGGTAGCGACGAAACTGTCTTTGGCGGCTTCACGAACTATGACCCTGCAGCCGTCTTTCTCACGTCAGAGTACTCTGCTCCCAAAGCCAACAATGTCACCGAGCAGACCGTGAGGGCGGTTGGTGCGCCAGAGACGGAATTTCCAGCCCAACATGCAGCCTGGAATTCTGACCACAAGTCGACTGATTCCAAGGCGGAAACAGGCTGTCCTCTTTAGGGAAGCCGAGAAACATCAAAGTTCCCAAGAAGACAGGGGGTTGGACATGGGAGATAGTCGCCATGCTGCTCGCAGTTGGGGCAGTCGCAAGTGTCATCGCCCTCCTCGCCCGTTACGATGGCAGGCCACTGCCAAGCTGGCCGTACGAGATCACACTGAACGCGTTGATTGCGGTCCTGACGACGGTAGCCAACGCGTCCATGGCATTCCCCGTATCTAGCGGGTTAGGTCAGCTGAAATGGGAGAGGATGAAGAAAGGATATGCACCGCTAGCGGACATGGAGGTCCTCGACGATGCAAGCCGGGGGGCTTGGGGGGCTGTCAATATGCTACGTAGGCTCCGTGGTGGGTAAGTCAAGTCCTCTCAATACTGGAAGCCATCTCGTTGAACAAGTTCATTCTGCTCACACTGCGCAGGGTGTTCGGCTCATTAGGCGCAGTTGCCGTGGTAGTGGCCCTCTTCCTGTCTCCCTTTGCGCAACAGGTCATCATATATCGCACATTGCCACAGGAGTCAGAGACGGGCGCAACCAACTATCGAGCGATGAATTTCACGGTGGCCTTGCCGAGTCTTGACTCAGCCGTGCCATTCGTTCCGGTCCTCCCCATCAAGTCCGCCGTCTACAATGGACTATTTGCTGAGAACAACAAACCTTGGACAAGCCTCCCTGTCAGCTGTGAGACTGGCAACTGCACGTGGGAGCCCTTCGATACTCTCGCGGTCTGCAACTCCTGCGTGGACATGACACCATATCTCCAGCGTGACTGTACCTCCGATGATGAGGAATGCGGGTGGAAGCTGTTGTCCGGGCCTGTCTCGAACAAAAGCGACGTCTTCAGCATGCATGACATCCCAGGTGAGTATCCTCTGATAACTGGGTGATGGCCTTTTCTGACATGGAGCTGTAGTTTCCCTCGACAGATGGTGGAGCACCTTGGTCGACCATCATGAAGTTGACGTTCATGGGAACCGAGAGCAGCACCGCTGAGGCAGGAAATGTCCAGCCCTGGGCTCGTCAATGCACTCTCTCTGCGTGTGTGCAGACAATTCAATCTCACATCATACATGGAAACCTGGTGGAGAACGTCACGCACAGAGTCGAAAACAACACGGTCATGTCATCCAGCAGGGCCATCACAGACCTGGCCCCTATCGTCGTCACAGCCGACGCAGAATATAACACTTCCTCCCCGGCCGCTCCATATGTCCTTTCTGCCGAGGCAATGTTGGGCATGCAGTCATGGTTTGCACAGCTCTTCGCCAACGGGTCTGCCACCCGGACCGACTCCGTCATCAACACGACCTTGACTTCCGCTGCCAACGCACCGATCGCCGTCAACCTCACCGTCGGAATCTCGTCCGGTGCCACCTTTTTCGACACAGACATCGTGCAAGCCTTCTACTGGAACTACTACGAGTACCCGTCCGGGCTCGACATGCTCATGAACGACCTGAGCGTATCCCTGACTGTCGCTTTCCGCAGCCTCTGGGGGGCCGAGGCTGTCAACGGAACTGCTTTCACGAACGAATCGTTCGTGTATGTCCGCTGGGGCTTCATAACGCCCCTCATTCTGTCAGTTGCGTTGACTGCAGGCTTCTTAGCTCAGGCGATCTACCGCAGCTGGAGATGCGGTGCCAAGTTGTGGAAGAGCAGCTTGCTAGCCGTTTTGTTCCACGGTCTCGAAGACGACGTGAGGGAGAGATTTGTTGATGTTGGTGAGTTTGGGTTACAGCGGCTCATTGCCAGAGATGTTAAAGTAAGACTGGATGAGGACGTTGCGGCTGGAGGCCTGCTGAGGGCCGAACGCATGTATTAAACTTGCATGGTCGTTAGAGAGCGAGACTATACTACTTGGCGAGCCCGAATTTCACGAATTTAATGATGGAATCCAAAGTATCAGTTTGATATCTGGCGAGAAATGATATAGACTTGGCCGTCTGTTACGAATATTTCTGAAAAGGGGTCTTTTGGTAGTGATTTGTGCCCCCAACTTGCATAATTGAGGTCTGCTATGCCTTATCTCCTCGGGCTGCCCGTCAATATTTGGATTCCCATTCACGTAAAAAAAACCTTAGGAATCAAGTTTGAAACTTAATCAAACCTTCCAAGTCGATCCGAAGTGCCATCTATCAATGGAGGTAGTGCAAGCATTGCACATCAATATTGAGATCCGCGGTGGACACATGAACTGATCTCGCCAAATTCACGACCTCGTGTGAGCTACAGCAATAATTGAGAGTCAGAGGCATATACGAAATGGTTTATTGAATGCTTTTGCGTGTAATTTACCATGTTGGTGAACTAAGCTGTCACGGGTCCAATTCCATAGATCTTCACGTTGGAGACTGAAAGCCCCTTACGGCAGTTAGTGGGAATCAAACCCCATGAGTGAATAACGAGAGTCTACTGATGAACATGAGGCAAAGTCAAATCAGGTATTGGCCTCTGAAACTAGTCGATAACCATGGGACAAATCAGAACAAGTGTTGGCTTCTGCTGATACACCAATGCTACTCGGTCGTCCAGGGAGCAATGGTGATAAATAAAAAGATGTTTCCCTTACTGTTCAGTTGAAAAGAGCACTTTAGAGAATACTGGCACATACTTGGCCCTATCTGACAAAACCTCGAGATACCAAGCTCATGCCTACTTCGGTTTGACCAGCGGAAGCAACAATCCAATTTTGATCTCGAGCCTGCCCACACGGGATGGGGAGTGAGGTCTCACAAGACACACCCAAGAATTCCAACAGAGTATTTCTCAGCTCCAGAGGGAGAGCGAGGAGATACCAAAACAATGGGATGCCGCGGTAGCAAGGAAGAGCGTCCGGAGACTTCAGTCAGTACCATTAGAACTCCTGCGCAGCTGGGATATAGGGCTCTACCAATCGGGGACAGGTCACCAGACGCTATGTATTGCTTCTACGAGTTCAAACTCCGGCTTGCGGCCAATGAACAACGCATAACGGTCGCAAGGCTCGGTATCTCACTGTATCCCGACGAAGAAGATCTACTCATTATCGATCTCATCGCCACCGGCCAGGACCCCCGCGGTGACCGTCCTCAATCGGGCGACATCTTCCTGAGCTTTTGGAGGCATGTCGTCGGCCGAGGCATTTCTCACATAAGAAGACTGCAGTTCTCAGACGTGTATGAGAGGGGCCTAACCAGTCTCAACGGTCAAATTTGCACGCTGCTACATGTGCATTCGCTCCTACAAGATTGCCCTACGGTTCTCCGCTCGGGGAGGACAGAAGGAGAACGAGCGGCATTTGAGATCTTGAAAAGCACTCCATTCTCGAAAGTGACGATACGCATGATATCGAGATGTCCACAGTTGGCGGGTCGACGCCTCGAGATCGTAAGATTTGATTATATGCAACCACCAGGCTATAACCCGAGGGACCTTTACGATTTCATGATTACCCTCGGACGATGAGCGATCACAACAGCTAGGGCACTCGCTGTCTTCTTTGAGCAGATGATGGAGCTCTGATCAATAGAAGTCTCCCCTTCTTACAGTTCCTCGCCATATGATTGAGCATAAGGCACAATCCTACCTATTTGTTCATGCCAGACATCTATCTGGTGGCTACCTCGACCGCTCCAAATGAACAGCTTGATATGGTCATGAGGCCTCTATTGTGAGCCGGCTCGAAGTGCCCGCCTTAATGCACTCAACAGTATGATTTGTGAAGTCTTCAGTGCTAGCAGAACTGCCACTCTGCCTCTCACGTGTGGCCGGATTACTCAAGTAGGGCCTCACTGTACAGATGAGTAGGGCAAGTCAGGCGGATATAGACAAGGTGCTCGCACTAGCTGGATTTAAAGTGGACAAGAGCTGACATGCAGCCTGGCAGCCTGAATTCTCTCTGGGTATTTGACGCTGTGCAAAGCAAATTGTGGTGTCTGACTTGGCGCCCCCAATCAAATAGCCTGTTACATTAATTTCAATCTCACCATGCGCAGCGGCTTGCAGTGGACTATGTCGGATTCGGTGAACGTCCCCCTATTGTACGTTCCGACCGATTGCCATCTAGACTACCAGGCCCCAGCTACACTCACATTGTGGAAGAAAATTGCCTCCGAAAGATCGAAAGGTACGTTGACATTGTTTACATATCTCTGTACTACTACTACCAATACGTCTTTCACATTTTCAACTGATTCTTGTCTATGTTGGTGGACTTCTATAATCTTGGCATCCACGCGTATGCAAGAGCGTTAGATTCTTTCTACTTCAGTGCTGCTCAAGGGGCCAAGCGAAGTGATATTTTCGTTCATGAGTGCCCCACAGACGTAAATCCTCAGCAATTACCACTAGCCTAGGTGTTTCTCGCCCCCGACTAGACATCATGTCAGTCTCGTCTTCTTCCTCTCGTGTGGCCTTCTGCCTGCTCGGGTCATTGCTCGTCATCCAGGTCCATTCGTCGGAGGCTGCTACCTACCAGGGGGAGGGGGGGGTCTTTGTATGGGTCACGCAATGTAATCATGTTTTGATATCTAAACAAAATTTTGAAAATATAATATAATACTAGCGAAATGCTATTAAAATACTATCAGAACCAAAATATATTAAGCCTTAGTTATCATATTAATATTAACTCTATATTAATATTAATAGCATATTAATATTAACTTTATATTAACTAACTTTTTATATTAAAAGCTTTGATTTAAACCTTATTAACTCCAAACCTAATTCTATTTTTAAATATTTCCATAGTTTTATAAATCCTTCCATAATAAATAGTTAAGCTAATAAAAAATAAATAAGTAGTTAAGTTAGGAATAAGGGAAAAAAAGAGTTTTTTTTTTACCCCTATATTAAGAGTTAACATAATGTTAAGGTTAATATAATGTTAAGGTTAACATAATATTAAGGTTAATATAATATCACAATATATCAGGAATGTTTACATATTAATAACATATAAATAATGCAATGTATACACAAAAAAAGCATGTCAGAACCTTAATTGCATATCACTATTATGTCGCTATTCCATTAACATCGTGGTGTGATGTTGACAAAAACCCCCCCTCCCCCTGGTAGGTATTGCAGATATTCAACCTGCTGTCGCCGTCGTTGCCGAGACGGAGGCAGCCGGCGCGCCTCTCCAGAATGCAGAAAGGCAACAGCTGACCGACGATGTGGTTAATCGCATCTCGAGTGATAAGTCTACAGCCGAATGCGCCTCCTATTTCGCGTTCGGGGACAGTCCCGTCTCCAACGCGAACAACCGCAGCGCAGCTGCACCTTGCAAGTCCTACCCTGGCGACTCGGACTGGCCATCCGATGCTGTGTGGGATGTATTCGACCATCTTCTCGGCAAGGCCCTGATCCCGACCAGACCTTTGGGTGCTCCTTGTTACGACTCCGGATGGGGTGAGAAAGACGAGACCGAGTGCGCCAACATCATCGAGAACTCCACCAACGCCGACTTCCTCAGCGCCGATCCTACCGCCAACTACTGGCCCATCTTCGAAGGCCGCACCTGTCAGCCCAATAATGATACTTCCGGATCGCAATGCACCATCGGCGGCTATCCAGAGTATGCGGTCAGGGTCACCAACGTTGCGCAAGTGCAGCTCGCTGTCAACTTGGCGCGTGCCGCTAATTTGCGCCTGGTCATCAAGAATACCGGGCACTGCTACCTTGGGAAGTCTCTGGGAGCAGGTGCTCTGGGCTTGTGGATGCACAATATGAAGGATGTCGACTTCTTGCCCGACTACAAGGGCCCCGGATACTCTGGTCCGGCGTTGAAGTTGGCTGCGGGAGTGAGTGTGAGAGAAGTGTATGAGGCTGCAGAAAAGCATGGCGTTACGGTCCTGGGAGCCGTCTCTTGGGTAAATGCCTCCTCAAATATTCGAACATCAAGATTCGACACTAACAATCTACCAGAGTGTGGGATATGCCGGTGGCATGATCACAGGCGGAGGCCAGAATCCGCTCGCTGGCATATTTGGCATGGCTGCTGACCACGTCGTCGCTTTCCAAGTTGTGACTGCCGACGGACGTCTGCAGACTGTTTCCGAGGCTGAGAACCCTGACTTGTTCTGGGCTCTCCGTGGCGGAGGCGGCGGTACATTCGGTGTAATCGCGTCGGTCATCATCCGCGCACACCCCAAGATGAACGTGGTCACCGCAAAGTGGACGCTCGATACTTCTAACAACGACGTCGACCAGTTTTGGAAGGGCGTCAGGAAATTCTATGACGAGTTCCTCAACTGGACCGACGCTGGTCTTTACTCATTCTACATCATGTGGCCAACTCCACAGCTCAGCATGAACTACATGTTTGCGCCAAACCATACTCTAGAATCATATAACAAGGTCGTTGCCCCCTTCTTCGAATACTTGGAGGCGGGAAATATCTCGCTATCAGTATCGCACCAAGCCACACCACACCCGTCTTTCTATTCGGCGTATCAGGCGACCTGGGGCGCAAATAGTTTCCCCATCGGCGTCGACACTTCTCTCCCCGCAAATCGCCTCGTGTCCCGCCGCAACTTCGTTGAGAAACACGAGGAGACGTACGCCCTGATCAAGGCGCACGTTTCCGCTGGCAAGCACTTCCTGGGCTACCACAACGCACCCAGCAACGCGGGCCCGGCCACGGCAAACCGGGACAGTGCCGTGAACCCCGTCTTCCGAGAACTGGTCTTCTTCCTCGTCACCTCCTCAAACCGCTCGGCTGATCACTCGACCCCGGCGGCTTTGGCTTCCCAGAACAAGTACCTTCAGGAGGAGGTCCTCCAGCCGTGGCGCGAACTTGCCCCGGTCTCTGAGGGTGGCGGGGCGTACCTCAATGAGGCCAGTGTTGAGGAGGCAGACTGGCAGGAGAGTTTCTATGGAGGGCACTACCCCAGGCTGAGCGAAATCAAGCGCAAGTGGGATCCCAACGATGTCTTTTATGCCGTGACTGCTGTGGGTAGTGAGAGGTGGACGGTGCAGGACGGAGATCAGGGTGTACAGACGCAGAATGGAAGGCTCTGCCGTGTCTAGTCCAACTGATATTGATGGTGGAAGATGAAATGCAACGAAGGTAGACATCATGCGGCACTCCGTAAGGCCGGGCAAAACAAATGATCTCCCAGCCTAGACTTTGGATCCTTTGACACCACCCAAGTGATGCCAACGAGCCTGTTCCGTTGATACAGCGTCCCCTTTGTGGGGATAAGGCGTACGGAACTCGCCAAAGACAAGGTGAGCATGTCATACTGAGAGCCCTCCTGGCCTCTGGGAAAATGCAGAGTAAGCAATTAGCAAGTGACGGTTCGTACGGAAGTTCAGGAGAGTGAGCCCGGCGAACGTCTACAGTATTTGCCTTACTTGACTGAAATATCACTTAGCCAGGTTCAATAAGCGGCCAAAATCAAGATGAGCAGTCCAGTGATGAGCAGTCCAGTGGTTGAGGCGACTGTGCTTGAACAATGGAAATGTCCTGCCCACGGGTGATGAGAGAGGAGTTCCCACTGGCATTGCTACCATCGAGTGAAAATATGACCAGATACGACCCTAGCCGCTTGAACTTCAATATGAGGACACTCAGCGTTGGACCTGGCGCTCATAGTTCTTGTGGCATGTCTCAGTAAATTTCCACACAAAGGGTAGGTACTGACCTCACCTGTGCATTGCCTCCTTTATAGACGTTCACACCCCCTCGCAATCTCCGTACTCGCGAGTTGTACGCAGACAAGAAGCCTCAATATATGTAGGTAGGATCCTGCACCGATGCTAGATTCCATGGAGCGACCACAGCTCCAGTCCGGGAGGCGGGTCCGCAGTCAGGACATCACCAGAATCCTCACCCCAAGACAACCCCCAATCGCTTATGTAAAAGAACCCAAAAAATCCGCATGTATATCGACAAAATCTCGCAGAAGACGAAGACCCATTCATCTCTCTTTTCTATCCATATGCGTGCGGGTTACACCGAACATCGTCGAATGTGCTCCTGCCAGACACTCCCCACACGGTACACACAGGCGTCGACTGTCACGCAAGACATAGTAGCACATAAATAGCACTGCTCACAACCTCAGACAGCATCAAGCAGACAAGTCCCCGTCACCATGAGCGATGAGAATCCTCAGCCGGCCAGCCAGGACCAGCGGTGGTTCACAAATCACTCCGACTCCATTGCTAGCACGACGGCCGAGCCTATTCTGCTAGTCTATCCCATTTACTTCCGTCGCCAGTTGACCCCCAGGTTCATAATCGTGTTTCTCTCGGGATACAAGGGGTAAGGGGTTCCAAGGGGGGGGGAGGTTACATGCCGAAATGAGAACAGCCAAGGAGGAGAATAAGAACGGGAGACCGTGGGTTTGGGGGACCAGTAGCAGCTTTGGGGGTTTCAAAGAGGGGGTAAAAAGCCAATAACACAATGTATGGATTTTATTACACGTCAAAAAATGTCTGAATCGTCTCATGTCCACTTCCTCCCGTGCACGGCCTCCGCTTAGATGCCGTCGAAGTCGCCGCCGAGGTCATCGTCGTCGAGGTCACCCTCCTGTATGTCGTTGGCCATCTCCCGCTCCCGCTCCCGCGCTTCCTGTGCGTTCTTGAGCTCGAGTCGGTGCTGGTTCATTGGGAAGCGCATAGCCTGGTTCATGGACTCGTTAGCATTGTGATACCTAGTGAATGACGTGTGGACAGATGATCTCACCTTGACACTCTCATCGTGCAGCGCCAGACAGGCCCTGATACGGTCATGGAACGCCTCGGTCGGCTCCCTTGTAGCATAGATGTCGCCCGTCTCCTTGCTCTTCATGAAGCCATGCTCGCGATCCAGCGTTGCCTCGATCACACCGTCTCGGATCGCCTTTGCGACAATGTACTCCGCTGATTCCTCACTGCCGAGGTGAAGGCGGATGCAGATGTCACGCAGGGAAATGCGCGAGTACGAAAGCGACATCATGCGGATGCCCGTCTTGATAACGTTCTGTCGCAGGCGCAGGATAAGCGTGTAAGTGCCGTCCCTGCGGAAGGTGTCGGCATGGTCCGCGATGGTCGTCTCAAAGTCCTCCAGGTTGCCAACCCGTACTGCCTGCACGAGGAGGAAGTAGGGGTGCAGAGCCTGTTCCGTCGACGCCACCCGGAACGTTGCGCGGTCGGGAATATCTCCCATAAGCAGCTCGACAACCATCAGCAGCTTGGTCGCGGTCTGCGAGAAGCCCAGGGCGCAGAGGCTTGAAGGCGCCTTGCGAGTTGCAGCAGTCAGGTGTTCGTGTGCCTCGGTGTAACGCAGCTGGATGGCGCGGATGCGGCCGAGGTAGTAAAGGAATCGGGCGACCTGGTTGTTGGCAGCGTTCTCGGGGAATTGTGTGTGCGAGACGAGCAGATCAGCCTGGCTTATGTGAGACATGAGGAGGTAGTTCCGGAGCAGCAGAACAATGACAGAGGCCTGGATGTCGATGTCCTTTCGCAGTACTGCTGTTCGCAGAGCCGCGAGCAAGGTTGGTCGGAGGGCAACGATCGGAGACTGGGGCGAGGGAGGCAGAGGCGCAATGTTCTCGCAAAACAAGGAGTAATAGAAGTAAACCTTTGCGGAGAGCGAGTCTAACGTTCGGCGGTTGAGGGTGCGGATGCGGTCGCACAGGTAGGACGAGAACTCAGCGCCGTGCTGGAACTGCTTGGAGTCGAACAGGTGAACCTGTACAAGAATGCCGAGAAAGATGTCTATTTCGGGGATGACCTCCTTGATCTCCTTCTTGCCGCCATTCTTGGCGGGAGTCTTGGAATCAACGTCCATAGCGGAGTCTGCCGCTGATTGCTGTCCCAGCGGCAGGTGCTCCTTGCCAAGGGCGATCAAAAGCTGTTTTGCCACATTTCCAGATGTGACTGTCGCGGGGAAGGTCTCGACGATGACCTGGGCGAGGATGTCTGGGGTAAGTCGTTTGCGGATGGATGAGACGGATCGCAGGGCTCGCAGGGTAAATCTGGCATCGAATAAGGCAACAGCTCGGTCGAGGAGTGCGAAATTGCTCTTGATATCTGCATCGGGATGGGGCTGTTAGCTTCAGGTTCGAGTACAGTAGCAGTCAAGGCACAAGCGGGGGCCGGGGGATGTATTACCTGACACGGCTTGAGCGACTGGGTCGACCTTCTCCTCTCCGTCCTTGTCGGCGTCGTCCATGCTCACGTCCCCGTCGGCGTCATTGGGAGGTTGCGCGGATGACTGCTTCTTAGAAATGGGCACCACAACGGTCATCTCCTCGTCGCCGTCCTTGGCACCTTTCTTCCCCTTTCCCTTGAGCGATGACGAAGACTCGTCCTTCATATCGATATCTTTGCTGCCGGGGTAGCCACCGTTCTCGACGGGCTCCTTCCCGTTTCCGTTTGGCGTCTTGCCGGGCATGTCGGAGGACGTGTATGTGAGCTGGGTGGATTTGAGACGTAGCTGAGTCAACAACGCGCAGAGGCTGCTGGCGGCTGAAGTGGGTTGATGGGAAGTGGGACGGGCTGGAGGCGGCTGGCGGTTCGCAGAAACGCGCTCAAGGAAGCCGAAGCAAACGAAAATAGGCCCAAGGTTGGCTCGTGCCGCTCAGGTCAGCTGGAGTCAACAGGCAGGCTGGATCGAGTCTAAAGAAGCTTGACTGTTGGCCGGCCTAGGGCTTCTTGGGTTGATGGTTCCAACGATGGCTTCTTGGACTCGACCGCGTTGCTTGTGGGTGGGTAGATAGATGGATGGGGGTTGGGATATGATGGGGAGAATGGATAGATGAATGGGAGGGACGTCGGCGGGTTGAGGGTGGATGGCTGCCAGAGAGACGTCGTCCAGAGCTCATCAAAGATTGCCAGCAGACAGCCGAGCGCACTAGCTAGGGGTACTTGATCCTCACGGGAGTTTCAAGGCAAAACCAAAGTACCCTTGCTATCTAGCCCCAGCGCAGCCTCAACCGCGTAGCCTGCCCAGGCCCAAGTGCAAGTGGCTTCCGGCCCCGGGCGACACCTGGACCTCGCCTGGGCAAATGTGGGTCCCTGGTGACGTCTCGACATGCTGCCTGTCAGGCGCATTGTCAGCAGCAGCTCTTCCTAGCCTACTTTGTACCAGCCTACATCATTTCCAAGTCGTTATTGCACGTCTACGCCGCTCAGTTCAACATGTCCATTCATTGCGCCTGCGGATGATCAAACCACATTGGAGTTCGTACCTTCCAACGGGGTGTTTAAAATACTTCGTCGTCACTGTGAAACCGGAGGATATGGCGGGCTATGTCTTCACCCCTCATAGCCTCTCACAGGCGGTCCAAGCTCCCGGCTTATCTCACCGTGTTGGAACCACCATCAGGGTCCACTTCTACGTACTTGACTTGCTCAATATCTAGCTGGCGACGCCGACGCTCTTGACTACGCCTTGTTCTAGTCGCATCAGGTAAAATCCTCAAAGAGGACCAGAGAGGCCTGAAATCACTGGACCCTTCGCAGAGCCGAGGTTCAGCATATTGGGCAAGAATCGTTTCTTAATTCCTTGCATAACTGCTATGGCAGACTAGGAGGTGCACGGCGGCCAAGTTCCTGAATAAACACCTCGAATCGTGTCTTTCTTCTCAAGCCCAGCACATTCGCCCATACTCACTGATTTGCAAGTGAAACTGCGTAAACCCAGACGCCTATCCGAGATCATTGTCTCTAAAAACCCTGTCACGCCTCCCCTGGTCTCCCTTCCAAAAAAAAGAAGGAAAAAATCGCCACATCAATTCCTCGCATACTCCTACAAGGAAACAAGAGAGACTGCGGGTGCTCTATGATTTTCCACATGTCTGCGGTGCACCAGAGACTGTCCCATTACAGGTCGCCCTTGCCCGGCATGACCTTCGCAGCCTGGATGGCGCTCATCTTGGTTATCCAGCCCTGGGCGGGCAGCACCTTTCGAACAGTGCGGAGCTCGTCCGAGGAGTAGCCGGGGATGCGGATGTTGTAGGTGCGCTCAAGGACAAGCTGGATGTCGCGAATCTCGAGGACCTTGGAGCCGCGCTGCTTGGCATTGTTGCAGGCCGAGTGCAGAAGGCGGTCCACAAACGAGTCGGCAAGGTTGAGGATGGACTGCGACGGTGAATTAGTCTTAGAAATAACATACGCGCGGTGGATTATTGGGCGGGGTAATGGTATTTGGGATGGACTGGGTTGAGATGAAAGTGAATGTCTTCTTACCTCCTCGACATCGGGCGTCAGAACATTGCCCTCCTGACCCTCGGCCTGTCCACCGCAGACCTGACGGACGAGGTCGTCGAGCTTCTTGCGGTTGAGGACGCGCTCACCCTCGCCCTCCATCTGGACCACGGGCAACTTGGGAAGGACCGGATTGCCCATAACGCCTCCGGCTATGCCGCCGCCACCTGTGTACGTTGGTCGACCTGGGGTGACTCCACCAGCGCTGAGCGACACAGGCTGAGGGGGCGCAGCCGCCTTCTCGGGTAGTTGCTTCGGGATGGGGAGCTTTGAGTTCTGGGTAAGAGGCTGTGGCTGTTGTGTCTGGGGATGCGCGTGGGGGTGTCCTGCTGCTTGAGGGACCACAGTGCCCATAACACCTGGTGCGCTCAGAGGAGTGCCGCCTGGACCTTGTGGAGTGCTCTGCTGGGGTGCCGACCCTGGGATGGTGCCAGTCTGCGAGCCGCGCTGGTTTGCGAGACTGAGGGCGGCTTGGTGGGACAGCGATCGAGGCGCACCAGTGATTGGAGTTGCCGTTTGCGGTGTGCGGGCTTGGGTTGGTGTGCCAGCTGACGGTAGGCCGGTGGCTGCTGCAGACGCGATGGCTGTGTTGACTGGTGGTGGATGTGGGTGCTGCTGAGTTCCAGGCTCGACTTTAATGGGTTGCGATGCTGGACCTGGGGCCGCTTGCGTTGTGGGGACAGGTGATGCCTGGGGAGCTGCCGAGCTAGTAGCCTTTGGCAGCTGTGCTTGTGGTTGAGGTTGCTGCTGCCCGGTTTGACCGTTCGCACCTGGCACTCCACTAGCGACGTTGGCCTGCTGGTTCTTCGCAGCATCGACAGCAGCGCTTGGTTGGGAAGAAGGCTGTTGCGGGGACGGGCCCGGCCGCGGCGGCGGATTCGCATTGGCATTCACTCCTCCATTTGAATGCGGCCTCGCCTGTGAATTTGAGGATTGATTGGCCGCCCTGCGCTCAGCTTGGCCTTTGCGGAACTCTTCCACAAACCGCTTTGCATCCTGGTATGCCTTGATGACCGCCGGCTTCTGTGACTGAATATTCTGGAGGTTCTTGTGCTCCTCCGGAGTCATAGCCGTGCCCTTCTGCTGCAAGGACTTGGCCAGGGTCTCGTTGCTCTTCAGCCTCTCTGTAGTCGATTGCATCTGCATCATTGCCCTCTGGTACTTCTCCTTCTGGGTTGCTGACCACTTGGCAGCTATCTCAGGACCTTGCTCGACCACCTCTGGGGGCGGTATCCATGACATGGCTTCTAGATGCTGCTGGATGTGGATGTTCGACGACCCTGGGCGCTGAGGCTGACCCTGTGACTGCGGCTGTGACTGTGACTGCGCTGGCGTACTTGCTGGCCCGGCAGTCGACGCAGTCTGGCTGGGTTGACTGGCCGCTGAGGCAGGTGCCGCCGGATCGGCAGCTCCTTGGTTCTGACTGTTGCCAGCTTGCGCATTCTGATTTTGCTGGGCCTGGTTGCCGGGAATGCGCTGCTTCATCTTGTTGATGAGCTGGTGACTAAAGTCGATTATCTTCTTCTGGGCCTCCCTCTGCTGTGGCGAGCCAGGCCCAGCAGCCGATAGGGCTGTCCACAGCTGGCGCAGCCCATTCTCGTATCGCACCTTCACTTCTGGACTGAGCTGAGGTATATTGCGCATCTGCTCTGGTCGAAACATCCTGATTCCAGCAGCGGCATTTGGCTGAGAGCCCGGGTTGGCGTTGCTGCCTGGTCCACCTTGGGGCGCCTGGCCCGGCTGACCGCCAGGATTCATCTTGCAATGCTTGAATCACTTCGAAATTTAGGTTCTTCCTTTTTCACTTGACTCGAGGAAGGTTGAGCACACAGGCGCTGAGATGAAGGTGTTGTCGAGGGAGTTTGGGTTCTGGAGGTCGGCGAGGCTCGGTTACAAGGAGGCAAGTCGAGGGGATGGGTGTGCTGAGTGCTGGGGCAGGAGCTGTATTTCTTTGGTTCTGTAAAGTTTGTGGCAAGAGGAATTACATCAATGGATAATTAAATAAGAGCAGAGGAGTGACTTGGACGTTGTGGAAAACAGACGTGAATAGAGGGACAATAAGATGGCAGTTCATTCAGCACAATAGGGCGGGCCTGGATTCTGGGAACGCGACCAGGCGCACGAGCCCCCCTGCCCGCCCCCCCCCCAGTCACGGGAGATCATCGGCTGAACGAGCTATCTACCTAGGTAGTCTACTAGCAGAAACTGACGAAACGGGTTCATTCGTCAAACTCAGAGAAAGCAATTTTGCCGTGCCCAGTCAATGCAATGGTGCACTGCAATGAGCATCTTGGAATTTGTACTCTACTCATTTAGAGATGAGGGTACTTTGGCTATGAAGTAGCATGGCTGGCTCACATGGAAATGTGACTGAGCGGTGGCGAGGGGTAGGTATCAATCTGCTTCTCTCCCCATCAACTCAAGCCTTTGGTCAGACGAATTTGATCGCGGACTGGCAGGATTCTCCTCATAATTTCTGGGCAGCCTCTCGAATCCGGTGATACCATGCAGGGAAGAACTCGTCTAGGAGCCCGGATCAATTACACTCTTCGCATTCGGTTTCTGTTCGACTACCAACAATGAAGTAACCTTATCTATACCTCGAAATGAAAGAGGCTAAGCACATAACATCATTCATCATAAATAAAAGCCATGCCCTAGCCCTAGCATCAGTTTTAGCATCCTGGCCCCATTGGCATATCCTTACCTCAGCTCTGTGAATCACAGTGGAACCGGCTGGTCATACAATACTCATATAAGATCCAACGGCCTCCCCAATACCGGATCCTATCCTCGGCATGACCATATCCTCGTCATGTACGCTCGTTTCCCACTCTTGCGTGTATAGATAGAAATACAAAATGACCAGAATTCCAGTGAACACCACGCCATAATACCCAGACAATGCAGTTGCCACGCTGGTTTACATGCTATGCCATGTCTGGGAAATACCATGTATGCTCGCTCCAACAGGTTAAGAAATAAGTCATCGCTTGTGGCAATCGGGATGTTGACGTGTTTGTTCCACACACTCGTGTGTCTGTAGGTGTTGCTCCGCCCACTGGTGTGGGGTTTATATCTTGTTATAATCTCCAGTGGCTGTCTCGGATAACTCCATGCGGGTGTGTTCTTCGGTGGCAACGCGTAAAAGTAGCTAAGCTTTGTATAAAGCCAAGTTCTCAAGCTCGTGCGTCGAATCGGTGGTTGCCCGGGATAATGTCTTCGTATGAAACGCCGTAGTTGCTTCTGTGCTGCGCGCTAGGATTTTGAAACGTATTGAAGTGGAACTCAAATCAGGGCGAGTCCACCTCCATGGTCATGAAAGCATAAAATGGTAGTTCTTTGGCCAGCATCTCTGTATCCTCCAGTTCCTCTGGAGGCTCGTCCATCTCGTCGATTTTTGGCGGCGGGTCCTGGAAGACCAGACTGCGTCGATCGCCAACCCGCCTCTTTAGTCGCCGCGCACTTGACCCGGCTTGATCAAAGTCCAGGCAGTGTCGGATGTCCTCGTGGTCGCTGTCGCTTCTCTCGCTCATGGTTCGTTTGCCCATGCTGCTTATACTCCGTCTTTTTTGCCGATCGTTCGCCCGCTGTCGCCGTATGGCTTCCTGACACTCATCGTCGCTCACGTTCGAGCTATCGGACAAAGGATCTGGGTCCGGGCTGCGGAAGTTCAGGTCACGGAGGTCGTTTATGACATGACCCTCGATGTGCGACTCGCTCAGGTCCGATTCGGCATACTCGATGACGTGAGGGGCAAGAACATCATCCCGACCATCCATGTCGTTTTCTTCAAAGTCGCTGAGCTCTTCGATGCTGAGTTCATCACCAGTGATACTTGCGTGCAACACGAAACGTTCGGTTGTTGCAGGACCAGGTGGTGACGACAAGAGCGGTGAACAAGGCCCATGATCATCATCCGATTGTTCGGCATCAGACCCCTCGGCCGGGGGATCCGAAGAACGAGGAGACAATTCTCCATGCCGACTTGGGAATGCAAAGTTGAATTGGCAATTCTCAAAAGGAGTGTAATTCCTTGGTTGAGGCAGCGGGTCTCGTGGCCCGCCGCTCGGCCCAGGACTGGCCCTGGGGCTGTTCTTCTGACCGAAGAATGGTGGGTGCGTCGTGGCCGTAGGGGTCTGAGGCGGAGATGACGGTCCCATGTGTGAAGGAAATCTTATTTCCTTCGGAGTAGTAGGCCGCATGATGGATGGGTTGGGTGGGCAAGCGTTGATGTGGGAAGCAGTGTCCGTGTCTCTGACGCTCAGTATACAGGCAATGGGCCAATTGCGTCCAGCTACTGAGGAACAGTAGTTTCTGATGACCAGAGTGTCGATTTCGATCGGCCCGCCACTCGACCGGGGATGTTTCTGCCACAATGACTTGTGGATGTATGTATCCGAGTGAACAGATGTGTCGTGTGTTCTGGATCTTATCAATCGTGCTCTCACCGACAATGTGGGGTAGGAAAATCGCGGGGTGAGGGAAGAGCGGGCCTCAAGGTGTCAGCACCCAACGTATAACCCTCCGGCTAGGAGAGGCGGACGAGCTTGGATTGACGGTCATGATAGTTTCCGTGGCGAATTGGGTGAGAAATAAGAAAACAGCAAGCAGATTGCGTGCAGCACAAGCTCGTTTTCCCTCTTGCGGGGGAAGAGGTGTATGGCAAGCGCAGAACCTGAGCCTTGTCGCGGGCGACGCTGATTTGGGGGATGACGGAGAGACGAGAGCGAATAAGTAGCCGGGAGACGTCAGACGTCGGGCTTGTGAGGCTTGCGAGGGACGGCTGTCGTGCTGGTCTCTGAGTTAGCGTTGCAAGGAGATGCCTGCACCAGGCGGCAGCCGATGTCGTCCTGGTAGTAGGAAGACCCAATGCTGCAGCGCAAGTAAGGACGATCGGTTTGTAGTGCTGCCCGTGCAAATCACACTCTGATTCCCACCGCCTCTTGACCTGGCTGTCGCGAAGCTAGGTATGTGGCAAAGACTGTGCCAGAGAATTGGGGGGTTTTGGCTCCTTGGCTAGACCTGGGACACAGGATCAGGTCAAGGGGGGAAGCAAAGTAGAAGAAGGGGTTTCTGGGGAAAGACGATGCAGTAGGAGAGCAAAGAGAGCTGGCTCCGCATTCAGGAACTGGCGGTGCATGCAGGCTCCGTCCTAGGCGCATTTCGAGTTGTTCCGCTGCGATTGACGCTTCTGCTGGCACAGGACGAAGCTTTTCGCGCGGCAATTGCCTGCTGTGCACATGGTGACAATTGACAGCCACAATGCAAGTTCCAAGCAAGACTGAACTCACCGTGGGAGGCCCGTAACTCACCGTGACTGTAGCTGTGGCAGCCACCCAGTCGGGCGGCCGGTGGAGCAGTGGGTTCTGGTACCTTGGGCATCAAGCCCCCGAGGGACCATGGATTCCTGCTGCAAGGCATTCCGTGCAGAAGACAATGGTGCTGCTAAGGGGTTGACTGCACAGCCGGTCGGAACGGGGCATGGCGGCGGGCGAATGACTGATTGCCAGAAGGGTAAGGCGTGATGCTGTGTGATGCCAGCGCACGGGAATGCCATGCCGGCCATCTGCCAGAATTGCTGAATCGACTCCCTTGGCGGCTGCAGGAGGGCTGGGCTAAGATCTCGCTGGTCAAGCCGGGCGGAACATGTTGGATAAGGCATGAATGTGTAAAATGTCGAGCGTCAGGTTGCAGCAGAGGCCGTCCAATGGACAGGGCGAGGGGCCAATTGCACGTGCAGAAGGTTCCAAGGTGGCGGCTGACGATTAAGAACCTGCAGGAGGACGTGGAGGTGGCTCGACGCCGTGAATCGCTTCGCTCTAGCAGACCCGAGGACAGGGCGGGCCAGAGGCAGCTTGTCTTGCCAGTGGAGGGGAGCTCATCCTGGGAGATGGAACCTTGACCCCCGTTCAGTGCTTGCCTGCATGCGCCTGGGGGACTCGGGAGCGTGGGTGAGCAGCTCAGGGTCGGCTGAGCGGGCAACAGCGCGGCAATTGTCAGCTCGAGCAGGCCTGGATCCACGGATGAAGGATATTGCAGTTGGGTGCGATCGCAGTATGGGATGAACATCCTGTCTGCCCACCTCCTAATAAACCCCATATCATCAAAGATGTCGTTGAAATTAGGTTGACAGGAGTGGGAGAAGGGATGAAACGAATAGCCGAGCCAGTGTCCAGGCCCAGGTGATGTCACCCCTCACCTACCTAGGTACCAAGCCCCCCCTGGACCCGCCCAGCTGAGGCCCCGGGATGGAGGCTGTTATCGATAGCGTGTTTACGTGGGGTCGAATTTGGCTCCCGTCAACATGGCAACACGACATCTTTTCGCGACGTGCTACACAGTTCACTCAGTTTCAGTACAGTACAATGCAATTTATAGTGGTCTCAATTTCTACCTCGACAATCATCTAAAGTGAGGGCCTCCGCCGCATCAAAATAGAACCAAGATCCACCCAGACTCTGCCGCGCCACGATCCGTCTTGCCTCGTCTGACAAGAGTAAACAATCTGGCGCAAGCATTATGACGCTCCTCGCCGCCCATCTTGAGCAGATCTCCGTGTCTTGCCAAGGCATTGACAGCCTTCCGTACGTGACCAGCTCCATGAAAATAACCCGGCAATCGCTGACGTAGCCTGAGCGAAGATTCCCTCCTCCCAAGATCTTCACCAACGCCCTGCTTTCCAACCACGACATCACCTCGTTAATCCGCGACACCGAAACTCATGAGCGCGCCCTGTTCTCTGTGCCCCCACCTCCACCACCAGCCACAAAACCAGAGCCGCCACCCGAGCAGAGCAAAGTCTCCCGTAGGCAGACCGTCTTCAATGTCGCCGCCGGCGAAGTCACCACAGGCGCGCCTTCATCACGGTCAGCCGGGAACCCGCGTCGCAGCACCGCAGTGGCAGCCGTGTTAGGCGGCGACCTCCATGCTAAGATCACGCGGCGGGCCCCATCTTCGACACGCGTCCAGGGGGCAGGCGGAGGAGGTGACGTCGATATTGAGGTGCTCCTCCAGGGCGCCGAAAAGCTGTGCAATGTCTACCCGTTACCCGGCGCATTGGAGCGGATTCCTGAGTTGCGGCAGAAGTGGGCGAACCAGAGCAACACGCTGGCCTATTACGAGGCAAAAGTGGCTGAGCAGGCGGAGAGGCTCGTCAGGATGAATAAGCGGCCTGATGATTTTGGCGATGAGGATGATGAGGATGTTGGAGATGAGGAGGGCGAGGACCCTGTGAACAACGGCATTATGGACAGCCTCATGACTGAGGAGGACTTGAGGAGGGAGGAGGAGGAGGTCAGGGAGCTGGACAAGAAGAAAAAGGAGCTCCAAGAGAGACTACGGGCTATGGATAAGGACCTAGGCGGGCTACTTCACATGTGATGCACAGGTCCCTGGCGAGAGCTATCTACTGACTGTACCACACTCGCAGTTGACGGCTCACAAAACAAAGTGCGCCATACTGAGATTCGTCCGGAGAGAACATGGAAATTGCCTCGGAGATACCACCATGGCTAACAAGCCTAATGATACCCAAATCACAAGCACCTCGAGCGCGTTGATGATGTCTCCCTACGCAGTCCCCTTGGCTCTGACAAACTCTCCCAGGAACGCTTCGACGTCCTGGGCGCCACCAATCTCATACCGATCATTGATGATAAAGTGCGGGACGCCCTGGATCCCCTTCGCGTAGGCCCACTCCACCGCCTTGTCGACCTCGTCGCCCCCCCTGCCCTCATCGAGCCACGCCTTGGCCTCGGCCCTGTCCAGGCCAGCCTTCTCTGCGGCGTCAAGGAGCGTGGTGTGGCTGGTGACGTCGCCGCCATCCTCGAAGTAGCTGTGCATCAGCGCCGCCATGAGCTTGCTCTGCACGTCGGCCCCCTTGGTCTTGGCCAGCTGCGACAGCCGGTGAGCATCCCGGGTGTTGCCTATCTTGCCCTGGAACGAGAAGCAGATACCCTCCGACTGGCCCATCATCCTCATGCGCTCAGTCATCATGCCCAGCTTGTCGGCGCCGAACTTTTGGGCCATGCGCTCTTGGACGGGCATGCTTTTACCCCGGGGAAGCGTGGGGTCCAAATAAAATGGTTTCCCTGACCCCCGGGTTAGTAAATTCCATCTCATTACTCCTCTATTAATGTCTTATCCAAGAACAAACTCCGGGGGTATTTCTACCCGTTGTGAGGCACTGTCTGCCCCTTATAAGCTCGACTAGCATGTCCACAGACGCTGCTAGGAGGGAATTCAAGGGCGAAGAAACTTGTGGCATCCACGTGATAGGAAGCTGAGGGGCCGGAGAGTAGCTTACAGGTGATGTTGAAAACATCCTCTGAGCCACCAGGGATGGTCTTCTTGTACACCTCAATGGCGCGATCAAGTCGCTTCCTGCCGAGGTAGCACTGGCGAAGATGTCAGTCCACGTCCATGTCCAAGTCGATTAGAAGAGGAACTTGCAAACGGGCAGATAGGATCTGACACGATGTCTATGTTGAAGGCTGTCATGGTGGATCTTCGTGCCTGGAATAACTGTTTGGTGGCTCTGAACATGTGTACGGGTGTGGGTACTCGATACGGCAACTCTGCGGTAATTTACTGGCACTGGGCTTTGTACTGATTGCGGGATAAGAGGTCTTCAAGAGGCAATGACTTGAGACGGGATCAAAATACCAAAGAAGCTCTCAGCGGATCTTGTAAGCTGACAAATCGCCACGGTGCGGTCGAACTTCGGTCGGGGTTTTGGATGGATGCGCCTCGGCGATGCGCGTGGAACATTCCGCCCTACCCACGAACGGCAAGCGTCCGCAGTTGGCACCACAGACACCGATTGAGGCTCAACTCTTGCTTAGCGTCTATATAGACCAGGTATCTGTTAGGACCAAGATTTGCTGGGATGCTATCCATAGATGTTTAAATCCTCGACTATCATGTCTCCATTAAGGAGGTGAGTGCAACAGTGCCTCGGCAGTGGACGGCCTGCAATGCTGGACGCCGAGATCCACCTTGGGTGGGATTTCCCAGGCGCCAGGTACGCTAGCGCATGGCAATCGGGCGCTAGATTGCCACATGCATCCGCATGCAATCCACCCTCGCCCAAGACTGGACTTCCAAGACCAAGTCACGAGTATCAATCAGGAGGCTGGTCCCATCTTCATCCTTCATCATTCTACTCCATAGACCAGAATCGGCCTGGGATCCGAGCGCTCTCACCGAGGATGGCTGATGAGGGGGAGGGGCGGCAAGATGTGCAAGAGAAAGTCCTGCAAGCAACACTGTCCGGCCTCGCTTCCCAGTCAGATGCACCCGAAGCCGTGGACGCTTCCTGTTGCTGCGTGATCTGCCTGTCAGACATATCAGAGCCGTCAACAGCGCAGCCATGTGGGCACCGAAATTTTGACTTCATGTGTCTCGCCAGCTGGATGTCACTGAAAACTACATGTCCTCTTTGCAAAGCTGAAATATCCGAGGTCCATTTTGATTTCAACGCCCAGGCTACCAAGTGGAAGACATACCGCGTCCCCCATATTGGACTCGAGCGAGCAATAGATCAGCCCACACAGAACGAGCCCGGCCAGAGCAATCCAGCCTTGTCAAACGTTACTTCTTTCCTGCGTCGCGCCCGGGACCGCAGACCTTTCCGGAACCCAAGGCACCCCGCGCCTCAATCGGGTCCTGTCCAAGACGCGCTGGAACGCAGGCGCAATGTCTACCGGAAACAACTCTTCTCTCTCCATGTTGGGTCCAATCCAACCTCAGGTTACAGAGATGTCACGCCCCAGGTGTTCAGCGACCAGGCCGATACCCAGAGCCGGGTGCGAGCATGGATAAGAAGGGAGCTGCAGGTATTCGAGTTCCTGAACGACGACAGCTCCTCGGGCCAGACAGAAAGCACCGACTCGGCACTGCCCGAGGCCACCAGGCGGCGGCGGCAGAACAATGCCGAGTTTGTGCTCGAGTACATCATCGCCATACTGAAGACGGTCGACATCCAGAGCGACCACACAGAGGAGCTGCTAAGGGACTTCCTTGGAAGGGACCACACCAAGTTGTTCCTGCACGAGCTGCGCAACTTCCTCCGCTCCCCGTACTCTGTCGAGGCTTGGGATCGCCACGTACAGTATGCTGAGCCTCGGGCACCACCGCATTCGCTCGGAGGAAGGAGCACCCCTGGTCACCGGGTCGACCAGAGACCTCACAGGAGGCTTTACGACCGGTACAGACCTTCAGGGGGTTCACGTCAAGGAGGTCGGTGGTCTCCTTACCGCCAGCAAGGGAGCTGAAGACCTCTCCGTGTCTTTTGGCTTCCCACATCTAAGGCTACCCAGCATCACATCTCGATAGAGCCCAAATGCAGACTTTGCGTGAGATGTGGCTTGGTACCTTGCAAAGATCTTCTCCGCCCCAGTGAGTCGATCAAGTCAGCGGCCATAATCTCTCGCTCGAACCACGCAGCAAAGATTGCAGAGAGCTCCTGCCAGATTACAGATGATGCTCTCGGGATCGCGCTTGCGACGCGCCGCGCAATTCAGGAACGAGGAGCCTCTTGTCGAATGTTTACAGGACACTTGGCGGCTACAAAAGGGCATCACCGAGCTGACACGACAGGGGAAGCTTCGGTCAGAGGCTCTCAGCTTGAGTAGGCATCATGACTGCTCTGCGGTGACAGCTGCAGGAGTGAGTCAAACACTCCAGTCGCAGCTACACTTAGGTCGGAGCCTTCACGGGCAGCAAATGGAGCGTGGCAAGAAAATCAGGACCCATGGAGCAAAGTCAGTGTCTATCAAGGCAGCTGAGTGGTTATGTCTGCTTGTTCGGCAAAAATCAGCCCACACAAGCAAGGCCGTTCGCAATGTTTCCGTTAGCCACTGATGGCAAGGAACCATGTGCGCTCGTCTGCGCCCGGGATGTTCTTTCCCAACAGCGGAGGGCACCTTCCATGTCTGGATGTCTTGAGCAACCAAGGCAAGAAAGGATGATGCAGAATGGACAGAGGAGGCAGGCACATAGGAGCAGAATCAACATTGTTTTCTCCCGCCCTTCGCCCACTTCAAGTCGCGTTGCTCTCCCTTTCTCTTCTTCCCTCTTCATCCCCGAACAGAACTCTGCCACTCGCTTCATCATCTTTCTTCAGGCGGCTACAAACAGCAGTATTCACTTTCTCTTGGTTGTGTCTCTTCTTGATTCGCTTCACGGCTTTCATCCCCCTTTGCTTCTTGCTTCACAGCTTTCTCCTTGCCCGGAGTGTTCTCCTACCGGTCATCATGTCACCCGTCATCAGGGCCACGACGGCCACACTCGCTGGCATCCTCAGCACTATCTCCAGCTTGTCCGGCGGCTCCAACGGCCCAGCCGTGACCGATTTCAACAACAAGAGCGTCAATGTTCTCCCCCCTCTGCCTGGTCCGAACAAAGTCGGCGTCGTTCCCCTTTCCATCGACGACTTTGATCATCATAGCTTCCCTCTCTGTGATGTTAGCAACGACGAGATTCCCGATGCCGCTTGTCATCATCCCCGCAAGATCATGACATCCCTCTTGTGAGTAAAGCACTGCACTGCACTGCCTGTCCTTCCCTGGCTCAATGCCTGAGACTGATGCGTTTTCGCGTAGCTATCCGGCCTGTCCTCCCTCGGACGGTCGACAGAAGCCGAAGCCAGTCCTGCTGGACGAGCAGCACTTTGCTCCTGTCTTCACCCCATCTGTCCTAGGCAACATTTCTCGCAGTGTTGCCCGTGGCCCCACAGCCCTGCAGAATCTCATGTCGCAAGCCGTGGATAAGGCCCCCTCCTGCAAAGGCCGGTACCCCATGGTGATCTTCGCACCCACCGCCGGTGGTCAGCGCCAGGCCTACACCCAGGCAGCATCTGAGCTTGCTTCACTGGGTCACGTCGTGCTCACCGTCGATTACCCGTATCTTTCTGGTGCCGTGGAGAGCCAGTCTGATGACACCGTCCAGCTCAGCACGTTTGGAGATTGGATCAAAACTGACGAAGCCCTCGCCATCCAGACCAATGACCTGCATTTCGTTTACAACCTGACAGTCAACGAAGAGCAACCACTCAGTGGTCTTCCATTCTGGACCAATGATACCACCGTTCAGCTCGATGCTTGCATCTTCGGACATGGCTCGGGCGGCCGAGTTGCTCAGGTGATGGTCGAAACTCACATCGTCAAGTGTGGTGGACCTCTAGAAGGTATCCTGACACTTCCTGCCCCCTTCGACAGAGAGAGGACGGCAGGCAACTCCGAACCGACCGTGAATAATACCCGTCCCTCTATCCCCCCTTCCGCTTCCTATCGCATCTCGCGGATTTCTTCACTGGACCTCTCGCCACCCATCTTTCGCGGATTGCTCCAGCTCTTGAAGCATCTCAGAGACTCTGCCCTGAACACATTCGGTCTGCTCGTCTGCAGCGCGGAAGGCACGTGCGGAGCCCCGAACCCCTCGAAGAGAGCCCCCGTCCAGAAGCGCAGTGTTGGCGACGATCCTTGGTACTACCCCAAGAAGCCTTACTACAAGGACCCTTGCGAGGACCACGGCTACGACGACGACAAGTACGAGCATGACTCTGGCTGCTACGATGACAACTGCGATGGTGATTACGATGATCATTATGAGGATGACTACGACGACTACGATGATCCATGCGAGGATTACGACCCATGCGACCGTTACGACGGTCCGTACAAGCCCTCAAAGCCATTTCCTCCTCCAGGCATCTTCCCACCCAACATTACCTGGCCTCCGTATGGTGATGGCAAGATCCCGGATTACAACCGCCCTTGGGATGACCACTGGGATGACTACCGCAACGATGGTGGCGATTACGGACGGAAGTATGGTCACAAGGACTGTGACCATTATGACGGAGGCTACGATGATGGATACGAAGGGGACTATGGTGATGACTATCATTGCTATCATCGCCCTGATCACTATCGCGAATGGGACAAGAAGCATCATTGCCACGGCCATGTCGACGATTACGACGAAGATGATTATTATGATCACGACGACGACGACTACGATGATGATTACGATGATGATTACGATGGTCACGACGACGATGATTACGATGAGGGCGATTACGACGAGGGAGACTACGATGAGGGTGATTACGATGAGGGTGATTACGATAAGGGTGACTATGATGAGCACGACGGCGACTGTCACAAGAAGCATCACCACCACGGCCATGTCGATGACTACGACGACAAGTACAGGGATGATTACGGCCATGAGTACGACAAGGGCGGCGACCACGGCTACGATCATGGCTATGTTGACGATTGGGACAACGAAGATCATGCATGAGGGCTGTGAGCGTCCTCAGTCCTTGAGCCGGTCGCTGCGGTCAATGTGTGTGGCACGGTGAAGGGCGAGCAACCGTCATTACGAAGACACAGCCAAGGACCTTGAAACTTTCGAGGGGTTTTGTATTTGTAGAGCAGTATTCCTTGCGATTCAGCATTGCATCCTAATTCAAACATCCGCTTCAACGCTCATGACTGCTCAATGATGTGATATGCTCGATGTCCTCACACCTGAATGACAGGCAGTAGGACCGTGTTCTCGTCGTGGTCAGTGCTATTTGTACTTGTGTATTTCCCGCCAGCTTCCTGGTCTGTATTTTGTAGGTGCCAAGTAGAGATGAGAGGCAAATGTGTGCTTTGTGAAGTGCCCAGCCACGCCAAACTGAGAAAAGCTTGGGCAGTCCTTGGGCCCTAACGCTCGCCCGACCGAGATGCGTGTAAGGTGACAGACAGCCTAGGGCACACCACAGACTTAGCAGGGCATGTAGCGATGGAACAGCGTCTGCAGATACTACTTCTTGTGTAACATGGGCCCAATCAAGACGATACGATGCTTGGACGGCGCCTAAACTTGCTGGGGAGTGCAGAAAAGGCTCATGTTGGAAGAAGGACGCTGTGAGAGCTCTTCGACGCTCAGTCTGCCTACAGCCGTTTCAGCTTGTGTACAAGAAAAAGCTGGTAACATCAAAAGAGGCAGTGTCTGGTCTCATGGCTGGAATGACTGGTATAGTCGCCATGAGAACTCGACTATATCAAATGCACGGGACAAGGTGGTTGGTCTCTCGCAGATAGGATTACCGCATGGACTAGGCACTGAGTGGTCCGGAGAATGCATCATGCCAGTTGTTTTCGTTATGACTCCTTCTAATACACGTACTACCTTACTCCTGACAATGCTGGAAGAAAGACAAACCATTCCACCTCCACCTGCACGGACCGAGACTGAGCCTGGCGCCAAAACCCACGGTCACTCCGCAGACCGCACAGCATGCCTCACCGCCGCCTCCTGAAGCGGCTGTTGAACCCTTGCCCGCCCTTGGCCCCCGAGTTCCGCAGCTTGAGGCGCTTGAAGTTGGCGTGGGCGAGCTCGTTGACCTTGCGCGCCGTCTTTTTGACCTTGCCCTTGGGCTTGTCGCCGTCACCACCTCCAGACTTCTGCTTCGCAGCAGGGGCTGCTTTCTTCTTGCTGCTGCTGCTGCTGGTCGAGGCCTTCTTTGTCCCCCGCAGCTCGTCGCGCGCCAGCTCGTCCTCGTCGTCATCGTAGTCCGAGCCGGCGAACTCAGAGCCAGACAGGAGGTCCGCGTAGTCGTCTGCACCTGTTCGTGCCGGTGCCGACGTGCCAAGTTGTGTCTCTGGGATGGTTTCGCCGTCCTCTTCTTGGTCGGGCTCACGGGGTGTGACCGCGGAAGGGGGCCTCCTTGTCATGACTGGCCGCATGTTGGCCTTCCTGGTGGTCCTCTTCTGTCCCTTCTTCTTGAACACCCTGAGCGGCTTTCCGTCGCGGTCTAGGCCCTCTTGCTCGCCGTCCTCGCTGTCGTACATGCCCTCGTCATCGAAGCCGCCTAGCAGGCCTAGGTTCTGCTTCTGGCTGTCCTCCGCCAGGATGGTCTCCGTGTGGCTGTCGTCACCCGCTGCGGGCCTCGAAGGCGCCGTTGGTGGTTGATCCTCACTGGGCAGGGCCGCACCGGGCTTCTTGGCTGTCACGGAGGGGGCCCCTTCGTTCTCCATCTCCCGCAGCGCATCCAACTCGTCGTCCAGTTGCTCCTCCTGCGTCTTGCGGAGGTCCGCCACGATGCTGCTCAGGCCGCGGACGAGAGGCTTCCGCGGGAGGCGGATCGGTTCGGGCGAGGGGAACTCGTTGTTCTCGTTGATCTTAGCCATAGGGATCCGCCGGAGGAAGGCCGGGGTCTGGAACTGGAGCTTGGAGACCGATCGCGAGCTGCTGGGTGTCTTTGCGACCCTGTTGCTAGTGTCCTTGAGCGGCGTGGAGAGAACGCTCTTCCTCGGGGTTTGTTGTGTTTGCTGCGGTTTCTGTTGTTGCTGCTGGGGCCTCGTTGAAGACGGTGTTCTGTCTAAATCAATCGGGAGTCCAACGCCCGTGTCGATAGTCCTGCCTCGGCGTGGTGTCTCTTGAACAGCACCGGCAGCATGAGGAGCCTTTGCTGTGCGTTTCGGCCTGGAGGGCGAATCGATCTCAGCATCCTTAAACGGCAGCAAATCGAACAGTCCCAGAACACGGCCATCGCGCTGCGGTGTAGGCCCTATAGAGGTGGGTACGGCGGGACTGAATAACTTGCGGCTCAGGGACGGGGTGACTGCTGCTGTGGCGGGGGCGGCGGGGCCACCATGGGGAGTGGCCACGCCGGCATGCGTGTTCTGCCTCGCGGACGGTGTCCCTGCGGGCCTGAAGCGTTTGGTGGAGGGCGTGTGGGATGGTATGGTTTGTGGCTTTCGCTTTCGGTCCTGTTTGTCGTCGTCCGCTTGCGTATGCGGGATCTTGCCGGAGAGAACGTCACGGAGGCGGTGGTATCGCTTGCTGAAGGAGGCGATCTTGGGGTTGGCCTTGATGTCGTCGCGGGTGGGCTTCGCGCCGCCGTGGGATTTTGCGAATTCCAGCTCCCAGTCCTTCAGCTTGACGCGCAATTCTTTAGACTGCGTCTCATAACGCTGGCGATCTGCTTCGTCCATGTCATGTGTGGTTGTTGGTATGTTCAGCGTGGTCATGTCATGTCATGTCATGTCACGCTGTGTCTAGACCTGCCTGTCCACGCGTGTAAAGTGCTTCCAGGCCAGACGCGGTTTGGTAGACGCGACGCTGGGCGGGCCGCTCGCTGCAAGGACAGGGGTATGATCCACTGGTGGCGGCCCGCCATTTGTTGGCCCTGGTCCAGAGTCCAGAGGCATGAATCCTCCTGTGTATTGGCCCAGCGACAGCTGTTTCAACCACAAAATCAATAGGCTCACAAGTGAATAGCTCCGCCGCCTGAGATTGGGAATCTAGCGCCCTGGAAATCAATGAAAGGAACGTCCGTGACTCTACCATGTGCAGCAGCCCGTACAACAGGGGTAGCCTGCGCATTATCGATGTGACGGCTTGCAGCAGCAGCGGAATAAGCAAAATAGGAGTTGATCGGTAGTTAATCAGAACTGTTGCTCTCACCTCTGTTACGAACTTCCACGGTTGCAAGGTTACTTTATGAGCGCCGTGTACACAGGCATATAGACACTATACCACAGGCACAGGCTGAGATGCTCTCACCAAGAGTGCCGTTGCAACGCCTCACAGGACCTGGCCAGACAGTGAGGCCGCTCCGGTTGAGAGGAGTACTCCTTTCATGCTGCCCTGCCAGCCCTGAGGATTGAGCTGTGAGTCTGGACGCGAGATCAGCGACATGTGTTGTATGTGGAGCTGTCACTCAGCTTCATCTCCGGCGGGTCTATAGCAGCTCGAAACGGACGGGATCCTCCAAAACGGGCACGTCTTGTTGTTGTGCTCTAAAGCTCAAAGTGTGTCAGAAGACGGACTTACATAAGCCGCACCCGCCCCCCGGCCAGCCACTCACGAGTCGGCGGACCGCGGCACAAGCTCCCATCCCGTCTGACACCGTTCAATGCCCATGCTCAGGCCAAGAGGCCGTGCCTGTGCCTGCCACCCACCATGGGTACCTAGGCAAGTTGGTTGCCTCGTCACCCGGGCCCTGCCTTGGCTTATTATCAGCTAGCTTGGTTTATCAGTGGCAGCTGTGTCACAAGACGCTACCAACCCCCCCCCCCCGGAGCTCCAGGGTCACTGACTGAATGACTGACGTAGACCCAGACGGTTGCCGCACTGGACCATAGGACCCGCCCACCCATCCATCCGCATCCACATCACACCTCAGAGCTTCCCCAGTTCCCTACCTACCTCACCAAGCATCCTTGGATCTCCCTCACTCCTGACCTACACTCCTCCGGACCATCAACCACATTCTCTGTCTTGTTTTCTTTTCCATCATCAACCACGTCTATTTTTGCCATTCTCCATTACCATCCCTCATCAGTCTCTCTAGTATTCCATCTCGCAGCTGCCCATCATGAAGGGAGCTATGCTGAGCGCCATGCGTGAGTCTTCTCCTGCTTCAGCCGTCGCGCGACCTGGGTTTGCAAACCACAGGTCATGCGCCCTCCACATCCCCAGCTACTGGATGCTTTCCCACCTGGGTATCGCTATCGCAGTATCCGTCCGACCTCCATCCCACCATCTACTCACGGCTCCTGGCTATTTGCCTCTCTTCTTTTGATGGTGACTGACGACGCATCATGTAGTTCTTGGCGCCTCCGCCCAGGCGGCTGGAGTCCACAAGATGAAGATCCAGAAGATCCCATTCGAGGACCAGATGGTTAGTGACGGGCTGCCTACCATCTTGGAGATCTCGGACTGTTACTGAACAATTCCACAGAAGGCTTTCCCGATGCAGGACCAGATCAAGTACCTCGAGCAGAAGTACTCGGGTGCCCAGCACCCCTTCGGCTACAGCGAGCCCAGCATCGAGCCTACCAAGGACCACCCCGTCCCCATCACCAACTATCTGAACGCCCAGTGTATGTCCTGACCTCTCTTGCCCTGTGCTTGACTCTACCCTCTGACACCGCCCCAGACTTCTCCGACATCAAGGTCGGAACTCCTCCCCAGGACTTCAAGGTCATTCTTGACACCGGCAGCTCCAACCTCTGGGTGCCTTCGTCCAAGTGCACCTCCATCGCTTGCTACCTGCACAGCAAATACGAGTCTTCTTCATCGTCGACCTACAAGAAGAACGGCTCGTCATTCGAGATCCAATACGGCTCTGGCTCCATGAAGGGATTCGTCTCCCAGGACGTGCTGCAGATTGGCGATCTCACAATCAAGAACCAAGACTTCGCCGAGGCGACCGAGGAGCCCGGCCTGGCCTTTGCCTTCGGCAAGTTCGACGGAATCCTGGGTCTTGGCTACGACACCATCTCCGTCAACAAGATTGTTCCTCCCTTCTACAACCTGATCGACCAGAAGCTGATTGACGAGCCCGTCTTCTCCTTCTACCTCAGCAAGGACGGAGAGGGCTCTGAGGTTGTGTTTGGCGGCTCGGACAAGGACCACTACACCGGCAAGATCACCAACATCCCCATCCGCAGGAAAGCGTACTGGGAGGTCGACCTTGACGCTATCACTGTCGACGGCGAGTCTGCATCGTACGATGACGCTGGCATCATCCTGGACACCGGCACGTCCCTGATTGCTCTGGAGACCGACCTCGCAGAGATGCTCAACAAGCAGATTGGTGGCAAGAAAGGCTATAGTGGAACCTACACCATTGAGTGCAACACGCGGGACAGCCTCCCAGACATCACCTTCACCCTGGCCGGTCACAACTTCACTATCGATGCCTACGACTACACCATCGAGTCTGGCGGCTCCTGCATCTCCGCCTTCATGGGCATGAACCTCCCTGCCAACCTTGCGGGTATCCTGGGAGACGCATTCCTTCGCCCATGGTACTCCATCTATGACCAGGGCAAGAACCAGGTCGGCATCGCCAAGTCAAGGGACTAAATACCACGGCCATGTTCACGGTCGAATCGGATCTACTAACTCTTGTATCAACACGCGAGGCTTAGGATGACAGCATGGTCCCGTAGGGGGATTCGGTCGGTTTGGTTTGCGCATTGTGCCTTGCATTGAGGTGCATCACTATTTCCCATATCATGGGGCTTTTCTTTGGACCGTCTCGAGTGTTGCAACAGATTGTAAGGTAGTCGGGACTAGCATTAGTGGAATAGGACAGTGATTTTGCAGTATACCTAGGTCCCTAGTATGCCAAGGTGCGCGAGGCGCCTTGTGGTGATTAATGACTTTCCTCTTTATGGGTTGGTCGAGGGACGAAGCGCTCAGAGCAACTAAGTCGCCACAGGGGGCGACTTCATAGGGTTAGACTCGTAGGGGTTCGTGAAGGGAGAGGATGAGCATTAATACTATGCAACATCTAGCAATGCTTCACCGTCCCTAGCTGGACCTCTGGCTACATGGGTAGAGAGACTTGGAGTTGAAGTCTTCAAGCGCTGCCGACAGGGTATGCCAAGCCTCGTCTTGTCATCAGAGTCAGTCCGCGAGAGCGATATCGCAGGGCTGGCCGTCATGCCCACCAGAAAACCCACCGGTCAGCCGGGGGTTGGAGCGGCCATCCCTGCTGAATTCCGGGACCCGAGTCCCCAGCTTGCCCAGCTCTAGAACCCCGCCGTGTCCCTCGTTGCCCCCCATTGGATTTTTTCTCCCGCCGCCATATCTGCTCTGACTCCTCCTCTTCCTCCGCGCCTTCTCTGTCCCTCCTAGTCTTCTTCTCCAATTACCTCTCCTTCACTCATCCATTGCCGACCGAGTAAATTCCTACCTACCGCAAGGACCGAGGACTCAATTCACAATGGCTGCCAACGGCTCGACGTACGCCCTCTCCCAGGGCCACAAGGAGGCGAGTATGCCCCGCTAAACAGGGCGTCTGACGAATTGATCCGGGATTTACTAACAGATCTGCAGTTGCTCGAGAAGTCTCTGATCGACTCCGACCCTGAGGTCGCCCAGATCATGACCCAGGAGATCCAGAGGCAGAGGGAGTCCATCATCCTGATCGCCTCCGAGAATGTCACCTCCCGCGCCGTCTTCGATGCTCTTGGCTCGCCCATGTCCAACAAGTACTCCGAGGGTCTCCCTGGCGCCCGGTACTATGGTGGCAACCAGCACATTGACGAGATTGAGCTTCTCTGCCAGAAGCGTGCCCTCGAGGCTTTCACCCTCGACTCCTCCAAGTGGGGTGTCAACGTCCAGTGCCTCAGCGGCAGCCCTGCCAACCTGCAGGTCTACCAGGCTCTCATGCCTCCCCACGGTCGTCTGATGGGTCTGGACCTCCCCCACGGTGGCCACTTGAGCCACGGTTACCAGACTCCTGTGAAGAAGTGAGTATATCGAACATGGGAGAAATGAACGGCCTGGCTAACAACGGACAACAGGATCTCTGCCGTTTCTACCTACTTCGAGACTATGCCCTACCGAGTTGACATTGATACCGGCATCATTGACTACGACACACTCGAGAAGAATGCCCAGCTGTACCGCCCCAAGATCCTTGTTGCTGGTACCTCTGCCTACTGTCGTCTGATCGACTACGCCCGCATGCGCAAGATTGCCGACTCTGTTGGTGCCTACCTCGTTGTCGACATTGCCCACATCTCGGGATTGGTCTCCTCCGGCGTCATCCCCACTCCCTTCGACCACGCCGATGTCGTCACAACCACCACCCACAAGTCCCTCCGTGGCCCTCGTGGCGCCATGATCTTCTTCCGCAAGGGTGTGCGATCCGTCAACCCCAAGACCGGCAAGGAGGAGCTGTACAACCTGGAGGACCCTATCAACTTCTCCGTCTTCCCTGGCCACCAGGGTGGTCCCCACAACCACACCATCACCGCTCTGGCCGTTGCCCTGAAGCAGGCCAACACCCCTGACTTCAAGGCCTACCAGAAGCAGGTCGTTGACAACGCCAAGGCTCTGGAGAACAAGTTCAAGGCCCTCGGCCACAAGCTTGTCTCTGACGGAACCGACTCGCACATGGTCCTTGTTGACCTGAGGCCCGTCAGCCTGGACGGTGCCCGTGTCGAGGCCGTCCTGGAGCAGATCAACATCGCCTGCAACAAGAACTCCATCCCCGGCGACAAGTCCGCCTTGACCCCTTGCGGTATCCGCATTGGCACCCCTGCCATGACTTCCCGTGGCTTCGGTGTTACTGACTTTGAGCGTGTTGCTTCCTACATCGACGAGGCCATCAAGATCTGCAAGGAGGTCCAGGGCGCGCTGCCCAAGGAGGCCAACAAGCTCAAGGACTTCAAGGCCAAGGTCGCCGGCGGCGAGGTTGAGAAGATCAACAACCTCAAGAAGGAGATCGCCGCCTGGTCTCAGACCTTCCCTCTGCCTGTTGAGGGATGGCGTGTCGACGCTGGTATCTAAACCAGCGAGCTAATGGGGCCAGCCAGGATGGACCGGTTCGAAGTTATTTTGGCCACTAAAGGAATGGGATCCGGCGTTATTCAACAAAAGTCATTGGACGGTGATGATATCCCAGGCTTCCACAGCCTGTATTCTTCTTTCTTCTTTAGGTGTTCAGGGAACGATGTAGCAAACGAAAATGGAAATCAGGGACAAGGGAAGGCCATCATTGCATAGCATTCATCAGGCGTTGCAACAAATCTGGGATCCTCAGGGTGTGGCTTTCTCGGATATCTACTGCTTCAACGCGGTACAGAAACAAATGTCATTACGTATGCTATATATTCTGGGCACGAGCCTGGACAAGCGATTTGGTGAGCAGTATGCTATTATGTTCGTGTGAATGAACCACAGTGTATTGTCGACTGTATTCCGTTTGTGCCCAACGCCGACATATGTTCACGTTACCAGCTTGTTGAAGTATAGTCAATCACATTGGACAGGTATCTTCAGTTGCCTGTAACACTGAGCCGTTCTATAAGTCTATGACCGTTTATTCTGGCTCGCTCCTTGCCGGAGAACTGTGTGGCACAACGTAACACCTTGCTCCTGCGCATTTCAACCCTCCGGCTCTCACGCAGCTGTAATGCCCGGTCTTTCGCCTGATTCAAAGTCCCTCTGCACAACAATACCTTCTGGCCCTATTTCGCCATCCAGGAACGCCCTCAGGTTCTCCTTAACCCTGCGCACCTGGTTCGACATGGTCGTGCCCGAGAACCAGGCCAGATGGCCCGTCAGCGTGAGGTTCAGCCCCCCAGCCTCAGCGGCGCCCAGCAGAGGGCTGTCGTCGCTGCCGCCAGCGGGCTCCCGCGCGAACACGTCGGTGCCGTACCCGAACAGGGCCCGGGACTGCAGCGCGCCCACCACGTCCGCCTCGTCGACGATCCCGCCCCGCGACACGTTAACCAAGACAGCGTCGGGCCGCATCTGCGACAGCTCGGGCGCGGAGATCAGGCCTGTGCTCTGGGGGGTGAGAGGCAGCGCCAGGAAGAGGACGGTCGCCTGCGTGAGGACGTCTTTGAACGGGACGCGCGGCGGCTCCCCACCCGCTGCTGATGCTGCTGCCACTCCTTCTTGCTGACCATTTGTGAGGGGCATTGCCGTGCCGGGAGCAGCGTCGCCTTTGCGCTGCGAGATCATCACCTCCATCCCTAAGGCCCTGCACAGCCTGGCGATGTGCTTCCCCACGGCGCCGTAGCCGACCACGCCCGCTGTCTCCTGCGCGCACGTCCGCGGCGGCGCCCCTGTACCGTCGCGCATCAGTTTGTTCAGGCTGCCTGGGATGTTGTCAGCGAATCATGTTTCCGAACTTCTGCTTGTGCAGATTGTAGGCGCAGTGAGTCTGCGGAAGTGGGTCCCTCGGTTTCCTGGCCTTCTCGCAGAACCGCCTCCCGTACCAACAGCGGCCCAAACCCATTGGTGCGAAAGGAGAGAAAGGCACCCTTTTGCCGAATGCACTTACCCTTGGACTTCCACCCGTTGGGGCGGTCTGGCCCAAAGTCGGCCAGTGTGTTGTGGACAGAGACGAGACTCCGCCTCGTGGCAAAGTACAACGAGAGGGCGTGCTCAGCAACAGACTCGGTGTTGCAGTTTGTGCAGGTCATAACCTGGATGTTGGCCTCCCGGCAGTAGGCCAGGTCGATGTGATCCGTCCCCACGGCGTGGCTGATGATGCATTTCCTTTCGGCTGTACCATTAGTCCGGCAGCTTCTTTCTCGTCCACACACATGTGTGCTATGCTTTTGGGTTTCTTAGGGCTATGGACTATCTTACAAGTACGGCGCCTGCCTCAGCGTCTCAGCCGTGAGCCTACAGATCGTGCAGATGACGATGCTGGCGTCCCTGATCCGTGCGGCAATATCATCCTCACCCGCGATGGTGTTCTTGTACAGCAGCGCCTCGTTGGTCCTGGGGCTGCTGTCGAAGTCCTCCCACGGCACGTGTATGGACTCCAGCACGGCTATCACCTCGTGCCGGTCGGAAGGGGGCTGTTTGGGGGCGAGTGTGGACTCCGATTGCATGCTGGCTGTCCGGTGGGCTTGAGATGCAGGGGTTCGCGAATAAAAATCACTGCCAGGAAGATCTAAATTTCAAGGATTTGTTAACGGAGAATCTATGTGATAGCGGGTTCGATCGAGTGAACTCTCAAGCACAGATAGTAGTTTCTCCATCCAGATATCCCCCCTCGCGGGGCCTCGGCCCCGCTTGCATCGCACGCAAATGCGCGTAACGCCAATGCGATGATGAGTGATCACATTGGGTCAGCTCGAGGGATACATAAGTGACAGTTTTCCACATGCAATTCTCATGTATTTATGTAAAACTAATGTGGGTTAGCAGTTTAGCCCAAGGATCAAGATGGAAGATTCAGTTATGCAAAGCATCGACCTGTACAAATTTGCATGATCGTCGACATGCGGTTCCTTGTGTTTTGGTAAGGTTGTCCAATTTCCCAGAGAAGTTCAATTTGATACCGGGGCAAGGGATGCCTCAAAGATATTCTACAGACTTCATAAAATAGGGCCATTTGGATCTTTAATGTGATTACTGGTAATTCGACGAGCAAGCCAGCAAGTGCGTCGCGCAGCTTTGGATTTTATTCCAGTCTGCTTGCCCTCTGGTGAGCAATGGTATCTGGTAGGTTCTTTCCGGCCACCGAAACTGGAATCCTATCCTACGGGTCACCCGCCCTTTAGAAGCACTTCGCATGATAGCAACTCCTCCTTCAATGCGATCATCAGAAATGACGCATTATTCCGTAGTGTTTTGAGCCCTTGGGCTGACCAACCATAAATGCAGCCGGTCTAAGCTGATCACGATCATAGCGTCCATATGATAGCAGTGTTCGCCAGCAAAAGCACTTTACTTCTTGAAGGTCCCTGCCTTGCCCGTACGCTCCCCGTGCATCCGTCTGGCTGCTTTGGGGCCCTCGGCATTCATCCTCGCCGCATAGGGATCAAAGGCCTTCTTCTTACCCGGAGCATCCCCAGTGCCGTTGGCAGCGGCAGCAGATCTCTTTGCATTCAAGACTGACTGCGCCTGGCTGTAGTCGAAAGGCGCATCTTCGTCTTCGGCTGCATCTGCCTGCTCGGTGCCGTTCCGACCTGTTGAGCCGGCCTTTGCTTGTTTCCTCGCATTTTTGGCTTCTTTGGCGGCCTTTTTCTTTGATCTCCTGTCACGCTTGCCTCCGCCCTCGTCTACGTCGAGGGATATCATTTCTTCCGTATCGAGCGGTGCTCCTCCATCGCCCGAATCTTCGTCCTGTGTTTCTTCCACCTTGCGCTTCCGCCCCTGTCTCAGTGTGAACTCAGTGTTCTCCACGTCCTGGTCCTTCCGAAGCGCAGGAGTCACCTTCTCCGGCACTTCGAGCGGGATCATATCCTCGTCTCGGTCTTGGGATTTGGGTAGAGTTTCCTGCTGGGAAGCAGCGGCCACGGCTTCTTGCACAAATTGTGTCCAAGGTAATGCAATCTGCTCGCTGACAGCGCCATTCTGAGATTGTGACGAGCCATCCCATAAACTGCTCAGTGGGATAGAGCCAAAAAGCTGGGACTTCTCGCTGCGGAGTTCCTCCACTGGAGGCAGGTCCAGCTCTGGCTTCTCTTCCTTACCAAGCTCCCTCTTCATCACGGCCGCAACCGAGCGACTATCGAGATACGTGCTCCTGAAGAAATCAATCGTGCTGGGTCCCTCGGCTCCGGCCTTTCTTGCTTCAGTGACAATTGAGAAGAGATCCTCAACCGACTGTTTCGCCTTCTGTGATGACGAATTCCCGAGTAAACTCCACAGAGCCTTGGGATCGTTTGGTAAAATTTTGGCAATCTCCATCACTACTTGTGGTGGCATGATAAAAGTTGGGTTCTCGTCTTGCTGGCGGGCTGCCTCGTCACGCCACTTGTGCAAGGCTCTGTAGACGGCAAATTGCTCGCCACTGAGCCTGATATGGCTCTTGTAAAGGAAGTTGGACCATCCCCGAGCTCCCTCGCCCGTTTCTGGATCTGCAGCGAAGGGGGTGTATCTGTCCAGCGACGTCTCCTTTGACTTCTGGAGCGTGTACTCGATCAGGTCCTTCTCTGGATCACTGCGGTCAGACCGCTCAACAAGCTCGTTCCGCACCATGTCGTAGATGTAGAGTAAAAAATGGGTGTCGGATCGGGCGTAGTAGAACATCTCTTCCGGCAAGGGTCTAAGCATGTTAGCATCGAGCTGGGCCCATTTCGCGGGATAATAAGTTTACCGTATTCTCCAGTCCGCCATTTGGTACTTCTTGTCTGCGTCAAAGTCGACAAAGCTCTTGAGCAGGTACGCCAAGCTCCTCTGGGGGTATCCGAGTGCTGAGCTCGCGTGGTAGGTGTCGAACAGCCCGACAATATACAGGCCCAGGTCTCTCTGCAGCCAGATGATATCCATAAAAGCGCCATGGAACACCTTAACGATATTCGGGTCGGCGAAAACCTCGTTCAGAACCTCAAGCTTGTGTCGCCATGGTCTCAGGGTATCAACAATCCAGTCCTTCTCTCGAGTGCTGATCTGCATAAGTGAGAGCAGTCCATGGTAAGAACGATAGTCGTGGTGCTCCAGGTCGATCGCGATTTCCGTTGCTCCCTTGAGTTCTTCCAGCATTTCTAGAACCCCTTCGTAGGTGTCAACCCATGTTGCAGAGGTTGTATCCATCGGCTGGTATGGTATGGGGTCCCGTATCTCGTAGGTGGTCTCAGGGTACTTCAACTTCAGAATCTCCGTCTCATAGGGATGCTTGAACCTGAATAGGCTGTTAGTATCTTTTGTGGCACCCATATTCTGCAGCTTTCGAATCCTTCTGTGGAATTTTCCCCTGGCGCTCTTGCTCAGTTCGTCGAGCAGCTTGCCTGCCCAGTTGAGAGTAAGGGACGGTAAGAAAAGTGTGTAGTCATACTGCTGCTGGTTGTTTCCGTCAACCGCCACACCAAGACTGTCCTCCAGCGGCACTATAGCATGCGGTTTTTGGGTCAACAACGGCTTCCATGGTCCGACAGCAAAATTGTCGACTTGCTGCTCGAAGGTGGTCTGCGGCTTGATGATGTTGGCGCGTCGGAAATTGAAATCGAGTCGCTCGTTCGTCTTCGCCTTCTTCTGCTGAGGTCCATTCTCGGGGAAGTCCGACTTCCTCTTGACCAAGCCAGTGTATTCGTCCAAGCAAATGTCGGCTTTTTCGAGAAGCCCGTCGATCACGTCCACGATGCCACGCCACTGTATGTCAACGTCCTCTGCATCCTCCAGTTCGCCAACATTCTTCTGGCCGGTCGCGACGGCGGCAGATTTGAGTAGGTCGCTCGAGAGGCTCAGCAAGCGCGTCGACTGCTCCTCGAGACGGTCGCCGGTGCTGGGGTTTACGGTCCGTTGGAATCCGAGGTCCTCGCTCGCAATGCGCTGGACAGCTTTCGTGGTCGAGACCAGGGAGGCCTGGATCTTTTCCTGCAAGGACTTGAAGTCTTGCGAGGGATCCATGGTCGTTGGTGATCCGTGGAAGAGTTCGCCAATGTCGGCGTCCCGGGTGGAGGAACAGGAAATCGAGAAATTATTTGCGACGCTGCCGTCCAACCTTGGAAGTTAACTCGAAAATTTACGGCGGGCGGGCAGGCAGTTTAGCGGGTCTAGGCGCCTGTAGTAAATCCCCCAGTGGGGATGATGCAAGCCAGGGTCTTGGAAGGGACTTGCAGCAGGCACCAGATAAGATAAGCCTCCAGTCCCCGTGGTGACGATGGTGTAAATCAGCCAAGAAGCTTCACTGCTTGCAGGTTGCCACCCTGGTGACTTGCTGACTTCAAATCCCAAGGGTTTCGCTTTGAAATCATCTCCTGACTGGCAGATTAAATTCATTCTACTTACCACTCATCAACTAGCAGCCAGCGCAATCCCTCAGATTACAGCCCGGTTGACCCAGTCTTGTTCCACTTCACCAACACAGCTTCCCGTTCGGTTCTCCGGGAACTCGGCGTCCACGTGAAAGTTGAGGGTCAAAGGAGTCAGTTCGGAACTCTAGCTGACCACAATTAGCCTTCACAACTGGTGTTAATCCTCATCGGCAAGGTGGCAGAAGCAGAAGAGTGTTTCAACAGTCTTCACAAGCTTGCGTGTGGAACCTTTGAGCCTCAGGCTGTTCAATTTTGGTCTGTGGACCAAAGGACTCTCAGTGGTCATCAAGGATGTCTGCTTCTCTAGCTCCTGAGTGCAATGAGGTGAAGGAGTAGGTATCAGGAGATATTGTTTTAGCCGACTGTTTGCTAATCTGAGGCATAGGAAGTACGATACTTGCTTTCTAAAATGGTACAGCGAAAGTAAGCAGGTGAAGGCTCCCATCATTCCGAACTAAGCAGGATCTAACTCACCTGAAAGAGTATCTCAGAGGCATTGGAAAGTCTGATGACAATGAGTGCTCAGACCTGTTCAAGAACTATCAGAAATGTCTAAATGTACGCTACCTCTAAAGACAGCGATGTCATCTCGAGTACTCCATGACATGATTCCTGTCTTGGTCTCTGTCCCATCTGCAAAGGTTCACAAAGGAGGCTAACAAGAGACAGGTTGCCCTGAAGCAAAGAGGCATAGACAAGCTCCTGGAAGAAGCCAGGGAGGACAACAAGGAGAACGATGCCATACACCTAGGCAGGAAATGAGGCCGCTGGTGAAGGCACTGGGAGTTGGGCCAAGGATGCTGACCCCAGGTTGTGTCCCAGTGCATTTGCATCGTCACAACCATGGCATCAGCCGTGTATACTACTATTCTGTTTGTGGCGTTTTGCATAAAAAAAAAGGGGGGCTTGCAGAACCACACTCATTCATCAATCAAAACTAATGCCACTCTAGACCAATATTGGTCAGCAGTCCCGTCATCACACACAGTGCCAAAACTGGACTGCGAGAGACAATCTGTTGAGACTCTCACAGTGGTAAGGGGACAGTCTCACAGGAGGAAGGGCTGCTTCACGTAAGGCTGTCTGATCCTGTCCATAGACTACAGCAAGTATAGTTAGGATCGATTCTACCACACAAAAGGCGTGCCAAATGTTGGCTGTCCGCATTGCATATTGGCCATACCATCCCGCCACTCTGCAAGCCCTTGTAGCCCAGAGTTGCTTGGTTCGCTCGGTTGTGCAAACAACGCTAGGCGATCATGGGCCTGAGGTCAATAGGCGGCTCGACCTCGACCTCAAGAGACGCGTCAGGGCCTAGAACCAGGGATCCCCACTGAAGAAGGCTGGAATTGCCGGCAGGCAGGCGGAACCACAGCCAGGGTCTAAGCTTGGCTTCTCCAGCTCCAAACCAGTGCATGTGGTAATTAAAACTGATTGCGACAGCTCGTCACGTCGGGCGAACCAGAAGTCCTCCTGCCCTGCTCTTAACGTGGACAAAGACCTTCTTGGGACTCGACCTGGGCTCTCCGTTTTCGAACCTCACGATATCAACAACCTCGGAATGCGCTTAAAGTAGCGACCAGACGGCGATTCTATGCACCCCTTCTCCGCCCTAACGATTGGAATCTTCGTAGCCGGCTACACCACCGCTCGATGGGACCTGGTCACGAGGCTCTATGAGCTTGCCATCTTTGCTTGGGACTACGGAGTTGTTGTGAGTCTGCCCTCCCACCTAGACACTATGTCTTATCGTGCACATCATATTCAATGCCACGAGCACTGGAAATCCCCCGAACGCACGCGTGACTCTAGCTGACTTGATTTTCTGTCCCCATCTTAGTCGCGCGCCGCATACGGTTTCGTCGTACTGTCGCTCTTCTTCCTCGTCGTTCTCCTGCCTGTGGCACGTCTTGCAGCCAGAGAGTCAGACCTGGTACGACCATCTCTCGGCCCTATGACGCCCCTCCCTGCGACCTTTCTCGACGCGCGTCGCTAACATCAACGCAAGCATCCTCGGTCCACCGGTTCAGGCATATCCGCACGGGAGCAGCTGAGACGAAGAGGGTCGTTCTAGAGACGTAGACCCACTTCAATCGAGGCTGTCTGTCATGCCAGAGCATGATGGGTTGATGCGCATTTTCTGGCCGATCGACATCCCAAGGTCGGACCTGCCTGGGGTGGTCGTGGGCTGGAGGAACTCGGCATTGGATGTGTTCGTGGTGGCTATTCTGGAAGCCGTCGATGTTAGTCCTCTCATCGAGAGTGCAGCTTGAGTGTGCCCTGCTAAGCCGTACCCGCTAGGCTCGAAATGTCGAGGGCGCGCTGAAGTCCCTCACTCTGTTCAGGAGCGCTCCCCACCCGATAGGACGGATTTTCGAGCTATGCGGCCAGTCAAGTATGCACGTACTTGGTGTCTCGAATGCCGACGACTCGGTGGTGATAGACCCGTCATGGGTGCGCGTGGCCATGGACGCGAACACCCGCATCCCTCAAGTCCGATGTGCAAAGGCCTCGAGTATTCAGATTATACAATTCCAGCGACCGCTACCAACGAGAATGCAGTACATATCGCTCAATCCCATTGCGCTGGCCTTGGGGGACAAGCCTACGGACGAGAGGATGGCGCCTGTGGGTGAGGCCGAGGCCCAAGAAGAGATACAGGAACGAATCCGGAGGGAGAAATCCGAGAGACTCGTCGAGAAACTCAAACAGCATTCTATCATAAAGCGGCCTGCTTCGAACAAGGAAAGGGCCCTGCCCAGAATCGTCAACCAGATCAATTGGTCCTCGGAACTCGAGATGCTTCTTCAGAAGAACGTATCAAGACTAGGAGCAAGACCCAAGCGAAGTCTTAGTGTGTCTGAGCGTGTGGTAGAGTCTGCGACTACGATGAAGAATTTCGTTCTGCTCTGGATATGGGAGCTGATCACCGTCTACATCTATCCCATCATCCGGCGAGGCTTCATTTTTGGCCTGATTGGCCACCGAATAGCGGCCGAGATGCTGCTGGTCGTCCTGGAGTGGCGACCTCAGCCTCATATTGCTGCTCTGAAGGACATCTCGGCCACGGCGCAGCAAGTTGAGATTCGGCTGCAGCAGTTCTGCTACTGGCCGATGCAGTATGTCACGTTGAGGCAGAGGAAGAACGACTGGGAAAGTGTGACGACAAGCCATCCTGACTACATTCGGTTCTACAACAGTCTTTGGCTTGTTGCTAATGATGTGATCATCGGGATCGCCTTGGGCTCATACATCATTGACAACGCTTCTTGGGTCGCAGACCAGATCAGCCTCATCTTGACAACGTACACCGTCGAAGCTTTGCAGAGCGGTATCTCGTGGTTGATGGGTTGGCCTGCCGGTTTGAAGCTGAACACCGAGTTAGCGGCGTTCCTTGGTGATTTGTTCTTGTGGGTCATCGATTACTGGGCCAGTAAGTCATTGCGTTCGTTCTCACCGCGCAAATCTCCCGACTGACGCTTCCCAGGCTGCATCGACACCTTCCGGCCAGCCTTGCCTGGCGTCATCTGGTTCATCGGATTCACCAGTTTCGCGGGAGCCAGCATGCCCATTGCAGTGTTCTCAGACTTGCTTTCCATCCTGACCGTCCATATATATTCTTTTTACCTCGCCTCCGCCCGTATATATCACTGGCAACTGACAATCCTCATCTCGCTATTCCATCTCTTCAGAGGAAAGAAGCATAACGTCCTGCGGAACCGTATAGACTCGTGCGATTACGACCTTGATCAGCTCTTGGTTGGCACGATCGTCTTCTGTCTTCTGTTGTTCCTGCTGCCAACTGTGGTGGTGTTCTACCTGAACTTCGCCATAGCCCGGATGGTTATCATCTCGCTAAAAGCCGCCTTTGATACACTTCTTTCCTGCCTAAACCATTTTCCCCTGTTTGCCCTTATGCTCCGGATCAAGGACCCTCAGAGGTTGCCAGGTATGTCTGATCGGCTCGGGAATTTACAGGCGGCAAGACTTCGCTAACAGGTACCCAGGGGGCATTCGTTTTGAACTTCGTGATACCCAAAATTATAGAGTCGTACATAATCCATCAATCCCAGACCTTCCGTCTACATCGGTAATCTACCTCAAGGTATGAGTGCCCATGATGTTCACCCTCGATTGTCTTCCAGCCTCCATTGCGTCGACGACACAGCAATACTCAGCTGACTCTTCATCATCGCCAGTCCATACCACTGACCTTCCGCGCCATGTTCCACCAGTATTTCCAGATGGCCGCGCGCATCCGGAAGCACTACCTCTCTCCACGGGTGCTCCTCTGCCTGCTCACGGGCAAATTCGTCCCGCCCATCAACCGCAAGAACCTGTACAGCCTGCAGTACAGCATGTTGCCGGCCCAGAGGTCGGGGATCATGGAGATGTGGGCTGCAGTCAACTCGCTCGTGAGGAACGAGAAGAGGCAGCCTTTGCCGGTGATGAATGGGAGGCTGACCAGGACGCGGGGATACGGTGGGCATTGATGGCTTCTAGTGGGGACGGTTAGGGTCTGCTAGAGAGAACGAGAGTGGTCGAAATCTAAGTTCGTGTGCCTGATGCCGAATGTGTAATGATGTGTATGTGCGTCCTGAACATTCCTTGCTGATAAGGATTGAGCCCCCCTGTGTTTGACGGGTGTCGTTATCCAGGAAATTCCTAGTAGACTGCAGTCGACCCTATTTTACCACTTGCCCACGCTGGCGCCCCTACTTTCGAGGCTCGAGTCACCATGTCAATGGTCTTTGATTCGCATATATAATTACAGCTGGACAGACCGACATCATGACAGACAGCACGACAGGATGAATTGGACAATTTTGCCTATGTTACCACTCGTGTTTCTGGAATCGTGACTTGGCCAATTTCTCTCCAACGAGCTACTATTAACACAGTGAAGGAAAGCCTCACGAGCTTCCGCTTCAACAACAACATGCCTTATTGAATGGCTCTCATATTATCGTCTGATAACGTCTGATCTGTTGATCTTCCGGGAAGTATTATGACACAGACAGTATGCGAGACTCCGTCGGGGGGGCATGTAAGTATTTACGACGGCTTCATACTTTGACGAGAGACCAGATAAAGCAGATTTATCAAGATACAGCGTTACGCGGGTCCAATGCCTACAGGATTAAACTCGTATCCCTCTGCAGTTTACAGATCGGCGAGTCCGTATTAAGATACATTTTGTTCTGAAGGCAGTAATCAGTCAGGTTCAACCAAACAACCGTCTTCCGCAATTTGTGAATCCCATTTTGGCTTGTTACTGAACAGGAAGTGAGAAGGCTAAAGCCCATTTTTACTATGGAATCACTGTGCAAAGGCAGTAGCGACCATGAAGTTGAGGTAAAGCAAACCCTCATTGTTGATATTAACAACAACCAAGCTCACAAGGAAAACAATTTTGTCTTTGGAAGAATACCCTCCCCTTTAACAGGAAGAGATATCAGCCCGAACCGGGAGGTTTGTGCAGCCAACCATTGCAGCAGGGGCTGATTCCAAGTCACCCTTGAATGATTAGACAAATTTTTATGTCTTCCATTTTATGGTGTCAGATAGCTATTGGTACACAATAACGTAGATACATATTTAGGTGCGACACGGCCAAACGGTCTCCTCACGCATGTCGTCTCATCACACGCCAACTCCCATCCTCATTGACTGCAACATGACCAAAAAGGCAACGATTTATTTAGGCGTGGCTTGAGTCCTTTCGAATTACGCCTCAGTTACGAAACTTTGTGTGTAACTCGCGGACTTGTCAACGCTGCAGCCTAACGCCGCTCGCTATTTCATTGACTCTGCTTACCCTAGCAATCCCCTGAGATTCCCACCAAATCATCGTCTCTGGGGGAACAAAACATACCATTCCTCTTCGATACAGCCCAGTCTCGTTCTCTGATTTCCCACACATGTGATTACGGCCAAAGGCGGACCCTTCACCAGCCTTCAGTTGGTTGATCGCGGAGATGCGTCAGTGCTGCCAGCCTCTGGCCGAGCCAGAACCTCCCTGACTTTCTGCAACAGGTGGCCATGCTTCACCAACGATCCCAGGCAATACAAAAGTTTCATGGAAACCTAATTCTATTTCATGATCGAAGGATTTTCGAAGCCCTTCGGATACATCCATCGTGACTCTGTCCGACAGCTCGAATGGCCTGACTTCTGTGTGGTCGACATGGACAAACGCTTCGTCACGCTGAGTTCGGGGAACGACTTCATAACGCGTACCCAGCTTTTCCAAGAGACGCTTCTCAAAGGGCACGAGTCCTGATCGGTCCCAGTTCTGAAGAGGCTGTCCAAGGAGAACTTCCCTCTCTACGACAGCAACAGACAACGCGTCCTCGAGATGGACGGTTCCGGCCTTGACCTCTTCGGCGTCGCCAACTTCTCCGTACATCTAACTGCCTGGGCCAATACAGACAACGGCATCAAATGCTGGATCCCCCGTCGGGCTGGGCGAATGAGCTACCCCAACATACTCGACAACACTGTCGGCGGCAGTCTCAGGATGGGCGAAGTCCCAATTGACTGCATCATTCGGGAATGCGAAGAAGAGATCTGTCTGGACCCCGCTTATACTCGGGAACACATCAGAGCCTGCGGTACAGCTTCTTACCATATGGTGGTCAACGAGTGCGGCTCGCCCAGGTGCCAGCTACAGACTCAATATCTGTACGAGATGGAACTGCAGGCCGACATGGTGCCCAGTATCGGCGACGGCGAGGTCGCCGAGCTGGCCCTCATGACGATTGAGGAGGTCAGGAATTCCATGAGAAACGGGAAGTTCAAGCTCAATTGCAACATGACCTGGCTGGCGTTCCTCATCCGCCACGGCCACCTGACTGCCGAGAACGACCCAGACTTCCTCGAGATCTGCGCCCGCCTGCACCGCAGACACGATCTCTTCGTTGCTTAGCCCAGGAGCTCTCATCATGTGGCAAGCTCGCCTGAGGGGAGGATTTAATCTTGGGCGTCCAGACGGGTCTGGTATCTCACCTTGCACAGTGTAATCATGTCTTGAGTGAGCACTGAAAAGTCGAGGTTGTGGATGGTTGGGACTAGCAACAGGATCAGAAACCGAGACTTGTTTGCACGGGAGTATTCCACACAATTGAGCGTTGCATGACCTATGATAGGGTAGATCATCTCGCAAAAGATTTTCCATCCATCTTTGACACTAGCCTCAGCTGGATATTCCCGTGGCGGGAGCTATCAAACCAGCTTTGATACTGCATAAAAAATCCTAGCTTCAGAGTCATCTGCGGAGGCTGATGGAGTGCTGTGTGGGTAGTCTGATCGCAATCATACAATCATCAGGCCAAAGTACGTGCATTTGAAGATGAGCTTTCGGATGAGCAGCTAGAGTTGAAGTTTGGAAGCGGGCATGACGGGGTGTGCACGCATAAGCTTCATATTTTCCCCTCAAAAGCGTCAACCTTCTTGAACTTTCAGCCGATTCTAAGGTGAGCGAATGCTACGTCGTCAATACAAACTCGGATGTCCTTGAGCATTTTCGTCCACTTGACCAGCCTGACTGACTGCCGCTGCATCCAATGTCTGATTCACTGGTAAATCAACGTTGAATTTTCGACCTGCTTCCCCCCTCGCCCTTTCAAGAAGAAGGGAAAAAGAAAAAATCAATAGAAAAAGTGAGCTTTCATGGAATAGGATATGCTCGCCAAGTGATAACCCCTGTGTTTATATACCGGTATTAATGAATAGTTTCCTAGGACCTAACGGCTTCCTGATACCTAATTGCAGTGGAAAATGCTGGTTGAACAATTTTGTCTCGGCCGTATGTATGTCATGTGTACAGTGGCAGCGTGGTCAGCCGTGCTACGGGCTGTTTGACGTTCGAAACTGCCACTGCAAGGCGGTCCGGACTGTATTGCAACACTTCTTGCAAGATCGGCGAGGCTTACATGTAGCAAGGCCACAGGTTCTCTATGTCCAGGACCATGCGTTGAAGCAGGAACATGAAGGGGGATGATCATATTTCGCGAGGAGTTGGCGACATGGCTTCATATCCTCGCATAATTCACACCAACTGATGTCTCGGCCCAAACCTCCACAAGACGAATGATTACTGTCTTGTTGTTGCACACATCCGTGTACAGCCGCCTTGTTTGCTTCTTGTGCCAGCACGGGTGTGGGAACATATACCTGGGCTCACCCATCCACAATGGCCACGCAACACCTGTCCTCCTTCATTCTCTTGATGTATTTAGAAGAGCCATCTACGCCAAATTTCTTTTCAATCTCTTTGTACCGGAGAAGAACAAACCATACCACCATGGGCTCTTCAGAACAGCCTTCGAATGAGAATACAAATGGCGGAAACGACGCCTCGACCGTCCTGAGCATCATTTTAGGAGGAGTCATTCCAGGCTGTGCTGTCTTAACAGTAGTACTGATCTTCCTGGTCTGGTTCATGAGCGACTGCCTCGATCCCACAAGGCCGACCGGCGAGGGCGACGATAGCGAGACTCCACCGGAATGTCCCAAGTACTCGGGTTCCCCTGGGAGAGAACAAGACCACGCGCCGCCTCCGTACGAAGCGGCGAGGAGTCATCCTGGGTCGGCGACGGAGCGCTGGGGCGATGACCGTACGGTCTGTGACGAGGGCGACGACAGCCCCTCGAAGCACCGTGGGACCGCACACCCAACCGCCTCGAGCTGGCCCCCAAGCTCGGACACGACTTGTCTGAACTCAAAGGCATCTTCGTTACAAGATGTGTCTGCTGCCTAAAGACGATACCGCGCCGAGGGCTATACCTACCCAATGAAAGCACGCCAGTGAGGTGTCCTGTGACGACTCCTATATTTCCAGTGTGGGAAACGAGCTTCACTGTCTCTGTGAGGGCGGACGGAGGAGTTGAATAAGTGGCGAGTGTATAATACAGGTGTGTGAGGAGCTTCTGAAAGTGATGGGTTGTAAGTTAATGCATTTAAAATCTGGCCCTTGTCTTCATGGGCGCGGGTTGAAAACGGGAAGTGTTGTCTGATCGGATCCCTCGAATTGATTGAACCTTCTTACATTTCATGAAAGAAAACTGCAGCGCTTCGAAACTATTTTGGCGACCTTTGGCCAGAGAGTTGCCACATGCACCAGTCATAAGTGGCATTATTGGTGAGCAAGCATCTGGTGATACCCTCTCTGGATGGGCCGAGGGAGGGCATTGCCATACTGACACCGACCAGAAATCAATTGACTGAGGCAGTGACGACCAGGAAAGCAAGCGCATGAGAGAGTTTGCAAGAGAGCAACACGGTATCCGTTTTCTTAGCAGCCACCAGTTTGGTGAGGTCCAACTACCGCGGGTTGTCCCATGGGGAAGGGAGTGTGGGGTAAGGAAAGTCAGGCCACTCTCCCCCTTCTCCTGCTTTACTTCCCATTGAAGTCGAGGGGGGCCTGTTACACACACGTGACTTGAGCATGAGGGGAAATGCAACTCGACAGGGCGAGGTAAATTCAACGACATCTCCTCAATTCCAATGCTGGACGACACTTCTCACATCAATTGGCAACATCGAGCAACATTCGAGCGTGGGCCGCATTCCCTCAATCCGTCGTGTTGTTCGACTCGCACCACTCCAGAACAGCCCCCGCCCGCCGAATCGCTCCACACGATCGACTCGCTGGGCTCTCTAGCTTACCCGCAGAGACCCACAGCTCACACGATGGCCGTGGAGATGGAGCCTTTCCCCAGGAAATCCTGCGAGCAGAGGCCAGCGACTCATCAGATTGGCCATAAGCCCAGATTGGGACTACGATAAGCTCATGCGGTCCCCGACAGCAAGCGTGCTCGGCCCTTCAATTGACCTCTGTATGCGGCCGTCCTTCACGTCAACGCGATCGCCAGACCCGCCGAAGGAAAACGGATCCAGCACCGCCGGCCTCGTCACTGAGCACCCCGTGGAGCACCTCGTGGAGCATCTCGATCACATACCCCAGGGCGACTCTGGCAGCCGGTCTCGGAGCTCCGAAATACGTGCAACGGACACAGAGAAATGGAGTGGTCTGTTTCATCATCTTCTAGATCCAGTGGACCGGGATGGACTGGCATTGCTATTGTACAGTTCCCGGAAACCTGAACACGCAAGTCTCGCCGTCTATGCTCTATGGTAGCCGCCGCAAGCACCCTTCTATGCAATACACGCCCAGAATGCTCCTCCCATGCTTGTCTATATTGCCGCCGAGTGGTGAGCAACGGACACTCGGTACCATCCAGCTCCAGGCAAGTGGCCCGTCAGCTTTCGGCGAGGCATGCTCCATTCGTCCAGTGACAGAATTAAGGAGTTGTTTACGTCTGCAGGTGCGCCCGTTAGCGGAGCTCCGGTGTCGAGATGGCATGGTTGCATTGAGGCATTTTCATCAAGGTGGACCAGGGTGCCCATCGAAGATCGACGGTCCTGGGCTTGGGGGTGAGGTTGCACGTACGAACTTGGCCATGAGGGCAACCATGAGGTCGAAAAGACCAATGGCCTCGACGAAGGCGAAACCCAGAATGGCGTAAGAGAACAGCTGGCCACGGAGGGCGGGGTTGCGGGCAACACCGTTCAGGAGAGCGGCGAAGACGAGACCGATACCGATACCAGCACCAGTCAGACCGATGGCGGCGGAACCCATACCCAGGTTCTTGGAGACCTCAACCAGGGCGTTGGCCATCTCGGAGCTGTAGGGGCGGGCCTGCTGCTTGAAGGCAGAGCGGGTGGTGGTGTTGATGATGCTCTGGCGCTTGGCGGCCTGGAAGGGGCTGGGCTTGCTCATGCCTATTGAAGAGTTTTTCTCAGTACCGATCGGGAGCTACGGCGGCGTGGTGACGGGCTCAATTGGGTCAATTGGAGGTCTCAATTGACTTCCAACCGTCTCGGGCCGATGACGTTTACGGCCGACGGCTGTGGACCGACGAGCTCTAGATGAGTTCCTTACCGGTGATGGTGCGCTTGGAAGCGTTGGCGACCTGGACACGCATGGCAGGGCGGGCGACCTTGGTGGTCGTGGAGGCCATGGACGAGGCCAGGCGGGAGGCGAGCACACGGGTAGAGGCCATTGTGTCTGATGGAGGGGAGAGAGGTATGAAACAGAAGAACTTTTGATAGAAAGGGAAGGGTTGGGCAGGTTGCTTGAGGACGGCAAGGTTCGAGTAGATGCTCGGTGTGGATGAGGGAAAAAATGAGAGTCGAAGGGAAAAGGACAGAGCGGAGGTCAGGTGAATGGGTGGGACGGGGACCCGGAGCTGCCAGCCAACGAAACCCAGCAAAACCACCGAGAATCGAGTATCACGGGCCAATGGCATCCTAAGCAGGAACGCTCGATCCACCGCATCATCGAAGCCACCACTATGTAAGGACCCACCATCCTTAGCCGTCAACAAGGAAAAATAACGCCCCGGGTGCCGGGAGCTCACTTGAGCTCGGGCGATATCGGGACTCGTCTGGACGGACGGGACATTGATAAAAGGAGGTATGATCCCTCGAATCCAGGCGTGAGGTATAGTTCCTCACTGCTGTGCTGCCAAGTTGGCAGTCGACACGACTCATGAGAGTTTCGAGAATCCTACTTATCTGATCGAAAGCCCACGGCGAATCTTCGCAATCACACTCCGGGCCTGCAGCCAGCGACCTGCAGCTTCTCCGGGGGCTTTTTAAGCTCTCTGAGATGCATTCACAAGGAAGCATCACGCAGTCTGAAAAAAGTTTTCCGTCTGAGATTCTCTCAGGGGCAGGCAGAGTGAGTGCTAGCAACGAGCAGTTCGGATAGCATATGATATGTGACCCCCACGGGCGGGATCCTTGTTTGCGGCTAGAGAAAGGAGCGGCCAACTGCTCAAAGGTGTTCCTGAGTTCGGGCCATGCGACTCTGCTGCGCTATACAGTACCGACGACATGGGCTCTCGGCTCCCGGGTGAGAAGGTTTCAGTGCCTGTGACGGTGAGTGCCATAGCTGGACCAAGACTGCCTGCAAAATTTGGGTGCATTGTCTGCCAGAGGCACGTTCTGCAGGATCGCTCGCTGATGGGCTGACGTCTCCCTGTATTGCACCGGTTGGTGGTCAGGAACAGCTGATATACCAAGTGATATGTGAGATTCCGGTGTTGAAGAATCGAAGCCAATGACACAGGGATAACATCCAAGTCGTGCTGTGGATACTATGGGAGGTTGAATGAACGCAGGGGGGATGGTGAGAAATCCGGAGCAGCCCAAGCTGGAAATTCAATCTTGTTCCGATCCTGCTGGGGTCCTGAGAAGCGCATGCAACAATGACAGCGCTGTAGGCTTTGACGCGCTGACGTCGAGAAAGCATCGAAAATTTTTCCAAGCCCAAACCCAAGCCAACCCGCGATCACCCGTGGTGTGCAACCCTGTCACACGCTCAGGACCGCCCGCCCCTGCAGTGCGCCAGTTGAGGCCTTGGCACTCGGAGCCTCAATTCTGACGTTGGAGCTTGGGCAAGGAAAAAGAAAAGCTGTCTCTCCCATTACTACGCCGCGATGCGTGCGACCTATCGCTTCGAGAAATCCCGGCTGCAAGGGTGACAGCTGACCCAGGGGGCTGGACTAGTGTAGCTGTTGCAGCAGAACGCAGCTGACAGGATGTCTTGAATCCTCTTATGTCTTTCTGTTCCAGTTCTTGCTTGCTTACTTGCGTGAAACCTGTAAATATTCGCGTGAAGACATTATAGACTTCGGGCAACGGTGTGAATTAACATTCCCCAGTCCCGCACAATCGACCCGTCTTACAATAACACAGGAGCCCTCATGCCCCGACTGCATCTGGTCTCACTGTGCATCACGAACGTGCGTGCATACACCAGGATGTTCTTTTGAGGCTGACCAGGTTTGGCCCGTTGGATTCCGTGGTTGCACTCCCGCTTGGCCGCCCCCGAGATTACTGCAGGCTAATTTGCGCCATGCCCGAGCTCGTTGCTCACAGCTCAGCTGCAATTTGGACTGGATAGACCTACTGGACTAGATTGAACAGTACAGGAGTACAAGGTGGGACAAGCTCGCCCTTTTCAGCCCCCAAATCCTCTGCTCCGGGCTGGCCCAAGCTCCTTGCCCGAAAGGGACGAGACACTCGAGCAGCCTGTTCAACTGTGGACAAGATATGCTGTGAGTTGTGACAACAATAATGGCATTGTCACTCGTGAGTAGACGTTAATGTATGAGAAGACCCCATACATATTGTAGATCACTGTTCAGTTGTAATTATGTTACAGCAATATAAGAGGCAGTTGGATATCTTCGACAGTAGCACCGCGCTTCATGCGAACTCCTTACACCGAGCTGCAACATTCATAAAGAATACATTCTACTCTTCCTCCTCCTCCTCCTCCACGGATGCCGTTTTGATAGCGTAGCCATCAACAAAGCCGTCCGGGTCACATGCCCTCTCCAGGCTGATTCCATTCACCCGGACCCATTCCCATACAGCCTGTTTGCTAACCCGCACCCGCGGCACCTCCTTCTCCTTCTCGCCGCTGGCAACGGCGGCCGTTTCATCAATGCCGTCGTCATCGCCCGGCGAAGTGCCACGCCCCACGGGCTTCGGCGGTCCCAGCCCGGCCTCCTCCACGACGCCCATCTCCCTCAGGACCGCCAGGCAGTCCTCGGGCACGATCCACGTCGCTTGGCTACACTCCTCGGCGTCGACGATGACCTCGTCGTCGCCAGTTGTGTCCAGCCCCAGGAGCCAGGCGGCGATCTCGCCCGCCCAGAAGCGCTTGTAGCCGCGCTTGCCGAGGTCCGAGATGGGCTTCTCGGGCCCGCCGACCACGCCCTCGCGCCGCGAGATCTCGTAGCTGACGCCCATGAGCAGCGCGCCGAGGCCCTTGCGCTGCCAGGGCGGGAAGATCAGGATGCACGCCAGGTTGTTGTTGTCCCACGACAGCTTTTCCTTGGAGAAGAAGCCCACGATCTGGTGTCTGGGCGGTAGCGGTTGCGCCTCCTCCCCTGCCTCGCCCTCGTCGGTGGCGCCCTCGGGGGACGGCGGATGCGGAGGCCGCGGCGCGGTGTGCACCAGGAGGTAGTATTTGAAACCGATCACATCGAAGAAGACGGACTTGTTGTCCAGGAATAGCTTGGCGAAGAGCGAGAGGGTTTGGCAGAACAAGCCCTCCTCCTCCCCGTCAACCTCCCAGATGGACCACTCTCCTTGGTCTTCGACCGAGTCCTCGGCGGGCTGGGCTGCCGTGTCTGGAGCTTTCCTCTTGCGCCCTGTCTCCTTGGGCGCTGGCGCAGCGCCGGTACCGGTGGCGGGGGCGGCGTGCTTCGCCTGGTGGCCCTTTGGGTGGGTGTAGATCTTCTCACCGGGGACGTAGCCCCTCCTCTCACACTGGTGGACGTGCTGCCACCACGGTACCAGCTCCTTGGAATACTTGAAGCAGCATGGGCAGACGTACAGCCGGTCTAGCTTGTCTTCTTTTGTCTTCCGGGAGGTGGCGTTCCCAGGGCCTTCATCCTTGCCACTCCCGTCCTGCGAGGGCCCGTTGCTGTTGCCCGACTTGACGCTATTCCCGGACACGTCCCCCAGTGCCTCAGTGCCGTAGGGCGAGTGGTACCACGTTGAGAAGCAGATGTTGCCAAACACGACTTTATCGATGTTCCGCTGGGCGGTATTCGGCTTCTTGTGCTCTTTGCTGGGGTGTTGCTGGGTCTTTTTGGCAGACTTTGGCGAGCGCTGGGTCGACTTCGTAGGGGGCTGTAAGAACGGCTTGCTCGTATTTGCTGGGACGCGATCTGAGGCCCTGGCCGAGCGGGAGAGGAGTTGTGTCATGGATGCGGTCGAGTGGGTATTCGAGGGCATGTGCTGGTGTTGGCGTTGCTGCTGGTGCTGCTCAGTCGTCGGATGGGGAGTGTGCTTCGGGACAGCTCGCGACGGTGCAGCAGAACTGCGTGGTCTCAGGTCTGCAGTTGATTCGACATGCATCTGCTGGACGGGACGACTGGTGTTAGCTTGGTCGTCGGCGGCGGCGGCGGCGGCGTGCTGAGCATTGTCATGACGGTGGCGGAGGCTCCTTGCAGGCTTCAAGGCCGGGTCCGGACGGGCCTGATTCGTAGCCTGCAGCACGGGCCGGCGCTGTGCTGAGCGCCCCGACGCGCTTGGGTGTGTGGGCGCAGCAGGTGCAGATGCATGTGCAGGTGCATGTGCGCGCCCCCTGAGGCTGGTCTTCTTCAACTCGCCGACTTCTTCATCGTGGTCATCGTTCCCCTCCACCTCTGCCTCTGGCTGTGCATCGGGCGCGTCTGCACCGGAACGTCTGGCGCGTCTGCGGCGTGGCTCAGGGTCGGCCTTGTAGACGAGCGGGGCATTTGAGGTGTGACGTGTGGCACGGTGGACTGCTCTCGGTGGAGACCGAGCTGGAGCTGGCGCTGCATCATGAGGTCGCTTGCGCTTGAGAGAAGCCATCTGGCTGTGGTCAGGTCCTGGCCGGGCAATTGCATGTCATGTGTAAATCAATCAGGTCATGATGCCACAGTAGGGTGCTGAGGGCAGCAGCTGCTTCGATGTGGTGGCAGTTGAGCGTGTCGGCCCTTTGAAGGCTCGAATGCCTCCCAGTCTGGATACATGCACGACTAACACGGCCACGAACGACCCACCCCACCCCTGCCTTATGTAATCTGGCACTAACCCTGCACCTGTTGTCTTGCAAGCAGACTTGGGCCTGGAGAAATCTCGTAGCAAATCCCAGCTGATGATATGGCCGATGATTGAGCTGCCTTTAACACAATTAAGGACAATGAACGTCCGCCCAATATCGAGATGATGATATACTGCCCTCTCAATTTTTATTGACCACCGTATCTCCTCCCCCCCCCCCGGTGTTGTCTACCTTGGCATGCTGCGACTCCGCTTCGCAAGGCATCTTACACAGGCGCGCTATCATGTCCTGCCATCTTTGACCGTCAGTCCTCAAGCATATCGTTTCCCTCCTGAGACATTCTTCATTGCTAAATTTACTCAGACGCCGTTCAGTGCCCCACGGAAGGGTCGCTGGTTGCAGACTGCCGCAATACAACAGCCCGGTCGATTTGACCGACAGCATGGAGCACCCCAACCGGCGCCGTCCAACGGGCGTCGCCAGAGGCCAATCCGTGGCAAGCTGAAGCTGGCGCCAACCGACCTGCTTGTACGCAAACTACGGAGACGAGGCGAGCCCCTGACATGGGATGCCTGGGAGAAGACGCGCCTGGTCGCCCGCTCGCGAAGTGCACGACATCCTGTCGTGACCCACCAGCTTGCTCTCAGACAGGATGAGGCCATGATGGAGACAAGTGTCTCGAACTTCCTCCAGGGCCCAGTGGAATGGGAGACCCGTTTCAAAAGGCTTGCCTACAAGGGTATCGACCAGACCGACCTGGACCACTGGCTTTGGATCCTTGAAGCAGAAGACACAGATGTCAAAGTCGAGAGATTCATATCGACAGATCGCCATAAGCCCATCTTTGTGCTCATGGCAATATTGCGGACAGACGAATACATGCGCAAGGGTTCCTCTTTGGTGAACCTGTACGATTACATCGCAAGGAACTACTTTCGTTCGGATCCCATGTCACGACAGGACATTCCAAATGGAGCACTGCGACGTTCCTTAGATAATGCCTTCAACATGATGCCCACGCATTTTATGCTCCTCATCAAGAGAGCCGTGTACCACTGCTTGAAGACGTGGCCTTCGTCTATAGTCACCATCGCCAGGCTGGTGGTCAGCTATATGCGGACCATCCCTGCCAACACAAAGCCCAACAAGACCAATCGCCGCACTGGCTATGCAGATCAGTGCAGAATATTTAATCATGCATTATGCAGCTTTCGGAGAGTCTCATCTCTGAGCCCATTGGGCAATCTACAACACAACTGGAAAGCGCAGAGGATCTTGCTGGGCTACTCTGCTGGTCTGCGCAGGCCATTGATCATCAGCAAGTGGAGTTACAGGGCCATCAGGTTCGTGCTGCTCGGGTTGAAGAAGTCGCGAGCAGAAAGGAGAACAGCAGTCCGCCACGTACACACCTGGCCGCCGTACAGGAAACGGCTGGATGGAACAGAAGAGAGAGAGGACCCCGAGGAGTGGCTCAGCAGAAGTGTCAAGGCCGGAATCCTCAAGAAACAAGAGGGATATACCGATGATATGTTGGATCAAGCGCTCGACTCTCTAGGCGGAGCCGTACTCCAGGACTCCATCATAGTCCAGACCCGTTCGGGGGCGCCGAGGGTTTGGTCTGGTGATCGCAGGTCTTTGTCGGTCTTCTCGGCCTGGGCTGCCAAGGTCAAGGCGACCAGGAACGCTTACGAAGCCTGGCAAATGTGTCAAGAACCTCCGCTGCCCAATCTCAAACCCAACTTTCCAGGTGTATGCGGAGATGTTCTCAAAGCTCTTCTCGGCGGAGATCGATTACACGTCCTCGATTCTCCCTGGAGCTGCCAAAGAGGTCTACCCCCCGCACCATGTGAACCTGACAGAGTTTGAACGCGAGCGGCTGCGTCCATTGTCTGTGGATGAGCTGTACGAGAGGATGCTGCGGGATGGGAATAGGCCCGTAAAACATTGCCTCACATTACTGGTCCGTAATGCGTCGACGGTGGAGAAAGCTGCGCATTATCTTCGCGACAGCCCTCTGGACCAAGAAGCTGTTGAGAGTCTGACGAAAGCGCTGAATCCCACCTATGACAGCGTGAAGCAGATTCCGGTACGTGTCTTTCACGCCTACGTGGGATTGCTCTGCTCTCGGCAGGCACGCCGACGATGGGTCCACTACCCCAACGTTGCCGGACACAGGCCGCGGCCAGAGGTTCTCGCGCGATACGATCACCTGAAACGGGCAGTCCTACTCGTATGTATTCGGTCAGGCCCGAGGAGGTCACCGGCGCCTGCACCGTGGTACACGGTCATGCAGGCGCTGGCCCGCCGCAACCTCGTCCTCAGGCCCTGGTGCAGCCAGGAAGAAGACAATGTTGAGGCCCTGAGGATGATGTTGTCGCTTTTCGACGCCTACAAGATGAGCGAGGGCCTGCACCCCATCCCGTTTGACTGCCTCGCCCGCTGCACCCGCAATGCCCTCGGAGAGGACGGTACAGCTGCTGGTCCGGCCAAGAACGCCCAGCAGCTAATTGCGACCGCCCACCAGACACTCAAGTCCACTTTGAGGGCGTTGACGACGCCAGTCCAGGCGCCCACCCAAAGTATCGCGGACTCGCTGCCGCCACTGTACCATGAACTCAGCGCGGCGCACATACAGACGTACCTGGAGATGCTGGCGAGGCTGGGAGACGTGGACGAGGCGGTGCAGCTCATCGAGTGGGTTCTGCTGTCTTGGGACCAGAGTCCTGCCATCCTGGAGCAGGCGAGGGACCCGAACCACAAGCAGTGGGCGATGCTGGGACAGGCGTTTGTCTGCTTCCGGGCATTTGCCGAGGAGCGGGTCTCTGGCGAGATCATGGGCAGGATCGAGGCGAGGTTTGAGGAGCTCAAGGGCAAGGGTTCAACCTGGTTGTGGCCGAGTGACGAGGATGTTGAAGAGTACGTTGAGTGGAAGAGCGGGGATGGTCGAATGGAACCGGCTAGGCAGGAAGAGAATGTGTCTGAGAGATGAGATACCCAAGCATGTAGACATACAGAACAGGAGCAACCATCCTGGAATCAATTCCTGACTCCTCATGTTGCTCATTGACCAAGGCGCTTTTTGTAAGTTAACAAGACAAGCATTGTATTTAGGGAGGGCAGGAACGATAGACCCAGGCGGGTTAACAATGACCAACGTTTTGGCGAGCCAAAACGGCGTGCAGCTTTTCCGTTCCTCCTTTCATATGTCGCCATTACTTCAAGTTGGCTTACTTCCAATTTCAAAAATCACAACGACCCTGGAACGAGCAAACGACCACCGTACCAAATTAGGGACGGCAGTTGCTGAGGTTTGCATTTCAGAGTTATGGCTGCAGGGACAGCCAGACGAAAACAAAGCACGGGCGGATGTTTGTGCTCAGGCGCCCAGCAGCCCCCCCTGGGCTAATCCGCACCTGCAATTGGGCAATTCGGCCAGCCCACAATCACAATCACCCTTGCAACTGTGCTTCATCGCGTGTCACGTATCAACATACATGAATGCTTTCGTTTGTGCAACTTCAAACCACCGTTGACAAGCAGCAGCCTGCAGCCTGTTCTTGTTTTGCATCCTCCTTTGATATTGGGTCATGTTCTGGGGCCCTTAGGGTAGATTTCTTTGCTCGTTCACTTCACGGGGTCTGGGTCTTGTTCATTGGTTCTTTCATGCATCTTGATTTGTGCAGTGAGCTCGTACTGGCTCTAAACGAGCTCTTGCCTGCAGTGTTCCCCAGGTATTTTGACGTGGTTCCTCACATCTGGACAAGGATCAACGCACTGACAAAACATACAGGCAATTTATCAAGCATCTCATATTAGCATCTCGTCACAGCCTTCACTTTCTTCCAAACTTGGACCTGATTTTCACATGCGCCAACGTATGCTAATTTCGTCAAAAAAGGCGCCAGGATGGGCTTCCTGGTGACGAGCGATCCGTACCCAGGATTGAGCAGCGGGCTTATGGACCTCGATGAAGGACCAATGCAGAGTCACCAGGATGATGAAGCTGCTTTCCTAGAAGCAGTAGCAGAGGAGGATGACTTTGATGACACAGACTTCGAGAGCGACTTCGACAACGTGCAGCAGCGTCCTCAAACCTCCTCGAGGGGCCTCGTCATCGAAATCCCCAGGTCCACTTTGATTGCTCCTCGCTCGTCCTTCAGAGAAGCTGCAGACTACGCGTCCGTCAGCAGAGAACGTACAGCGGTACGAAGCCTTCTTGATTCTGACCCAACCCAGCTGGACGAGGACTTCATTGAGTTCGAGCTAGATGATTTCGTGGTGTACATCGACACTCAGAGGCATCCTCAGGAGATGAGGGCCTTGCACACCCATGCCACCCTAAGCGGCCAACAAAAGTTCTACCTCAATGGGACGCTCAAGCTTGGCGATATCAAGCATCGAGTAGAGAGGGTGCCATTCGACGAAATCCCATTAGGGAACTACGGAAAAGATCATTCGACAGTGGGCGATCAGCTTTGGATTCGTTCTGAGCTCAACCGGGGACGGAATATCTACTACCAGCTGAAAACCCCGTCTATCGAATACGCAAGGTTTCACAGCGTCTTCCTCTGGGTCGCGGATCTGGCAAAGCATGCAGTCGACTTTTCAGAGCATCTCATAGACCTGGGCCAAGGCGTTTCCATTCGCCATTTTGGACAAGACTTCGCCCGATGGCTGCAGACAGTCCACGGGCGGTCAACGGCATTCCAGAAGTGGTACGAGGAACGTGGAACCAGTGACTTTCGGCATTCAATCATTGCAAACCAGCTTTTTATGAGGAAAGAGCTGTTTAATATGTTTGGTGGTCGGAAGTGGTCTGGCATTTACATCTTCAAGGAGATTGCAAATCCCTTTGGTATGTTCAGCCGGCAGGGTCAGGGGTTGCTGTCGCAAAGGGACCGTGTCCCCCACACGATAGTCACCCCGTATGTATATGACTGCTTTTCTCACATGAAGATGGGCATGATACTGAAGCCTGTGCAGCCTTCGGTAAACACCGAGGAGGCGATTGCTCGCTCGTGGCCAGCAGATGGAACGAAGAGGCTGAGGTTTATGCAACCTGCTTGCACTTCTCAACATCGTCAGACCATGATCGAGAGCATAAAACCTGGGGATACAATCTCGATAGTCCCTGACACGAAAGGAGAAACAGACACACAGTGGTCTACGAATAAGCCGGACAAGAAATGGTACGGTCTTGTGCAAAATTTCTCCATGGACAACGCCAAGACAAGGCTCCGCCGGCAGTTTGATATTACATGGCTATACGACCCTGAAGACACTCCATGTTGCTCTATGAGGTACCCTTGGAAGAACGAGTTGTTCCTCAGCGATCACTGCACCTGTGAGGAGAGGGAAAGAAAGATCCCGGAGTATGCGGTTGTTGGAGTTCACACCGTGGAGTGGTTCGGCACACCCCAAACCAAGGCCGAATTTTTCGTCAGACAAACATATCAGGTCGAACAACGCAGGTGGGTCACTCTTCAAAAAACTCACCTCCAATGCCGTCACGAAGAGCAACGGCGTCCTGAGTACCTTGTGGGCGAGACAGTCCTTGTGTCAACCCACGGTACGAATGTTCTGGAGCCTTGCGAGATTCTGGGCTTTGATAAGGATTACAAAAGCACCCAGCTACGAAGATTCGTACGGCGCACAGCGACTATGAGCCAGTGTGCTCGGAACGAACTCGTCTATACCGATGAGGAATTTTCTGCAGACATCCATCGCATCCATGCTAGATGCATAGTCCGCTGCTACTGCCCGGGCGAAACTATACCTGCGCCGTACAATCGAAATGGTACCGGAAATGCCTTCGTTATCACCCACAGAGAGTCTGCTGATGGCTCAGTGCACCCCCTGAGCTCCACGAACAAGCCAAAGATCCGTCAGGGTTTTGACCCAAAGCGCCCGATAAGAAAGCTTCGCGCCCTGGACCTTTTCAGTGGATGTGGGAACTTCGGCCGTGGGCTTGAAGATGGTGGTGCCGTTGAAGCGAAGTGGGTAAACGACATATGGCCCGCAGCAATCCATACCTACATGGCCAACTCCACAGACCCAGACTCTGTGCGCCCTTTTCTCGGCTCAATAGACGAACTCAATCTGCGCTCCTTCGAGGGGAAGTTCACCGATTCTGTCCCACAACCTGGCGAGGTTTGTCTGATTTGTGGGGGAAGTCCTTGTCCTGGATTCTCTCTGATCACCCCAAACAAACAAACAATCCAACAGGCCAAGAACAGGTCTCTGGTCGCTGCATTTGCGGCAGCTGTTGACTTCCATCGACCAAAATACGGCATACTCGAGAATGTGAAGACCATTGTGCAAAGCAAAGGCAACCGCACCGAGGACTACTTCTCGCAACTTATCTGCGCTATCGTCGGAATGGGCTATCAAGCGCAGATCATCCTCGGTGACGCGTGGTCCCACGGAGCCCCTCAGGGCCGCGTGCGTGCCTTTCTCTACTTCGCGGCGCCTGGGCTTGAGCTGCCACAGCCGCCTGTCCCCTCGCACTCGCACCCTCGCAAGAAGGAGTACGGATCCTTGGGGATGATGACCAACGGAGAACCCTACGTTACGCGATCAAACAACTCAACGCCTTTTAAATATGTCACGGCCCTAGAAGCAACGGCAGATCTTCCTGATATCTACGACGCCAAGACGGATACATGCGTGGCATTCCCCGACCACCGACTCTCAGTATCGTTGTCCTCTGGGGATTTGAACGTTGGGGTCAAGGACGGCCGCGGAAAGAAAGGCCGCACCCAAGGTCTCAACATGCCCACGCGGCCCTTCGCCATGAACATTTCCAGGGCTTGGCACCACTCGATCAAAGACAACCTCAGCGGAGACACGGTGAAAGACATGTTCGACCACGAGCGAGACGCCTACCCCCGCGACGGCTCTCACCGAACGTCGAATTTGAGCAAGGGATGGGGGCGCGTCCATCCCCACGGGCTGTTCCACACCGTGACCACGATATGCCAGTGGACTGACGCGCGGATTGGCAGGCTGTCGCATTGGGACCAGCCACGGCCGCTGACCGTGATGGAGGCCCGCAGGGCGCAGGGCATCCCGGATCACGAGGTTTTGCTCGGCACCCCGAAAGACCAGTGGGAAATGGTCGGCAACGCGGTGGCGAGGCAGATCGCTATGGCCCTGGGGCTGGCGCTGCGGAAGGCGTGGGTCGGTACTCTGTACGAGGAGGAGGGACAGGCTGCTGAGAATGGCTTTGGACCGGCAGAAATCCCAGCCGCGAATGGAGACATCCATATGGTGCTGGATTCGGATTGAGTATTTGCCAACAGGCCAGACAATAGCCACGAGTTTTCGCTGGCGATGCCATTTATTAATTATCAATATCAGTGGCGATGTTACTACCATAAGGACGCTTCGTGCGTGATATCACACTCGGGGTGACAGGTTTGTGCCTCTGTCTCTCTGTCTCTCACACAGATATACGCATATACGCGGATGTTCGTACAAACATGTACACCCGTCACAATAGATCGTCCCTGGATCTGTCATCCTGGGTTTACATACCAGATGAATCTAGCCAGATCATCATCACTAGGTTTTGTGAGCGCAACGAGCATTAAGATGCAGGTTTTAGTAGTCAATTCATCTCATTCTAAGTCGACTAACATCGATGCAGGTGGCATTATCATTACTAAAGGTGGCCTCCATACGCGCTTCATTCCCGCACACATGTCTCTGCTTCCCACGTAAACATTATCATATCCCTTTTGCAGTCTCGGTCCTCCTTTATCACTCCTCCTCTTTCTTTCTATCGCTGTTCCTCCTCTATTACTCCCGGACCGTCATGGTCGCCCACTTGATCAACGTCTCCGTCTCCGTAGCAGTCGAGACGGACGTGACCGTGACGAAAACCGTCGTCGTGACACCGTCCACGCTGGTGCTAGTGCTCGTGCCGCCGCCGGCGGAGTTGCCCACGAAGTTATTGCCCTTGTGGTCCTGGTCATCGTCGCCGTTGTCATCACCACCACCGAATATTCCGCCGAACCCGAAACCAGTATCTGTCGGGGCGGGAGCGTCCTCGGGGGATGTCGAGGATGTCATTTGCACCGGGATGACGACAAGTGACTCGGCGGCCGAGGACGACGAGGACGAGTCAGAGGGCTCTGCGTCTGGCGTTGGGGTCGGGAAGGGGTCAACGGCTGGGGTTGTCTGGACTGTGATTATGGATGTGCTTGTCGTGCGCGACTTGGAAGTGCTCGTGGGTTCCCGATCGGATTCTTGAGATGTTTCATTAGGCGATGTTGATGTCTCAGTAGACGTCTCGGTTGACGTCTCCTTAGTGACAGATGAGCTTGCTGTCTCTGAAGACAGAGTCGATCGAACGGTCGTGGTCAACTGGATCGTGGAAGCGGAAGACTCTGTCGAGCTCTCGGCGGTGGCCGTCACTGTCAGAGACGGCACCGTGACAGTCGCGAAGCCACCCCTACTGGCAGATTCAACTGTCGAGGTTACCTGAGGGGACGAGCTGGACTCAGATTCGGATACCGTCTCGATAATGCTGGTCGCTGAGCTAAGCTGTGTCGAACCCGAGCTTGAGCCTGAGCTCGTACTACCCTCTGGGACTGAGCCCAGGACAGCAACCACCGTTTCTCTCTGGAAGCAACGGAGGCTGACACCGCTGGTCGTATTAAGCGGCATAGCCGCGCAGACCGTGCCCTCGCTGCACCCCACGATATCCCAGGATCCATCAGCGGAACAATGGGCATACTCTGCGTCAACACAGGCGTATTGGCCGGGACTGCATGCTGAATCTGCGGAGATCTCGGTGAAGGCTGCGTTGAGCCTGATGGCCTCGGCGAGGTTGGAGGCGTACTGGGAGGAGGACACAATCGTCGTCCCAGTGGGAGCGGCCGAGGTGATCACAGCTGTCGGGATGAAGTCGTCGGGCGTGCCGGTTGGGGAGACCTTGCTAGTGGCCGAGGAGGTCGAAGAGCTCGTGATGGCAGCTTCCTGTGAGGTCTCTGAGGCGGTTCCTTCAATTGCTGCCTCGGAACTTGAGCTTGAAGCTGAAGAGGCCGCGATCGGGCGGCCAGTCGTTGGGGACTGAAAGACTTGAGACGCCCGTTGCACGGTCGACTGTATCGTGGGCTGATTAGAAGGAGCCAAATTCACGTCGGGAGAGGCTACAGCTGCGGCGGATGTAGTTAGGGCCGAGGTCGACGCAGCAGCGTGAGTCTGCTCCGATGGAGCAACGGACTGCTTCCTCGACGAACCACCGGTCACCTGTGAAGCCACAACCTCGGCAGTTCCCAGATAGGTGGATGAAGTCTCTTTAGAAGTTTCGGCTGCCTTCTGAGTTGCCCCGACGAAGCCTGCAAAGGAAGCCGTAGCCGTGCTCGTGCTGGAACTTTCGGGCTCATCAGCTGTCGTCGATGCCAAAGACGTGGACAGTGTGTGGCTCGTTGAACTGGAGTTGTCGTATTGTCGTTGTCGTATGCCACCTGGGTGCAGGAGCGGGCCCCTCAGAGGACCAGCCTCAACTGTTGCCAACAGAAGAAAACCGGAAAGGAAGCACTGAAGGGACTTCATATTTTGGTCTTGGATAAGGAAATAACAGAGAAAGTAAAGAGCGACTCTGGGTGAGAGATATCAAGCTACTCCGTGATCGACACGGAGTGGAGCTTCAAGAAAACGGTCGTGAGGTTTGAATGCCGGATGGCAGATGGAACGAGAGTAGTGACACAGGCTTCAAAGAATCAAAGAAGCCATATACTTGTCATGTAAACAAGAACAAAGCCAACCCGAGGTAAGAATGCTGAGAATGATGACTGCCGACAGACTCAAGGGCGGGTTGAAGCCTCAGTATGATATGCTGCGGAAACAAAAAAGGAAATGTTTGGAAAGGTCAAGTAGATCGAACTGGTTCACCTGGGAATGGCACTTGGGATCTGCAGGATACTGCCCACCTTTTGTATAGGGACGAAGCTTGTGACGGAAGCGATATGCACGAACGGCTGGCCCACCTCGAAAGTTGGCCAGCCCGGGGGTCCCATGGACGGTGTGATCGCGGACCATGACCCGGGAGGATTTTAAGATGAGGCCAGCAATCCAGACCTGCCTTTGTCGATCACTGCGATCCAATGCTCTGGACTGGGCCGATTTTAGAACGCGAGGTGGTCTCGTCGTGTGGCGTGCATGCGGTTGTGCCCATGGGTGTGCCCATGGATATGCCCATGGGCGTGGGCAGGCCAGATGCTCCCAGCAGCAAGCTGATCATCAGAGCATGCGGGGAGATGAGATGCGCAATGAGTACGTTGTACATGAATAGTACGCGCCGAGAGTGCGAGTGCATGATGAGGCTTGACTGAGCCCCACGATATCGACGAGGGTTTCCGGGTGTCGTTGAAGCAGACGCGCGCCAACTGGTAATTGGAAGGGTCCCTTCTGCAGGCCGTGCGGCTCAGGGCCTGTGAGCGAATCATTGGCGGCCCGCCCGGCGGACCTGAGGCGAGAGAGCTGCAGCCGCCCCTGCGCTTGCTTTTACGGCTATGCCCCTTTCGGGACGGGGGACTCGCGCTGTCACGGCAGGTACGTGGGCCTGACAAGCGGCGGCCGGCTGCAATAATAATAAAATAAAGCTAGGCGCGGTCCCCTGATCGGACAGGTTCCCGACCTTGAACCTTCGACCTTGACCTCGACCTCCACTGACGAGGCCTCGACTTCGACCTCTCTTCCGGGACCTGTTCTCAACACGGGCCGTATGATTGGTGAACGAGAGACCACGCATTATCGATTTCCTTGATTTCTCTCAGCTGTGGCTGGATTACTTTGTAACCGCGTCCCCTGGCGAAGCAGAGCCGACCGAGTCTGGGTCATTGAATTCCCTGTCGAGGCTGCCCAGACCAGTCGCCTGAAAGCCAGCAATGGCGTCTATCTGGAACCGCCCTATGTTAGCCGCAGCCGAGCATTCCAGCAATGGCCTTGCGACATGGCACAGCCGAGTTGCGTTCTGACGCGTGGCTATGCCATACGGTTCCCACACTGATGAAGCCTCCAGATCCTGGGCCGAGGACATTTCGACATGTTCGAATCTAAAGAGCTGTCGCACCCGCGCGGGTCCCGACGGCTACGTTGGTCCGTGACGATGATTGTGACGAGCTCGAGGCGGCTTGACCTCGATGTCTTCTTTGTTTCGAACAAATGACCGCGGCTGTCATCGAAACAACAGTAGCAACTTCTGCCTCGACCCGCCTGTCCCCATACCGACAGGTGGTTCACCCCAAGTTGGCAGTATTGTTGGAGAGTGAGGCAAGGGTTGGGGTTCCATTGTCTCGCCAGGCGGCCAGCAGGGAGACCAACTGCGGCAGTTCAGAGACACACAAGTATCTGCAGATGATGGACGTCGAGGGCACAGATGCACATATGATACGCTGCCAGCGCTGCTGTGAGCTCTGCCGTGAACAGCAGGTGGAGACATTGACTCTTGCACGAAAATTGGAATTGATCACCTGGAGCTGTCCCTCCTCTTGTCTGTTCTGGACGTTGCTGCAGTGCTAATCAGTTGCATCCTAGCAAACTTGCCTGCGACTTACCTAGGTACCTGCCCAGGATCTGGGGCTAGAGCTATCCATCCGTCCATCCGGGTCGATTTACCACGCGCAGTGGACTAGGTATGACTAGGTATTCGTTGCACCAGCAACTGTGACAGCAGCAGCATTCAGAGACAACAACCATCTACAGACCATCAGATTAGAAGTTAGACATGACCATTCAATACCAGCCAGGGCAAAGGGACGAAGAGGACAACGGAATTGCCAGGTAGTCGCAAAAAGCATTCTCCGGCCCGCGGCCCAAAGCGGACTAGCGTGACAGGCTAGCCTGTCTGGTCTGGTCTGATCTGATCCTAATCCTGGGCTGCCGGTAGCACAGGCAGGAACTGGACTGGACGGGCTGAGCTGCAGTGCAGAATGTTGCAGTGCTCTCGCTCATTTCTCCCTTGACCTGCAAACCTGCTGCACGGGCATTTTTCATATCACTCTTGCCCTGACATACATGCCCTTTTGACTGGCCCTGCCGTACCTTGAAATATCCAAGTCATCGATGAAACCCCCATCCCTTCTCACCATTGACAACACGCTGAATCTCCGCCTGCTGCTGCTGCGGGTCTTGGTCCAACTCAGGCGCTGATGAGCTAAGCCGGCGGCCCACGTCCCCAGAGCCAGAGCCAGAGCCAGAGCCAGAGCCAGAGCCAGAGCCAGAGCACCAGGGCCACAGGACCGTAGTCAGCCAGATCCTGGGTCTACCGTCCACCTACCCAGGTCCGTCTCCAGTTTGACGAGTCTTTGGTTGCACCGGGAAAAAAGAGCACAGCGAGAGATCCAGTCCAGTCCAGCAACCCCCCCATCCCCCATTTCCCCCATCCCCCATCTGCCACGGCCGACGCGACAACAGCGCGACGAACCTCCAGTTTTCCCCCGGCCTTGTCATCATCAAAATTCATTCCGACTAGGCCCCTGCCCCCCACCTCGCCCTGCATCACCGCACCGCACCGCACCCCATCGCATCGCGACCGGCCGACAACATGGCCTCGCCTGCCGATGCCGTCGCTGTCCCACAGCTCAACGGCCTTGCAGACCCCTCGCCCCATTCGCAACCCCAATCCGACCAAGACCACTCCCAACCCGCTGATCCATCTGCGAAGCGGAAGCGCGAGGCCACCGACGATGGCTCTGCCGAGCCAAGCATCAACGGCAACGGCAACGGCAACAGCAGCACCGACGACCACGACCACGACCACGACCGCGCCGACCACGCCAGCGACCCCGGAGATGACGACGCCGAAGAAGCCAAGCCCATTGTCAACGGCGACCAACCCCTACGCGATGAAAGCTCCCTGGTTCGCGATTATTTTAATGTCCTACAGAGGTACGCGCCCGCTCGCTCCCGCCATCACATCACATCCCTTCCCTTCCCTTCCCAACCCTTCAATTGCACCTCTTGAGCTGTCGAGCTACTCACCCGCATATGCAATCCGTATGCTTACCCCCAAGTTCAGGCACGACACAACGCCCTCCATCCTGAAGCGACCACTGCCAGAACCCTCCACCACTGAAGAGCCCCAGGCCAAACGACAAAAATCCGACGATGACTCCAAGGCGCTCTGCATCGAGGACAAAGTCAGCCATGACTCCTACACGCTTCTCGACCAGCTTGTTCTGGACCTCAAGCAGGTCATCCAGGACAGAATAGCCGAGATACGAGCCGCCCAGTCCGCCGACGCAGCCAACCTCGACGAGGACGCCCTGACACAGTTGACCAACTTTCGAGACACGGCCCTGGCTTTGCACAGTCGAGAGATGTCATATCCTGAGGCTGCTCCGCCGGCTGCAAGAGACGGCCCTTCGGCCCTCGACGATGTTGCACAGGGTCTGTCGAATGGCGGCTCTGTTCTGACCCTATTTGGAAACGCGCAACAGTCCAGGACCCTGTTTTCTAGTTTGCCCAAGAGGACGTCCGATCCAGACCACCCTGAAGGCATCGTCAAGCCCTTGCCCGACGTCCGACTGCCCAACGGTGTTTCCTTGACCACTGTCCTCCCGTCAGCGCCGACCGAGAAGCCGACCCGTATCTCTACTCTGGGCGAGCTGTTCCCATCACCGGCTAACTTGCCGCCGTTGCAACCGCCAAAGGCCCCAAAGACCACGACGAAAAGCAAGATCTTGGGCTTCTATCACCCGGAACTGGCAGAACGGTCGAGGTACAGGCAGGGCTCCTACTTCTCAGCGGACCTGACAACCGGCGTCTGGCTGGACTACAGCAATGCGACACCGCCATCAAAGAACAAGTCGCGTCAGCGTGAGCGTACCTTGAGCCTGGCGGGCCAGAAGCCCTCAACGGCTGATGTCGAGATGACCGAGATTGAGGCCCTGTTCCGTGGGGCTTTCTCCAGCTTTGCGCCCGAGAAGGATGACAGCGGCGCCATAGTCTCGTCAGGTGAGGTCGCCCGCATCTGGTACCAGCGGCATGGACACAGGTACATGGAGCAGATGATCGAGTCTGAGTTGGCAGGAGAGGAGGGCGATGATGCAAACGACGGCCTCGCTCCTCTGCCGATCGATGAGGACGAAATCGCCAATATCGTGGAGAAATGGGACGACAGCCTGGTCGACCCAGCCTTGACAATCGATGATGTATTGGGCAAGAAATCGGACGAGGAGAAAGAAGTCGACGATACCCTCCAAGAAATCTCGGACCTTATCGAGACACTGTCTTCTTACCAGAGGAACCGCAACATGACACTGCCGACCAGCCAGAACCGGAACTCGGCAGACCCTGCCAAGGCTGACATGCTCAACGGGCCTCTGGCTCAGGAGCCAACAGATGAGGAACGAGATACCTATCAGATGTTGAAGGACCAGCTGGCTGTTATTATCCAGGCGCTGCCGCCCTACGCCGTGGCGCGATTGAACTCGGACAAGCTCGAGGAGCTGAATGTCAGCACGAAGCTCGAAATCCGAAGTGATGTCTTCAGGGGCATCCTGGAGGAGGACACATCGGCCAGGCACCGACACCACCAACAAGCTGCGCAGGTGGCTCAAACCCCTCGGCAGCCGCAACGAACGCCGAGCTTCCACAGCACCACGGCGTACCAAGGCCAACCTTACAATCGCCCATACCAGCCGCAAAACCAGACCCCGGTCCCGATACCCAACCATTACCAGCAGTCGCCGGCGCGGCCGCCGATTCCTCCAAACTTCTCGCGGCAGGTGTCAGCTCCCATGCAAGGCATGACGCCCCAACAGCACCGACCGGTCGCGGGACAACCTTTCGCACGACCTAATGGATACACTCCACAGCCAATGCAGCAGGGGAGGCCGTACGGCACCCCGACGGCCGTCCCGCCGTTCCAGGCCAGTCCTGGGCAGCCACGGATGGCGGGCGGCTACCCGGGAGGGCCCCAGCCCGGTACCCCTGGACAGAGGTATCCCTCAGGCTATGCGGGCTATAACGCGCAACAGCCGCAGCCAGGAATGCAGCCTCAATTCCATCAGCAGGCGGCCAATTTCCCTCCTCACATGAACGGCGCAGGCTCAATTCCGCCGCGGACCATGTCACCACAGGTGTCTCAGTATCAAGCTGGGCAGAATTACTCGCCCCGCCCCGGACAGCAGCCGATGCCTCGAGGACAACCTTACGGTACTCCAGGCCAACCAGGTGGTCACCCAGGTGTTCCTCGCTACCCTTCCAATGGAGCGCAACAGAACGCGCCTCACAGCCCCGCAACCGCTGGTGGTCAAGGCGGATGGGCGAACCCAATGTCCCCACAGCGGCAATACGAACAACAGCTGCAGGCTAGAAACCAGGCGGCGGCGCGCATGAACGCGTTTAGTGACAAGATCCAGAATCATGGTGTGGCGGGTCTGGGTGGTATTGGCCTGGGAGGCACGCCAGGCCATGTGAGGACCAACATGCCTGGAGCGGTGGGCCAATCGTCCCCGAGTCCTCGGCCCCCCTCTGCTGCAGGAGGCTTGAACGGTGTGCCGCAGCCATCGCCAAGCCCGGCCTCAGTGCCAGGTGCGACCCCATCCCCAGCACCGGCAACGGCCATGCAGCCCCGGGCGCCGGTGTAGGGCGCCGGTTTGCGTCTGCCACCTGTACGGCAGGTTGTCTGGACGAGTGGAAGTGCGTTAGCAAGCTTTCCGGGTGTATGAAAAGTGCCTAGGATGCTTCCCTGTGCAGAAGGCGGAGGGCAGGCCAGCACACACGACAGACGTATCGTCACACTCATACATCCAAACATACATCGTTTTAGGTCATGTTCGAATAAGTTCTAGTCCCAACATTCCTAAGTCTTGGCGTATGCCTCTTGTCAGAGTACGGAGCGGCAGGGACTCTTTTTTGCCGGAGCGCAAAGGGGGTGGGCTGGAGTTTTCGGTTCGGATAAACCTGATGATCAGAGGGAGGGGGGGTCTGTTTTTATTTTTCCATACCCCAGCTCATGTAAAAGACGAATTTGGTGGCTTGACGATGCAGAGCTTCCGTTAATTACTTAGTGCTGCGTATAGAGAAAGGATTCCAAAAGAAGGGTTGTTACATTGCTACATTGCTCGGCCCGGCCATTTGAGAATGCTTGCTGAGTCCATGTGTGGTGTATGTGTCAAGTGAGATCCGGAGATGTCCACGCTGACCGGGCCGCCGAGAGGATGAGACCCTTTTACTACCGCCGTCACCCTGGGTGCCGGCTCGGCCTCAGCACAATACCCCTGTAGCTCCGGGAGAGCGTGTGTCGATCTCCAAAACGGCGCGAGCGTCCGCTAGGGCGGCCGGGGGAGACCGGCCGGGACCCACCCGCCCGGTAGTGTGAGAGTCCATGGGTAATCTATTTGATCCTCCCGAGTCTCACGGCCTCGACGCTCGGCCCGCCCCATCCCTCCACACGCACAGTAAACGAATAACACGCTCGATCTTTGAGTAAGAAGAGGTGGTGGACGGGTATTCCGTAGGGGCGTCATCAATAGCCAATCTCGAAATTGTTACCGGACTGACCACGTGCCGGCTTAGATGGGGTGATCAGGACGGCACGGCCGATCTCTCCCGGTTCGCCTGTCCTTCAAGCTGGACCAGACTGGGCAAGTATGCGGGGAAAGGGGTCAAACGTATTTCAAGTCCTTTGACTATAGGCTGTCAATGCCAAGCTCGCTCCTCAAAAGGAGCCTCGAATGGATGGAGGGGAGGAGACTTTGCCAAGGCATACAGCCAATCAAAGACAAAGCCATGTGAGAAATGACTGGAGATTTGTCTATTTGTGGACATAACGCCAGCTGTGCACATGTCGCTCTTTCTATGGGATATTGTACAGAAATGGGGTATCATTATCAGAGCCTGCATTCAGTATCCAGCGTGGGAGGGGGGAGCTTCGCGTGTCTGCCAGGCCTTCACCAACGGAGCACCGACACGGGGCGGGCCTCCAGGCTCTCCTTGTACTCGACGACGATGCGCCGCATCTCAAAGAGGACCTCGATACAGATGAGAGCGATGATGATCTTCTCGAGGAAGGCGCCGTGGTCGGTGTCGTACATCTCGCGCATGACGGTGGCCATCTCCTGGGCGTAGTCCATGCGCTGGTTGAGCAGCTTGATGCGGTCAAGGACGTCGAGGGCCTTGCCGACCTGGTCGTAGTTCTGCTCGAGGCGCAGCTCCGAGTCCTGGTCCCAGAACATGTCGGGCAGCGAGTCGGTCAGCTCCGAGTAGAGGTTGAGCTGCGACCGCAGCTCCAGCAGCTCGCCCGTGCGCTGCAGGATGAACTTCTTGCTCACGGCCAGCCGTCCCTCGAGCAGCTGGGTGGGGATGTCCTTTGTCCTCTTGAAGTAGGCGCTCAGCAGGGCCTCGAGGAAGGCGATCTTTGTGCTGCGGGCCAGGCCCGAGGAGAAGGCGATCTTGGCAAGGGTGGGGTAGTAGGTGCCCCCGTCGGCGGCGGCGTCCTCTGCGGGCTCCTTGGTGCCGAGGATGACCTTGTCGCCGCGGCGCATGGTGCTGGTGGCCATGGTGTCGTCGGCCTCGAAGTCGAGGCTCTCGCGCTCGGCCGACTCGAGGTCGTGGTTGTGGGCGGCGCGCAGCAGGGTGCCCTGGGCCATGTTGATGCCGACGTCGGCCGGCAGCCCCCAGGTGACGACGGTGCCCGAGGGGAAGACGAAGACGTCGCCGTGGCCGCCGGCGCCCAGGGTGCGGGCGTGGACAACGTCTGCCGTGTCGAAGCTCAGGCCGTCCGGGTCGAGCTGGTAGCAGTGCTCGGTGAGGATGCGGACGACGACGTCCATGTCGAAGGACTCGGCGACGCACACGGCCCTGATCTTGGTGCTGGCGTCGTCCTCGGGATGTTCGGCCCCGGCCCCTCCGCCATCAACGCCGACACTGGCGGGCTTGCGGCCGGGCCGCTGGGCGATGCTGACGACCCGGCGAAGCGGATTGCTCAGGGACTTCTTGGGTGCGGCTGCTGCGGCCGCCTTTGCGGGCTTCTTCCTGCTGCTCGGGCGGGCGGGAGTCGGCTGGGCGTCTGGGAGGGGTTGGGGCCCTGGCGTGCTGGGGCCATTTTCGCTGTCGACGGCGTCCTTGGCTAGGAGCGGGTTGGAGGTGAAGAAGGAGCGTTGTCGGGGCCGGAGGGCGGGCGAGGTCTGGTGAAAGGCACGCAGCGAGGGGCGGGCGGTGGCGGCGGGCCTGGCGCTGGAGTGCAGGCCACGGAACAGGCCGGCGGCTATCTCTCGCCGAGGGATGCGCATGGTGCTAGAGGCGATGCCCTTGAAGCCATTGAGGGGTAGTGAGGGTAACAATGGCGGAGGCTGGGCATCCCAGCAAAGAGCCAAAGGAAAAGTGTTGTGGTCTGAGGTTTGCCAGGCCCTGACGTCGTGCTGCAAAAAAGAAAAAAGTAACCGCAGGGTCTTGGGTTGAGGAGGCTCTTATCGTTATCGGAGCTCTGCGAGGAGTGGGGCGCCATACCTTGCCTCTGGCCAACCACATTACATGGGCTTTCTCTCCTCGTCCGTCCACTTCGTCAACGGCGCGCAACGGCGATCTGCCCTTCTGCTAGCCTGGTGCGGTGATGGAGAGAGACTACTGGTATCCATCCAGCTGGGATTTCATGTTTCTTCCACTCTTTGGGATTCGTTGATTGTAGGACGTCAGGTGAGCATTTGAACCCGCACGGTATCTGTTCTCGCCGATTGAGCCTTGCTCCACTCTGGCGGATCAAAAGCATCAAACCCATATTTCGAACTCAAGGCCTGGGCTGATTCTGCAACGGAGACTGATCTTGCCTGGTTGACACTTTGCTTTTTGCCCCAGACAGCAAGTCTAGACCAAGTGAACCCACTGTATTCTAACAAGCAGCACAGCATCGCACAAGCAGTGCAAATTGTGGCTGTCTTGTACGCAGTGGGGGTTGATGAATCCACCGAGAATCACTCACTCAGTCAAACAACCGAACGATCAGTTGATTCTGAGACGCCCTCCTCGACCTCAGCACGGCTCGACGGCCAGCCATTGGGCCGGCAATCAGCGCCAGAGGACTTCCCGGGGCGGCGACTACGTCAGCTCGCATTGGTGCTCGACCGACTAGACTTTAGGGGTCCAGTGCGGGGGGGAACTGCATTATGTACCCGATGCATGCAACGCTTCATTTGGGGCATCATGGACTGGGGACGGCCAGCATGAGACCTGCGTTGATCGGGTCAGAGCCTCGCTGGCTTGCTGGCTGGCCGGCCGGGAGTCGGTGCTGCGAATGCCCAATGCAGCACAGAACGGAACAGTTCTAGCTTGTGATGCATCATGACCGAATATTGGTCAGGCAATCAATGTCGCACGTAGCAAATTACTATTGACGATTGTTTATCGTTGTTTGCTGGTTTGTGACGAGTGCTGATGATGTGGATGCAGATACAGTGACAGAACAGGAACGGAACAATACCTGGCTACGACACGGTACAGTTTGTCACGCTGTATGCAAGAAGGGCCGGCCCAGCAGAAAGTGTGATCGTGCGCCCCTTTCCTTCCCCAGAATCGAGATGCCAGGCTGGGACGAAAAGCGGGGTCTCCACCTTCCCGTTGTGTACTGCAGTGTATGTTTGTGTGTGGGTGTGAGAGACAGACTGCAGTGACAGTGAGAGTGAGCGTGTACCGCAGTGACACACCACGCGCGCTGCACTCGGCAGTCACACAGCCCACCGGCTGAGCCCCCACCACCCCCCCCCCCCAGACTCTCTCACGCCCACCATGCCAGACATTAAGCCTCTTCTGGGCTCTGCAGGCACCCTCATGATCCATCACCCCACTGCCTGGGACCCGCAGCCGCCTCGCATGTCGTCACTATGCCTAGTCCATTCCGTCTGAGCTACCACCTTCACTCTTGATGCCCGTGCTTGTGAGCCGAAACCTTCTTTCCCCAGGCCGTCGTCTTATATGAACTCTGTTTTCGCCTTGTCTGCATGTGCATTCTCTACTTCATCCCCCACGTGGCGAGCCTTCACATGTGGCAGCAATAGTGGAATTGGGAAAATCGAAAATAATCTTGCTACCGACTCAAACTTGTCGTGCCCTCAACTAGTCTCTAGTCTACCTAAACACCACCACGCAATGGAGACCACCGTGCTTTGTGGGCCCATGGCTTATCAAGGAGGCTTTCCAGGTCTGAAACCCGAAATGGACCCCAAGGAACGCTTCTACAGACACTTCGAGGCCCAGGCCACAGCCCTTCAAGAGGACATTGCAAATCTTGCCAACATCTCTGCCACCGGCGGCGAGCGCAAGGACGCAACAGACCATGTCCTCGGCGGCATCTCCAGGCTCACCAACGAGGTCTCCGATGCCTCCGAATACGCGCCCCCTCGCGACCAGATGATCTATGGCCAGGTTTGTCCCGCCTCCTGATATATGATATTCCCGAGCCTGCTTTGGGTTGGTGGCACCGTCTCTTACACTACAACAGGCCCTCAAAGCATTGCGTGAGCAGGTCAACATCCAGAGCCGTGGCCTGGGCCCCAAGACCGGCTTCGAGTTCACTCAGGAATCCAAGGAGTCATGGGTCGCAGCAGGGGGCAACAAAGCACCTGCTGCTGCCGCCGGCCCCGACGCCGACGACAGCGACGCCACCGTGCAGGCGGAGAGGACAGACGCCGTAGGCGACCTACCGAGCTTCACGGGCGCGGGCGGTGCGGCGGCCGGGTCCGCCAAGGACTACAACGCCGAGATGGCCTCGCAGGGCGGCGTCGGGGTGCGCAAGCCCAGCTTCTCGCAGGCGCGCGACATTGACATCTCCAACCACCGAGGCATGCACATCATCCTCCCCGCCACCGCGTCGCGGGCCACCGCCTCGGGCACGCTGACGGAGCTGCGGGGCTGCGTGCTGGACATGTCGGCTCCCTTCGCCAGCAGGAAAAAGAAGGGCAGCAGCCACCCGGGCGGCGGCGCCGCCCCCTTCAACACGCTGGCCATCCGCAACATCTCGGGCAGCCTCGTAATCGCGGGCCAGGTCGCGGGGCCCGCGCACGTGACGGGCGTGCGCGACAGCGTGCTGGTCCTCAACGCGCGCCAGGTCCGCATGCACGAGTGCCGCAACGTCACCGTCTACCTGTGGTGCGGCAGCCACCCCATCATCGAGGACTGCGAGGGCGTGCGCGTCGCGCCACTGCCCGCGGTGTTCCTCGGCCGGGGCCAGGACAACGGCGCCGGCAGCAACCAATGGGACCAGGTCGACGACTTTGGATGGCTCAAGGCCGAGCCCAGCCCCAACTGGAGAAGGCTGGCCGGCGAGGGCGAGGGCGACCACGTCGTGTCTGAGGACTTTTGGACGACCACCGTCAAGGGCGGGCCGGCGCTGAGCACCGAGGATATCCTCCGGCAGGCGGGCGTCCGCACCTGATTTGGCTTGCTCGCTTGCGAGTAGACAAGACTTGTAACATGTAAAACAAAGGGTTTGTGCACATGGCGTTGGGCTCTTGAGCAAAGCATCATTCGGGAGTTTGGGGCGATACGGCAGGGAATGAATGATCAGCTGGTCCATAAAAACCATTTAGGACGGATTTTCCCAGCTATAGCACTTGCACAACTACACAGCTTCATAAAACTGCAGGAAAAGGATTGAGTTTCGTAAATCTCGAGATGCATATAACATGGCTTGCCTCGAGTCATCATGCTATTAGGCTCTGGGTTTGGCCTTCGCCGAGCCCGTCCAGGAAACTATCATGACCAAGCAACGTTGGACCTTCTCATTGACGAGATTGCTCTCTCCGTGCCTGCTCATATGGACCATATGCCGTACCAACCAAAACCCAAAGCCATTTATTACCTCCACGCTCCTACAACAACATAACCTCCTCCTCGGCGTCGGCATCCTCGTCCTCGTCGGCATCAGGATCCAGCTCATCAGCATGTCCGTCATAAAAGCTACCAACTTCCATGCCCGGTCCATCGGACGCCTCCCTGCTTTCCCGGCTGCGCTCCTCCTCCGCCTCAGTCTCCGGTGCGGCGTCGCTGTCAGTCTCGACCTTCGGTTTGCGAGTGAAATGGAGCGTGATTTTCTTGATCGGCGTCGCCCGTGGGGGCGGTGAGGGTGCCTGTGTGGCGGCTGCCTCGGTTTCCTTTGCTGCCTTCTTCGCGCTCCGGGTGAGACGTGGCGACCAGTTGTCATCGTCAGCGGGAGCCTTGGATAGCGTTTTCTTCAAGGCCCGCGTGCGCCGTGCCCCCGAGGTGCCAGGGGCTTTCTTGGGTGGTTTCCTTGGGGATGGAGTACGCAGTTCGGGTTGGGTCTCAGGAGCAGGCTGGGCATCCGCTATCGACTTCTTGAACCAGAGATAGTTTCTGACCTCATGGTAGTGCGGCGGAATGGGAATTGTCACCAAGCACTTTGGTGCGTCCAGACTGGATGCTGCAGAATCGTTATCGCTTGCAGGCTCTGTATTGGCTTCATCCACTTGCTTTCCCTTGGGAGAAGCAGGTTGCGTGTCGGTAATGCTGAAGGACTGGGTTGGAGCCTGCTGCTGTGGGTGCGGTGGTGGCACAGTCGGCACTGCCTCGTCAGTTGTTTCCAAAACGGCAGTCTCTTCCTTCTCGGGCCCTGTCTCCATGGTGATCGGGCCAATGGCGGCCGTACTTGCACTACGCTCCGCATGGGACTGCTCATGGGACTGCTCACAGGATTGCTCATGCTCACATAGCTGCTCATGAGGCTCCCAGTTAATCACACAAGGAGCAATAAAGCTGTCCATTGTGCTCTCTTCCGCCAGCCTTATATCGACGGGAGACGAAGAGACATCGTTTTCGCCCACGATATCCATTAGGAATTGCTGGTGTGGGCGTGGTGTTGGCGCAGTTTGCGTGTCCTCATCAATCGCTTCCAAAGCAGGAGTTTCTTTCTTCTCAGCCTCTGCCTCCGTGGTGTTTGGAACACTGGCAGCTGTACTTGCGCCATGCTCCCCATGAGGCTCCTCAGGGGGCTGCTCAAGGGGCTGTCCATAAGGCTTCTCACCGATCACATGGGGAGCTACGAGGTCATTCATTAAGCTCTCTCCCACCTGTCCAGCGTCGACGGGAGGCGAAGAGACAGCGTTTTCGCACACGACATCCGTTGAGCCCGTTGCCTCAGTCCCCTCTTCAACTCTAGCAGCACCCACAGCCCCATAGAGTCCTGAATCGCTAAAAGGATCATCATCCTGGTGGTCCTCGAGCTTACCGATAGAGGCCGGAATTCGGAATGGAATAGGTTCTGAGGCATCATGAGAGTGGCTCTGTGCCTGTGCTTGATGTGGGTCTTCGATTCGACTTCCCAAGCCGTAGGCATCGATGTCGGGCTGTAGTGGTCTGTCCGGGGTTATGGTTTGAGATCCGACACCACTTGCATCCCCGGCGACATCGCCTCCCGCGTCAGCAGCGACATTTCGGCCCTTGGGCGTGGGAGTCACAGGGCTGGAGACAGGAGCGCGGTCGTCTCTGATTGTATCCGTCGACGCGCTGTCCACGACACTATCCGTCGCACCCGAGACCGCAAGGCTGTCCGCAGCAGCATCAGGAGTTGGAGTTCTGGGCGCCTAGACCAAAGAATCCCCTCCTCCCTGCGCACCCGTCCCACCCATCTCAACATCTGTACTCCCATGGCTGAACTGGATACCGAACTCCTTCAGCTGCTGCAGAACCTTGCGCTGGCTCTCGATCTTGTCCTGCCACTCTTTGATCTCCGCCTCCTGTTCTGGGATCGTCCTGGTGATGTCGGGCAGGGTGTGGACTGCGGCGCGGGCGCGCTGGATCTTGTGCTTCAGCGGGTCGGTGGCAGCAGTGAGATCTTTGGTAGACAGTGTCTTTGTGTCGGATCCATTTGCTGTGGCAATTGCGCCTCCCGATGGAGTCGAGCCCGGCAAGCCGCCGGCAGGAGTGTTGGCGCCAGGTTTGTTGGAATCACCGTCGCCATTTGTGGATGCGCCGTTCTTGTCTGTGTAGCGCAGGCGGGAGAGGATGGTGTAGAGCTCGGAGGGGACGTCGACCGAGTCTGGCGTGAGGCCTGCGGGTAGAGCTTGCGGGTTCGCGTCGGGATCTGAGGAGGATGCCATTTTACCTGGGGTAGGCGTGGGTAAAATGGCGGGGACAAGATGCTGACTTCTGGGTAAGGAATCGAGAGGGTTGGTTTCTTCGAAATTGTTTAAGCTGTCACAATCAGGTTAAGAGCTCTGGGTACATACTAGGTTGGTGCGAATGTTTAGCGCATGCGCCGGTGACGAAAGTACCTGCTCAAGTACCTAGTACCCTGACTACCAGGTACCTGTAGGTGGGTAGGTGGGTAAGGGGACGAGAGAGATGTGGAAGCTTGACAGGACTTGGGTTGCTACCTTACACCAGTTAATTGACACGATCTTCTCCGGCTGCCCAGGTCGGATCACTCCATAGCAGGAGGCTATCCAGGGTCAAGTTAGCTAGTCAAGCTCGACGCTCACCAATGCCTGACACTGCTGCGGGTTGTGTCACTGATGTCACAGTATGTGTATGATTTGGAGCCCTAATCTGGATGAGTATATCCACAAGGGATGACAGACTCCAGTTCGAAGCTATTGTGGACCTTGGTGTCGATCATTGGTGTTTGATACTGAGCTGGGCCGGCAGGCAGGCTGCACTGGATGATCGGGATTCAGCGAAGATAGAGAACTTCGGTCAGCGAGCGAGCATTTGCCCTGAGGAAAATCCAGTCGAGGGGGGTGAGCTGATGCCCCTCATCAGGGCATTCGTACTGTCTGTACTGCCTGTAGATAGGTTTGAGCATACGGTGCTATCTGTAGCTTATCGCTGTCCGTACTGCCCAAGAGGTGCGGGAGCGACGTCAGGTCATGCCAACATGGACCCCCACCACCGACCAGAAATCACTCAACAAACGTGTGACAACAATTGGATCGAACCAGTTTGAAACCTCGAGTATTCCTATTTAAATCTCGCACCTGCAATCCTGACGCCTGTCCTTCACCCTGCTTCTAGAGCACCCCAAGAACCCCCCAACCAATCCCTATGTCCAAGAGAAAAGCAGACGAGATGACCAAACCAGAGCAAAATGCCTGCCTGAGTACGTTCGAGTCCAAACCCCTCGCAGCAGTCCGAGCATCTCATCGGTCCCCCCCTTCTCCCCTCTCGCTTGCGCACATCGGCCCTTCCCGAGCCACTGCCGATAATGGACGATGAGAGCAAGATGCAGAGGCAGAGGCAAAGGCGGACGCAGGTGCAGGAGCAGATGGAGCTGCCGGTGCTGTCCAACGGAGAGCGGGCTCCTGAGGAACGGCACAGCAGCTCCAGCGGCTCCCGCGCCCGGCCGGACTACCTTCTAGTCTCGTGCCTTGTCCTGATATACCTCGAGCTTTCCTGGTTGATTCTAATGCTTCTGCGCACTTACAGTCGTCATTGACGGTTGGGGAGTACCCTCCGCCGACTCCCCCAAGAATGGAGACGCCATCACCAACGCGAAGACCCCGGTCATGGACGCCTTCGCCAAGAGCACTACCGGTTACACTGAGCTCGAGGCTTCTTCCCTCGCCGTCGGTCTGCCCGAGGGCCTCATGGGCAACTCGGAAGTCGGCCACCTGAACATTGGCGCTGGCCGTGTCGTCTGGCAGGACGTCGTGCGTATCGACCAGACCATCAAGAATGGCGAGTTCAGCAAGACTCCCGTCGTCAAGAAGACGCTTGAGGCTGCCAAGAACGGCAACGGCAGACTGCACCTGTGCGGTCTCGTCTCTCACGGTGGCGTGGTACGTATATATTCGACGACACATTTCCAAAGGGTCTTCAAGCTGCTGACAGTGCCTTTTCCATCAGCACTCTAAGCAGAAGCACCTGTACGCTCTTCTCGAGGCCGCCAAGGAGTACCAGGTGCCCGAGGTCTACATCCACTTCTTCGGCGATGGCCGTGACACCGACCCCAAGTCTGGCGCTGGCTATCTGCAGGAATTGCTGGACACCATCAAGGAGCTCGGCATCGGCAAGCTGGCCACCATTGTCGGCCGTTACTACGCCATGGACCGTGACAAGAGGTGGGAGAGAGTTGAGCTTGCCCTCAAGGGCCTGGTCCTTGGCGAGGGTGAGGCGAGCAGTGACCCTGTCGCCACTGTCAAGGAACGATATGAGAAGGGCGAGAACGACGAGTTCCTGAAGCCCATCATCGTGAACGGTGATGCTGGTCGCATCAAGGGTAAGGATTCCAGGATGTACCCTCGCTTCCTGTCCCACTGCTGACCTGAAGTAGATGACGACGTCGTCTTCTTCTTCAACTACAGATCTGACCGCGCCCGACAAATCACACAGCTCCTTGGAGACGTCGACCGATCACCAAGGCCCGACTTCAAGTACCCCAAGATCAACAGACTCGTGACCATGACCCAGTACAAGGTCGACTACCCCTTCGAGATTGCCTTCGCACCTCAGCACATGGGCAACGTCCTCGCAGAGTGGCTCGGCAAGCAGGGCGTTGAGCAGGTACACGTCGCCGAGACGGAGAAGTATGCCCACGTCACTTTCTTCTTCAACGGCGGTGTCGAGAAAGTGTTCGACCTCGAAACTCGTGACGAGTCTCAGGATCTCGTCCCATCCAACAAGTCCGTCGCCACCTACGACCAGGCGCCCGAGATGTCCGCGGACGGCGTGGCCAACCAGGTCGCCAAGCGTCTGGGCGAGCACAAGTTCCCCTTCGTCATGAACAACTTTGCCCCACCAGACATGGTTGGCCACACCGGCGTGTACGAGGCCGCGTTGGTCGGCGTCGAGGCCACCGACAAGGCCATCGGCAAGATCTACGAGGCCTGCAAGAAGGAGAACTACATCCTCTTCATCACGTCCGACCACGGCAATGCCGAGGAGATGAAGTTCCCCGACGGCAAGCCCAAGACCAGCCACACCACCAACAAGGTGCCCTTCGTCATGGCCAACGCGCCCGAGGGCTGGAGCCTCAAGCAGGGCGACACCGGCGTCCTGGGCGACGTCGCCCCCACCGTCCTGGCCGCCATGGGCCTGGAGCAGCCCGAGGAGATGTCGGGCAAGAGCCTGCTCGTCAGGGCTTAATTACCAAAAAATGAGAGAGAAAGGCGTTTGTGTGGTGTGAGCGTGGGTGTGGGTGTGTGAATTGAATGATGATTGGCATGGGTAGCACTGGGGTTCAGGGGGGTCCAAGGGGGTTTACGGCGGGATGAAAATGATATACATACAGTACTGATAGACAACACATAGACGGGTCACGCAGAGAGTGTCCCGCAATAAGAAAGACCGAAAATCCAACCTGACGCTGTGGTCTGCCTGGTCCGTCGCTGCTGTGTACGTGTCTGCCGGACAGGTCCTTTTGACATACCATGCAAGGCAAGCTGGTTGGCGCATATCCGGGTCAAAGAACGTTCTGATGTAACAAACTGACCTCTATTGCACACGTCAGGCTCAGGCGAGGGACAGTAGTCTACTTAGTTGCTCTTGAACTTAGACCTACATATAGTAAATTGAGAAACACGATTCGGTCAATTGTCTTAGAATTATGTTCCTGTACATCTTGTATCTAGGTATCCTAGACGAACTCCCAGGTCACACGTAGACACGGATAATTAGATAACTGAGGCACGTACGCTTAGGGAATTTTGTAGTCTTTTGTATGTCTCATTGTATATGGCTTCGTTTCAGTAATCGGAGCATGATCTAATACCACGCATGATCAACAGACCACATGTGCAAACATCGCTCTTGAACCAGAGAGCGAAAGCTTGTAAGAACTTGGGAGGGGAGGGGTTTGGGCTCTTGGTTCAGTAATTATCAACGCCAACGAGTAACAGCATGTTGTTCTTAGAGATGGCCCATGTAAGTAAGTGACGGGAGTCAGGAACATATGACTTAGTCAGGGATGATAGTACGGTGATATTGAGCTGGGGGATAATCAGACATGGGGCAGCTAGACAGTGAGATATTCAGTTCTGGGATCTGAAGATGTCATATTTCAGACAGCCTATTAGGGGCTGATGGGCTTCGACGCGTAGAGACAACACAGACGCGCTGGGAGCTGCGAGAAGCCCCTCAACTTTACCACTGTCGAGGCTTCGGGGTGTCTCAGGGGCGTTCGATTGCCAAGGGCGGCACGATCATTGGTGCGCAACGTGGGGTGGGACGGCAGACACGATGCTGTACCTACTGTGGTAACGATGCTGTACCCTACAGGTGAGTGGGGGGACGGCAGCCCAGCCCCGCGGTGGCTTGATCGATCGCATAGCTACTGTATGCATCCTATGCAACGCGTCTTGCTTGCGGTAAGGAGGCACGAACATGTCCGATCCGAGGCAAGGAGCCAGCGATGTGTCTAAGATCTGGCATCATGGTGAGACAGTAGGCTGGGCGGGCTGATCAGGCACGTAGATTGTCCATAGCCAGCAACTACCCATCACATGATCAGTCTAGATCACGATCCCCAGGGAAGGCGGACGACAGCTTGCCCAATCGCCGGGTTTGTCACCATCTCCTGTCCTCTGTGGACGAAGTAGCAGTGCATAAGGCTGGAAACTGTCACGTCTGCCTGCATTGGCTCGGTCTGCGCCTCGACAGTAGCGCAAGTGACCTTGCAAGCTTGGCTTCACCCCGGATTGCCGCTGGGCCGGTCCAGCCCATAGTGCGGAGTTCACATAGGACTGGGGTTGGTCGGTTATTTTATGCGACGCCGGCTGGTAGACTGGACGGCTGGGCGACGCTATCGTGAGAGCTCGGGGTAACCTCTCCGGAGCTGTGGGGCCGAGAATGTTGAGCTCCCGAGGTTGGGTCCAGATGGTCCAGAGGATCCCTCTAGAGATGTTGGGCGGCAACCGGTTGGTAGACAACCTCGCCACGGCGAAGTCTCTTAGCCGGTCTGTACGTGGTCTGTATACGCTCAGAAGTCGAGATCGGGAACTGGTCTTCGGGAACGACCGTTTGGTAAGTTCTCGGCGTGCACCCGACTAATTGGATCAAAGAGTGTTTCTCGCCCTCATCGACAAGAACTTGCCCCTCGATGTCGATCCCCTCGCATTTTTGCGATGGGACTGGCAGGACTTATTAATGAACAGGGACATGCTCGCTCGTCACGCGGCTGAAGGCTCGTGGGCAGTAGTTCCCGCGCTGGCGGTGGTCTAGAACGGTCTATGTTATGTGCCTGGCCGGGCGAAAACGAGAGAAGACCGGTCTGGCCCGGCGCGTCGGACGAGGGTCTCAAGGGTTTGTGCCTCTCCGAAAGGTCCACTTCGTCGGCAGCGACGACTGCACCGGTGCGGGTGCAGATGCCCAATTGCACCGCTGACATAGAAGAGGGACAACACGAAGAATTACCAATGCTTTCACATGAGCGACCCATACTTCCGCAGGGACCACTGGATCGGCAAGGACAACGCCCGTTTGGCAACCAGGGCTCTTGTTTCTTATCTCGATCGATCCCGCCAACTCGATTTTCAGGGTCTACGGACCTGCACTTGCTCTACCACTAGGCTGGCTTTGCAGCTCGGTCGTCCGCCCCTTGGAATCTCGGCGTGCACCCCACTGGGGTGAGTACACTAATCTTTTGGTCCAGTCACCTTCTTGCACCCACTTTTGACAGCGCCGATCCCTGAATTGGGTGGCCTATCTGGTCTGCTGACAAGTTGTGAAGCGTCCAACATGCTGTTGCGAGCCTGCTTCGCCCCCACCGAACCCGCCCGTGGCAGCTGTCAAATAACACAGGATTGCAAGAAGTATGATACCGCAACGGTCAGGTAAACCTCAATCTCTAGTGCAGTTTTCTCGGGCGGCGTCCCGGACGCTTGCCGACTACGACTCGGCCTAGCTTGGCAACATTCGACCTGGCAGATCTCCGAATAAGGGCAGCATCGGAGACCTGCCACGTTTCAATTCATTCCACAGATGGAGAGAAACCGATGCACTGCCTGACCGGCGATGCCTCCAAGCACACGTGGTAACTGACTGTCAATGCTCGACTCAGTCCCGCGTCTTGTGCCGTGTGTCATTTGCCTTCTAGGACAGAGAGAGAAAGGCCCCCGTGGTGACGTCGAAAGGCGCCGTTGATCTCTCAGGGGTTGTGCCAACAACTGCACCGCAAGCGGTAGTGCGGGACCCAGTGGTGCACCCGAGCTGATGCGTTTACAGCGCTAGATCTCAAAGGAATAGCAGGATCGGACACTTCTTGGCTTGCGCTGACAACGTGTCCTGTGCAAACGTTCCAACAGCCAGGGCCCGGTGGGGCCAAGGTGACGGCATTGGACTTGCGGACTTGTAGACTGCGTGCTCGTCAGTATGTCCAAGGAATGATTGAGCTTGCCTTGTTTGATTGAAGTTGATGTTGTGTCAGACTTGGGAGGAGTACCGCAAGAATCGTCATCGTGATGGTCTGCCCGGTGGGATCGAGATACTCTGCAGCCGGCAGATCGCTCGTTCAGGATAGAAAATTTCGTCGTGTGGGACGTTGGAACCCGGCTCGCTCGCACTCGGGTGAGGAAAAGACCCCGTTCACGCGCCTGGTCTCTCGAACGAGGGTGGTCACCGTGCTACAAGCAAATCAATGGACAGTGCTGCCCCGTCGCATTCCCTGATTGATAATTTGCCAAAGTCAAGCGGTGAAGTTTGAGCGTGCGTGTTGTGTGGTGGTGTGTGTGCGCGCATGTGTCTCGTCGAGAGATTGCCGACGGTAACGCGATCTCAGGCCACGGTTTGAATCGAATTTTGTCGTAAGCGGACTGAAGGGAGCCACGGGTGCTGACTGCAGGGTCGGAATCAGCCCCTCGGGAACAGGAACAGGAGCAGACTCAGGTCCATGCCGGAATTCCAGGGTCCAAGGGTCCTCTCGGGCTGTTGACTGTGCTACTGGCACAAGACAATGTTAGCGAGGGCGGCTATGATGGAACAAGCAGGGCTGGACGGGCATCTTCCCACCGAGACTGGCGACAGTGGTCCTCAGCGTACCAGTCAGTAGCTGCGTGTGTCAGGGTCGTCCGGGTTGTGTGGGCTGTGCGGGCTGGCTTTGAATGGTTGGCTTGGATGGAAACAGTCGGCGGCGTCGATGACAGGCAAAACTGCGATCGGGAAGGAGGTCAGGCTGGATGGCGGCTTGTTTCTTTTGAACCACAGAGGCCCATAGTTACTGTGGCAGCTGGGGTCGTTGAACATGACGTCACAATCAGGTCATCGGTGGGGAGACAGGATACGGAGACAGGAAGGTGAGCCCGCTCACAAAACCTGGATTGACCCGTGCTGCACCGGACGTGGTCAGCATGCCTGTCTGTCGGCTGTCTGCAACGGTACACATAGGGCTGAGGAGGGCAGACCAACACTGAGAGGGGAGAGCAACACCTGAGCACACGATGCAGAGAAGACCACTGTGTGTCGTGAATATCAGACTATGTACCTACCGAGGTAGGTATGCAGTAGGGGTCCAGGCACTGGCTTGGGGAGGCGGGATTGTGTTCTGTGAGGCGCCGTGGTCCAATGAGGGGGGCTGAGAGGAAGGGGTCCACGCTACGCACGGCAGGACCACCCCGGGGTGTGGAGCTTATGCCGGCCTACACAGTACGGCATGTCCATTGGGGGAAGGGGTGCCCTGGCCGTGTGCGATGAGCCCCGATCGCAGGACCCTTGCAAACCGTTTCTCATCGGCGGGCACACCTGGGGATCTGAGCATCTGTAGCCTTTCCACAAGCAACAAAATCGGATCGAGGCCGTTCTGGCACCTGGGCACATGGCACCTCGCAGCTCAATGCGGCGCCGGTGCCAGTGGCCTCTCCGCCTCCTGCCCAGATCATTCCAGAACCCAGCCGTAACGCGAGAACATCACCCCGGGCTGCTGATGCTCATCAAGCTGATGCTGATGCTGCTGCTTGCAGTCTCGGCTCATCATCGCTGAGTGCCAGCCCACACACACACACCCTGCTTGTACCTTTCACACCTGCCCTCCCTCTCCTTTGGCTCCCGCCACTTGCACATTGCACCGTACCGCGTCGTACATAGTACCCTACGGTGGGCATACCAAGGTAGCACAGCACACACACCGAATCTCGATTCTCATCGTGATTGCTGTCCCGGGCTGCGTCACAGCCTGCGCCGTGCCCTACACGCCCGACAAAACACACCTCCTTCCCTCCCAGCTTTTACTGAAGCTACCAGGCGTACACTCGTCCTTTCACATCCGCAGACTTCATTCTGGTTCATCGTTGGGAATCAACTATCCATCTCGGCAACAACAGGTCCACGACCTATTCACCAACCGCCCGCTTATACCAACCAGCAAGCTCACGAGAGCCACCCCCCCTTCTCACTCCGCCTCCGCCTCCAACTCATCACTCCAGCAAGGTATGAACAGGTTCTTCCCCCTCTTGCGTCATAATACCCTTCCCAAGCCCGCAGGTTTGGGATCGTCAGGGCCCTCGGGACTCCATTTGGACGTCTATCCTCACATGGTCCTGGTGGGGTCCTGCTACCCTCCCCCGGCTGCCCAATCCATCCTGCCCTGGTCCAGCAACACATGGAGTGCACTAGTCCCTTCGTCTTGCCTGAGTGCGTTGCACTCGACCTTGTCTACCAAGGCCCACCTGTCAAATTTGGCTGCTCGGGCTGGATGTTCCTCGCATGGCAGGACCCTCTCATATTTATGATGTCTCGTGTCCGAGAACACCATGTCGGACACCCTCATCAACCGAGTATCACTGCCTGCTCTGCATAGTTGCTGATAATAGTCTAGGCGTCTGCCAAAGCCCTGTCGGTTCAATTGTCTTGCAACGCAGCGTGTCAGCATCCGCTGAGCCAGAGTATCCTTCACACATCTGTTGCGGCATGCCCTCGACGCCATGCTGCATTGGTCTTACTTGAATCACAACAATCGGCACAGTATCAGACATGATGGCCGACAATGAGTCCAGAGCTCAGAGGCCACAACCCCGGCCGACATTGAGTGACCGCGGCCACCCAATGCCGCGAAGGGCCTCACCAGAAGGGTCCGTCACGCTTCGACACCACCGCCTTGCCAGAGATGCCTCCATGAGGCCCGAGACGGGTAGCAATGCCGTCTCGGGAAGCTCACCTAGGAGGAACTCTTCCGGCGAGAGCCATGTCACGGGTCAAAGCGATCCTAAACGATGGTTTGATCTTTCAAACAAAAATGCTCCTGCGGCATTTGACCATGCGACAATGGATGGTGCGTACTTCCCCCGCGTTGAAAGTGAAGCCCCGGGATCCAGCTGACTGATGGACGTCTAGTCGATCCTCCCTTTTATCAGAAACAGTCCGATTCTTCAAATGAAGAGATGATACCGCCAGCTCGTGAAAGCGCATATCATCATATTCCTACGGCGCTCCAATCTCAAAATTTCAGCAGGCCGACCATGGCACAAAGTAGCAGTGCCGAAGATTACAGGAGCGTGATCGATGACCTTACGATCGAGAACAAGCGGCTGAAGGATGAACTGAAAAGATACAGGCAATTTGGACCCGAGCTACTCCGCAAAGACAGGCTCTTCGAAATCAAAGTGCACGGTCTGGCAGGGAGCAAGAAGAGAGAGCTTGAGTCGACGTTACGCGATTTTGCTGCGAGCTTGGAAGGATCTCCGGCGGCATCTTTACAGCGGAAGAAGAGTTCGAAGCACGCCAACCGGCTCCAGGGATCAAGTTCAAATTCCAAGCACGCCTCCTCGTCGTCATCACACTCGCGGCCCGTGGATTCCGCCTACGCGTCCATGTCGACAGGACGGAGTTCAACTGGGCCGAATGTCAACTCGATCTCTCTCAGGCCGTCGCTCGGCCGGACAAAGTCATCCACTGACCACAAAGTGGAGACCTACCTTAAGGAAATTCCGGAAGGGTTATTCCCACGGCCGGTCGCCATGACTGACAAGGAGAAGAAAAAGCTGGTTGTGCGCAGGCTTGAACAGCTTTTTACGGGCAGAATGCCCGGGAAGCATAGGTTTTCCCGCAACAAGTCCTTGCTGTCGGTTCCGGAGCCCAGTGTTGCTCCCGCGCCGCCGCAAGACGGCGAGCCGTGCAGGGAAGCTCGCATAGAACCGGGGAAAATGACCTCGACAGAAAACCTATCGGCATCAAACTCAAACGGCGAGAACGACACCGGAGGAGACCGCACGGGCAGTGGAAGTGGTAGTAACGAACACAGCGGCCAATTTGCCTCGCCACAGACCGGCGAGCTTGCGGAGCAGAGGGCTACGAGACCTCGAGACTTGGATCCTGATCGGGTTCAGGTCCCGTCGGAGAACATGCAGTACATTCGGCACCTGGGTGTTACGGCTCCGAAAGACATTGGGGAGACCAGATTCAGGCCACAGGATGTGTCTATTGATGCAGATGGTTGGATCCATCTCAACCTCTTGTGCAATCTGGCGCAACTGCACATCCTTAACGTGACCCCTAGCTACATCCGATCGGCTATTAATGAGAGGTCTGCTAAGTTTCAACTCTCACGGGATGGCCGAAAGATCCGTTGGCGCGGCGGAGTCGAAGGGACAAAATTCAGCAGTGACAGCAGTGGAAACAGTTCACAGAGGAGCCCCGAGACGGACGGCACGGACGGCTCAAACGAGGATGGGCAGCGGAAGAGACAGAGGAAGAGCGAGCATGCTTCAGACCCATCAACCCAGAGTCAAAATCAGACGAAGCTGGAGCCTCAGAACTCCGTGTCGTCAGAAGGCTTCCACTACAAGCCTCTGTTCCTACACAATCGTTCATCGTCTGCGGAAACCTCCATGGATGAGACGGGCTCACAGGCATCTTTCGGAGCTATCGAGAACAGCAACATGAACTCCCGGTCAACAGGGTTTGTCAGTGGATCGGGATCGTCGCCCAGGAAGAAGCGCCGCAACGACGGCGCCATCATCTACTACAATGGCGCACCATTCTGTACCGATCTCTCGGGCGACCCAGGAGATGTGTCGCCCGCTACATATTTGGCATCCTCGAGTCAAGACCATGCCTCGAAGAATGTTGGAGCACAGTCCCCTGGCCTGAACCGCACCTTGTCTGGCTCATCTCTCCCATTTCGACCACTTGTCGACAGCCCTGAGCAAACGGACGTCGACATGGATCAAGAGCCCGAGCTTATCAACGACGATGGAGAGCTGTCGGAGAGCGAGGCCGGGTTCGAGTTTCCCTGGTGCGATAATCCTGAGACCCCCCAGCTGAAGCCGCTCGAGCCACAGTTGGAGCCATGTGGGCTTGGTGGGGTGACCCCGGAAGACCATTTTGCCATACTTGTCGTGACCCAACAACCCATTAAAAGCTCAGGGCGGGCTCAGCGTCACCTCGTTCGCCTTGGCTCAAATGAGACAGCCGAGTCGATTTCAAGCAGAATTGCGTCCTTGGCCGACACTTCAGCGCATCCGTCACGCCGACGTCCCAATCCACCGTCTCACATCCCGGCGCAAGTTGTTGCTCAGCGGTATAAGGGTCTCAAGCCTTTGCCTCTACCTCCGCCCGCAATGTTTTACCCACCATTTACCGAGACCACCGAGTCAGAAGACTCGGGCTTTGAGGACGGTTCTGCCGACGAGGATGACGACTCAGATGTGCACATGGGTGGCTTCGAGGCCATCTCTCAGCGAGTAAACCCAAAACAATCCGACCAGGACTTTCTCACAAGAGGAGCCCCCGGCTCTGACGATGACGATGTTCGCAGTCTGGACGTCAAGATTGCTCCCAAGGCGTCGTTCGGTCCCGGAGTCCGCAAGATGTCACACGGCTCTAGCCGGCCCGGCCGAAGCCTGATTCAAGGCATCGATGTGCACCCCGACAGTTCCGGCGCCACGGCAGGAGGGGAAGCGAGTGGCTACAGCAGTAGCGAGGAGGATGACTAGACGCCTCTTGGCGCCTCGGGTGATTGTGCTTGAACTGTACACTCGAGGGAGGTTTAGGTGGACTAAATTTTCGCATTGGTACCGGCGTTGAAACTGAATTATTTGAGGGATGGGCTTTGATCCCGGGGTATGATACCATTTTCTAGCGGCTGCTGTGAAAAGTTCATCAGCGAGATTTATATTAAGTCATATTTGGCATCAAGTCTAGCGTTGTGGACAATACCTGGTTAGATAGAGGCGAGGTAGACGCCTTAGCACTCATAATCAAGCGAATTTGCGCAAACCTCTGTTCGAGTCCTTGCTAGTGAACATGACAAGCCTCAAAACGTGTCGGCACACTCTGCTCTCAAAACAACGTCTGGGTCGCCGGTCCCAAGTGGCAGGCCGATATCCGTCAGCCTTCTATGGAGTCATTGGATGTTAAATGAACGGCCTGTAATAGATGGCTTGTTCGTGCTGGGGAGTGGACGTTGTCAGGGTTAGGGTGTTCGAAGGGAGGCAATTAATTGTGACAAGAGGGGGGCGGGCCATCATTCGGCTTACAGCCGACCCTCTGCCTCAGCAGAAGCAAACCCGTTACGTGCATGCAGTCTGGACGCAGGGATCGCTCCATTGAAGCTGCCCCACCATTGAGCTGCCCCGGTAGCACAGGTTCACGGTTGAGAGAGCTCTGGGGCCAACCGACATCTTTCGCCGCATACAGGTCGAACCACTGCCAGCGACAGACTCAGCACAAGCCGTCGACATGGCAGACAAAGGGAAAGCGGCTGCTCTGGGGTAAGCAACCCGGGTCCCCCAACACACTGAACAGCAAACAATTCTTGCGTGCAGGCCGCTGACGAGGAAGCTTCTCGTCGCAGGAGCAAGGACACCCCCACTAACCCCCGAGGCATACCCTATGCGCCGTTCGTCGACAGGGTGGAGGACTATGTGACCTCGCGTGCCGACACCGAGCCCACGCTGCGAAAGTTCCAGGAGATGATCGCGTGAGTCACCGCACCAGGAGACCGGGCTGCAATGGGCAAGCATGCTGCTGTTCCCGGCGGCGACAGGAGCTGCGAGCTGCGAGCCGCGAGCCGCGACAGCCCGGGCGGGAAGGATGCGAGGATGGGCCGTGGGTTGACGTGCGACGATACAAAAAACAGGAAATACCAGTATATGGAGTCGAACATGCAACGGAAAGCCGCGGGCCTCAAAGACAAGATACCAGACATCCAAAAGACGCTGGAGACGGTCCAGTTCCTAAAGACGAGAACAGTATGTCACCAGGCCTAGCCGACCTGCCTCATGCCAGTGCAACTGCCCAGGACCCAGGGGGCTGACAGAAGTATCAGGACGAGACAGACCCGATCGAGACCACCTTCGAGCTCAACGACACGCTGTTCGCCAAGGCCGAGGTGCCGCCCACCGACGAGGTGTACATCTGGCTAGGCGCGAATGTCATGCTGGCGTACCCGATGGACGAGGCGGAGACGCTGCTGGTTGAGAGACTAGGCAAGGCCAAGAAGAGCCTCGTGGACTGCGAGGAGGACGCGGAATTCCTGAGGGAACAAATCACGGTGAGTAGACCTTGCTCTACTATAGCCCCCTGGGACTGCCTATACTCACATCCCGTCAGACCATGGAGGTTGCAACAGCCAGAGTGTACAACTGGGACGTCGTGCAGAAGCGCAAGGAGAAGGGCGAGGAGGAGAGCAAAGAAAAGGACGACAAGGCCGGCGGTGGCTGAGCGGGCCGCACGCTGGGGGAATGGGAGTCTCAGCACAGAGAATCTTACTGTCGGTCCGTCACGGCAACCCACGGGGAGGGCCGAGTCCGACTGAAACGCCTCGATCCGCGTGCAGGCTGCATCCACGGCTCGAAGGGCCGGTGGGCGTCCCGAGCGCCGAGGACGGGGCCGAGCAGGCCGGCGAAAACCTGGAGCAGGCAAATAGTGGGATGGCTTACAGCAAATAGATACCACGATGCTTTCCTGTGATCCGGTTGTCAACCCCCTATGATTCGGTCAGACCCACGTTGGACACCCTGAGTAGGAATGTTCACTCAGGTGGCTCAATTCTCGAGTGTCACTATTGCAAGCATACCATCTTTCACATTTGACCGGAATTGGTCTGTATCCAATCAAAGCAGCCCTGGAGCCTCTTACTCACCCACCGGACGACTCGGAGCCTTGGGATGTTGACGTCAGCTGTGCTCGTATGTATTCATTTTCGCATCCATCTTGAGGCAAAGTCAGACACACGTTCCGTTTGAGGCCAGTCCGGTCAAACATGATACGCCAGGCCTTGCTGACTGGTCTGGCCGTGTGACCTCTCAACTTCAGCATTGGGGCAACCCGGGATGAGCTGACATCGTTTCCGATATTATCAATGAGCCCGGGGTACTCACACACACACACACGTATGCTTTCCCATGTGCCATGTTCCAAGAATACGGGTGGTGAGGCGGAGGGCTGGGCGGATTGGCTCTGTACGCCGATACTCATGGAGACCGGGTCTGGGCTCAGACAGATGACGCCCTGCTGGGCTGTGGTGTAAGCCAGCTAGCTACCAGGTACAATTAAAGTCCACAACGCTTTGGCTCATTGGTGTATGAATGTGGTTTCACACTGGAATAGAGACTGTGAGGAGTTGAGGTCTCAAAAGCATTAGGGTTCAATATGAAAAAGGCCAAGTACGATGTTACCTGACAACATGAGTGGCTTTAGTTAAACATGCAATACAAGCTTCGCCCTTGCCTCCCTAATTCAAAAAACTTGGTTATTATGACTTGGACATGTTTGGGTCAGCGAGAGAAAGTCATTTTTAGTACTACACAAAATATTTCTAGGCTGAATATCTACGCATGCGGCTGCATTCTTATCATATGCATCGAGAGCGTCCTTGTTGAATCTATAATTACAATCAAAATAATTGCTGATTGACAGATTTCATTCGCCTGAAAGTTTTCCCATGAGCTTGGGCCCCTTTAATCATCTTCGAAATCTAATAACCCATAGCATCCAACAAGTCTCACCGAGTGAAGGATTACTCAACGAACATGCCAGATTGTTTGTTAACGTCAAATTAGTCCTTGCTGCACAATGACAATCTTCCCAAGGCCATATTGTGTGACAGAACAAATCCAGAAATGAGTTCACCCGCCGTCTCGAGTGCGCTGACCTCATTCTTCCGTCCTTTCTCTCCCAACGGGTTTCATTCCATGTGCCACCAAGCATATGGCGGAGTTCAATCCTCTGAGTACAACAGGTGACGAGATGTGGGCACTAGGTCCCGTTCATCAGCATGACTGAAAGGTTCGGAGGACTGCTCAAGAGGCTCCGAGACGTACCACCAATGGGTAAAGAAAGTCTCGGGCACATCCACATTTAGAAAACGGAGATTCGTACAGACCAAATCGGAGGGTACACAGATGCCTCGCCAGCGCCAAAGCTACAGCATCTCACACCCAATTCGCCCACACCTACCCAATTCACACACTCAACTTGCATACCTAATCAGCCTTAAGCATATAACTTAATCTTAGGCATGTGAATTAGCTTAGGTATATGAATTAAGCATACAAATTGGGTATGGATGTTAAGTATGGGTATTGGGTGTTGAGTGTGGGTGTTAGGTGAGTGTGTGTGTGTGTGTGTGTGTGTGTGTGTGTTTGTGTGTGAGAGATTTGCTATTTGGTGCACTACGGGTATTATGTATCTGTGTACCCTCCAATTTAGTCTGTACGAATCTCCGTTTTCCACATTTATGGATAGCAAAATAGAAATCCCATGAATGGTGAACATTTCCAGCAGCCCACTGGAAGGCCACCTCTGGCCATAAATATCAATAATTTCTAACTCCATCGGGCTCAAAAAACCTTACAAGAAAGCCGGTCGGGCTGACTGCCCTTTCTGCAAATAACGCATGGAGGCCCAATGGAGATGGTGGCACGCAAGAGATTAAAGCGAGCGACGGTTCGCTCCTTATTTCATCGCCAGTTCGCGACTCATTATGACCAAGGTCATGGGTGCATTGAAGAGGCTTTGGTTCGCCGTCCTTCCACAACTCAGTCGAAACGGCGCCTGACATCCACGATTACCTCCCTTTCTGTGGTGCCCGTGGAAAGAAATTGGCCCCCAGGGTCCACGATCACGAGACATCTGAGACTTTTGGACCGGAGAATTGATCATGTCATCCGGAATGACATGCGGGAATGTGTACTTCGCTGGCCTGGCGAAACTTCTTGCCCAATCAGTCTTCCACCTCGAGCTATGTTACTGAGTCCTTTTGAATTCTAATATGAACAAAGTATCATGGACTCACATGGCCCTAGACTCCAATTACTGTTACCTAGGTAGCCTTTCAAGAGCATTCACCAATGATTGAGTGTTTATCAAGGTCCCACAAGGCCATGCTTCAGCACCCATCTTTGACAGGGCTCTCCGTCTGACCGCCCGGAATCAAATTGGGAATTCACCCAAGGCTTGTCTTGCCTGAACCACATAGACACACGGAAGTTCTCTCCGTCAGGCTCCGGAAGCCCTGCAGCCTGCGGCAAGTGGAGTGCGCAGGCAGGTCGTTGTGTCCAGATATGGGCATATGAACGCGTTACGGTCGACCTGACTGAGTATTATTGCGGAGACGCTGGCCTCGCAACTTCGGCACTACCCCCGCCTTAAGTCTGTTACATGGATCTACGTAAGGCCAGGGGAATCACCGTCGGATTAGCGTGGGGCATGATGTAAAGAGGGTCTTTTAAAAATCCCCGGATTTTCTTGACGACGGCACGGCCGACTCTGGAGATGAGGGGTCTTGAGATATGTGGCGGTGGTGTGATCTCTCCTAGCGACATAGCCGGCTTTAGAAAGCGACATTACTAGAAATTTGTACAATAGAGTTTCTATTTCCGTAGAAATCCTGCAATGCTGCAAAGAAAAGTGAAATGAAACCAGTGTTCCGGCACAATAAAGTTCTTTTGCTGTGTCCCTAATCCGCCGAGATCGACGGAACTGGTGGAAAAGCGGCTTAACTCCAGACATCTCAATTCAGGGACCACGAACCACATTGATAGTACCGTAACTTGGAGTGCACACATTCGCGGACAGAACATGGGGATATAAGCTGTGTAAAGAGACCGGGGCTGATGCTAATAATTGCTACCCCGACAATCTCAACTTCGGCATGGGGAGAAAACAAGGCGGTGGGTGGTGTGGAGAGGGAGATTGACAGAGGGAATTACTACTTGGGAAAAGGGACCCTGGGTAGATTGTGTGAAGCAGTGTACACACACACACTCAGAGAGAGAGAGGGTACAGCCAAAAATTATGACAGCAGATACAGCCAGCCGTAGATTTGAAATATGGACTTAAACAGTAAACACACATGCACACATGTAGATAGTCTATACCTATGTTGGTCGCAGAAAAGATCATGTATGCACAAGAGGAGGTCTGGTACAAGACCAGGTCTGAACCAAGATTGGGAATGCAGTGAGGGACTACTTGCACAGATGAGATTAGATGAGATGAGATGAGATCTGGAATGGAGCCCTGACAGGCATCCAGTCTTCTTGCCCTGCCAGGCCGGCCAGGCCTGCCTGTTAACGACTCTGACTGGCCAACTGGGCATGCTTCTGAAGAAGCGAGGAACGGCTTGGGGCGGTGCAGGATTTTGAGCCCGACGCCAAGCAGGAGATGCACAGCAGAGGTGGAGCAGCGGTTGATGACGTCCCCTCCTCCCCGGCCGGCCGAGAGACCCTCTCAGTTGCCCACCCCCCCCACCACAAACAACATCAGACGGCCAAAAACGGGGCGCCCTCAAATTACCTAGGTAGATAGGAGACATCACAGCGTCGACGGCCGCTCGCCTTGCTCCACCACACACCCCCTGGACATCTTTCTGGACAACACCGCTTCTTCTTGGACCCCTACAGCTTGGCCTCCTGAGCGACCGTTTCCAGTTCTGGTCGTTTTTCTGGTCGCATCCGACAAGGCAAAAGACAATACTTGGCCTCGACATCCCTCGACATTCCCATACGCCTATTCCCCCCTTCCCATCCCATACCACCTTTCCCTCTGCATCATCCCCGCCGACTCTGCAATCCCTTGCATAGTTCCAGCATCTACCTCTATCTACCAACATGGCTGCCACAACAGGAACCGGAGGCATCGACCTCGACCCCAAGTACGACGACTTTGACTTCCCCATCGTTGCTCCCGTCAAGGTCAACGGCCACCCTGGCCACTTGACCGACGAGCAGAATGCCGCAGTCAAGCAGCTGCGGGAGTCGCTCGAGAAGCAGGGCTACACCGATCGCCTGGACTCCCTGACCCTGGTTTGTGTCCCTCTGGTCCTCAGTCTGCCGGGCATGGCAACGAAGCAAGGCTAACTCCATCACCACCCAGCTGCGGTTCCTGCGCGCACGGAAGTTCGACCTCGCTGCCACCGAGAAGATGTGAGCCTTTGCCCCAACACCTGGAACCTCGCGGCGCCAAAAACGAAGAACGGCCTGCTAACCCTGCTGCAGGTTCGTCGATGCTGAGAAGTGGCGGAAAGACACCAAGCTGGATGAGCTGCTGCCCACCTGGGAGTACCCCGAGAAGGAGCAAATATTCCAGTACTACCCTCAGTACTACCACGGGACCGACAATGTACGCTGCTCCCCGTGTCCATACCTGCTGCTTCCGGGATTGCCGTGGCCGGAGGCACCGTGGTGTACCGTATCAAAGCATTCACTAACACAATCTCCTCGCAGGACGGCCGCCCAATCTACATCGAGCAGCTCGGCAAGGTCGACATTGCCGCCATGAACAAGATCACCACCTCGGAGCGCATGCTGACCAACCTGGCCGTCGAGTACGAGCGCGTCGCCGACCCCCGCCTGCCCGCATGCTCCCGCAAGGCCGGCCACCTCCTCGAGACTTGCTGCACCATCATGGACCTCAAGGGCGTCGGCCTCGGCAAGGCCCCCTCCGTCTACGGGTACCTCAAGTCGGCCTCCAACATGTCGCAGAACTACTACCCGGAGCGCCTCGGCAAGCTGTTCGTCATCAACGCCCCCTGGGGCTTCTCTACCATCTGGGGCGCCATCAAGGGCTGGATCGACCCCGTCACCGTGCAGAAGATCCACATCCTCGGCAGCGGCTACCAGAAGGAGCTTCTGCAGCACGTCTCCCCCGACGCCCTGCCCAAGGCCTTCGGCGGCACCTGCGAGTGCCCCGGCGGCTGCATGTTCAGCGACATCGGCCCATGGACCGACCCTCAATACGCCAAGCCCCCAAAGTGGGACAAGAAGGCTGACGGCGCCGCCGCTGCCGCCCCCGCAACCACCATCCAGACGAACCAGGAGAACCCTCAAGCTCCGGCCGCAGACACCCCGGCGCAGGCCCCAGTGGCTGCCGAGGAGGGCGCCAAGGCTGACGCACCTGCCCCTCAAGCTGCGTAGAGCACGTTGTAGTCTGTCATGGAGGTGGTGTTTGGGGTTGAGGAGCTGGGAGTCACACACATAATCGTTGGGTTTGTTAAATAGTGCGGAAGCGCATGGGTAGAGGCACGGGAAAACGGTGCACAGATGGGGCATAAAGTAAAGTGGTGCCTGCGTCTATTATCGCGCAAAAATACAAGACCAGATGAGGTTGAAACTGTTATAATCCTGCCTGCCTGTCGTGCAGAGCTGACCATGTTCCCAAAGCTGTGTGGTGAGGTCTGGTGACAAGACTTGCAGTGAGCCGGGAGCCAGTCTCCATGTCATTCTGTCGTGGTGGAATACGAGCCCACCGGTGTAGAAGCCGCAAGAGCTCAAGTCGTGTCCATGGTTAAATCATCTCGTTGGTATCATCCCAGCCGGGGAATCCTAAGGCTTCCATCCAGAGCCAGCCATCCCCTGAACGCCAGCAACACCAAATATGCTTGATAGCGTTGCCCCATCCCAAGAAAGTCGTGTTCACCTCTCCGTGACCACGTACTCGCCAGCGACCCTCGCCCTCTCCATCTTGGCCACCGTAGCAGGCATCTCCCTCTTCATCCGCCCCAGCGCCTCGACCACGCCCCCGTAGCCCGCCTCCACGCCAGCCTGCCGCTCCAGGGGCCCAATCCCGTCCAGCATAGCCTTGGCCTTGCTGCTCTTCTCGACACCCTCCTCCTTTTCTTCCTCCTCCTCATCCTGCCCATCACCGGCCCCCTCCGCAGCAGCGGCCTCCCGCGCCCTCCCCAGCGCCTCCTCGTCCGCCCGCACGCCCTCCCAGAACCCCTCCGTGAACCCCTTCGCCGTCGCGGCGGGCACGCGCCGCTTGAGCGCCGCGATCTCGCGCATCAGGTCCTCCTCCTCGCGCGCGAGCTCCTCGACGCGGGCGCGCCGCCGCGCGTCGAACGCCTCGTACTGCACCACCTCCGCGGGTTCTGCATTGTCGCCGCGCCGCCGCCGGAGGTTGTGAGAAGACGACGGGGAGGTGGACGGTAAGTCAAGGTATACAGCCGGGAAGGTCTTTGCGTCGAGGTCGAAGCCGTTTATGGACAAGTTCGGCGCCGCGAGGGTGAATGTCTGGGAGATGTACTGTGGGTCGGGGCGCGTCGCGGCGCCGGTTGGTCAGCCCTTTTTGGTTCTGCTTCGTGGTGTCTTTGGTAAAGAAAAGGGATGAGGGATTGAGAGTTGAGGAAAAGGGCATACATCGGCTACGAGCTTCTCGATCCTGACGCGCAGCTCGTCACCCCCTCCCGCGCCGTTGTCCTGGCCGTCGTCGACGGGCGGGAACGCGGCGTTGATGTGCTCCTCTGCGGCGCGGCGCACGTTGTTGATGAGGAAGGTCAGGTCCTCCGGGGACTGCAGCTCGATCTTGCGGTGCGCGCCGTCCATCGCGTTGCCGTTGTTCTTGTCGTCGCTGCTGTTGGTCGCGGAGGAGGACGGGATTGCATCTGTTTGTGATTGTTGTTGGTCTTCGATGTTTTTGTACGAGGAGCGCCTTCGAGCTGGCCTGTTCATTTCTATCTACCTGTTGTTTTATTTTTATTTATATACTTTTGAACGAGGATATGTAATGTACCGAATCTGTTCGGCACGTCAGTGTCTCATTATGGGGCGCCCAAAAAGGAAAACCATCAAGTATATGTCATGGCAAGCTGGACCACCCCCGTACTTGTCTTCAAATCTGTCGGTGGTTCCGTCCAGTCGCTATCTCCTTTCGTTACGGCTGTCTACCCGCGTAGCGCGTCGAGCTGCCCGGCCTCATGCGGCAGTGCGGGTCGTGCATGACGGCGCTAAGTACTGTCAAGTACCTAGCCCCTGTACCCTTGCTTCACTGGCCGACACCGGCACTAGCTGCTGCTTATCAGTAACCGCGGGGCTCGCTTATCAGACTGCAAGAGCTGGGAAGGCACCCGAAAGTGCTTGCAGGAAAGTGACATGGGATTGCTGGACTTACAGTTTCGTCTTCGACCAGACAAATTCGAAAGCCTGTGTAGTAATACGGGACTGTAACTCTTGGCTGTGGATCTCGTTGCCTTTAGAAATGGCTTTTATGGAAACGGCCTTCGGTGTTAAAGTTCGGTCAAACCTGACAACTTATGCAGTTGCGTCGAAGGATCCGAACATGCCAATTCCACTACTCCCGCTGGCCATCTCCCCGCGAGATGGAATCACCCTCAGAATCCTACCGATCCTGGTTTTGGAATGCTTTACTTTGCAAAGATAAACCGGCGTATAGTGACGACGCAATTTGACGGAGTCCTGTGTTCGCTCCGAATAATCACGATCAATTCAAGCACGTCATCATAATGCAATACCATGTGATTGTCGCGTCTCTTCTTGGAGCAGTGTCTGAGTGGAATTCCAACAATGTCTTACAAGCAGCAAGTCGCATACACGCACTATTCTCTCTGGGTAGTAGAGCTGATAACGACCAGGTGTCCGTGCTCCCCGTGGTGTCCATGCCCGAGAAAAAGAAAACGCCCCATCCAAGAACCCCCAGACTAAGATCATGAGCATCAGTGTACGAAAGACCGCCATGGGGAATAATAAGATACTACCAGAAAGGAAAAATGAAAAGACCAGCAGCTTCCATTCTGAAAACATGACCCGGAACCCCTGCTATGGTTGTGATGATGGATGTGGGTGTATCCTCCAGCCCCTCTCTGTCGGGAACCTCCTCTCGTATTTGTCAGGCCGATATCTTCACATAAAACCAAGGAATGCCGTCCAGTGCGCCTGTTGAGGGGGAAATACAACTATTCTCGTGAGAATTAACCGTTCTAGAGTCGTTCGGAATGGGAATGCCGAGGAAAGAGACCCCCTGCCTAGTTGCGGGGAACATGTTCTGGATCTCCTCGTCTGTCAGGGTGATCTCCTTGACGGGCTCGCGCTTGTTCTCCAGCGGCGTATAGTCGTAATCGATGTAAGAGGGCAGGAAAAGCTCGGGATTCCATTCAAAGCCCTGGCTGGTGGAAAGATACGAGATCTGTTGCAAAAGACCATTGTTAGTTCCCAAGTCGCGCGGCGATCGTGCCCGGTGTCGAATGCTACTCACAAGCCGAGGTGGGCCATCCTCGTCCCCGATGTTGATGGTAGTGGACTTGGACTCTGAGAGAGCGGAGCCTGAGGGTGAAGACACATTAGTACAAAGTACAAGACCCTCGTATGACATGACAAGGGGTCGGTGGTGGTGGAGAAGGGGGGGGGGCGGGACTGGCAGCCCGGTGCCAGCAACTGTGCACCCTGCTGGCCGACCGACGATCATTGCGGGACCAAGTGTTGGGTGGGATTGACAACTCACTCAGCAGACTCGGTCGGCGCTCGTGCACCATCTTCTGTTTCTGGGCCGAGTTGGAGGACTTGGCCGGGGTGGTCGGCGAGGACGAGTAAGTCGAAGAGGACGAGCTCATGGGGCTGTGGGCCTTGGACTGCCTCTTGGACTGAGCGGGGATGTCGATAGAGGACGACATAGTGGTGGTTGTTACCGGAGATGAAGGCGAGAGGTCGGGGTCTGTGATAGCCGACGATGTGGTGGTGGTGGTGCTGGTATCGTTTGTCCGGGAAGCGTGGGCTCACCGAACAACAGGCTGCCAGGGTGAGGAGGGATCATCAGAGAGATGACGGATAGCAGGCCGAGGCGGGCTGGGAGAAGGAAGGCTGGCAAGATAGATAGATAGACAGTCGACAGATAGACGTGAAAGGATTACAGAGTAACTCGACGAAAGGGTCAAGGCCGACAAGTGAAGTGAAGAGTGAGAGTAATGCAAATCCCACGGCGGCGGTAATAGGCGCTGCAGAAGAAAACAGGGAAAGGTTGAGGTTAAGGTTCGAGTGGAAGCGAAAGGTTGGAGAGTGGAGGATGAGTCGGACGAACAGCGGACGGTGAGGTGACTACTGTGCTTGCAGGAGGCTCGCCGGCCAGCCAGCCAGCCAGTCAGTCACTCCTGGTTGCCCACTGGTGGGTTTCGTACTGTACGGAGAGGTATCTCCAGGTGTGAGCCGTAGTGTCGGGGTACTTGGGCCTGGTGTCACCAGACACACGGTGGAAAGGTACCGTACTTGCTCTACCTTGCCTGGAGCGGCTAGCCCCAGACTTCGTCAGGTAACACGGGTATGGGTATGATGGGCAGCAAGGAGACCGCAGTTTGTTTGGACTGCAAAAGGACGGCGAACAGGCTTGTCAGACGTCTGCTGTGTGGATATAGATGTGGATATAGCTGGTGGTCTAAGGGGCCCAAGATGCCAGGCCACCTGGGTACTGAGGGAGCAATAAGGCTCTCGTCCTCGCCCAGGCAGATGTTCCACTCAGGCAGCCTCGCTCAGTCCCAGCTACATGATGCAGTGCCTACCTTGTGTGCAACTACGTAGGTCCCCGTCCGTACAGGCCAGGCAGAATGGCAATTCCACCACAGTACGGATTCATATGTATGTGCATGTGCATATGCCACTAGGTAGGCATGTTGGCCTCACCAGCCACCCGATGGGCTGCTCACCCCGGCCCGAACTGGTGATTATATGTGGACATTGGATTCGACGCCTTGTTACTCACCCAGTATGTCTGTCGGCTCGTCAACTGACTGCAGCCCTCAGCGATCGGCCAGACGGCCCAAGCTATGGGAATCTTGAGTGCTCGTTGGCATCCACATGATACTATAAATGGCGCTTGTCTCAATGCTGCTGCTGTTGAGAGAGGGACGGGTCTTGCAGGAGCTGTCTGTCCCGTATCGGCAGGGGGCGGGATGGGATGGGAAAGGCGACCAACCAGGCATGCTGGGCACGGGGACTTGCGGGCGCCTCCAAAAGCTGGGGCCGCGGATGCAGAAGTGGTGGGTCCTGGGCTGAACTGGGACTGCCTGCCTGCCCTGTAACCAACCTCAAGCTGCCGGGTGCTGGGAGCACAGACCACTGACAGCTAGCTCCCAGTTGGTAACTACGTGCCTTTCCGTGCAGTGGTGGGTCTAGGCCGGCAGGATGAGTCAGCAAGAGGGTGTGCGGCCGCAGACGAGCTGGCGTTGACGTTCGCGTGCCTGGAGCCAGCCAGAGCTAGGAACGACTTCCATCAGCTTCGCATCTCCCGACAACCTCCAAACAGCAACCCACCTTTTTGCATCACCGTCTCAGAGCCACCTCTCTCCTGGTACCGTCAACACCGCGCTGTCCCCCCTTTCTGTCTCCCGCAAATCCAACCTACTACACATCTAGACCCGACAAGATGGGTGACGTCCTGGTAGAAAACCCGGCCAGCCTTGCATCCATCAAAAAGCCGGCGCCGTCGACGATACCGGCCATCGATAACTTCGAGGGGATTGCCACAGACACCGGTGATGACTACGCAGATCTGAAGAAGCTGCAACGGCAACTGGAGTATATCCAGCTGCAGGAGGAGTACATCAAGGATGAGCAGCGCAGCCTGAAGCGGGAGCTCGTCCGCGCCCAAGAGGAGATCAAGAGGATTCAGAGTGTGCCCCTGGTCATCGGCCAGTTCATGGAGGCTATTGACCAGAAGTGAGTTGCCCCGCGCTGCCCAACACGCACGACATGCACACCTACCCGCCCGCTGCTAGCTAACACGATACCGCCACAGCACCGGCATAGTCCAATCCTCCACCGGCTCTAACTACGTCGTGCGCATCCTATCCACCCTCGACCGCGAGCTCCTGAAGCCCTCGTCATCGGTCGCGCTACACAGGCACTCCAATGCCCTCGTTGACATCCTGCCGCCCGAGGCCGACTCCTCCATCGCCATGCTTGGCGCTGACGAGAAGCCCGATGTGACGTACGCAGACGTCGGTGGTCTGGACATGCAGAAGCAGGAGATCCGCGAGGCCGTGGAGCTGCCCCTGACGCACTTCGACCTGTACAGGCAGATTGGTATTGACCCCCCGCGTGGTGTGCTGCTGTACGGCCCGCCCGGTACAGGAAAGACAATGTTGGTGAAGGCGGTGGCGAATAGCACAACCGCCAACTTCATCCGAGTTGTAGGGTCTGAGTTCGTGCAGAAGTACCTGGGTGAGGGCCCCCGAATGGTTCGAGACGTGTTCCGGATGGCGAGAGAGAATTCGCCCGCCATCATCTTCATCGACGAGATCGACGCCATCGCCACGAAGCGATTTGACGCCCAGACCGGTGCCGACCGTGAGGTGCAGCGTATCCTGCTTGAGCTGCTGAACCAGATGGATGGTTTCGACCAGACCGCCAACGTCAAGGTCATCATGGCGACGAACCGTGCCGACACGCTCGACCCTGCACTGTTGCGACCTGGACGTCTGGACCGAAAGATTGAGTTCCCGTCGCTGCGGGATCGCCGGGAGAGGCGGCTGATCTTTACGACCATCGCCTCCAAGATGAGTCTTGCGCCCGAGGTGGACCTTGACTCGTTGATCGTGCGCAATGACCCCTTGAGTGGCGCTATCATTGCGGCCATCATGCAGGAGGCAGGCCTGCGGGCTGTGAGGAAGAACAGATACAACATCATCCAGAGCGACTTGGACGACGCGTACTCGAGCCAGGTCAAGGGCACGAGTGACGAGAACAAGTTCGAATTCTACAAATAAGCGAATGGTCACGGGAGCATTGGAAGTCCATCGGACGGAAGGGCAACTTGGCGCATTGCAATGGATGACGACGGAATAGATGGCGAACAGGAGATGCCAAAGAATAGGGTCTACGATGAGGCATACCAATACGGCGTCTTCTCCCAAATGTATAATATGACGATATTATTTGACACCTATGCTCTGGGTTTCAGGCCTCAACTTCCGCTGAATACTGTCGGTGAGAACAGGTCAGACATATCCGCATGGATTGTTAGTCCTTCAACAGTATGGGCAATTATACCTGGCTCCGATTCATCCCCTAATCCTTATTACAAGCCCATATCGTGGTAACTCCCCATTCATTCCATCTCCTCCCCTCTGTGCAATTACAAAAGACATTGTGACCTCCCTGGACCTCCCTCCCTCCTCTATTCAACCTTATTCAATGCAATAGTTTCTCGGTAGCATCCCCCCTCCAAATGACACCCGTCTCCGCGCCACCCGCCACAGAGCGCACATACACCATTTTCTACCACTCCGGCTAGCCAGCCACCATCGATATCACCGCTCCATCCTCCAAACCCCCACCCATCCCCGAGGCTCAGCGCGGATGGCACCCGGCACTTCCCTCGAGCGACGCTGGTGAACAGGCTTGTGTCTGATAAAAGGGGGGAGGGGCGTAAGAAGGTGGCAACAGGCAAGATTATCCGCCTCACTGGTGGCCCATGGCAACTCTTCTGCAGTAGTATGCTCATGTTTGGCTTCTTGTCCCCCGGATGCTTAGGAACAGCAGGCTCGCCCGGTAAGGCTGGATCTTGATCAGGACTGGGGGTGGCAGAGGAGGGAGGCAGACAGTCAAACCACGAAGCCAGGCCCGGCCCTTGGAACCCAACAGTGGTGTTTGGGAGCATGGCTGTCACGTCTACTTCGCAGGTCAGTATGAAGAGGCCTCTGAGGGGGGTAACCGCAACTGGAGTCTGCTGCCTGCGTTGGGTTGAGGTGAATAGCACGCGCTTTTGGCCCCCAAGGTGTGTCACATGCCGGCTCTTTCCTTCCTCTCATCCATGTCATGCGCCTCAAACGCAGAACGTAGGTTTGGGGGCGTCTGGCTTTTTCTTCAGGCACAACACTGAAGCGCGCGATCTACCGGCAGGTCTCTGGGCCCACCGCCCGCCCCTGTTCGCCGACGGAACCCGGCAACATTGGAACAGACAGCAGCTGGGACCGTCCGTCTTGGACCGAGGGGCGCAATAGGTGGGCGGCAGATAGGAACGCGCCGGTGAGAGAAGGAAGGCCGGCTAGAAGGACAGAGAAGGGGGGGGGGGACGGCCGTGTGGGTACGGAGGAGGCAGGCATGCAGACAGGCACGAGAGAACGTATTCACGCAAGGAGGCCGTGTCGTGGGTGGAATGATATAATACAGACTGCCACAAGCCGCTTCTCCTCCCTAGGTCGACAGGCTATAATTAACAGCATCAGAAGCAATAATAGTAACACCTACTACCTAGTAGGTAGTACTCGGATAGTACAAGTCCATCAAAACCCGTGTATTTTATCGGCTGCCCGGTGTGGTATCTCTCCCGTCCCTGTCCTGGGTCCCGGGTTCTTCTTGTTCCTCTCCCGTCTAGAAGTTTTGGTATATCCTCCAATTGCATCCGTTCTCATTTGGTCAAGCCCTGAGAGGTCAAAGAAGAAGGAAGAAAATCAAACAACAAGCGAACGCCTCGCTTTGCGCCTCGAAACAAAATTCAAAGATTTCCCAAACACTTCGCTGGGCCTCCCTTTCACTGGGGAAAAGGGAGAGTCATTTCCATCTCTTTCGCAGCAGTCCACCCGTATCGTACAACAAATATTCGACACACCATCGTACATGTCCCAGCCGCATTTCTTACAAGCACGCCCGGAGCCAGCCAGCAATCAAGAGCTTAGCACGACGCCCAGCTCCAGCAGGAGCCTCACGAACCGCGAGTGCAGCTCGATGAAGAAGTCCGGCAGACCCACCAGCTCCGCCAGGCCCCGCGCCTTGAGGCTCACGCCGCTGGGGCCGTACCCGCCGCCCATGCGGCGCGACAGCCCGCCCCCCATGCCGCCAGAGAGGAAGCCGCTGCCCGTCGTATTGCCACTACTGGCGTCATCGCCCTGGCTCTGACTTTGTTGCCGCTGCTGATGAGCCGACATACCTCCGTACATGCCGCCGGCCGACAGCGGGCTGCTCGCGGCGCTCGTGTCATTGGCGTAGCGCTCCGCCTCCGCTTCGGCCAGACCCTGGATCCAGGCGGCAAGCTCTCGGAAGGCATTGGAGATGAAGGTGAAGGTCTTCATGGCCAGGCGTTCGCGATGCGTCGACAGGGCCAGGAAGGCGTAGACCCGCTTATGGCCCCGCGCGTGCACGTCTGGGATCCGGAAAATGTACGCTGTCGTGTAGCCCGCGCCAGGGTCACCGAAGAAGATTGGCCCGCCCGAGGCGGCGGCGCCGGGGCTGTGGGTCGTCACGAAGCCTGGAGTCGAGGGCGACGCGGTCGGGGTGTTGCCCGTGTTCATCGCCGTGCCCCGCGGCAGGGTCTCGAAGGAGAGCGTCCGGATGCACGAGGCACGGACTATAGAGAAGGAGGACGGGACCACGGGCTCGTGGGTCGATGTGTAATCGAGGTAGTGGGTGTGGCCGTTCGCCGGCGAGGAGGAGCTTGCGCTCGATCGGGATGTAATGGAAGTGACGGTGCCTGTCCTGCGGTGGGTCGGTCTCCGGGGTGGCACCTCTTCGTCATCGGAGACTGTGGAGGTGGAATTCGGGGGCGAGGCGTCTCCCGGCACGCCGCTGCCGTACACCCTGGCGTAGGGAGCCCGAGTGCGCAGCGTTGGTCCAGCATCCGCGTCCCCGTCTTTCGACCTGCTCTCCTGCCGCTTGGGCAGGGTGAGTGCGCAGTTGTCGCATGGGCCGGCCCGGCGCATGACTGTCTCGTCATATGTCCTCCTGTAACTCGACTCACGGCGCGCATGCGATGCTCCCGTCTGTGGGGAATCTGACGTGTACCGGGGGCTGACAGGCGGCGTATCCACAGCGGAGGCGGAGGCGATCTGGGTGGCGCGGCGGAGGGCAGAGCGGTTGACAGGTGGGTCCTGCTCGGAGGCGGGCGTGGAGGAGCTGCGTTTGCTGTCGAGGTCGAGCCGCCTCAGGGCCTCGGTGATGGCCACGCCGGAGTGGATGGTGGAGGTTGGTGTGCTGGCGCTCGAGTGTGGCCGGTCGCTGCCCGCGTAGGGCGCCTCGTCATAGCATGCGCTGCATGGGACGGGCAGGCCCTCGGTGACCATCAGCGGAGTGGGGCCGTGGACATCACAGTAGTGTGCCAGACATAACTGGACACCGGATATTAATATCATGTTGGTCGTCTAGGCCGGCTTGCGAACCATGCCGGAAGCAACAAGAGAGAAAGAGAAGACGAGGAAGGAATGACTGAGTCGAGCAAGACGCTAGAGAGTGCGAGCAGAGCAGCAGAGCACGGGCTGGTCGGTATTTAAGAGGAGGGATGGGGTGTAATTCGATGTGGTGTGGTGTGGAGTTTGGTAATCAAGGCAAAAGGGGGCGCAAGAGGCCAGGCAGATAGCTGATGGATGGACGGTAAGGTTTGCAGGCCGTCTTATTATTCGCACGGGAATATGGAAGAGAAACTCCGGAATAATTTCCATGACCACGGCGACGCAATTAGATGGAGGCCCACGTCATGGGAGGAGCGAGGTAATGGGATAGGTTCCGTATGCCAGAACCCATGTGTCTCACTGCGCATTCCAGTGACGCCGGCTTGGGGGAGACGGGTGAGCTGGTTGCCCGGGCGGACGTTGACGCAGGTGATGGAAGGCGAGGCGAGGCGAGGCGGTGAGGCGGTCAAGGAACAGATGCAGCAAAGGAGGGCACGGCAAGGGGGGTGGGTACGTAGCAGGCAGAAGGAAGAGAAAAGAATAAAAAAGAAAAGCAGTAGAAGCAGCAGGAGAAGCGTGGGATGGCAAGCAGGGTAGGGATGATGAATGGGTGCGGGTTGGGGGTCACACCAAGGGCGCCTCGTTCGGATCCCAGGGGGACGTGAGAGGTGGGAGGTGAGAGCTGCATAGACGTGCAGGTGCGCAAGGTGTGCAGAGAGAATGGTGTGTAGGACGACGCCGGGCTACAGGCTGTCGAGACGGGACCGATCCAACTTTGGGATTGTCGGGTCGCCTGGGATGGGGGTTGAGGATGTTGTTCCCCCCCCCCCTGCTTGTTTGATACCAATCTGGGACTTTTGTTTTGACTTCCACGTTCCACACCCTTGAAGGGGCGCCCGGGGAAAGATGGAAGGCGGGCAATAAAGTACCCCAGCTCATGCGCTGCGGACGGCGGGGGCCACCTGGCAGGCATCAAAATACCCAGCAAAGGGGAGGGAGGAAGCGTGGTTTGGTCTTGCATTGCATCTGCGTCTGCATTTGCAATCCCTTCCATGTGGTCCAAGAGAGGGCCGAGCCAACAAAAGCGAGCGGACGGATATGCATCGACGGGATCCAGGGACAAGGCGTCGAGGGGAAAAAGAAAAGACAAAAAAAAAGGAGAGGAAGATGTTACTTACGATCGACGTCATGGCGCCGCCTCTCTATCTTATCGGCGAGCGGATGTATGTTCCTCGGTGGGCAGGTATGTAGTATGTAGGTGGGATGTATGTGTGGCACGTCCCGTCCTTGGGAGTGTGTACCGCAGCGCACCGTACCGTGCCGTGCTGTGCTGGGCCGTGCTGTACCGTCTCGTATCGTACCGTAGGATCCAAGCCTTGCGTGCCCCCAAACTCGGGTCCTTGCAATGCCTGCCAGCGTGGGAAAATGCAACTTCGACCTGGGCCAGGCCAGGCTGCGCCTTCTGTTCTGGTCGACTGAGTGTTGGCACCTTGGACCCGGGAATGTATATATGTATATATGCAGACACAAGTCCTCCCTATGCCCCTGGAATTGCTGCCGCCAGAAAACGAAAACCTGACAGATATCAAGACAGACGCGCAGACAGGCAGATAGACGGACAGAAAGGATCGGCCGTCACCTGTCGAGGCCGAGACCTAGGGCCAAGGAACCGGGGAGCACGGACTGGGCCCTGGGTAGGGCAGGTGCAGGGCGAGTGCAGGCTCAGGCGCAGGCGCAGGCGCAGGCGCAGGCGCAAAAGCAACAAGCAAGCTGCAGCCGTCCAAGTCGGAGTGCGGGTTTGATTGTTAGGGAAAAAGGGCTGTGCGCCCCAGTTACCCAATGTTCGGTCGTGCTAGAGTGTGGCAGCTGCAGTAGCCCGGATTTGGCGGCCACTTGATTGGCAGGGTGTGATGCCGTGCTGCTGTTGCTGCACGCGCCAACCCCCCCTTGGTTCTGCGGAGAGTGGGATGGAGGGATGGAGGGATGGTGGGAGGAGGAGGGAGGAGGGGAGGGTGGGAGAGTCGGTCGGTCGAGTCCGAGATATGCAGGTGGATAAGATAGGTGGCTAGATGGGACGGCTGGGTGAATGAACGGATGGATGGATGGACGGATGGATGGACCAGAAAAGTGATATCCTAATGATCCTTGGTGGTCCTTGGAACCCTCAAGAGCCGCGCCCGGTAAAACCGGAGGGATGATGCCACAAACTAGGCCCCGTGGGCTGACCGGTTCGGTGACGACGGGAAGGACAGCCGATCCGCGTGCACACACACGCGCACACTCTCTCGTTTCTCACACACTCACACACGCTCACACACACACACCCAGAGCGAGGTCGGCCGGGTGGGTGGTGGGGGCGGTTTCGTTGGGGAAGGCAGTCGTGAGGCCTGGCGGGTGAGAGCGCGGGATGGTAGTGGGATGGGATGGTATGGTATAGGAGATGTGGGAGGGGAGGCAACGGGGAGGATGGGAAGGGAAATGGCTTGTGATTTCTTATTAATGGCGAAGGCCCTCCTTCTCGAGTCCAGTCCGGCACCAGCACCAGCTCCAGCGAAACAACCACCCAGGGCGGGCAGCGCACAACGGGCGACACTTCCAAGCTGCCGCAAAGGAAATTCAGACGAGGACGGTGCCCGGTATTGCAAGTCTTCGAGCTGCCAGTTGGGCGTCCATGAACCGAAATAGATATATGACACTACTCCGATAGTTCTGTTCGCCGATGTCAATGTCGAGGGATGTCGTTGCGCAGCTGAGGCAAAAAGGAAAGAAAGATACGCCAGGCTGAAAGAGCGCTCGGATCTGTGTTTGGGCCGCGGCTGACGAGGCTATGATGTGTTCCAGATCCAGTCCAGGCTCGTCGAGGATTGAATCCTGTTGGAAAAAATAAAATAAAAAAGAAAGTCAGGCCGGCGCGTCTTTCCTGTACTGTGTGGTCCACCAGGTCAGTTCGCAGCAGAGATGAGCTTCGAATCTCGCACGAGGAGATCTGCCAGGGGTGGGGGCAGGATTGCAATCGCGTGGTCGGGCAGGCGCGGTCGGCTGCTGGGCTTCCTTGGATTGGGCCGTGTCGAGGCACGAGCGACGTCTCCCTCGTCTTATATACTCTTGTGATTTGTGACAGATCGGATGGGGACGAAGAACCACCCAGGCCTCGGTAGGGGAGGGTAAAGACGAAAACGCAAATGAAGTAAACACGGGTCGGAAAGACAAGATACTGCCCCAGAAAAAAAAATCCCAGAGATCCTCGCCTGCACCAGGCTTGATCGTCTGTTATGGACTAGGTTGAGGTCGTCTCCACTTGGTGTCCAGGTCGGCAGTGTCCCTCGTGGGGATGGGACGGGATAGGCCCCTTCTCTCTCGACGGCAGCCCCCCCCCTGTCCAGGACCTCCGCAATGCTAGGTTTGGGTCCAGTCCCAAGTTCCAGTTCGAGGCTCTCGTCGTTGGGAAAATGGGTGGTATTCGCGTGCGGAGTCCCACCCACTCGCTCCTCGGTCGAGTGCTGCTGCTGCTGCTGATGGTCCCGAATAAGTGATGCCCTGCAGGTCACATGAAGGTATGCACTACAGGTACGGTCTATGTATAATTCGCAAGCTTAATATCGGCCTGCAGGCTGACCGTTGGCCGTTGATGGGAGCTCTGGCTGGGGCCTTTGGGTTGGATCCCGGGCTGGGATCTCGCATTGTTTGACCCACTCGCCTCGCTTGCTCTTTTGCCTGCCCTCGATCCGCCGGCGCCGAGCCTTTTCAATTTTCAGATGCCAAAAATGCGTATGTATGTGGGTGTGTCGTGACGGTGCTAGGCGTCTTGTGGGAAACTCTAATGACGACTCCCTGGGATGTGACGCGCATCTTTGGGGGGGGGGCGGTTCCTATGGTGTACCGCCTGGGAGGGTGCAGGCACAGGCTGCCGTGTCACCGCGTCGATGATTGCAAATGGTCACCCTTCGGGTGGGCCTGAGTAAGCTGAGCAGTGTGACCTGACCCTGTGTTGAGTGTGTGCCTGCGGGACGGACGCAGAGCAACCTTCTGATACTGATTAGACTTTCCGCCGCGGGAGACCGTGAGGCTCCGTGGGAACCTCTTGAGGCTGGTGAGACCCGTGATATTCCCTCTACGAGTTACAGAGTATGGACGGCCCAACTCTATCCTGTGGCACGCCGGCAGGAGGGGGAGGGGGAGGAGGGGCTGATGTAGTAGGGGAGACAAGCGGGCGGATCTGTTGGCGCGAAATAGGCCCAAAGCATAATAGATTTGGGGCCGACGACAGGTATGGGATTGGGTGGTGGCTGTTGTCTTGAACTTGCTTTTTCGTATCCATGTGAAAGAGTCGGCGGCGGCTTCGGATAAGCCCTGCCTAGAGTACGTGCAAACTTGTAAGTCTAGACTAATCAACAGACTAGTACGAACACCACAGACTGACTGCATTTAAAACATGGTACCACTGAGACAGTGGTAGCCAGCCACTGGCGACCTTGAAATGCTGCGAGCACAAGCCGGCCATCAGTGTACCGTGGTAATGTCCCGGGCGGTGGGCCGCGGTTGAGAAGCCAGCTCCCCTCACATCTCCAGGCGTGGTGGGTCTGTCTTTGGGTAACCTAATGGGGCACGAGGCAGGTCGCCGTGGAAAACTTCTAGAACACCACGAGCACAGCAAAAAAAAAAAAAAAAGAACCGGGGCTCGGGTTAGAGTGTCACGAATCGCCTTGCAAGGAAGTCAGCAAAGGGCCCCGCCCACGCCAGACAGGGCAGGGGTGCGGCGTGGTTCCAGGTTCAGTGGCCTTTTAGCCAAACGGCAGATCTCTGTGAGATTGTCGGTGGGATTTCGAGCAGGGGGGGAGGGCAAAAAAGGTGGGACACGGATTTACATTACGGTACCAACGCAGCGCGCGAGCCAGCCAACCAGGGCCCTCGGCACGGCGAACAAGAGGCAAAGACGAGCAAGGGCACATGCTGACATGCGCCCCGGCTGGTTCGGCGGGTGTGGGTTTCTTCGCGGAGGATGACGCTTTTTGGGCGGGCGGAAATTGGAACTGTGGCAGGATAATAGCCTGGACGGGGTGAAGCAAGTCCCTGGCGCTGGCGCATTATTATTCTGTCGCCGTTGATAGACCGAGCCTGTGAACCTGAGACGAACCCTCCTGGCAGCCAAGCTAAGGGAGCTAGCTGCTAGCGGAAGCAGAAGCGGGAGCGGAAGCAGACGAAGACGAGGACGCAGACGTGGAAAGTGTACGTATGTGGTTGAGCATGTGTGTGGAGGGAAATTTGCCGGCACCCGGTCAAGCCACGCATGTGTCAAGGCGGAGGATGGCCGGCGAGACTTGTTTCTCAACCACCGCTGATCCAATCGCCCCTCGTCCCTCCTCTCGCTGTTATGTCCGGCGGGCACCGTTCAGTCCCAGTCGGTCCTAATATGTGCGGGAGGACCATGACCTGGCCTTGGGATGAAAAGAATGCTCACAGATGGCGTGGTTGTGAGGGTGGAGGCGGGTAATTGGCGGCGGAAAGCCGGGTGCTACAAGACAGACAGCCTCGCCGTCCGAGCTTTGTGCTGTCATCGTGGGTCTCCGTGGGCGACACATGGCAGGGGTGAGGCCCGCTGGCGACACCACATGTCGTGATGGGTGCCGTGGTGTTGACGATCAGCGGAAGCCCCGGTCTGGAGTATCTTGCTGGCAGGGCTTGGGATAAAGCCAATGTCCAGGCTTGGTCGGCTCAATTACGCGCCTTCAAACAGATACCGGGCATCAGACAGACACAGACACCCTCGGACTGTCACGTCAAGCTGCTGCCGCGTACTCAGACCCAAACCCAAACCCGACATCCGAGAACCCATGGTCTGCCCCTACCCCCCCGAGACATCCCGAGACGGACCCCCTTTACCATGGTTCATGCGGTCGCATCACACCTGTCACTGCCGAAAACGACCTCGCGCCGTCTTCTCGCTTTCTCTTCAGCAGCAGGGGGTTAAAAGGAAAGAAGCCAAGTCTGTGACGGGCGGCGGCTCCCACCGAGGCTGAACCTTGAGCCCCTGGAGGTCTGACCTTCCAGCCTCGACCCATTGGGTTCCTTCCCACGGGTCCCGGTGCAGCGTGAGGAAGATGCGTCGTCAGCGCGATGGCGGACTTCTGTCCAATTGACGGGGCCGGGAATGTGATCCGAGCTGGACGCCTCGGAAACTCAATCCGGCTTGTGGAAGCGTGAATTGGCTTTTCCGGCGCACGCACGCGCGCACGCGAGATAAGGGGCTTGACTCGGTGTTTCCATGAAACGAAGTCAAGGACCTCAAAAACCTCAAAAGGGCCTCAGATGGACGATGGCTGAGCTGGAAACTGAGCTGGGCTGGGCCGGGCTGAGCTGGGCTGGGGGCGCTGGCGGGTTCAATTAATTGAGGCTGCTGCAGGCGATGCTTTCTCGGCGTCATGAGTGAGACATGGGGCCCGACTCAGGACAGAGACGGTGACACTACATACGGCCATGTCGGGCATCGTCAGGCGCGAACGCGGGTGGGCTGTCATGCTGCCGCTGATCGTCATCCCCAGCGCACCGGAGAGTGACAGAACATGACGGCTGCAGAACAGCAATATTGCGGGTGCCTGGCATTGAAGGGAAGGTACGGGCCCTGGTCGCGAATGTCTGTGCTTCGCTTCGATCTGCACCTGCACATGCAGAGGGAGGGTCGGCAGTGGACACAAACCACACGAGCCCTTTTTGTTTTTTTGGTATTTTTGATAATTGCGTACCCCGTCCTTGCTGTAACATGCCCACATTGCCCACATGCCCTGCGACATTGTCGGGTCGCACGCAACAGCTCGCGTGGTCGCCATGTGGTCTTTGTGGCCCAGTGCAACGGGTGGGTTTTGCATGTAATTAACATCACGGAGGCGAATATCATCCCACCGCTCACCGTCGCCGTGTTCCAGCCAGACCCTGGGAAACAAAAGGAGAAAGAGGAAAGGGACAAGGCAAGGCGGGGGGGGGGGGGGCGCACGAGAGAACAACCGGAAAAGGAAAAAGGAAGGGAAAGAATCATTATGCCTGTGCTGCTCACCGACAGGCGCCCCGGTCAAGCGCATCGAGCATATTGGGCGTGCCCGGTGAGCACGAATCAGGCAATGATGAGCGGTGTCGAGGTGTTTCGCTTCCTCGTCGATGTGCTCAGCTCAGCCCGGAGACCCACCAACTGCACACATGCTGTATCTATGTAGCGCATGTCCGTCCGACTCCTTCCCTCGTTACTGCCCGAGGTAATGCAGTGCAATGCAATGCAGGGGGAGCGCAATGCAAGGCCCAAGGGCAGGCTCTTGATTCGGGAATGGAATCCTGCACTGACCGCCTTCGAGACGGGCATGGCAGCATCTCGCGCCTGCCTGGTCAGCTCCGAACTCAGTGCACCTGCTGCTGCTCGACGTCACATCCGGCACGGGCAAGCGAATGCAGGACCCTGCCCGCCCTTTCTGTCCCTCCTGCCTTGCCAACCACCCCTGGCAGCCTGGGGAAGTGCATGCAGGTGCTTGGGACGCAATCAAACCTTCCGACGTTGCTTTTTTGTCAATCAGGCTGACTGGCTCCCTGTCCCCTGGGCCGCATACTGTACAGGTACACTACCTAGGTACACCGCAAGGATAATGACGACGCCCTCGCACGCGAGTCGCCGGACAACCACCACCGGCAACCAGCAGCAGTCGACGGCACTTCCCTTTTGTCCTGTCTGGAATGCCTGTACGGTACCGGAGAAGTCGACATAGCCGCCGGTCCTGCTACTAGTGTGCCAACTTCTCTCACTTCCCTCATCTCTCGACGTTTTAGCCACCGCGGTCCGTCGGTTCCTAATCTTATTACCGCGAGACATCAATTCAGTATTCCTCCTCCGTCTCGTCACAAAATCCGCACTTCAGACGACGCCCACATCAGCCGCACCCGGGCCTACGAGGCCACGGATCCGCGCTCCTGTCAAGCGACCGTCCTGGTCGAACTTTTTTTCCCTCTTCTCTCTCCTTTTTTTCTCTTTTGATTCTATTGGGCTGGAAGTGAACCGCATGCACGGGCTGGGTTCGGTTGTGAAACCATGCCGCGTCTTGGTTGTCACTAGCACATCTACCTGTCTGTCAGACACTCGACTTCTTCAGACGAACCAGGGTCACGCGAGGCAACCATATGTCTCTGTGTCAGCTTACTTCCCGTTGGTAACCAAGACAAGGGATGTCGTTCTCGAGCTCGGCTCCGAAACCTCATCTCGATTCCGGTGGCGACTGCCCCCAGCTCGGCTGAGTGCTTTCAACTCAAATGACAAGGTTGTAAATCAAATATTTGTCCCACATGCACATTACTTTCAGGCGTACTGCCGGGCATCGGGCTGTGTGGGGAGCTCACCTGGGCTCAACACCACACGGTGTGCACAATTCGTGGTTGTACTCTGAGTCTCCATATCTCGGTACAACTTCACGGTTTGATCACATACCCGGCGCCTCACAGTATGGGAATAATGGACATGATGAGGCGTAGTATTTATAGTATTTATACGATTAGAGGAGACGAGATTTCCCACTCACCGACACATGTGCTGTGGTGGTAGCGGTCTTTTTGCCCTTCTCGTGCATGTAATCATTTCTCAACCATGGCTGACCGGTTCATGTGCCACATGTCAATCACATCCTCCTCGGCCTTGGCGAACTCAACGCCCTCAAACTGGCCCTGAAGCGCATCCCGGCTCCTCAGGATCTCCCTCGCCACGTCCTGCCACTTGAGGATTGTCCCCGGAGACACGCTCTGTTCCTTGAGGCCCTCGGGCGCGCTCTCGACCACGACATCGGACAGCCTCCCGCCCTCCTTCCTCACCACACCGTCGACAATGACCACCTCCACGTCCCGGATGCTCGAGTGAAGCACGACGGCAGCGACAGGGTCCTCCTGAGCCGCGGCCGCCATGCCGGGGCTCAGCCCGTCGAACACGACAACGTCAGCCTTGAAGTCCACAGCCAGCCGGCCAATACTCCCCGCCATGCCCACCGCCCTTGCACCGCAAATGGTCCCGAGGTTGAACACCTCCGCGGCCGTCCCCTCCACGCGCCTCACCCACTTGCCTTCCCGCCCGACCTCCCCCGCCCTCCCGAGCCGCCGCGCCTGCAGCGCCAGCGTCATCTGGGTCGGCATGTAGCTGGTCCCCCACGTGTGGCAGTCGACGCCGAGGCTCCCCACGCGCCCCGCGTACACGCTCCTGTACATCGCCACGGGGTCCATGCCCATCTGCATCTCCGTGTTAGGCGTGCTTGACACGGACGAACCCGCGGCCGTGAGCGCAGCCACGTCCTCAGCCGCCAGCCCGGGGGCGTGGCTCAGCAGCACGTCCGGCCCCAGCAGGCCCGCGGCGCCCAGGATCGACACCGCCGGGGGCCGGCCGCCGAACGCGGGGCCGCCCTGCGCGTGGGTGGTGATCAGCTGCGCGCGGTTCGCCCCATCGCCGCCGCGTAGCCGTGCGTAGAGGGTCTGCAGCGTCGCAGGGGGCAGGTAGATGTTGTCCTGGGCGAAGCCGAGCGTCACGCGGCCGTTGCCGTGGGGGTTGGACGGAGCCGCCAGGGCCGCGAAGGCGTCGAGGGCCTCTGGCGAGGGGACGGGCTCCTCCTCTAGCTTTAGTGGCGAGAAGGAGGATATGCGCCTCGGCGGGGAGTAGCAATAGACGGTGCGCAGGCCCGAGGTGCTGAGGGCCTGGATTGCGGTTTTGGCTGTGGTGTGCGTTAGCATTGATGTTCTTCATATTTCATTGTGTTTATTCAAAGGAACACAGGCACAGTAAGTGAGGAGTAGTCTCACGGTAGTCAGGCCCCAGGTTGAGGTGGGAGTGGTCGACAACGGTAGTAGTGCCGGCATCAACCGACTCCATGGCGCCGGCCAGCTGGCCCCAGAAGAGGTCGCGCGGCGCGTAGAAGGTGCCCGAGTAGCAGCCCGCGGGCATGTACTCGACCAGCGTGTGGTTGGGGTGCCGGCCCTTGAGCTGCGACTGCCACAGGTGCGCGTGCGTCGAGACGAAGCCCGGCGAGACGATCTTGGACGCGCAGTCGATCACCCTGGTGGACGCCGCTGGGGTGATGTCGGCCTCGATCCTGGCGATCCTGTCGCCCTCGATGAGGAGGTCCGCCCTCGTCGGCACGACGTTGTCGTCGCCGTCGTGGATCAGGAGGGTCCCGCCCTTGAGCAGGATCGATTGGGTTGCCATGGTTGCAGTCGTGGAGTGTTAGATGTGGTCGTATATGCAGAGATGTATCGTCACCCAATGGTCGAGATCAAAGGCACCCGAGGTGTCAGCTCTCGTCATGGCCATCGTGGGTTTTATATAACTGCCCATTATCCCGGGCCCCTTTGTTGCATGCCACACAGCTCGGGTCCAGTTCCCCTGCATCGCACATGGGGATAAGCCACCGGTACCCCAAGTGACGCAGTATCCTAGCCGCTGGAGCTGGCTCATAAGTCCGCAATACCAGATATCTCCACTCCCCACGTGCCCCCGCGGCGGATGGACAGTCGGTGCAATTGTTCATGTTCTCGACCATCGGCAGCGATTGTCTCATGCGAGCTCGGACATGTCGGATTTCGGCGGCCATAGCTCATCCCAGCCCAGAGCTATGACGGATATTGAGAGTGAAGGCCGGCATGCCACAGGGATCACGAAGCTAATTAGCAGCGTTTTCTGGGGTAGACCACCTAGGTATAACGTGAGAAGGTTAATCAAAGAAAGGGCCCGCTACTCTCATATGCAATCAAACGTATCAAAATGGCGCTAGTGGTTTGCATTTAACACCTCGCACCTTTTTTATACGCACTTTTTAATTTAGCTTTAATTTATTTAAAATATATATAAGAAGAAAGCTGCTTCTTTTTTAATTTCATTCCTTTTTTTTATTATAAAATTAAGTATATAAAGAAAGAAAAATTTAAATTTAAATTAAAATTAAAAATAACTTAAGTTAAAGTTAAATTTAAAAGAAATAAAATTAAAAAGTTATATTAAAGTTATTAAAAAACTTAAAGTAAATTTAATTATTTCTATTTAAAAATATACATTTTTTAAAATTTTAAATTCTCTTTAAAATTTAATATTAATATATATTATACCTTTAATATTTCCTTTGCCCTTCTTAAATAAATATTAAAAGAATTAAAAAAAAAAGTAGCTATTATTTAATATAAAGTATAAGTAAATTAAGAAGGTATTCATTATATGGGAGGTGAAAATATGTAAAAAACGAAGTGAGGATGGTTTTTAATGCAAGGTGTTAAATGCAGGTCACTAGCGCCATTTCGATACGTTTGATTGCATATGAGAGTAGGTAACACTCTACATACGCATGCGGAATCCCACCACCTTACAGAAAAGCCATGCCCAGCCAAGCCAAGCCACGCAGCAGCCGGGAACGACTTACAAATCATCCATGCCCCTCTAGCCTCCACCGTAACCGCGAAGTCGCGAGGACGGGGTTTTCGCCCCTCGGACACGGGAAGCGAGATCTGCGGAAGTTGGTATGTTAAAGGACATATATTCTCATACTGCCAATTCAAGCATCGCTAGAAACAGAAAAGACAGGCCACAGACAGACGGGTCTGGGCGTGACTCGGTTCCAAACTTCAAAACCTCATCCGAAAGGACATGATCAATTTACAAGGGACGTACTGCCCGCCTCTATCACAGTAGTCAGAGGAGTGTATGATGAGTTTGAGATAGATCACATCAAGTCTACCTGAGGTATTCCGAAGAGGAGTAACCACTTTATTTCCCTGAGAGGAATGCCAAAGTTATATGTATGCATGTGGTATATGAGTTTGCCACCGTCGCTTTAAAAAGACTATGCTATCCTCCTCCCTTTGCCCGTCCCTGCTCTCCTGATATCGAAGAAAAAAGAACCACAGGACAATGCAATGCTGTATGACTGTAGTCGAAAACAAGAAACAAGAAGGAGACAGATAAGGACAACAAAATGCTATGCTTGGATAGCGATCCATCGAACGGCGGCCCCCTTTGGAGATGAAACCCGTGATGAGTGCGCTCAAGGCACAGCAAACCCAAGGGCCAAACAAACTTCTGCCGACGCCTCCTGTCCACCCTGAAATGCAGTATCTCATGACATGTCCGGGTCTTCAATGTGCCGGAGTTCCCGGGACGACCTCTTCCTCTTGTATCCACCTCTCTCGTCACCATTATAGGAAACACTCCTCCGCGGTCCCGGGAAGTCAGGCGGTATGGGTATCAAGAAAGAGCCATCTCCTCCCCTGCTGTTTCGCTCGTCACGATTGCTTCTTCTCATATGGCGGCTGTTGCCGCTGCCGCTGCCGCTGCCATTGTCAGAAGACCGCCTCCTGCCGAGCTGCCGAGCCCCAAGCCCCTAAGCCTGGTGGTCCCGCTGCTGCTCAACAAAGGGGTCAACCTCCTGGCGCTTACGCGCCGGCTGCCCGGTGTCGCTATCCTCGCCACCGGCGTCAACGGGGCCGTTGATCCGCGGCGGCCGCCCAGCGGACGACGCCGCCGCCGCGGAGGAGGGAGACCCGGCCGGCCCGTATCTGTCCTCCCAGAGCTTGCGCATGACCTCGTAGATGAACAGGAATTGCGGCTCGGCCTGCACCATGCTGCGCCGCTGTTCGCGCAGCTGGTTCACCGTGTGGAAGATGAGGTCGTCGCCCTCCTCCTCCGTGGTGGTCGTGTGCTGGTCCTCGACGTCCATCTTGCCGTCCGAGTCGTCGTCGTTTCGATGGTGGCCATTGTTGTCGTCACCTTCCGTGGTGGCGGAGTCACCCTCGTCCGCCTTTCTATGTCGGAAGTGCAAGGGTGAGTCCCAATGGTCCAGCACGCCGGCGTCCAGCTCGCGCATGAGGTGCTCCAACGCGATGAAAGTGCCGCTGCGTCCCACGCCCGCGCTGCAGTGTACGATGCGGGGGTTCTCGGGGCTGGCATTCTTCTCGCGCGACAGGCGCATCAGCGTAAAAATGCTGTCAATGTCCTCGAGGGCTGGGACACCGAAGTCAGGCCACTTCTTGTAGAGGAAGTGCCATACGATGCGCTCCTCATACTCCCCTGGCAGCTCTTTCTGGTGCGTACTGGTTGATTCCCCGAGTTCCGCAGTGATTCTCTTATCATCGCTGCCATCTTCGGAGAGATCTTCATTGTCTGGAGCGGTCTTAAGAGGGGATAGCATCTTCACGTCGCCGCTGCCGTCGACTGCAGTAATCGGTGTTGTTAGGTTATCCCGGTCGCCATCGCTGCGAGTCCTTGCGGCTTTGCTTGGGCTCTTGTATGATCGTATGATCAACTTTCGTAGTTCGATGGCATCTCCGGCCTCAGTCTCCTCGATTGCCTCGCAGTGTACGCTTGCCCTGAACGCGTCGCCGAATTCGTCCCTCTCGTTGATCTCCAGGGGCGCGTCGTCGGGGCTGCGCGGGAAATAAGGATAACACTTCTCCATGTTCGCTTCGTGTGTCTCCGTCAACATGACGACCACGGCAGGGCTTTCCAGTTGCTCAACCACCATGCGCCACACGTGGTCGGTGGTATTCCGTTTGGGCCCTTGCATGGCGATGTATCGGTCCGGCCCACCGCCAGCAAGATCCGGCAGCCCAACTACCGTAGCTTCCTTATTACTAGAGCCCCGCGCTTGTGGCCGAGAGGCCTGCTGCGGTGTGGTAGAGCTCAGGGTTATTGGCGACGCATTGACGTAGTCCACCTTGCCCGGTGGGACGCGCAGCCTGACGCGATTGTTCTCCCAAGGCTGAATGTTCATATACCTGTCCAACTTCTTTAGATGATCGCCAGTCACGCGCGCCCACTTGAAGTCTGGAGAGGGGTTCGTCAGGCTCAGCATGATGCGATTGCGCTCCATCCAGACGATCTCCTGGAACTTCGCGACGATTTCCTGCGGCGGCAGGGAGAGGAAAGAGGGCATCCTGGGGGGCTGACCCCCGGCGGGGGCCCCGTTCATGTCTTGTGGTGGCGGGTGCAGGTCACCGCTGCCTCCTCGGACGGTGGGCGAGGTTGTAGGCGTATCGTCGAGCCCATCGAATGTGTATGTAGCGCCGATGGGCGAACGGGGCAGGGAACCGGTAGCCGGAGACCGTGCGCGCTTGTGGGAGCGGCTGAAGTCGCGCAGGGAGCGGAAGGGCGACGTCTTCTTCTCTTTGTTGGGGAGGTGCGGGACCTGGAGAGGAGAGTGTGCCGAGACGGGCTCGGGAGTGGTCTTGCCGGAGCTGTGGGTGCCGTCAGTTACTATGGTAGGTCGCGAAGGCGAGGCCTTTCTGCTCTTCCGGTGAAAACCGGACCGCAAGCGGTCCATCGTGAGGGCTGGCCGGCGATGTGACGCTGTCAAGGTTGTGGGAAGTGGCGTCTTCGCGTCTGAGCGGCGGCCGCTGGTGGGTAGGACGGAGTGGAATGCGACTGCCGGAGATGGCGCAGCCAGGGCGGACAGGGGAGTCGCGATCCAAGGTACGGGTCGAGAAAAGAGCCTATGTCTCTGCAAGGGAAGATTAAAGTGTGGGAGTCTGTCTGAGAAGTAATTGCCGGGGCGCCGGAGGCCAGCGATGGGAGCGCAATATGTGAGTCTGGAGATATCGACGGCACCGGGAGCGAGTGGCCCGGCGGGGACTAGACGGCGTGCGAAGGAGGACACAAAGGAGTGAATGTGTTGAGAGGCAGAGCGGGTGCTGCAGTGTTGCGCAGCATGCAGGAACAAAGCAGAGGCTCAGCTCGGTCGGTCGGTAGGGGAATTATTCGAAGGCACAAGTAGTGCGATGGGCGAGGGGACGATCCGGCTCGAAGCCGAAGCCGAAGCCAACAACGGTGACAAAGCGATTGACTGCCCAGGTTTGCGGGAGAGGCACTCGAGCACGTGTGGCGATGCGAGTCCGAGTCACTTGTTCCAAGCACTTGTTCCAGGAGGGAGGGAGGGGCGAGCCAAGATAGACTACGGGCGAGGCTGAGGAGCAGAGCAGACAAAGGAGTGACTAGGCGGGCTCCTGTTCTTGCTCCCTCGTCGTTTCGTCTTGTCTCGTCTCGGGCAGGCTGGCTATGTGGCTGACATTGTCGCAGGTGAGGTGTGGCCGTCGTGATTGGTGACGTACTGCAACGCAGCGCGGCGCAACGCAGCAGGTCTTGTTGGCCACGGAGGGAGCTCGCCGCCTCGCCGCCTCGCCGCCTCGCCGGGTAGGGTACAAGGTTTTGCGGTCGAAGGGCCCGGAGCCGACTACGACTGTGTGTGTCAGACAGATGGCGACTTCTGGAGGTCTGGTTCTGGTTCTGGTTCTGGTCAGGTCGGGGTCAGGTCCTGTCAGAGCCTGGACGAGGTTGCAAGGTCAGGCCGTGGTGGCGGAGGAATGGCGACGTGCCTTGGTCTGCTACCTCGACTTAATTTTCTGAGGCCTGGGGTAGTGATGTACAAGTAGCTAGCTGGACCACCTACCGTACCCGGCAGGTACGTAGCTTGCAGGCCTGGTGCTATCCGTATCCGTGGTCACACCCGCCCGCCTGCCCGCCTGCCCGCCCAGCCCATCCGAGAGGAGATGACCTGCAGCCCGCAGCCCGCCCTGTCCGCCCACCCGCAAGCCCAGGGGAGCTCTGGGAAACCCAATGCACCGCGCAGCGGCCACAGGTGTGACGTTGTCTGTGGGCCGCCGATCGACAACTGAGCAGTGAGTGGGTTTGAGAGTTGCTAAAATAAGCCTAGGCCGGCCCCACACATCGACAACTCATTTGGAGGGTCAGCCCGCAGATTGCAGGGGACGCACCTAATGTAGGTATGTGCTGTTGTCAGTCAGTACGGGCAGTATGGCAGTATGGACGTGCAGTAGAGGCGGCGACTTCTCATCTCGCAGACTCATCCGATGGAGACGGATGAACGTCAATAGTCTGCTGCTAGTCTGCTATTGCGATGAGTGAAAGTTTATTGAATCATCAGCTGGCTCGGTCGGCTGATCACCTGGGCCTTGGGCTCATCATCCGCGTGGCAACATGCTCATCGATGCTACCCACAACGCCCTCGCCCAGCTATCATCGGGTTCCGGCAGTCTGGGATTGACATCTGCACCTGCGCCTGCACCTGCACCTCCCTCCCAACCTTTTTATTCAGCTGCTCCTGCTGCAGCAGCATGGGCCCCAGGAATGGAAAATTTTGTTCTACTTCTATTGCTGGCACTAAAGAAAGGCGTCTAGATCCACGGCCTGATTCTCATGACTCTCGCACTGACTCACCTTCGACCAGCCGTCCACCGGTGCAACGAACCCGTCCAGTGCCCTGCCAACTTACTCCTATAGTCATGGTAGTCATTGATCCAAAGGCTCGTCCGGTGCCAGCTTGGGACATCCTGTCTTATAACCCCAGATCTGAGACGACACACACGCTTTCGGCCAGTGTCCGAGTCGACGGATCACCGCAGGGATATTGCCCTCATGGGTTTACCTCCCCCCCCCGGCCCCTTTTGCCGAGCTGTGTCGCCTTACCACGCTCCCGGATATGATCCATTATTCCTTTCCCGATTTGACACTTTCATCTCGGATTCCAATCGGCTGTGAGAGGAGAGCTAATGCTGCTTTTTTTGTACTCATGTACACGGGACATTCCAGCGTCCGCTGACGACATTCCAAGCCGTACGGTAGTAGAAATGGTCTATCCAACCATGTCTGGCCTGAGATTCCTGTTTCATCTCACTTGTCCCCCTCCCCCTCCCCTTTTTCATGGAACGCATGGAACGCCAATATCCGACGGCTGATCATCAAAAAATGCGACCACTCTCCAAATCCCTGGAAACCCCAGGGCCCTGCACATCTCACGTTGCGGGATACAGGCAGAGTCCCACTCAAGCATGCCTCCAATCATTTTTACCTCCACAGATCTCATGTCCCGGAGTACACAGCCGTGACATACCGCCCACACTCCGCCCTCTGCTCCATGCTCACCTTCCTACCCTTACCATCCTTACCCAGCCGCGCCGTCTGCCTCGGCGTGATCTGGAATCGGTGCTCCTCCCCTTTCCTCCCGGCCTTGGCATCCCCCGCTCCACCGTCCAGCGGGCCGATGTATATCGGCGCGTTCGAGTTGCTCCTCTTGCCGTTGCCGAGCTGGTAGAACTCGTTGCCGCCCCACCACACGATGTCCGCGCCCCAGTTCGTGTCGTTCTCGCCCGACTTGCCCGTCGCGTCCACGTACGTCACATTATCCATCACCGCTGCCGTATGTGTGCTCCCGACAGAGAGGCGCGCGAGTCGGATGGGGACGACCTGGTTCGCCTTTTCGTCCCACTCGAACAAGCCCGAAAGGGCCTTGATCTTACTGGGCCCGTTTGATACATGCGTCCACGCCCCGGTCCCGAGACTGCCCTTGATGCCCTCGCCTGCTGCCCATGCGTCGGCGACCACCTTGCCCAGGTCACGCGCCGGTGCGACGCTGTCGGACGGGGATGTCTGAGGCGCGACCTTGGTGGCGTCCACGGTGAAGTACGAGTTGGCGCCGCCAGCTGCGATAGAAGTGACCTTGGGCAGGAGCCCGGTCGCCTTGTAGAGCTTATTGAATGGCAGTAAAGACGGGCTGTCAATTACAGGGACCTCGGCCTCTGGAGGGAAGCCAAGCTGTCCCACAGCATTGTCGCCAAAGGCGAATACCCTGCCCTCATCATCGAGTACCAATGAGTGATGATCTCCGGTCGCGATCTTCTTAGCTTTGAAACCTTTGAGCGTGCCGAGTTCGTGCGGCTGGTCATAAGGGCCCTGTGGTCTCGACGCCCACGTGAGGCCCGGGATGCCGAGCTGCCCGCGCGACGGGAAGCTCTCCGAGCTAGATGCGGCGGAGAAAACGCGCCCACTTGAGGTCAGGAGCAGTGCGTGCTCCCGACCGCTGCTGATATCCACGATTTTCTCACCCCAGCCCAAGCCTTTGGGCTTGATTTCTCGGTAGTTGATGGCCGTTGTGGGAATTGACCAGAACGATAGCCACGAAGAACTCTCACCCGCGTTGCTCCCCGATGCTTGGTCTGATCTGGCCACGGGGATCGAGTAGACAGACCCGCCAGAAGACAGTGCTAAAATGCGATCCCTTGAGATGGCTAGCTTGGCAATATCCTTTCCCTTGAGAGTGACAGTTGGCCTGGGATCCTCCGCGAAATAGCCGGTTCCCCACTGCACCAGATCGCCCTTCTCCGTCACGGCCGCACCAAAATCCTGGTCAAGCTTCAGGTCCCGGAGCAGCTGGCCGTCAAAGAAGGGTATCCGCCTCGGCGTCTTGACGACAGTCTCCTTGGACTCGGGGGCGACAACCTTGCCGACGTTGGACCCCCACGCGTAGACGCCCGGGTTCTCCCAGCTCTTGCGCACCTGGATGTGCTGCGAGGAGATCAGGTCCCGGTTCTCCTCCTTGTTCCTCGGGGCATTGCGCTTCTTCTCGAACTCGATCTCGGCCTGCGGGATCCCAGCGACGGCGTTTTCGCCAAAGAAGAGCGGATAGGCCCACGCTGCGCTGGCAACAGCCAGCCCGGCAACCGCGACAAGGCCAATTATCCTCTTGCCACCACGAGAGCGCGGTGGTGGGACTGGGCGGGAGCTCTTGTGGCGGACGGACGATCGAGCGGGGCCTCGCTGAAGTGGCCGTCTGAGGGGTGAGAAATTGAGGGCTAGCGACGTATGCTGTCGCATGACGGCCCTTGATGCGAGGTTCGACATGTTCACAGGACCCAGGGTGTTTAGTTCTGTCGTGTGCGAGTCAATACAGATCTCAGACAGTCAACAATCTCACGAAACTCATCGCTAGGGACCGTTTTAAGGGTCTTTTTTTTTTTTTTTGGCGACGCCGGGGCTTGAGAGTGGTGAGGTCATCCGCCGCGGACCATCAACCTTAGTAAAGCTCGAGCTTTGAATGGAAGAAGAGGAGCCCTGGGCACGTAGCACCAGACCCCTGCCCCCTGTCGAACTGCCAGCACTCCCAGCGCAGCCCCACACCAGCTTGTCCCCGCTAGGCCTGGTCCTTGCGCAGAGCCCCCACGCCGATGTGCGGCTGGGCTGGGTGTGTGCAATCTGGCACCACGTCGGCGGACTGACTGGCGCCACAGGGCTGAACCTCGGGAGCTACCAATTGGGACTTTGGACAAGCCAGCAAAACATCCGGCGCCTTCTGCCCCCCCGTCGCCCTGTGTCGACTGCTAGGCCTAGCCGCGAGCTCCACGGCGCTGCTGCCGTCCCTGACGATCGAAAATGTACGAGGACTCGTGGTACAACTCGATACTAGACTTCCAACAACCACAGGCACAGCAGCACAAGAGGGTCCCGTCCCAAAGCTACGCCCACCGCCGCAGGAGCAGCACCCTGCTGCAGCAGCCAAATGGAACGAACGCGCCGAATGGGGGAGTAGAAGACCTCGAAGAGCTGTTGGAAGAGGAGGATGACGACTCCCCTCCCGAGGCAGACCTGGCACGACGTGCCCAGTCCTTCTCCGATTTCCATGCCATCGTTCGCGCCGGGCTCAGGGAGGATGTCCCCCAGAAGAGGCGGAGGAGGAGGACGAGAAGGAAAGAGGACAAGAGCTTGGATGCGTTGGCGTTGCCTGGGATCGAAAATGTCATAGACGAGGACGACGACGTCCTGCTGGACGCATACCAAGATGAACTGCTGGACGCTGGCCAGCAGGAATACACGCTGTACGGAGAGCAGCTCTCGATGACGGAGAGACATCTCGACACGTTGATACAAGACACGAACAGCGCTCTGGAGCTGCTTGCCTCTCTGTCGGAATCTTTCCGCGGCGTGGAGGAGCAGACAACATCCTTCCAGGCCCAATGCGAGGACCTGCTATCTGAGCAGCGGCGTTTGCAGAAGCTGGCTGACGAGGTTGGGACAGACCTGCACTACTACGCCTACATCGACAACGTTAGCCGGCGATTGAACGCTCCTGGAGCAGGCCGCTTGGTGGAGGACGAGTCGTTCGGGGAGGTGCTGGAGAATCTGGACGCCTGCATCGCGTTCATGGAGAAGCACCCTTCATACCGGGACTCCGAGTCGTACCTGGCGCGATACCAGTCTCTACTAACAAAGGCTCTGCACTTGCTAGAAGTCGGCCTTGAAGCCCGGCTGGAGAGAGTATCGTCCGATATATCAAGGCAGATTGCTGCGACGCAGTCCGAATCAGCCCGGCACGCCCTTGCCTACGGCCGGTTCGAGGAGATGATGCTCGAGGATACGTATTTTCTGATCCCGAACGTGCAGAAGGTTGTACATCAGGCATATGACCCAGCTGGCAACGCTCTCTCTGGCACGAACTCCGAGATATATTCCAACACCGCAAACAACATCTTCCAGGCATACATTGCGGCCCGCGACCGCGACCTCAGGCCTATCATCCAGCATGACCTGGACACTTTCAAGAAAGAGGCCAAGGACGCCTCGGTCGAGACCGCGTCGAGGAACTATGTCAAGCAATGCTTCGAGAGGTCTTATAACGAAGCAATGCTCTTCGCAAAGATCTTTGCTGTCGAGCCTCACTACAGCACGGACCCCACATCTGCCTTTGTGACGCTCAAGTCGCACCAGAGGGTTATGGTCAACGCGACCAACGTTGTCCCCATAGCGAACAGCTTGCAATCGGCACTACAGGGGGCGGAATTGCAGACCATCTGTAATATTCTCGGGTGGATCACCAACGAATATCTTGTCTCGGACTACGAAGAGGAGGAGTCTGCCTTTTCAAGACACTGCCAGGAGCTCGCGGCGCGCTTGCTGGCAGAGCACCTGTGGCTGTTCACAGATGCTGCCTTTGAGGCGGAGATCGGCAAGTCTATAACCAAGGTTACCGTTCTGCCCGATGCGCTGAAGATTGGCCCGGTGGTTGACGGAGTCGCATCGTCGAACGCATACCCACCAGTGAAGCGAGCCCTAGAGCTGTTGGTCATGTTCGATCAGTCCATGCCGAAGGAGCGATGCGTGAGTTTATGCCCCTGCCCCCCACCCTCCACAATCCCACCGTTCAAGCTCTGACAGAACAACAGCAACGCAATAGCCCAGTGGTGTTCAAGATCGTGAAAGAGACGATTCAAGTCCTTCAACGCGCCGAGGCTCGCATCAAGACCACCAAGGCCGGGACGGACCCGGACCTGTTCATGATCAAGAACCTGCTGATACTCAAGAACGAGCTTGTCTCCCTCGAGATAGGCGACGTGCGCAACCAGGACCCGGGGATGCAGTACTTCTCCCACATATGGAACAACATTACTCCCCAGAACCTCGTCGGCTACGTCAGCAGCTTCATCCCCGGCGCGGCGTCGTTCCTGTCATCCCGCGTGGGCGGCGCCGCCGCGGCCGCCATCGCGCAGGCACCAACCAACCCCGCCGCGGACAGCGGGGACGCGAGCGAGCAGCTGGACGACCTGCTCCGGCGGGCGATCGGCGCCTTCACGCACCGCTGGGCCGTGCTGCTCGACGACTCGCGCGCCAGGAAGACGGGCGGGAAGAACCTGGCCAAGGTGGAGAGGGACCTCGGGGAGATGCTGCAGACGGCGTTCAGCAACCAGCCCGAGGTGGTGGGGAAGCTGAACGAGGCTATTCAGTTGCATGTGCAGTCGTTCAAGAAGTAGTATGGCACAGGGCGATGGGCTGGGTAATATAGATAGCATATGGCGGTGGGGAATATGAATCCTGTGTCGAGAAAATACAACAGTCGAACTGTGAACAGATTTGAATATTGCCATGAGATTTAAATCGACTCAAGGGGTCGACCCAGGAATTGATCCAGTAGCCACACACACCTCCAACTTTTGCGATGATGAGCAAGTATTGATGAGAGAGACAGAGAGTCTGATACAACTTCGTCTATTACAATATGAAGGGGGCTGATCGCTTTCTCGACCTCAACGGAATTCCAGCGCCAGAACAATTGTCCTTTGGGATTCGGTGGCCAGGCAGCCGTCTCATTTGAGCCGCATATGCTGTGTTGAATTGAATATTATATTGGCATTGCTAGATCTCCCTAGAAAAAGTCACTAGTGGGAGACTCACACAGGTCCGTAACTAAATACATCGCGATTCATCTTTAAGAAACGATGCGCGTAAATCGACGGCTGGAACCAATTGAAGCCCAACTGATGCATGAGACCTTGTACGGTTAGTGTGTGGATATGGATACCTTGACGTGCTGGCTGCTCATGGCTTCGCAAGGCAACGAAGCACAGTAGGAAATTGCACAGCGTTTGTTTGTATTCATTGGTGAGTCCATCATGTGCCGCTCAGCTACACAGCGAGAATCTCCCTCGCATCTTCAAAATCTTCATCGTCGCTGTCGCTTTCCATGCCAATCCCATTTATGAACTCATGGAAACGCATTTTCCTCTCCTCAGTCCCAGCCACATCTCCATCAAGAACGAGGCAATCAAGGCAGCTCAGCCCTTCGCGATTGGCGGCACGCATGTCAACATTCTTCAAAGACGTTGCACGTCTCAATACTTTGAACATGCGCGGATCAGAATACCTTGCGACTTGATGCAGTGGTTGTTTCACCTCTCAAATTGACAAAGTTGAAGTCAGCACCATGCTCGACAAGCGCACCTAGCACCCCGAGGCTCCTCCAATACACCGCCATATGCAACGTCGTGTCCCCAGCGGCGTTAGCGATCGCAGGATCCGCCCCCGAATCCAGCAGAAGACGCGCGATGCCCTCGAGACCGGCCCTCGCCGCAGAGTTCAGCGCCGTGTCGCCGTCGAATTCGATCAGGTTGACGTCGAAGCGGCCCTGCTCCAGCAGGACCCTGACCAGCCCCGGGTCGTCGACGCCCCCCATGTACGAGGCGTGCAGCGCCGTGCCGCCGTACGCGTTGACGGCGCTGGGGTCGGGCGTCTTGCGCACGAGGAGCTCCACGCACTCGCGGACGTGCGACCGGACGGCGTGGAACAGCGGGATGCAGCCCTCCATGTCCGGGATGGCCTGGTTCGCGCCGTGGTCGAGCAGCGTGCGCACCGCGGCCGCGTCGCCCCGCGCGGCTGCCCAGCAGAGACAGGTCCGGCCGCTTGCGTCTGCGGCGTCGATCTGCGCGTTAGAGAGGGCTAGTTGGTCCTCCAGTGAGCTGGAATGCAGGCCCAGGAGGGTCTTGTGGACGCTGGTGAATTGTCGTGTCTCCAGGTATTCGCCGTCTGAGAAAATGGTCGACAGTTCGGACGATGCTTGATCGCCGATCTTGTTCGAAAGGATTCCGTCCCAGGCATAATCTATAGGTCTCCTAGCCGTTGTCAGCTTCCTTCATATATCGGCAAAGTACTTGAGATATGTAGGACTGAGTTTGCACACCTTCCGTTCTCGTCTCTCAGGTACATATCCGCATTGCATCGCACTAGGAAACGACAGAGCTCGATACAAGCTGTGTCGGCAGCGTACTTTTGCGCGGAGTAGTTAGTCCGTGAGTACATTGCAGGGGAAGGTGCTCGTTAAGCCAGGCATAGCTTACATGAAGAGCTGACTGGCCATAAGCATTGACATCCACCGGCGAGGCCCTGCCACTAGAGAACAACATCTGGATGGCAATGATATCCCCCTGGGCAGAGTATTGCCAAAGAGGAGTCACCCAGTTCACCATTCGCGGTATGCGAAGACGAAGTTCGGGCCCTGAAGAAGGAGAGAGTCGAAGGGTGAGGGACAAAAGTCGGGAGAGTAGCCAGTATGGGAAATGATGCGTTATCTCGATGGATGGCGCAGAACGCCGACGACAGCTAGTTTCTGTGCAGGCCGGGGTGAAGACGGGAAGGCCGGTGTAGCCGATGAAGAGACTCCCGGCGGCGGCGCGCAGCCAGTCCGGCTATCTGAAATTGCTTTGTTTGTGGCAGGCACAGCTGCACCATTGGTGGCAGTTAATATGGTATGTGTGTGCCCGAGCCTTGATGTCCACACCGGAGCTCGGTCCAGAGTTAGAGTTTGCTTCTAACGACTGAACTGAGTTGATATTGTGGTCCGAAAGCTTCACGATGGAGCTGTTAGGAAACAAGGGACTAGTTGCGGCCGAGAGTTAGTTGCGGTGCTCTGGGAGCCAGATGCGTCAGCGACTCGACCCAAGAGTTGCAGCAGCAATGTACGATCAGCTGCTTGAGACGCCGAAATTGATTGAATAGTAAGTTCGGCCCGGATTGCTAAATGACTATAATAAGGTAGTTGCTTTGGTTAGTCTGATTGGAACTCAAATTAGGACATTGGCTGACAACTAACGAATTGACCGTTCCCAGAGCAGTCACGAGATTCAGTCGGGTGCTCCTGATGCTCTGGAGAAGCTGAGAGACGCGGTCTTTGTTGCGTGCCCATTCCAGAGGTTTGGCTTTAACACCTTTTGCATTTGGTCGTTTGAGCTCATTATGCACGATGTTATGGAGCTCGAGCAGCTGGTCTTCAGCTCTCTTGAGAGGGCTTTTCACAGCAATAACTGAACTATCTGGGGCATGATTATCAAGTTGTTGTAGTCGCTGATGAAGCACAATAAGCTGTGTTAGTATAGTATTGAGATCGGATATCTCATTAATCAGGGTGAGGAGCGTTGAAGATGCTTGCCCCAGATCTCGGGTCTTGACGATGCAGCTGTTGGCGATTCCCAGAATGGCGATGACGGAAGCGGTTATGGAGAGGGGATCCATCCTGCGATACAGAACGATGACCTAGTGCGTGGAAAGGTAGAGCCTGATGCCCGGCTAGTGATGGAACAGCTTGAATGTCCCAAAAAAAAAAAAAAAAAAAAAAAAAAAAAAAAAAAGGCCCGCTGATTAGGATACTACCAGGCAATTCTGTGAGGCGAGACGGCAAATCCTTTGGAAATCTCCAAGCCACGTGTCTCAGCTGCAGTGGACGAATGCCATACGAGTTTCTTGGCGGCTTTGTACGAGCAGTACACCATATCACGCCCCTCGAGGGCTGTGCTGACCACCTTGGCTACATCTGAATGATGGGGCGTGTGGCGGCGACGACGCCATAAGGCAGATTTCCATTTATCACTCACCAACCTTGCTAGGTGAGATTTGAAAATATATCATCAAATTGGGCTCGGACACTTGAGGGCCATGCTGACCACCTTTACAGCATGTATACAATTAGGCTGTAGGCAGCGACAGAACGATTGAGATTTTCTATTGATCACTGACTAGTCTTTCTCGATGAGCTTGAAATCAACCTCAAGGCCCAACTGACTCCTAGCAACATCTATCTACCTGTGCTGATCCTACGTATTCAGTTGGGCGACGGGCTGATGTGAACCGCGGCGGAATAATGAAGTCCGTCATGCCTCCGCCCGTGGCTTTCAATTCTTGGTACTGAGGCACACGCCTTGCCTTCTACCTGAAGAGTTCTGGCTATAAGTACCCAGTTCAGCCCATGTTGAAGCGAGGCAAAAACATCGTCAGACTCAGCCTCACTCTCTTCGGCACGTATCACACCAACTCGACTTCTGCTGCGGCCATCCCACAATCTTTGCAATGGCCTCGACTACGAAAGACGTCCAAGCAATCGAGCGAATATGAGGCCATGATCTCAAGTATGCCGTGCGTTTCCCATTGCAAATGGCCACTCTTACTTCGAGAGCTCACACAAGCGTTGACAGCTATCGATCCTGGGAGTCTGCAGAATTGGCAAAGGGGCAAGAGCGGCGAGCCTTGTGAATAAGTACAACCAATTCAGTGCCTCTGAACAAGTACAAGGCGATCACGAGAGCCAGGATTGTTCACGCGTCGGGATCCTCCAGTCTCTCCTAGGAAAATTGGACGGGGCCGCCAGCATTGAAGCACCCTTCTCCGTCTTGTATGGCTGCAACACGATCATTGGGAAAAGTTTCTACGGCAACACCGGGTGAGTCAAATACCAGCCTGCCCACCTGCGTCGAAGGCTCAGCTGACACTGCCCGAATTGGCGCAAGCCTCGCTATTGATGACAGCGCCTTTGTGACGATTGGAGACGATGTTTTGATAGGACCTGGTGTCAATTTTATCACGATAAACCACTCAACAGAGGTTGCCTTGCGCTTGCAGGGCGTCATGTACGCAAAACCTATCACCATAGGCAGTGCTTGCTGGATCGGTGCCAGGGTGACCATCTTACCGGGGGCCACCATTGGATATGGCTGCACTGTTGGTGCGGGTGCCGTCGTCAGTGGCAGTATTCCAGAGTACAGCGTGGCCGTGGGGTTCCGGCCAGGGTAGTCAAGCGGGTTTTCCCCCTCGACCAGGCTCAGGATGGAGGATTGAGGGCGGAGTGAGACATTTCCTTTGCTGCCCAGGCAAATTCCAACACTTTGAAGGGCACATGCCTGCTTGACCGAATTAAGTACATGTAGCTAGCCCTTCATTGCCAAGAGAGGGTTTAGGGCGATGCAATCAGATTCATGTGCCCAAGAGCCTTGTAGTCTAGATAGTTATGTCGCCGTAAGTGTCCGTGATGCCTAGGCAGCTGTGATCACACCCTCAATTCCACGCCTGCAGTTACAAATATAGGATGTACCGGGCAACGAGCAGCTGAGCTTGGTCATATGCCTGTTCGCTGTAAAATTCAGCCTTGAAGCCAAGTTGAGGTATCTTGCTGGTGGTATAAAAGGCTCTGAAAGAGGCAGTTCTTTTTGGCCATCGATCAAGAGAACTTGAGCATCAAACACTCTCAATTTTGGTTTTGCAGGGGCAACGATACAACGTACCAACATGACATCTTCACAGCCCGTCAGTAAACAGTTGCTGCCTCTAAGGAGATTATAACTAACGGAATCTACTAGATGCTTCGTTTCTATGGCATCCTCGGTGTCACCTTATTTTCACAAGGCAGCCAATGCATAGAAGACGTGGTACTCTTATACTGCATGTGCCTCGAAGTCATGATATCAAAGGGATTTATGAACTGTTTTGTATCTGCTCTAGTCGCGGCATCATACATTGGCCTTCGGTGAGTCCTAAGACCTTGTTCTGTTCTAACGCAAGCGGCCTTTGCAGCAGCATGTTAAACTTGCATTTGTTGCGCTGAGCATAGAACCGTATCGTCCATCATTGCGTGGGTCCCGTTCGTTTGCGCAATTACAGATCCCTCCAGCATATGGATCGGGTACTCTGCTCTCTTGCAAATGCTATTATTTCTGCCGTTTAGAATAATTACGCTGGTCGGCGGGGCCTCCGTGGCCTTGGACAACAGGATCCATGAGAAAGCAAGCCGGGTCAACCCAAAAGAACGCGATGATACAACGGCATTACTCACTACACCCACACTTCCGGTCACGTTGATAATCATACCCTGCTACCGCGAGCCCCTAGCAGTGGTTATGGCTTCCATCAACTCGGTTGCAAATTCAGCCTACAGCCACGACCGGCTGCATATCTTCCTCTCATTTGATGGAAATAACAATGAGGAAGTCTTCGACCAAATTTCAGAGTTGTTGAATGCTGATAAGATTGTGCCTGGTGAGTTGCCATGTGTGGAAGGGTTGGTAGGGGACGTCAGACTGACCCTGTGTACTTTTGAGCATGGTGGAAAGACTCAGTGTCAAGGTCGGACAATCGATTTCATTAGACGCCATCACAGCGAGTATTTCGACACAGCCGAAAACACTCATGTTTTATTCTTGGACTCAGACACTACGATCCATGAGTCAGCCCTTCGGCTCCTTGCAAATCGACTGGTATGCACATGTCATCCCTTTCACACGTAGTCAGGACTGCTCTTGTTAGAGGTGAGCGCTTGCTGATCAGGATCACAGCACGTCGATCAATCGGGAAACCTCGTGGCATTGACCTGCATTCAGGGTATATCTCGACCGAACTCTTCTCTCCTAGCCGCATTGCAAGAAACGGAATATCTCGTCTACAGTATCTTCTTCGAAGCATTCCTCGCCAAGCTTGGAAACGTCGCCTGTCTCGCCGGCCCCGTCATCTACGTCCGCCTATCATTCCTCCTCGAGGTCTGGGACTCGCACGTGAGGGAGAGCGTCAGGGAGCACCCGAATCTGCACCAGCACTGGCTGCACACCTTCGGCGAGGACTGTCACCTCACGCAACGTCTGGGCGCCAGGTTCGGCCCCGGCTCGACAGGCATGCTTACCGGCACGGTTTCCGAGACGGAGCCGGCCGTGCCCCTGGCGGATTTGCTCCTGCAGCGTCGGAGGTGGTTCCTGGGTGCGGTGGCCACCGAGGCTGCGTACTTGTGCAAGGCCGACTTCTGGAGGAGCACACCTTGGTTGTCCGCTTATAGGGTTTGCAAACCGTCGTCTGTGACGGATGTCCAGTTGATTTTGCTTGTTCTCGTGCTTTGGAACTTTCAGGTAGATCTACAGGGGCTTGAGTGGATTCTGCCTGTGATTCTGCTGTTCTTGGTGATGGATATGCTGGTGCTTCTCGCATTTCGTGCTGTGCATTTCCGCTGGAGGGGTGTCTTGATGTATCCTATTGGTTGCCTTTTGTTCCCGCTTGTAAGCTCATTGAGTATAGTTTCGGCGATGCTAAATGTTTGGGAGCGGAAGTGGTAATCCGGCCAACAGCACCATCAAGTCTTGCAGGTGAAGATAGTGTGGGGGTTCAATGCTTGAAAAGGAGCCGACGCCGAAGCTGATGATGAGGGGGCTTTGGGTTGATCTCAGGTTGTGTTCAGCGGTTTGCGGCTTTGAGCGCCACGGAGGATTGTGCTGAGTCGTTTTCTCTGCTCCGTTGATTGATATGGGGTAAAATGGGCATGGCTGTACCTTTTGGAGAATTATAGTCATGATCGTCGCTGGTTCTAGAGAACCCAAAGACCTTTTTTTTCTTGGAATAGTATCGGCGGGAAATATGAATCACGTGTTGAGGGGAGTATTAAAAAGCTCCATCTGCTGCGGGGTATATGTGAAGGTCACCGAAAGCCAGCCAGCCGTAAGCACTGCAAGATATTTAACGTATTTCCTTCATCAAGTACAGTGGCTCACTGCTCCGGGGCTCCGAGCCTGGTGTCCCAGGCTCTAGAATGACGACTCTGAGCCTCAGGACAATAAAAGGTGTTGCCATCGGGGGAGGATGATATGTAGATTTGTATCGACTGTCTGTGGTCCTCGAACTCCTCTAATAGGCCGGAACGACAATGATTGCCCGGGAGTGGGAGGGGGAAGGGGAGCAAGAGACGAAGTGCTTGGGAATTTGATGTGTAATAAAACCTGCGTACGATACTTTTGGTTGTTTGCTGTTCGAGAGGCAGTCGAGTCAGACAACTTGTAATCTTCTCAGGAAATATTTGCTACAATTCTCATGCCCAGACAGGGGCAATCATCGTGAGCAGACGCAGAATGGTCCACTGACGTGGGGCAGAGTCCCCAACTATCGAACGCGCAAATGCCAAGCCGTCGGCATGCTGTTGCGTGAGCTTTGGAGGAGAAATACTCCCAGTTGGCAGATGACATTTGTACAGTCCTCTCCTTTGGCTGCAGCACGAGGAAATAACGAGCTTTAGAGAAGCCAGCATAGCCACCTTCAACTAACAACAGACATGTTACCTCCTGTGGATCGGAGACGTAGTGGTCACTGGCATCTGTAAAGATTCGGTGTCGTGAAACAGCCTCTCGTCATGACGCGTTCCCTCGTCGTAACGAAGAACATCTTTCCATGGTTGACCAGTTGACCTTTTCTTGTATTCCCTAACGTCCTTAATGTGTTGACTGGTGTCGGCAGACGTCTTCCGGACGAAAATGCGGCGGTCGAAAATGAACCCCTTCAACGATGCTCCCTCGATAACAAGGCTGCCGTCGAATTCATCAAAGCTGAACTCATTCCTCCTCTTCACAGAGAGTTCAAGGATTTTCGCCTTTGCCAAAAGCGCCTCGGCCGTCTTTTGCGTATTTACCGTGAGGGGAGGACCCATGCCATGGTGGGTTGGGAGTGGCAGGTTGTAACGGATGGGTTTGCATATGGAAACCCAGGACCAGGAGGGACCCTTTATCGTTCCGGCTGAAGCAGTCATGGTCCCTTTATCTGCAGTACCGACGGACCAGAGAAGAGATCGTAAAGTTTCTTCGTCGTAGAGACCTGGCTTCAGTGACGAGGCTACGCTCAGCTTTGAGCCGTCGACCGCGGCGATGGTAACTACAGCGTTGAAGTATATCGAGGCGACATTCTGGGCTTCTACATGCCAGTCACCACCTTCACCCTGAAAAATGCACTGGAAAATTCCTGGTAAGTTGGTCGCCTCGCTCTTTTGTCCCAGTAATCTGACTTACCAGCGCATCGACCCACAAGTAACTTAACGGAAGCCCAGCCTCTTGTACAAATCACATGCATCTCTGATGGTATGGTGAAGGATCCCGGCGTCAAATCCTGAGTAGAGCAAGCACTGGGTCTTGCCTGAGAGCATGGACAAGTCAGAGATGGTTGCTGGCCATCTATACGACAGTGCGCAGTATGGCTCATTCAGCCATCGCGTGTCTACCACTTTAATCGTTTGCGACCGAGGAGCGAATAGCGGACAATAACCCGACAAGTCAATCAGGCGGCGTGGCATCCTAGAGAGCATAGTCGGCACTTGCTCAGCTCGACATTCTTCGTGTTCGGCGATGCATTTCCGCACCCAGTACGCCGCATGTTGGCAAGTACGACCCTCGCTATTAGGAAGCTACTTTAGTTATCCCCTACGGGGCACGTAGCCTCTCAGAACTTAAACAAAATAACATCAATACATAATTGCTTTCCATATAATTATTATATATATAAGAAACCTATTAATACTAATTAATAATTATAAGTACTATAAATTAATAAGGTAAAAGAGGCAACCTTATAAGAATTTCCCTAATTTAAAAATCATATCCTCCTTATTAATAAACGCTATATAACAACAATTGCTTCTTTAGGCCTCTCTATATCATTAAACTCCCTAAATAAACATTACAAAGATTAAATAAACCAAATAACATTCCCTATAATATTTATATATATATTCATTACCATTTAAAAGATATGCATTTATTATACATAAAACTTTACTAAAAATAAACCCATTTTTAAATCTTCTTTAAAACCTAGCAAAACCTAATAAAACTCCATTTTGCTAAATAAATAAAGCTTATAATTATTGCAATTATTAAATAGATAAAGCTTGCAATTATTATAACTACTAAAGCTAACGCAACGCTACGTTATAAACAAGCGCAAATTATGCATTACGCTTTTAGCTAATATAAAAAGACCTAATAATAGGAAAAAGCCTTAGCTTTTAAGGCCTAAAAAAACCAATAACTTTTTCCTTTTAATAACTATAACTTACTTATTATTAAATTACTATTATTAACTTACTCTTAAACATTACTTATTTTATTAATAGCTTACTCCTTATAACATTTACCATAAAAACCTATAAGCATAGCTAATAATACTAAGGAGCTACTAGCTTTTATTAAAAGGTATATAATTAATAAAATGCTTACTTAAACTTTAATTAACTTAGCTTATTATAAATATATTAACTCAAAACTATAGTTTATAGCCCTTGCATAAAAAGCATTAATAAAATACCTAATTACTTACTTAATAAATACTTTAATAAGCTATATATAATAAAACCTTTATAATAACAACCTTTTCATTGCTTATTATAAGAATTATATAATATAAATATAAGTAATATTTAAAGCATTGCTAAATTCTTATTAATAATGCTTAAAAATCTTCCTTTAAATACAAGATATTTATATAAAACGTAATAATTAACTTATAATATTATAATTAATTACTATAACTTAAGCTAAGGAAAGATTAAAATAAATTAATAATAAGCTTTATAATACCCTATTAGCCTTAAAGTTAAATATAAATAAATATTATATATAACTTTAAAAATAGTAATTATAAGCATAGCCCTTATAAGCATTATAAGCAGGCTTTAAATAACAATAATTGCTAAGAGGATAATTTCTAAGGCAATATTTATTACCGCCGCTAACTTTAAGTATGTAATTATAAAACCTAAACTTAATAATGCAATTTATTAAAAACTAATATAATTAGCAAAGCTTATTATTATTAGCAGAAAGATAGAAATAAAGCTTATATTAAAGATATATATTATACTTAATATAACTTTAAGCTACCCTAAGAATATCTCCGCTAAATAAGAAATATAACCTATATAAAACTCTTTCCTTATAATATATTCTTAATAAATGCTTAAATTTAATAAAGTTAGCATAGTTTATAAAAACCTTTAATAATTTTTATAAGTATATTAAGAACTTATATAACTTATTAAATAATAAAATAAAAATATTTTTTAATATTTATTATTATATTAAAATTTAGCTAAATTAATTCTATATAATTTTTCCTTAAATGCTTAAAAATTAAGCTAAGGCCTATTACCTTTATTTTATAAATTAAATTAATATATTTATAATAATATACTTTAAAATTAAAATACATTTTAATATAAACCTTAATTATTAATATTATTATATAAATTAAATAATAATAATATTTATAAAGATAAAAACATAAAACTTAAATAAAGATTTGCATAAGGTTTTATATTTAATGCTTAATAAGTTATAACTTTGCTAATAAGCATTAAGTTAAGATTATATTAAAAAGGATAACTTAAAAATAATAATAATTAAAGCTTATAAAGAAATTCTTAAGCTAAAAATGGCTCTTTTTAAGCTAGCTTAACTATATAAAGAGTTATTTTTAAACTTAAGATTTATAATAAAAATATAACTTAACTATATAATTATAATTTATATTATAAATAAAGTCTTAAATTAATATTATATTAATTATAAATATAATAATTAAAAGCTAAAAAAAGAATAATAATTATAATCTTAAGCATTTTAAGGAAATTAAAAATTTAGCTAATTAAACTTAAGCTATTTAAGCTTTAAGTAGCTAAAATCTTATAGCATTAACTATAAAGCTTAAAGTAATAATGCTTATAAAGGAGGAGAAGGAGAATAACCTTAAAAAAAAAGATATTATATTTATAAAAAGAAAGGATGCTAATTAATTAAATATTTAATTAATAAGCAATATTTAATAAAAAGAAGCTACTTAACATAATATAAATATAAAGGTTATAATAATAACTTTAATACTTTTTTAAATAAATTTAAAAAATATAAAATAAATAATAAAGATAAATTTTATAAATATAAAGATAAATAGAATTAAAATAATAATTGCAATAATAATATTTATATTATAAAGATAGGACTTAATAAAAAGGTTTATTATATAAATATTAATTTCCTAGCTAATAAAGCGTTTATATATTAAATTATAAGAAATAATATCTTTTAAATGGAAATAATTATTATAGTTAATTAATTTATCTTAAAGAATAAATATAACTAAACTTATTTTTAAGGAATCCTACTAAATATAAGAACATTATTAATATTTATAATTAAATATAAGTAATTTCTTGCATTATAATAAGAAAACCCAAAGTATTAAATTAATATAATTATTATAAGAAAAGCTAAAGTTAAATTTAGTAATAAAATAATTATTAATTTACTTAGTATAATAAAAATTTTTACTTTAATTAATTATATTAACTTTTATATTATTTAAATATAAATCCCATTTTTACTTTACTTAGTAAATATAAATAAGCTTTAAGTATATTATAATAATATTATAAATAAAATGATTTCCTTTAACGGTATAATTATTATATTAATACTTAAAAAATAGGGTTACTTATAGTTTTTCCTAAATTAAATTATTAATATTATATATTTCCTTTTAAAGATAAAAATAAAGAGATTTTATTATTGCTTTAAATACTTATTAATAAATTAATTATGCTAAATGCTTAAAAAAGCCAATAATTTAAATATTAATAAATAAGTAATAATAAAAATTAAAAAAATATATTATTATTATTAAATAAGCAAACCTATGCTTAAGCGTTTTAAGTTTATATTATATAATAATTATAAATTTAATTATAAAATCTTAATTAATATAATATATTTAAGCAAACATTTAATCCTTTATATTATAGATTAAGCCATTGCTTTTTAAGGAGCAAAATTCTTAAAATCTATATTTGCAAAGACTATATAGCAAATATTATAAATACTTTAAATTAATATATATTAAGAATTATTAAATATTATTAAACATAATGCAGGAATAAACTTTACATCCTTAGAATTCTATTTAAAGGCATGAATAATGGGAATTAAATATAAATAGATTCCCATAAAGGTATATTAATTTATTAAGAAAGTTAAGAAATATTATTAAGCCCTTAAATAAATATATAAAATCCTATATATTAAATTATATAATAGCATAAATAATAATGCTATTTTGCAAATAATTATAAAAGTTATTAATAATATTACTAAATTAAATAAATTAATCCCTATGCTCCTAATCTTTAGCGCCTATTTATAAATATTACATAAATCACTATCATTATTATTAACATAAAAGCAAGCAAAAGCTATTTTAAAGGCTATAAAGATATTATAAAAAACCATAGCTAAACAATAAATATAAAATGCATTAAATATTAAAATTAAACTTATCTTTAATATAAAATATTCACTACAATACAAAGTTTATATATAAAAAGAGAAAAAGGGATAAAAGGGTTTATATAAGGTTATTGCTATAAATAGCCATAATATAACCTTAAATATACTAAATAAAGCCATAATATTTAAATTAATAGTTATTTAATTATACTATTAAGATAACGATAAGGAAATACAACCCTTGTAAGCAAAAGACCCAGCCATAAAACCTTAAATGCAATTTATTATATAATCATTATTATTAAAGATAAAAGACTGCATTATTATATTATATATCTTAAAGAAAGAAAATAAAAACTATAACTTAATAATTAAATTAAAATAAGATAAAGTTATTATAATATTAAGCTTATTATTTAAAAAGTTTAATAAAATAAAAATTAATAACCTTATTGCTAAAGGTATCTTTTAAACTAAGAAATGATTAGTAAAGTAATATAGTAAATATTATTTCTTTAAATCTTATATAATATAAAAAGTAAAAGGTAAAATTATAAAACCTTATAAGAAATCCCAATTTATTATTTAAAGTTATAATAATAATAAAAAGGGATTAATCTTAATGCAAAGCTTAATTATTTAAAGAATAAGCTAATAAATAATCCTTGTACTTACCCCTTTATTAATTTAAAAAAAAGGTATAATTCTTATACTTTAAAATATTACTTAAGCCTACCCTTAAGTA